TCACAATCACTAAGCACACAAATTGACCCACACTAGGCACCCGGGCGACCAAGAAGATACTAGTTCATATTTTATGCACTGCCCTGAAGCGGCTTTGCCCGTCGTAACCGTCCTTGCGACTGTCCTTGAGCGTGAAGGTCAACTAAATACTGGCACAACTCTCCTACACTACCGTCTCCAATCTACAGTTTACAACAGTTCGACTCGGAGCCATAACACATTCCCCCTTACTGCATACTTCAAGAACGGGCAACGTTGGGTGAACTTCCCACCACTGAGCATCAACACCAACATTTTTCTGACAGGGCGTATTTTCGGCATCACCAAGAACAATCGCCAGCTAGCTGTGATTACGGACGACATACATTTCCTTCCAACCCAACCGCAATCTTTGCCATCCACACCATCTCCGACAGCTAGTAAACGGAAACGCCAGGACCGCTGGTCCCAAAGGGCTAATACTGGTTCTCCACTCAAGCCAGCGCCCGTGTTGGAGGATGATTCGATCCCAACCCTCCGACAGTCATACAGCCCCACAGGAACTACTTCCATGAACAATGACGGCGAAGGAACGTTAATAACCTGGCCGGACACGACCGACGATGGTCAACCCTTACCACAACCTCGCACTCCTACACCAGAGCCGCGTTCCCAGAGATCACGAAAAAGACCCAGAAACTAACCTTCTCATTCAAAGCTCAACAATTTAAACCTCTTCCCCAATTCGCACCTCATACTCTCTTCCAGGTTCAGTCCTACGAACAACTTCACCTCATTACTCACATACATTATGTTCTGTCTCAACTTATTGTTGGAGAACCTCCCATTCGCTTTCCCTTTTTACCTTATCCATTCATTACAGTTCAAAGGGGAAAATGACAATTTCAGCAAACAAACATTACTTCCTCCTAGAAATATTCTATTCGTGTTCACCGTGAGGACTGTGATTCTTTCTGAACACCATCTTTTCATCTAGGATTCCCGTAAATACCCCTTGTTTATCACTCACAGACCGAAGAATTCTAGAAGCGCACAAATATATCCCCCGCGCATTCTGATAAACCGCAACTTAAGAAATCTATTATTTAACCAGACCCTATCTAGATAACGACCACCGTCCATGCAGATCACGTGCGGCTAGTCATGCACGCACGGCAGTGTTAACGAATCACAATGCGAGGAGTATGCTACCGTGTATGCCACCATGTAGACTCTTACGACTCACCTTTTCTATCACCCTCTACTTTCCTTCTATTTCCACTCAATTTCATCGTTTCAGGGCCGATGCGCGCGCTGCGCGCGTCTTCCAGTTAAAAGGGGGGTACCCGCAGAACTCCCAAAACTTACTAGCTGGTCTTGGCACTGTGGCTGGAGAAACAATAGAAGAGTGTAAGTGGTTGCGCCAGTTTCGGGACGCACTGTACCAGCTTTGAAGCGTACTGCTTTGGCCGGAGTGCTGGGTCATGGGTCATGGGTCATGGGATTTGTGACGCAGATTGTATTTGGTGAAACCATTTCTTAAAGTGGTTCAAGTGATAACTAATCGGACAGGCCAATACATCCAAGGGAACTCTTGACTCCTCCTTGTTCACAATTTTTGCTCGAACCGGAGTTAATGTTTGGGCTCTATATGGCTGACCAAATTCAGTTGAACAGGGTGCTTTATGGTAAGTGATCATTTTTGCAAAAAAATGAACGGGCTGTTCAAATACTGAGGACAATCTTGCAGCTGAGGAGGCCCGTGCACTCGTCGTGCTATATTTGACCTCGCATCTCCTCCGCCGATACTTCTATAGAATTCTTATCAAAGAAAACCAATTACTTTCTTTAACGACCGTGAATCAGGTGATCGACAAGTCAAAATGAGCTGGCTCCAAACAATGAATTCACCTGGAAATACTTTGGTCGTTCTGGTTCATCTAATAACTGTCCTTTATTTTATTCTACTTCTTTGTCGTGTCATATTTGACTGTTTCCAAACCAGGATGTCCCAAGCGAGCGACCTAGTATTAGATACTTTGCCTATCGTTTGCTTTTTCCTCGGAGCCTTGAATCATTCTTCTGCCACGATCTCCGACTATTCTGCGTTTGGTGTTAAGCGACATATCAAATATGCTGGTGTTCTCGCTCTCATTTGGGCTTCCTCTCTGCCGTTTCTTTATTATCAGTTCTACCATACGAAGTTGTTATTGTGCATTTTATTGCTGGCAGTGACGTTGGTATTTGCTTGGAGTCTGTCGCTTGTTTCTCTTATACACGAGCCTTGGAACTTTGCATTCTCCTGCTGTATGCTCGGACTCTTCGTGCTTTTGCCAGCACTGTATGCGACATCAAAGCCGTCAGCTTGTCGATACGCTGTTGCCAAAGAATACGTCAAGTATTCTTTGTTGAATGCCCTTGGGGGGATAGTTCGCTGTCTTCAAATACCTGAGCGGCTGGGCTACGGTGTTCAACTCAAGATCAGCGCTTTTGTAGCGCACGTTTTGATGATGAGCGCGGCACTGGAATTCTCAAGGCACTTGGTTTCAGCTCTTAGTTCTGAGGCCATATCAACCAATCATCTATGCGGGATTTGAGGCTCACAGCCGTAAGTTTTATATCAATTGTAATCCCTCTCTCCTTTCCTTCAATAGCAGATGGCTGATACAGAAGAAAGTGAGCACAGCTTTTGGCCAGTCAGTCATGAAAATTGTCGAAGTGGAGGGAACTGTCAGGTTTTGAGAACACGCCGTTTCTAGCGTTTGCAAAAGACTAGCTCTCTACTGTATCATGTCACGAATGAGAGCAAGCATCGAAACGGGAAGTCTTAAGCTAACTGTATTTTATGGAAAGGTGATAAGATAGCGCTTTAAATGGCTTAAAAGTTTGAACATCTTATTCTTTCTATTTGGAAAGGCTAATGTGCTGAAATTCGAATAAGAATAGTTCCTTGTGGTTAACTAATACTGTAGTGGAATAAATAAGTGGCATTTAATATGGTATTCTAGTAGCTGACTCGTTTCGGTGGCATAGGTATTATGTTCATAATGGAAAAAGTTGGGTTATACGAATGTGTCTCTGGATTGGATTGTTCGCTTTTTCGGGAAAGAAATGAGAGATCTAATTATGCGTTGAATTACCAAATTCAATGTTAAGGGCTCCGAGAAATTTCTTTGAAGTGCCACTTTTCGCCATGTGAAAATGTGATAATTTCAGCTTCTGAATTTGCGTGAAATAATGTGGAGATGAGGACCAAATTTAAGGTGGGCGAGACTCTGTAAACAATCGCAACTCGTATTAGTAGAATTAAAAGCATCTGGTGAGCAGGTATGTTATTAAGGAGTTCTGATCAGCACATAAAGTGCGATGGTAGTCGAGAGTGTAGAGTTGTTTGCTGTTGCAGTCATTCACTCTCCCTCTTCAGATATTTTGCAGATTTACCTGTAATATTAGTGAAAGAACCTCCATGGCAGCAAGCCTCTTGCAGTGTGCCACCTCTATGTTCTCGTTGGAAGAGATAGTGCCATTGCTCTGAACTCAAAAGGCACTGCCAAAAAGTAACATGGATACTCTCGCAATTTATGCTATTGTAATGGGGGCAATTTTTGGAAGCTTAATTGCCATTCGCTGCCTCATACCTCATTTTTACACGATCAATGTTTTTCTTTCCCAGCATTTCACCTACCCTTATATGGTTAGCCGCCATCGACTTTTTGGCCCATGGACTCGGGCCAGCATTGTATTGCACATGAGCTACGCTGGTGTCAATCTTTTTCTTATATTCTTTCATTTCTTATCGCTAGTTGACTCCAGCCGAAGGGCGGGAATACTTGCTATGATTAATTTCATACTTCTGATATCATCTACGCATTTGAGCTATATGGCCGATATTCTAGGTGTATCTTTCAAAAACTGTCAGCGCATGCACCGGGCTGTAGGCTGGATGGTCGTTACTTCATTGATATTCCATGTTGCAGTCGCACTCATACCAACTGGCAGCGATGCAACTGGCAGCGATGCAACTGGCAGCGATGCAACTGGCAGCAACGATCAACTCGTTGCGAAAATAATCGTATATCGAATAATGCCCCAAAAACCTTTGCTCTTTGCTCACATAGTCTTATAGGTTGCCACTTCGTTGAGTGCGCTTGCGATACTTGCGTTGCCTTATTTCAGGCGGCTTTCATATAAGTTCTTCTTACGATCTCACCAGGCATTGACAACTGCAAGCCTCTATGGGATTTGGTGCCATATCCCCAAACATAGCGTATTTTCCAGATCCTGCCTGTACATTGCCCTCGGCGGGTTGGCGTACACGTCACTTATTCAAACAGCCATTTTCGTCTATCGCAACGGTATATTATCTGGCCACGGTAGGCCTCGCGCTCTTCTAGCGAATGCAGAATGCGGTAATAGTGAAATAGATAACCAAGCAACAGAACACGGCAATAGTGTCACAGAAATACAACCGCAAAGTGAAAGACTTACCAGAATGTGCTTAGTTCTACCCAAACCAATCAACGTTCTGCCAGGGCAATACATTAAAATATGGCTGCCTACACTCAGTCTATGGTCGTGGGCACAAATGCACCCATTTATGGTCACATCGTGGTCGCCAGATAAAAAGCAAAAGGTCCTTGATCTTATAATTCACCCCAATGGAGCTTTTTCCGCAAACCTCGCTCTTCTTGAAAAAGGAGCAGGTAAAAATTGCGTTTCTTTGCCTGCTTTTTATACTGGACCTCATGGTATCAACCAGCCAGTGGGCTCATACGAAAATATTTTGCTAGTAGCGAGCGGAGCAGGAATTGCGGCTGTTATTCCTTATGCAAAAGAAATAATTCACGCTTACGATAATCGCACATCCAATGTCCGTCACGTGAAGTTGGTTTGGCATGCCGAGTCGTTGGGTGAGCGTTTTGTTTTCTTCGAGCCCGCATGATGCCGACTAAAAGCAACAGAATATGTCAAATCGGGTAAAGAGTTAGTAAACGGACTTTTGAAAGATGATATGCCAAGCAATGGCTATGTCAGTGCTAGTTATCCTGTGGTACCCGCTCTTTATGACTAAGAAGCATTTTCAGGTTCTTAACATTTCCATCCACGTCGAAGAGGGTATTGATGCGTCAATGGTGCCATTCGGGAAAAATGGACGGGCAATCCTCAATCGAGGCGCTCCAGACTATCAGAGTGTCATTGAAGCTGAAGTATTGAAGGGAGACATCGAAACATCTGCTGGGAAAGGTGCAGGAAATGGCCGGATGCTATTGATTGGTGAGACTACATGAATTTATAAGACTGGGAAAGCGCTGAAGATAGGTCTCACTTCATAGCCTCCACGACCAGTAATCTCCAAGACGAGCTTCGAAAAATCATGCGGGTGTATCTAGGTCATCGGGCAGAGATGATTGAGCTTGAATATCAACCTTAACATTGGGGAATTCAAAACATTCTCATTTGAGCTCTGAGCTCTATTCTTAGCTCTTAAGCCCATGAGCTATGTTAAAAAACAACCCAATATTCATGAATATCAAGCACGATAGCAAGCCGGAGCAGTGATAAAACTCAGAGCGAAGGACCAGTTGTACAGCGTTATACTAATATACTCAATATTGGATGGCGAAAACTGGTTTCGATATCGGACTGAAACCTGACTGAAAGAATCCCGCTTGATAAAACCTGCTTTGAAATTGCAATTTGGGTCAGTCCTTTCTTACGGCCTCAAGTAAGCCTCATTATTGTTTTCATGTGTGATGAAATGAGAGTCTTGATACAGTACTTTTCGAAATCAGATATACCTCCACACTCTCGCGACCTCATTCCCGGAAAAATTCGTAAATGCGCTAATCCGCTTTAAGACTATCGCTTTGTAACTTTGGCAGAACAGTAGTCGTATTGGTCTTAACTAACCGATGAGTCATAGTTATAATACCGTAATGCCCTATAGAATCTGGTAGAACCTAGGGGCGATTTAGCATGGTCGCCGGCCTGCTTTCTCCCCGGCAGACAGAAAAGTCTGTACTGTAAGCCCTTCCCGTGTGTTGTAGACTCCGTATTAAGCTCACTAGTCATTACTGCATACGGAAGCTGCGCTTATATTCTTTCTGTCAAGCTAACCTAGTAGACAAAAATGTTTCTCTGTTTCTATAGCTAGAATTTTCTATGCTCTCACGAACTAATTGGTATATCGCCCACACATTTTGTATTGAATATCCCCAGGAAACTATATTTTCCTCTGCAGAAACGCATTAAGACAAATCCCCCTAGTACATAAAATCCTAGATAGGAAACGAAGACAATGGAAACCGAAAGGGAGTGAAAATGAAAATTTGCATCGATCAATCGTGTTCGGATACTTGAATTGTCTCAAAAGGCTCGATATTTACTTTTCAAAAATACCTTATTCAATTATTTGTAGGGAAAATAAATTGTGAAAGTGCAAAGCATTATCTGACTTCAAGAATTGCTCATTTATTTTCTAATCGCAAAATTACTGTTTCCTACGCGATACAGTAACGTGCTGTCCAATCGGAGCATTGATGCTACTCGGTCCCGAAAGATTGCTCTCGGCACCGAAGATCTCGTTAGGTTCAAAATGTGACCGTAGTACTGTAACAAAAAGAGAGTTTCGGGACGTACTGTACTTTCCCGAGTATCCGAGCCGAGGACTCACTGTACAACAAACCGGTACTGCCTTGTTGCTACGTGGCGAAAATACCGTCTACCTGTATTGATTGAGAGTAATGGCGGGACGGGCCGCGATGCGAACCCCTGAACCGCCCGACCGCGACGAACGCGAAGATTCGCCACCGCGACTGGCGAGACCGAAACGCACCACCCGACCACCGAACAACTTCGCTCGTGAGCAGGAAATTGATATCGAACAGAGGAAGACGCGTTCCCAACAGAAGAAGACGCCAATCGAGCAAGAAGAACGTATCTCGGTAACTGCGGGCGACTCCTCGGCCGAGGATGAGAACCTGAGCATCGCCAGTATCGTGAAGGAGCTGGTAAGACTCAGGAGAGAGATCAGACAACGAGACGAATCGCACAAGGAAGAACTTCGAAAGGTCAAAGAAGAGTTCAGTGCCGCCTTTGCAGAAGTTCGGCAGGAGCTACAGACGCTGACAGACACATGCGCAATACCACAAATCCACCCTGAGGCATGCTCTCGGGACAATCATGACGAGGTTCTTCGTGAGATCCAGACTCTGCGCGAGGAAATTAGCGTCCCTGCGCCCACGAGTTCCCCGTCCTACGCAGCGATTGCCCGTGCTCCCCCGCTCAGCCACCCGAACAACATACGGGCTCCCCCAGCGCGGAACACAAGACCAACTACTCTCACAGAGACGCTGTACTGTACGATAGACACCTCGAAGATGATGGAGGAGAACAACGAGAAAATATCCGCGGGCCTGATTAGGACCACAATCGAGACCAATGTCTGGACAATGGAAAATCACACTCAGTGGCGCTGTCGCGCGGTCACGGTGGATCCAAGAAATACTAACCGAATCCGAATCGCCTGCCGTGATGAAGACGAACATCAGCTAGTGAAACAAGTGGCAGAAACGAAGATCGGGGCAGGAGCCCGGGTGCTGCGGGACGAGTTGTACCCGATCAAGGTCGATAGCGTCAAGAGAGCGGCAGTACTGGATGAGAACCACAATGTCTTAGCAGGAGCGGCGGTAGCCCTGGGCGAAGAGAATGAAACCACGGTCACCAAGATCGCATGGCTCAGCAGCAAGGAAGCCACGAAGCCTTATGGATCGATGATCGTGTACCTAACGAAATCAACTGACGCGCGGAGACTCCTGGCTGATGGGTACTTCCACGTCGGAGGAGAATCCGGGACAACCAGCATCTTCGAGTATCGGCCGCGGCCAATGCAATGCTACAACTGCCAAGAGATTGGCCACAAGGCTTTCCAGTGCAGGAATGCCCAGAGATGCGCAAAGTGCGCCGCAGAAGGCCATCGCCACAGTAGCTGCGACCAGACAGTTCCGAAGTGCGTTCTATGCGGGGGCCCTCACGAATCGTTCAGCAGGAGTTGTCGGAAGCTCTACCCGCCACGCAATGAATAAAACGCTCCGAGTGATGCGGCTTAATGTGAGGAAACAGGGTGCAGTGCATGACAGTTTGATGAACGATGAAGAGACACAGGACGCAGTGGCACTAGCGATCCAGGAACCCCAGGCGAGGAGGATTCAAGGCCGGCTCTTGACCACCCCGATGGGGCATCATAAATGGACCAAGATGGTTCCCTCCACGTGGAGGGAAGGGAGATGGGCGATCCGAAGCATGCTGTGGGTCAACAAGGATGTGGAAGCGGAGCAAGTGCGGATCGAGTCGCCGGACTTAACGGCGGCCGTTATTCGGCTTCCCGAGCGACGGATTTTTATCGCATCAGTTTATGTAAAAGGAGGGGACGCCTCCGCATTGGACGATGCATACGATCACCTCCGAAAAGCAATCACTAAAGTACGGCGAGACTCGGGAACGGTGGTGGACACCATGATTATGGGAGACTTTAACCGCCATGATCAACTGTGGGGAGGAGACGAGATGTCCCCGGCCAGGCAAGGCGAAGCGGATCCGATCATCGACCTTATGAATGAATTTGGACTCAGCAGCCTGCTTAAACGAGGCACCAAGACATGGCACGGCGGAGAATATTCGGGGGACTGCGAGTCGACGATCGACCTCGCTCTCGCTTCGGAAAACCTGACGGACTCGATGATCAAATGTGCGGTCCATGGAACGGAGCACGGCTCAGATCACGGCACCATTGAGACCGTTTTGATGCGCCTTGGACGGCTCCAACGCAGACGGACAAACTGCTACTCAAGAATGCACCGTGGAAAGAGATCAATGCTAGAATCGCGAGGACGCTAGCTGCCACTCCGGTGGAAGGCTCTGTACAGCAGAAGACCGATCGGCTTATGTGCGCGGTGTCGGAAGCGGTTCGTGCGTTGACGCCGAAGGCCAAGCCGTCACCGCATGCAAAGCGATGGTGGACGGCGGACCTGACGCAACTCCGTCAGATATACACATACTGGAGAAACCACGCCCGCTCGGAAAGACGCGCAGGACGAAAGGTGCCACAGCTAGAGGACATGGCCACAAGCGCCGCGAAGCAATACCATAACGCAATTCGGAAACAAAAGAAGAGACACTGGAACGAGTTTCTGGCCGACAACGACAACATCTGGAAAGCTGCCAGGTATCTGAACGCAGGGGAAGATACAGCCTTCGGGAAGGTACCGCAGCTCCTCAGAGCAGATGGAACGGTTACCACCGATCATAGGGAGCAGGCAGAAGAACTACTAACCAAATTCTTCCCGCCGCTGCCGGACAGCATTGACGATGAGGGAACCAGGCCACAAAGAGCGGCGGTAGAGATGCCGACCATCACCATGGAAGAGGTAGAGCGGCAGTTGCTCGCAACGAAGTCTTGGAAGGCGCCAGGCGATGATGGCCTACCAGCCATAGTGTGGAAGATGACCTGGCCCACGGTCAAACACCGGGTCCTCGATCATCTTCCAGGCGTCACTGGAAGAAGGCACGCTGCCGAAACAGTGGAGACACGCAAAGATCATTCCGCTGAGAAAACCGAACAAGGAAGACTACACCATTGCCAAGGCATGGAGGCCAATCTCACTGCTCGCGACGCTAGGCAAAATCCTGGAGTCAGTGGTGTCAGAAAGGATCTCGCACGCAGTGGAGACCCACGGCCTGCTCCCAACCAGCCACTTTGGGGCTCGTAAGCAGCGGTCCGCGGAGCAGGCACTCCTGCTCTTGCAAGAGCAAATCTACGCGGCGTGGCGAGGCCGACGGGTCCTAAGCTTGATCAGCTTCGATGTCAAAGGGGCCTACAATGGGGTTTGCAAAGAGCGACTGCTGCAAAGGATGAGGGCACGAGGCATACCGGACGGCCTTCTCCTCTGGGTCGAGGCGTTCTGCTCTGAACGGACGGCGACCATCCAGATCAATGGGCAACTGTCGGAGGTTCAGGACCTGCCACAGCCTGGACTGCCTCAGGGCTCGCCCCTGTCTCCAATCCTATTTCTCTTCTTCAACGCCGACCTCGTGCAGAGACCAATCGACGGCCAAGGAGGACCAATTGCCTTCGTGGATGACTTTACCGCGTGGGTGACAGGGCCAACCGTGCGGAGTAATCGGGAAGGTATCACAACCATCATCAACGAAGCGCTCGACTAGGAGAAGAGGAGCGGAGCAACTTTTGAAGCAGACAAAACGGCGATCATACAGTTCGCACCCAAGGCTCGCAAAGTGGATCAAGAGCCGTTCACTGTCAAGGGACAGACGGTCGAGCCTAAGAACAAGGTCAAAATCCTGGGGGTCCTGATGGAGACGCGACTGAAGTACAAGGAGCATATTGCAAGAGCAGCATCCAGGGGCTTGGAGGCCGCGATGGAGCTACGACGGCTTCGAGGCCTCTCCCCAGCGACTGCACGGCAGCTCTTCACAGCGACCGTGGCTCCGGTGGTGGATTATGCGTCGAATGTTTGGATGCATGCATTCAAGAATAAGAACATCGGACCGATCAACCGAGTGCAAAGGGTAGGAGCACAAGCAATTGTGGGAACATTCCTCACACTTGCGACCAGCGTAGCGGAGGCCGAGGCCCATATTGCCACAGTACAGCACCGATTCTGGAGACGAGCCGTGAAGATGTGGGCAGATCTCCACACACTGCCAGAAACCAATCCTCTTCGCAGAAACACAGATCGGATCCGGAAGTTCAGGAGATACCACCGCTCGCCACTATATCAAGTAGCGGACGCGCTGAAAAACATCGCGATGGAATCACTGGAAACCATCAACCCATTCACACTGGCCCCATGGGAAGCACGCGTGCAGACTGATAAGCCTATTTCTGAGGGATCAATTGTACCAGGCGGATCAATGCAGATCGCGTTCAGCAGCTCGGCGCGGAATTAGCTGGTCGGGTTTGGAGTGGCGATCGAGAAACAACCACCCCGCTATCGGAAAGTGAGACTGAAGACCATGTCCGTCACGTTGAGTGCGAGAACAGAGCAAAATCCATTTTCCGCGGAGCTGGCGGCAATGGCGCATACACTCAAGACACTCGTGGAATTGAAAGGCTTTAGGATCACACTGATCACGAGCAACAAAGCGGCGGCTCTCACGTTGACGAACCCTCGACAACAGTCGGGCCAGGAATTTGTCTGTCAAATCTACAAGCTTGTGAGACGACTGCAGAGGCATGGAAATCATATTAGCATCCGGTGGATCCCCACTAGCGAGGACAACAAACTGCTAGGTCTCGCAAAAGATCAAGCTAGAGCTGCGACGCAAGAAGATACTATCCCGCAAAGACAGGTTCCCAATATGAAATTGACGACTCTAAAGATTGCGCGTGCCCAAGCGATCCCCAGCAGTGACCTCCCCGAGAGCATCGGAAAACATTCCAGACGACTGGATAAAGCCCTTCCAGGAAAACACACGCGACAGCTGTATGACCGATTATCGTGGAAAGAGGCGAGCGTGCTGGTCCTGCTCCGCACGGGCATGGCAAGACTCAATGGATATCTCTTTCGAATCAATGCCGCCGAGACAGATCAATGTGCATGTGGACAAGCAAGAGAGACGGTGGACCACTTTCTCTTTCGATGTCGGAAGTGGACCGCGCACCGGACGGAAATGCTGCAATGTACCCACACTCACCGAAGTAATATCTCCTTCTTCTTGGGTGGAAAATCGCCCTCCGATGACCAGAAGTGGACGCCCAATTTGGATGCAGTGCGAGCCTCAGTACGGTTTGCCATCGCTACGGGCCGACTTGAGGCCACTTAGCCTTGCCGACGAACGGACAAAATCCCCTCCTCTTTCTAACCCCAACCCCTTGTGACAGACGGTAGACGCGCTTCAACTGCCGAAGATAGGATGTTGAACACTTGAAGAAGCGCCTTCAAGCCAGTCTACTAACCAATACTAACCCACAGGGACCTGCTATGAGATTGGAAATTGAAATGGCGAATACGGAAGGAAATACTGTATGTGCTCCAAGGAGACACGGCTTATACCCAAACATGCATGTACTGGTAGATTAGTGATAGTTGCCCTTTCGGCTCAGCCGCCGGGCGTTAATGAATTGTGTGTGTGTGTGTGTAACAAAAAGATAAGGGAATAGGGTGACAAATGGATATAAACCAGATATGTCAATACATGAAAACCGACTTAGACTACTCTCCATGCGAGATGCTTTTGCGCAATTTTAGGCAGGGCTTTGAGCAGGCTTCATTTATATGGTCGCCCCAATGACTGCCAATCTGGTTAGGCGAATTTCCCATGATATTTTGAATGGCAAATGACTCACGAAGCATGAAAGCCTTCAACGTATCCAGGGAACAGCTCCACCCATCTCTTGGCTTGTGTGGTTCAGCCCCAGCATCGTCAATTCGCAGACCCGACATTGGCCCGGACAAAGAAGCAGTTGACGGGCTGGTGCGTTGGCGCCGGTGATCTTGCCGGGATACCCGCGGTCTTGTTTTTTGCACTCGCCCACACTTCGGTGCTGGTGATACATGTGCCCTCGTAGCCGTGGTTGTAGGTTCAACGCCCAGCTTGAGCTTCTCTCGGTTCCACTGTCCGCGAATCCCCTCTTTACTTCTTCCAGTGTTGAATTTTCGGTTCCATTTCTTGGTTTTTTCCGGCCAGGAGAGTTGAGCTGTGGTCTCGATAAAAGGTTTCAGATCTCTTCGTTCCTCTGCGGTCCACTGCTTCATTGTAGCTGGTCGTTCTGTACGGAGCACCTCTCGTAGATTTTTGATCGGGAACGTTGGAAAGGTATGGCAAAAACAGAAAAGGAGGGACTTGAACGTTTTCTCAGCGTGCAAGCGAGGTAGAAACCAGCACGATAGGGTAGAAGAGGAGGGAGCATTCTAAATATGATGGCGAAAGAGGTTCTAGCTCAAGGTCCCCGGGAACTCCTCAATCAGACATCGGGTCACCAGATCAAGTCACCGTTGAAGGCGCACTGTGTTGAACTGCTCTACTCTGGTTCATTTTGAACGATACATAGTCACACCAACGGCGCTTACTGAAGTACTTTCATTTGCCAGGCCTTAGGTCAACATGTGCGCCACAAACACGCAATCGCATAGGGGGTTCCCAGATGCGCTTTGACCACGAGCCCGTCGTACCGTCCAACAGTTGGCCAGCTCAAGACCGAATAGGTCTTCGGAATCATGAAGACCCTTGGCAGAAGGAGCGGGGTAGCAATTTCACCTGGGACGCAATGTCTATGAGCGTCACGTTTTGCATTGGTTATTAGGCATCGTAATGAGCATGGTTCCCGTGCAGGTGAGTATTGAACCTACAGTCTCTGTCTCCCCGAGCTTGCTTCACACTGCAGGCCCCCAGCCCAATCGCAGCATGGTACGGGCTGATCGATCACCGGGAGCTGGAAAAAGGCTTTCTCCTCAGAGAGAAGCATTTCTTAATGACTTAAGCTCGATGATTGGAGGAAAAGAAAACGTGGTGAGTCTGGAGTCGTTTCAGGGGGATCCATTTCTGACGTTTTATCCGCGTCAAGATAAATTTTCTCCGAAGCCACCGGGAATGCGTGAGAAAGTATCGCATAGCAACGCAGGCCTGCGTCCTGATCCTGAGGAAGCTCGAAGCAGCTAGGTCTACGAGTACCGTGGATCCCCTTTTGGGCGCCAAATTGAAGGCTTTAGGGATACAGTCGCCTATATTCGAGACCAGCGGGGGCTCGCCGCCACCCATGGTCAACGACTTATTGAATGGCAGCTCATCTGAAGTGCTCGGTAAGCAGCGAGCCACCATGAGCATAGGTATACCTTCTGTTCCGAATCAGCTCGCGGGCCCCGTCTCCACTGCCAACAACAACAGACAGTCGACGTCTCAGCTCGGCCAGCCTCCGCAGAACGCGATCTCGGACCCGAACCAACCGTGGGGACTGAACCCGCAGACAAACCAGGTACAACCGGCGTTCATCAGCCATTCGTTTGACCCAAATCATTTGGGGCCGATGAACGGGTACTGGCCGCAACCGCCCCAACATCCGGTGACCCAGCAACCCGTGGGCAACCTGCCGCTCATACAGCAGAACCAAGGTCTGGCTTCGCTAGCAAACGCCCACTATGAGCAACCGTCAAATTCCTCGAGCAACCAATTCGATAGTGAGGAGGGTTGGGCGGAAGGCATTGAGAGCTTATTGCAAGGATAAATATCTGGCTCCACGTTTGCGCGCTTGTCTACTTATTCTTTGGTGCTAGCTATATTTAATTTCATATCGTCTATTCTTCTCCGTCACAAAAACACTTCCTGTTGATAAATCGCCGGTCGTCTTGTAGTCTGTGTAATGCCTAACATCTCCTCCAATGGTGCTGGACGACTCGGATGCGTGGTTGGGTTACCTCCGGGCGATCAGAATGCTAGATCCGAAGAACTGCCGGAGGCAGTAGATTCCGAGCATGATTGTCAATTATTCCACGTGACAATATCCGAATCGACGTAGGTACGATTCTGATAGGGTTAGCCGGATCCTGAAGAGACTGACACCAGATGGGGCCGCCGCTGATCGCTGGCTTCGGAACATCTGGAGACCATACCGTTGTGTCAGCTGGGTCGGTGCTAGGACAGGATCCAGAACCGTAGGCCGATACACTAACAATTGGCTCAATATATTCGTCCTTGGACCGGTTCGTGGCCCCGCAGGGAATGTCGTTGAAAAGCCACTGACAGTGTCCACTAGACACGCCGATCAGACCCAGATGAGGGAAACGCACACCACGAGCTAGGCAGACGGCACTGTAGACGGCAACGCAGAAAAGCCTAGGAAGGGCGAGCGTCTTCGCCAAGTGACGCAAAGGCTAGAGAGGTGCGAGACTCCCGCCGGTACCCCGCAGAGGATGGGCCACTATTTCCTAAACGCAGCTACCAAGCAGAGATCGTGTTAGCACTTTTCCGTCTATCTCGCGTGCCGGAGCGCACGTTGCGAGCCAGCGAGCTCAAACAGTTATTGGCTCGGTGAGCGTGCTCGGTTCACAGGGAGATTCCGTACTGATATTATATTACCTAGGCAGCAGAAGGAATTCAGGCAAGTTGCGCTCTCACTCTTTTCATCACCGCGCGAATCCGTTCGCTAATCACGTGCGGTCGGTGCGCAGTCAGATCAAACGCAACGGCGGCAGCGACGGCGATTATCTCGAGAACCTCACGTCATGGACAAAGGAAGTCTCCGACCAGGTGAATCACGCATTCGCGAGCCAGCCTAGAGCCCCTCGACCGGCACGGTAGATCCGAGAACGAACTTCCTTTAGCGAAAATAAGAGTGATAGGAAATGACGACGAAAACCTTGTCTAGCGCCGTGGCCTGGCATCGGGTTAGGCTTCGAGCGGTAGGCGGTACAGTTAAGCATAACGGAGGTCCGCTGATCCGGTGCGGTCGAGACCCTAAATCAAGTTTTGAGAGCCTCTTCCTGTGGTCCAGGAGACGAAAGAGATACTGTAGTTTGTGGCGTTTCGTCGTGCCTTCTAATTGGATGGTAATCCTGGCGGCCAGGGGTGAGAGCTCGAAGGGGAAAGAGTGATTGCCACAGCATCTAGTGTGACTTGCCATAGTGACTGGTAAATCAACAGAATTAAATTCGAGTCTGTTGATGAGGCACGAGCACTTCTCGCATCCCTAGAGGCTTCGGTGCCGTAGTTGCGTATTGTGACATAGGACAAGGATAGGGGCTCGTCGTGGAGAGAACATGATCTACAGCGCATGACGCCTGTATTATGTGCCTCGCCATAGCTGCACTGCCCCGTCGCCGCGCAAATGCATCGTAGAGAGGCAGCCGTTCGAGCTTCAATTGATCCCTGTATCTCTCACAGCTGAACAGCGGTATCGAACAGGGCGCACGCAACGTATCCCAGGAGATTGCCTGATTTCCAATCATGGGACTTTTTTCGCGATCCGTGCACGTCTGTGGCTTTCGTTGGAAACTATACTTGGAGTTGTCAAGAGTCCAACCGTACCGAGGTGGCGCGCGTCGGAGCGAGCCTGGACGATCGTACCCGATCCGGCTTAGTGGGAAGGGATGTGCGCCATACACAGCGCCTGTTATCTCTGATCGGCCAAACGAGCGCCGGCGGTCCAGGCCGTCCCTGGCGTGGTCGAGAGAGCTAACTATTCACGCAGTTAGGTCTCGGAAGATGTTAGACGCGTGCGTCACGAGGCGCTTAAGCGTCGCTTATAGCACGCTAAATCTTAGGCGCTACCACTTTATAACGGGACTACGAGGAGATTAGAGATCAAAGACAGGCACAGGGTGAATGTGGAGTGAACGACAAATGGCGGCGTCGCTCGCGAAACTGCCCTGGGACTGCGCAGAATCTGATCCCAGTCCATCTAAGGCCTAAGGGCAAGAGGAGAGAGCGGGGTCTGGGGCCAAAAGGCGGGTCTCTGGACGACCAAAGTCCTGTAGAGGAACGGAGCCAACCACTCACAGCATATGAGTGAGTCATGCCAGCGAGCAGTGGGATTGACACCCTAGTTGATGGAACCTGCCTTGCTCCAGACGTCGTTGCCGTAGCCCATCATGATCGTCTACGAGTCCAGGGACGTACAGTACTACAGTGAGCGGCGATGCCGTAGTATCCTCCTCTCTAAGCACATCCGGCAGAAAGACACGAGCGTAGTCGATCTAGTACAGTACTTTCAGGGTGTCCTCAGTGGGATCGGCTGGCTTGCGCTGCGAGGCGAAGGGCGTTCCCGGAAAGGCTACTTACAGCGGCTGTCGTGCTCCAGGCCCTGTCATCGCAGAATAAAATTGTCCACCAATGGATCTTTTATGATGGGTCGGCTGTGGGATATGATATCCGGAGACAAACTGCCCCTTAGCCGAAGACTTAGTGTCGAGGAGTGGGACGGTTGAGGGGGGCCTGTGCATGTGAGAAAACGCACCTGGGTGTAAACTATAGGATTTTCAGGATCGATGTCGCTACCGTGCTGTGCAGAATATGCCACCAAATCCTTTGGGCTTCATGAGGGCGTTGGATGCATCGCAAAAGTGTAGACCCACGCAAAACCGAAAGCATACCTGCTCAAATTGCGTTTCGGTTGATCGGCTAAGTTGGCTCCCATGCTGCATCTCAATCACATCAACATTATCTCGCTAGCTTCATTTGTCTGTTGACCAGGGGTGGCGCTCATATTGTGTTCCGCTTGGGCCGCCGTTCAAGAAAGATGCTTTGAATCTGGTTAGCTGGGTCTAGTAGATGTTCAATGCTATTTCGAACGACCTGGTCATTGCCCCTGCCATCTAGCCCCGCAAGCTGTACCTCTAACCACACCAACGCCGTATCTTCATCTTCATTGGGTCATTGTTGATCAGGGATAACGTTCGCGCTGCATTCCGCTCGGATCGCGGTTGAACATAGACATTCCCGGTTCAGTGCAGTTACATGTAGAGATCATACCAACACTCTATCGTCCGCTTCACTGGTCCATTTGTGACCGGAACAAAGTTCAAGTTGCATCCCGCTTGGACCGCAGTTGAACATAGATCCTCCCGGTCGAGTGCAGCTGTAGCCCGATCCTGCCACCCGGCCCCTATAGCTGCATCTCGGATCACACCAACATAGTCTCTCTACCTCACCCATACGTTGGTGATCGAAGTGGGACACCGCTTAGGCCGTGGTTGAACTGATAAGTTCTCGATCGAGCGTAACTGCAATCCGTAGAATGCTTTCTCGGACCACTTCGGCGTTAACCAAGCCATCCGGCCCCACAACTCTACCCAACATCCCACCAATATTGTCTCTCTCGCCTCACTCGTCCATTGTTGATCGAATTGGACTCCGCTTCGGCGCAGTGAACATATACACCTTCTCATTTCCATTGACCTGCGGTCCAAACCACTAGAACACAAGTCTCGCATCCATTGAACATAGGTCATTTCTCGTCCATGCGACAAACCTGCTTAGCGCAGTCTAAACATCCTCGGCAGTTCAACCGACTTCCTCGCAATGATGCAAAAATCTACTCGCGGGTAAATATGGGCCTGGGCACGAATCGTGTCCGTACGGCTGGCATAGGTGAACACGGGATCATCAGCTAAGACGATGCAGAAGTCCTAGTTCAACGACTCGCTTATACGTTAAACGCAGTCGATGCCGAAGCGAACGCCGCATGCAGCTGTTCAGCGCCGCCGCTCGATCAACGGACTATTTGTGCATTCCCGTGCGTGGTTGACCAACCTTAACATAGTCCACTAGTCAGGGTCAACCATGCAGTCACGCCGACCCTGCTGTCACTCACTGTGTCGGCCAACGGCTGCGTGCGATACCGCAGCTGGATTGCAGGTAACCATCTCGTGTTCAATGCCCACTAATATGATCTATAGATCCGTACGAGCGGTCAACGCGGGCCTAGAAGAAAGCTTGCGAATACAGGAGTTCAACAAAAGTATAGATCCAGGATTCACATGATCGTGGTCAACAAGGGCGTATGTAATCGCGTGCATAACTCGTGGGCTCATGTATCTCGGTACTTGACCACCCTGAGTCGTTCAACACGTCGTGAACTTTCTTCATGGCTGATGCCACTAATAAGTAGTTCCCCAATAGGTCAACGCATCCCTACGAGAAATAAGACACAACTCTCAATTCGAGCGACCGTTCCTCATCTGATGCCTTACACAGAGATCTACTGCAAGCTCTTACACGCAGGCGGTGGCCACTCCTATTAGCGCCCCACTTTGGTGCAGGAACCAAGAGCCAGCTCATCATGCGTTGCCGAGTACCGTACCAATCTCAAACCAAACCGAAAGCACAGATGTGGCATGACCGTTCAAGTGGGGAAAGTTGAAAGAAAGACGAATATGTTTTTTGCGTCCCGCATTATTTTGCAGTGCCTCGACAGGCAGCAAATGAATCATTTTTGAAACCTAATCTTATTGTACCAATTCGGTGATATACCCAGATGGCTTGGCTCGATGAAAGCTCAGTGGTCAGCGACTGTGACTTTTTGTTTACTTGGCGGCGTAGTCCACTCCACAGGACCTGGCATTCTGGTAGCCACTGACCGCCATAGAATTGGTGGCAGATCTGGTCTGCTTCCTCGACGGTAAGTAATTTGTGAAATTCTTCGACAGAAGCTGACGAGCACATGCGTATATTGCTGTTAGAGCTATAATCACAAGCTTGTAAAGGAGGTGGGGCCGTTGGTCGTTATCATTAGGTAGAAAAGGTGCAACTGGATTAGATTGCTAATTAAAATACTTTAATAGAAAGAGGCAAGCGTATGATATCACCTCGGAGCAAGTCTTGATACAGAAGACTCGTGTAGATTATAGATGGCGCATGATTACTGCGAAGAGGATTCTACACTCACAGAACAATTCTAAATGGTTCCATGTACTGTAATGTTACAGTGCTGTGCACAGCGGATGTCGGAATTAGTTTCTCCGAATCAAGAAGCAAGAGTAGGTCGGCATACTGCTACGCCAAAAGATGTGACTATGAAATTTCAACAGGAAACCAGTTAGACGACATTTCTGATCTTGCCCCGCCGTAGAGCCTATGACGCAACCGTTGTCGATAAAATGGTACAAGCAAGGATTTCTGAGGAGGGGGCCATCAGCCACTGTATGTAAAGTTGACGTATTGTATGGAAAAATAGTGAAAGGCTAGAATACGTGAGACATAATTTATCCTTTGTCAATTCCTATGTCTTTTCCACTGTCGGTGAACACAACTGGTCTGTTGCTAGATCCGTTCTCTGGTGGATTATTTTGCAGTATGTCTCTTTGGCTCATTTCAAATGTAGTTGTACTTTGAGGGTCTGGAACGGCATTCTGCCCGGAGTGCTGCATTTGCAGTTTCCGCAAAAGCCAAGGAAGACCATCAAGCATCAATTCTGCTCTATCTTCAATAATGTGTCAGTCTCTACCAACTGGTTTCAACTGGGTTAAACTTTGTGTCAGCCGCAAACGAAACCTACCCTCAGTTTTCTCATTCGTCAAATGGCAATCATAGCATGGCGAGGAATATCGGACTTGCTCTACCTCTCTCAAGTCACCCGAAAATTCTTCGTCTCTCACAAATACCTTTGAGCTTGTTGGAGATACCGAGGATGCCCTGCTGCTCATATCTCTCAGGTCCCATGCATATTCCCATATATTCAATAGGTCGTCATCTTCTTCGGAGTATTTCATTTGATCCCATGTAGAGTCTTCATCTGAATTAAAACCTTCTTGGGAAATACCCACGGCTTGCTCCTGCTCGTCGGTTGGCTTTGAATCAGTTCCTAGAGAGTTGCGTCAGCCAGTCTGAGTCTTACAACGTTAATTCATCTAATTTTAGAAATATACCTCTGTGCTGGTCCATTTTCTTTTCCTTTCGAGTTTGTGGGATCACTTTCCGATAGACAAAAACAAATATAGGCAGGTGGTTTTCTGACGGCTTGAATCAGCAAGGGAAACCCTTTCTTTTGTAGACATGAATAGAAAAAGAATCGAATTATTCAAATCCGGGCCCGCAGCTATCAGAAACCGCGTTCGGGATTAAATTAGGATAAAACTGCCTGGAAGTTCAACCTCTGGAGTTGCATGGTCTGAGAAGTTGTTCGATACAAAATTCGATCTATTGTGTACGCATCTTCAAAGATCAGCCGGCTTATCAATGCCGTGAGGGCATTTACGTAGACCGTGAACCATGAATCTACTGTGTGGAACTTGAACTTGCCAAGTCACTTGGTCACGTGTAGCAATGTATTCCATTTATGTAGATTCAGCCTAGGAACCAACACAGTTGCTTCCCCCGTACAGCCGCCGGACGCTGTGTTGACGTGTGTTGGACACGAAGACAGATGCTCTTGGACAAGCAATTGGTGAGGGTTAACCCTCATATAATGTTGAACTGCGTGTTTGTACTTTTGTTTGTAACGTTATAAGTGGATGCGGTTCCCGCGGTGCTTTCTGCCTACTGCAGCCCCGCCACGTCTGCCAGCCTGTGAGTTGCGCCTTGGATCACACTAACGTAGTTTCTCTATCCTCACTCGTTCATTTCTGATCAAGTGGGATGCCGCTTGGGCCGCAATTGAACTGATACGTTCATAATCGAACGTAGCTGCGATCCGTGGAAAGCTAATTCCAACCATTTCGTCGACCACGCCATACAGCTCCGCAATTGCACCTAATCCCACTAACACCGTTTCTGCAGCCTCACTCATCCACTGTTGATCGAAGTGCGATTACTCTCGTGCCACGGTTGAACGATTACACCCTGCCATTCCCCGAACCCTGCGCAGATGACCATAGTGTGTTCAACGTTCATCGAAGTGATCCATAGATCAGCGCGAGCAGTTCAATGGTAGTCCAGGGCTTGCCAATACATGAGTTTAAGAAAGCTGCGGGTCTAGAGTCCACACGACCATAGTCAACTAGGGCGTGTTCAATCACGATTTACGCACGCGAGCCCAATTATCCCTGGCCTCGACCACCCCGATTCATTCAACATGCCCTTGGCATTCTGCATGGCTGATGCCATCAATGAGTATGTCTCCTACGCGGCTCTGGTTAGTTCCTGCTCGGTACACAACCACGCCTGCGGTACTCTGTTCCTCTTGTGTTCTCGGGGTACAGGTTGTGTGTGTGTGTGTATCATTTACCCTGACCCCTCGCTGCAAGCGTTATGCAAGCTACAACAATTTTGTAAATACGTGAAGACCCACTGTATTTGTTCCAAGCTTCCTGAACGGTGAACCTCGAGTCTCATCCGATAAAGCCGGTCGTGATTTTGTTACCATTTACGATATTAGGCTACCCTCGTGGGGCAGTTTTAATGAATTTGCGAATGAGACGGACGGCAAGTGTCCGCATTTGCTGTGATAGGAACCGCGAGAATGCGGGCAATGCCGAAGTCAAGAATCTGGACAATGACTTTGCTGCGGATATGGATTTGTTGTGAGTTCGGCTAGCGGAGCGTTTCCTTGTGTTAGTCTCGAGCTGAAAAGGTGACGGTTTATTGGCTAAATTGGCCGTGAAGATCCTCCATTGTGAGTGTGGGTTTGGTGGAAAGGACAGGTTCTCGGGTTTAGAAATCGATTGGAGTGAAGTTGTGGTACAGTACAGTAGTTTTCGAAATCAGTTATACCTCTATACTCTTATGACTTAATTGTCGGAAACTAATTCCAAGGGTAACGAGCCCTGATTGGATACCATAACCGACCTTGGGTTTTCAGACCGCTTGCCGAAATAGTATCTGTAACTTACATTACCACCGTGGGACATGATACCATGCCATGCTAAGACGATGACTCATCGATTTTAGCAAAGCAAATACCATTACCGTTTTGCCAGCAAAACAGAGTGGTGCTCCAAAAGGGTTTAGCGTTTACCGGGTATACTTTCCGGCAATCAAGTTGGAAGAGTGTGGAGGTATAGCTGATTTCGAACACTACTGTACACTATGTATACTGTAGATAAAGACGAAATTAGACGGAATTGGAAACACTGTCATACTTCCTCTTGCTAAAATGGCCCTACAACACCTGGTAGAGGTATTTCACTTACAGTAAAACGCTTCTGTAAGTGAAATACCTCTACTGAGAGCCGAGATAAGCTGACATAAGTTTTGCCACCATCCTCTGATCACAATGGTTGCCGATGCCCAGTTATCACTCCGACAGGAAAATCATAGGGGGTACTATGATAAAGTTCCCCAATAGCAATTACCGCAAGGGTATCGTGGTCTTGGATGAGTCAATAATCTATCTAGACGCGATCGGCCATCCCGCCCTGTGATCACGTGGATCTTTCTGTGCTATAGATGGATGACATCGGTCGAAATAATTCTTGCTCCAATACCCAACAGGATCTTCACAGCATTCAATTCACTGTAGTCTAACCTCTTTTTTAATTGCTGTGTTTATACAAATAGGGTTTAACTAGGAGTAAGCTTCCGCAGAATGTTTTCTTGGACCTAAGCTAGTCGTAGGGGATAGACCGTTAAAAAAACTTGATCCAGCTAGATTTGGGAACTGGCCGTTTGACCAGCGTCAAGCTGGACCAATGGATGGGTACCGGCCGCCTCCGTCCCAGTTTCCGGTGATCCCGAAGCCCGCGGGCAACATGCCGTTCATCCAGCAAAATCGATCCTGCGTCAACCAGCAAGTGCCCCCTATGGGTTACCCTCTTCCTCCGGCAACCAGTTCAATGGTGAGGAAAGTTGGCAGGAGAATCTTGAGAGTTTACAGCAAAGATAAATATCCGGCTTTATGGTGGCGCGTTTGTCTATTTAATCTTTGGTTCTAGCTGCGTCTAATATCATATCATTCATTCTTCTCCCACGAAGAAGCAATTCCTGTGCAATAGATTGCTTATCTTCCAGTACTTTGTGGCAAAAGCCCAGCATATATCCCCTAATGGAGCCTGATGATTCGGATGCGTGGCTGTGTTATCTCCGCGCGATCAGTATGCTGGATCCCAGCTGCGAAGAACTGCTTGAGCTAGCAGACCCCCTGGAAGATGATCAATTATGTAGGGTTTCAAGATCCGAATCGAAGTGCGTACGACTTCAGTAGCGCCAGTCCGCTGCTAAATGGGCCGCTGATCGCCGGTTCCCGAATAACTAGAGACTATGCCCCTCCATCAGCCACAATGGTGTTGGGACAGGACAGTATACGCCCAAACCAGCTATCTTTAGCCCTGTTCGTGACCCCGCAGGAAATGTCATGGGGAAAAGCATTGACAGTGTCCACCAGGCAGGCCGATGAGACCCAGGTAGAAGCAACACACACCCCGAGCAACGCAGATAAAAGCGCGAACGGTCTCACGATTGACGAGCCTCTTCACCAAGTGATGCAAAATCTGGAGAGGTGCGGGACATCTGCTGACACTCCGCAGAAGATGGGTCATTAATCCTGATATAGCTGCCAAGTAGAGATTGAGTCAGTACTTTACCGTTCATCGCGTGCCGAAACTCACATTGTACGGCAGCGAGCTCAAAAAGTTATTTGCCCAGTAAGTCTGCTCAGTCTACAGGGAGACCCCCTCACTGACAGCGTATCGGTAGACAACAAAAGGAGTTCAGGCAAGTTAGGCCCTCATCCTCTATATCCTAAACCCTGCAAATCTGTCTGTTAACCACGTGCGGTCGGATGCGCAGTCAGATTAAGCGCGACATCGGCAGCAATCACGATTATCTCGAGAACCTCACGTCATGGACCAAGGAAGTTTCCGACCAGGTGAATCACGCATTTGCGAGCCGGCCCAGAGCCCCTCGGCCGGCGCGGTAGATCAAAAACTTCGGTCTTTTGTCCGCGGGGAAAAAGCGGTATAAAGGATATGGTGACAGCTTGACAAGGGACATGACAAATACACTTTCACCTGGTGCCGAAAACTGTCGTCGGGCTAGGCTTCGAGTGACAAGCGGTAACGCTGAACATAGGGAAGCACGGTGATCCTGTGTGGTCGATTAGTTATCACTAATGTCACTTTTATAAGGTTTCTGCGTTCTCTTATACTGTTAAAAAGACTTTTATGGAGCAAGTAATTACCAGGGACATCGATGCAATTTTAAAGTTTCCCAGGTTTGAATCGATTATTGCCTCTTTAACCGACTAATATCAAAAAACGCGAATTCAGGCTTTTTTATACCTTTTCGTGCTGAACAGTATTTCTGTAGACTCTAGTCAAGCTTGTAGTATCTCATATACGGAAACACTTTCAGTCACCGATGCCCATTCGGCTGATGTAGGTCGTACAACCTTCGATGTTGTCCTTTTCCGAAATGCATTCACCTACCGCGGAGATTTTCCTGTCCAAGGACGGTAAATTTAGTATAAGTCAAACTACCAAATGGTGCACGTTGTGAATTGTACATATGTAGCTTCTGAACTTCAAAGACCTCTATTTGCTGCCCATTTAGCCAAGCATAAATATTTCACATGCTCTACCAGCCCGGACCCAAGTTTGAATTGTGTAACGATGTCAGGGTTCCGCATTTGCTTATTCCAGAACCAGAAATTCTCAGATGAATTACTGAGTGAATACGCATAAGGAACCTCAATTATCTGTATTCCACGCGCTAACAGACAATAAGTCAACTGGACCGCAATAGGACTCGCTGCAGCCGTTGAATTGATGCCTGATACATATATCGTATCATAGTTCTTAAGTCAGCATCTATTTAAATAAAACTCTTCTCCTCTAGAGAAACGTCATGGTCGATTTTGCCAAGAGGCTGGCATTCGTATGGAAAGGAAAGATGTGTATCAACCTATTGCGCCAGTTCAGTCCAGCTTCAACAGGGCACCTATTAGAAGGGCTTCACAAACTCTGAGGGCAAATTCACAAGGAAAAGCAGATTCAATCACTTTAAATGTGCCATGGCGTTGACGTACAACCGTAATATGGACACCCACAAAGCCGAGCTTCCGAGCAATACGAGAAAAGAGCTTAGCCATACTATTAGAATGAGTTGTAAGTGTTAAAAGAAAAATGTTGGGAGGGTCTGAGAATTAAATAGCCGTCTGCTTGGACCACTGAAGATAGCGAGGAGAAGGGCCATCAATAGAGCCTTGAGGTATCTCGATGCCTATTAAGCTATTAAGTGTCCGGTCAACATCATCGAGCGACTTTAGGTATTAATTAAGCTGCACAGCGTATTCAACAGTTTTCGAAGAAGTTTCAATAAGGCCTTTATTACAGACGACTCCTTGAAAATTTTTGCGAGGGATTGTTCAAGTTCTGACTTCAACCCAGAGTATCCATGATCTGAAGGTCAACAGTGGCCCTGAATAAATTCTCAGGACATAAAAACACTTTGGGAAGTAATTTTGATAAAAATAACAGCCATTAATGGGTTCTTGGGTCACCTCTGTGGTTCTAACTAAAAGAACCCTCTTTCCCTTATGAAAGATTAAGAAATTGGTCTGCTTTCTAATTGATAAATAGCAGTAATATTATATATTTTGCTTTGAAGACTGTATGATATTACAGTATTAGGGTTGTAAAAACTAATATTGATCAAAACTGTCGTCAGAAGTGCGGAAATATGTATAAAACTTCAAAATGCAGTACATATTTTTACAAGGACAATATTAAATCATAATGTCTCTAATTTTCTGACTTATAAGGAATTATTTGATCTCACAACAATCAGCGTATATTTATTAATCTATACGTCAACTAATCGAGTGCTCTTTTATCTTATTTAAGCTATTAAATGCGAAAAAGTGGATTGATTTTACCTTGATTGAAGACTTAGAAGAAAATTGTTTAAGGAAAACGGGTTAGATCAATCACGTCAAACTTATTGGGACTTCCAAACTGAGCACCTTTCTGAGAAAGCCAGTCATTTCTCGCAGGTCTATAACCAGGCGTCCATGTACAGAGCATGACCATAGAACATTAACCTACGCACAAGTTCCAATAGCCACTATCAAAAAAGGCTTATATCTACAGAAATTAGAAGTGTGTAGTACCAGATCCAGGAGGTGGTGGCGTTATTGACTGGCTCGAATTCTGAGCCGAGATTTCATCAGTGAAAATCAATTCTGCAATTCAAACGAACATTTTGTTTGAAATAGGCATATTATCACCGTTTATCATGAAACTACTTCGCAAATGCCAAGCTCCCATTCTCTCCATGAGTTGTCTGAACAATAGCACCTTCCACGAGGTTCTGAATTGAAGTCCGTTAACTTGATTATGCAGACAGGATCACTCCCGGAATTATTGCCACCAAAAACTGCTGTAGATGATGAAATCACAGAATTTGGTGTAGTGGATACGGTTTTTGACTGGAGATTGCTGATGGATGTTGCGGAGGACTGGGAAGTAGACGACGAGACGATACTGGAAGACGGCTCGGGAGTGGAAGACGAGGCGGCAGTGGAAGATGACTTAAGAGCTACGCATGAACAGCTAGCATTTCCTTGACTGGGTTGAGATCTCTTGACCGCTCTTCCGCTATTGAGGCTCTGGTTGGCTGCTGTAGAGCTGGCCCACAACAGCGAAAACTCGCTACAATTTCCTTCAGAGCTGGTCAAGCCTGTAAAACGTCAGTCGGGGTGTTGTGAAATCTTTAATAAAGCTTACATTTAGATATAGCTGTCTCAAGACGCCGCTTGCAATCGGATGAGAGAGAAACCGTTTCTTCCTGCCCTGCTAGTACATACTTGGCAGAGCTCTCATTGTAACCTTTTCCCTTCCATATGTTTAATAACCCACAGGTACTTTCAGACAATTGATAAATTTGGGTCTCTGCATTGATGATAACAGCCCAGGAGAGGAGAAGAATTTTTAAGAGCATTTTTAACAGAATATGGAAAACCACCTTTGGACTTGAATACTCTAAAAGGCGAACAAACTGCTGGAAAACTCGCTTTATATACTTTAACACGGTCATGAAAACGGAGAGAAATATGATCAAGGAAAAGAAGAAGAAAAGCCAATAATTCTTTGATGATTAAACATAGATAGATCCCCAAAAATATGATACGCATTCCTGAGTCGAGGCTCTTTTTTCCCTGCTGATTAGAGAAAAAGTACCTCATTTTTGAATGACAAGGCTGGTCTCCGTAATTGACGGTTTCAATAAATTAACCAACCCCTCCACTATCAGTCTATCATTTCCTGGTAGACGAAAGATCAATTTATACCCTCGCAGCAGAATAAATCGCTGCTTTCAAATCTGCATTGTTTTTTCCTTGTTGAGTCTAACAGTGGTTAGTCTTTTTTGAATCAGGTTTGGTAGAGATAAAATATAAACATCGAGGTGTGCCTGTCTTAACTGTATTCTTTTTCACTAGACCTAGTAACTCAAATTCTTGAATCAATCGTTTCATAAAGATGGCTATCATCCACGCAATCATTGTCTCTTGTGCTCTTGGTGCGCAAGTTGTGAGTAGAGATCATGGCGTGAAGGATATCATGCTAATACTTTAAAGCTTGCTGGGCCTGCGCCTGTCAGTCATGGATTGCACCATCCAGCTCCAAGAGGAGTAAGTCGGAAACCCGTTAGATGGAAAGGTTTTAAATACTGATCGTGAAGTAGGTCATTGATTCTCCAAGCTTCCCTGTTCCCACTCATTCTGATGATGTTCTCATAAAAAAGCGTGATGTTGTTGATCTCCGCTATCCTTGACCTATGTACATAGACAATAATTGACCAACCATCAGTCCGATCTACCCCAATGCGATTGGACACATGGCGTTTCTTACGTAAGCTCCACAAATGAAAATATCAAACATCTTGATGCTTTGAAAGATGTTCAGTGTGTTGCGGCACCAAGGAGTTGCACGCGAGTTGCCTTCGTGGATGATTCAGGTCTCTTCTTTTGCAATGACGTAAGTATTGCCTGATCCTAAACTCAAAGTCTGAGCAGTTTGTTGATTATCAGCAGAATGACTGGACGATCTACTTGGATTGCGGGCAGCTTATCGATCACACAAGCGCACTGATGAAAGCATGTCGTTTTGCCAACTACTATGCTTTCGGAATATTGTATGATCATAGCACCAAAAGCACATGGCATTTGCAAATTGCTGGCCAGGTTCTGTAGAAATGGTTTGTTCTTCTCTGAAGGAGGTGATAAGAAACACGATTTAGTCAGCTGGCTCGATAGTTAGCAACATCAACATTGTTGTCTTTTTACGCAGGCTCGACATCGCTATCTGTACAATACTGTAGTATAAGGCCATCCTATAAAGATAAACATCAGATACGGCAGTCGCTGCCAGAACTGCAGAGATATCATATTTTTCGTATTGAGTGGATGATATGATACTAATCTCGTCTTTGGTACAGTAATTATCCGCATATCTGAACATTAGAATTAAAGTGATAGACACAGGAAATAGAAATAGTTTTGCAGATTTGACAAGATGCTACTGTACAGTGCTGTAACTTCTTTTCAACACAAAACCTGATTGCGAGCAAGGGTTTTACTTAATGCCATGTTGCTTGAACTACGGCTTATCTAATAGCGGCTTAAGAGGATTAATTGTAAATGGGGGTAAATTGGCCTAATTATGCATCTATGTCTAGCGCGAAAATTGGCAAGGATATAAATTCTCTAAATCTGACTCTGCAAGATTCTCACGGTCGTAAATATCTTTAATAGACTGTTGTAGGGCTTCTGCGATTTAATGAACGGATTGACTTTCTTTTGAGGACGATAAGTGGCCATAAGAATGAAGCAAAGTAAGTCGTCTGAAGATTGAGCCACTAAGTCTTGTAATAGCTTGAAAAGATTGTAACATGTGCGCTAGTACGCCTTTTCCCTTTATTAGCGACCGATTTCCTTAACGATCTGTTCTATCTCAACCATAGTTGCTGTTTACCCGGACTCGTTGGCTTCGAAATAGAAGCAAACTACGGCCAGGAGAACAACTTGGGTTTCTAGTCTTTATATACTAAGGATTATGCAAGCTTAACAACGCATGCGACTCGATATCAATCATCATATGCGAAGCCACTTATCTTATGTTCAATAGATGTTCTTTTTTTTGCGGCAGGCTTGAGCTTACTCAATCTTCGGATGGCACAATTTAAACCAAAGCGGAAGCCTGATGAATCCTCAGAGTGATTTTAAAGTCGGTTTGTGAGATGTAAGCCCTCCAAATTCTCCATTTTTCAAGTCTTCTTCTTTGTTGGTAATCAAGTGAGCGTTCTAGATTTTAAATAAATATAATAGAGCTATTCTCACCGCCAGAATCATTAACTACCTAAAATTCTGCCTGGCCTAACGTAATCGGTAAGCGAGTGAGGCATGAAGCGAACTCTCGAGAAAAAGAAATAATCAATCGCAAGTCCAAAGGGATAAGGTGAACGCAGAAAATAGGGCCTATCCTCTAAGGCAAGTAATCTGAGCTATGCACAAAGAAAATCAAGAGCTGAACGAACTGAACCTACAGGTTCATAAATTTAATTCATCTTTAAGGCGTCACGAAGATGATTTTACAGGTTCTGTAGAAATTCCTATTATGATGAGCTATGTATAAACAGCGAGAACAATCTACTTATAGATGTCAGCCCTGGCGTTTTCCAGCAGCTCGCCAATCTTGATCAAGGTCGTGTCTCTGTAAGTTGGCATTGGAATCAAATTCAGGCTGAGAGCATGTGTTTGAAATAACTTAGATCGAAGAAGACGACTATAATACTGTATCTGGTGGAGCATTCATATTGTACTGTACCACACATTCAGTGCTCTGTAAATTTTGTTTCATGATCGCATACTGAAATACCAACTAATTTCGATAGATTGAAACTCTATCTAGAATTTGGGGTAATTCTATTTAACTTGTTACTGTACACGTAATTCTAAACCTCCCGTTATGTTCTTCTTTCAATCTCTATTTTTCCTGATCATGCTCCCTTTAGAGCCGTCCGGTACCTGCATCTTGTTCCTGGAGGCGGCTTTAATTTAGATCTGAGATTGGTTTACAAGATGCCTGTTTAGAAGTGACAATTAGACGTCACTATAAGTTCGGATCGGCTGTCGACCGGCAAATAAACTTCCCTTTTCATTAAAGCAGCCACACAATTCGGAGAATAATACAGAACGGCTTAGTCAGGTACAGTTTGTCAAGCATGAGTCCTCTAGAACCATACTGAGGAAATGAAAAAAGATCGCCGTTTCTCTAGAAGGAAAAGTGGTGCCCGAGCTACATAAGGATGGTTATAGTTAAATTAGTGCGTACTCAATACACCGCATCAGGCGTTGGTGGAAGACTGGAAGTATTCAAAGCTACAGGACTTGATAGATACTGTACGATAGTTCTTCTCATAAAATCTTTTTGCAATCATTATAAAACCGGAGCAAAATTAAATATTTACCTGGATATTATGTAGCCCATAGTCATCATGAAATAAGAAATACTCTCTCACTAACTCGAATGCAATACCTTAAACTTCGAGAAGCGGGTGATAAACATGCATGTGATTCCAGCAACTAAAGAACATAATGCTCCGAGCCACATAGTTATAATACCGGGGAGACCTATGGATGCTTCAATCCCGTTCTGGGCAGATATGGCATTTATTTGCCTCACGAGAATAGTAAATACTACCGTTGCCAATGCTGTGGAGGCTAAAGTGAAGATTGCTGCCACCTCCTCTCAAATGTCAGACCTAAAGTTTTATAGACACCAAAACCACTTACATTGGCGATTATGCCCATAACAAGATTACCTTTCGGAGCATTGTGCACTGTAAGCCCAAACATCATGCCGACGCTTACCATTACACTGCTAGTCATGAACGCAATGATAAAAGCTGCTTTGATCCATATCGATGCTATATGGTACAATTCCGTAGCTTTCGACAACGAGTTTGAAGTTGGTAGCTCTGTCCAGGGGAGAATGGCCGTGATATTAAACCAAAATTGAAAATTCGGAGGAGAACAACGAGTAACGATCCAGCTTGAAGCATTAGACCAGACCTCGCAATAACCCCAGAGGCCAATCAAATAAAAATCTGGAACAGCGGAGATGGATCGCTCAGAGTAACGAGAAGGGACTCCTTTCTTTCCATCTATCGCAGTAGGCATAACACTTAAGGGATAACTGGCAGTGCTAAAGCGTGACACATTGCCGCCAGTGATCTTGGTTTGATCAGGTTCGGTGCTCGTGAGTAAAATGTGATCCAACCGTGGCATCTTAACAAAGTTGTTCGAGGTCGTGATTTTTGCCTGCATTATTTAGAGACTCTGATGGGCTTGCTACTGTTGATTGCACTCTCACCAAAAAAACGCGGCTCTGAGGAGCTGAAGCATGCGTACATGCTATTCCAGCAAATGATAATAGAATAGAAGAAGCTAATAATAGAATGTACGGAGAGAAACGGACAACGGTCTGAAGCATATGGTCTAACGAAAGAAGGCTAGTATAGGTAGGATCGAAACAATAATCTATGAAACTGGCTTTTCGCTTCGGTAGTGATTAGTAATTTTGAGTCATCATCTTTGCAGTCAGAGGAATTTTTGGTTGCAATTCATTCCTTATTTGTCACAAGTCTGACTAGTATTCCACGACACGCTTATATATTCGGTTCTGACACGTCTTTTTCGGTTGATGATCGAATTTCTGCTTAATGTTGCTTTTTTGTCATTGCAATATCATCAGAGTCCTGGAAATCAAGGGTTTATGGCAGCCGTACGAAATCATCAGTCATGTCATATTTTTGTTCATGCGACGAACACACAATGGATCAAAGCCATATCCACTCCTGGTCAGAGATGTGGTAAATGAATAGATGGTTGACTTACCACTTTTCTGCTTGACAACGCAGGAAGCTGCAAAAGCGCTCTCCTTTTTATATTTTTATTGTTCTTCAACCAAGCTCGACATCTTGCTTGTAAAATACTGCTGATCTTCTGAGGGTACTGAAGCCACCTAGCCTCGGTGTTAAACATTAACAGGAATAGCAAACGGCATACAGATGAAGATAGAGTACCAAAGTACGAACGAGTATAGCCAGTAAAGCTTCGCAAATGACCCTATATTGTGAACACAATAATAAAAAGTCATAAATCCTTGCAAATACGATGAATCCTAAGCTTTTTACATTTAGTTCTTCTCGATATCTGAGATTTGGTATAAACAGACTTGACTCCTTATGGACTAGGATAAGATATGGTTTCAAGCCAAAGTGCCTTGTCAAGGGTGGGAGTGCACGATAAATCTCACAAAGCTCTTCCTATCTCTATATCATAAAGACCATCGGGTACTAGCTATCTAAATTCTATCAAGGTCTCTGCAGTATACTCGATAGCTTAGCATGTATTCTTATAGAAATTAGAGATGATTTGGTCGATAGCATAATAGTGCTGGGATCACGAACCATTTATGTGGTACTGCGGCCATCGCGGTTCTAGGAGAGACTGCGCCGTAACAAATAATTGAGCCGAAACTTTTGGCCCAATACCTAACCCATGATTCCATTCCGTCCGATATCCAGCTCAAGCTCGCTTGCCACCCAGGTGATGACTATAGGGCGGCGATCTGCACCAGTCATAATGTCATTGCTGGAAATCTAACAACGGGAACAGGAATATAAGATTGTTCCCAGGAAGAGGCACAGTCTAATGTACGAATATGTCTAAAGACACCCAGTTATGGTCAGCTGCCGGTCGCTTCGGCAAGAGACTAAAGGAAGAGGGAAAACTTATTGCTGCGTAAATATGCTTACTTTGTCTGTTGTGTGTAGTTATTGGAGGTAAATACCTACGAAACAAAGCAATACTCAAACGGATAATGACGAGAGAAGGGGAAATGATCGACGATAAAAATCAGCAGATTTCGACTATTCACCCTCCACGCCTAGCAATGCGTACGTCTGACATGAATCAATTAATTTCTTCTGGTGTTCACGACTACGAAGAAGAGGAGATATAAATCTCTCCAATCAAGTTTTCTGCATCGTTAGTAACCAAATAGCCGTTAGCGCAGTAAAAATACGCATAGCGAGTAATTTCAGGCTGAGAGTCAAGCCAGGGAAGAACTTCATTGAGGAATTTGGCCGTTTTGGTTTCGTCAGAAACCCCATTGGTGTCAGATATCAAAGCAAATTCGGTTAGCCAGATCTCAGAAATTCCGTGTGCAGAAGCTGTGCTTATAACATCTGAGACAAACGATTTGAGCTCATCGACAGAGTTGCCATACCAATGCACTGCAAGACCGGAGATACTGCAGTCCTTGCAATCTCTGATGAAGCATTCAAACCAATCTAGACCTAGGCCTTTAATAGTGGAAGATGAGACAGCTGGGCTGATCAGCTGAGCCCTTGCAGCATAAGGTGTTATGAATTCCTTGTAATACTTAGCAGCGTCGGAGTAGCTCATGTTGGCCTGTGACATTAAGTCTGGCTCATTGAATCCAAGTATATGGGAACTACCCCCTGACAATGCCTTTTCTACCGCAGTTCTCCAACCACTGAAATCCTTTTTCCCCCAGAGCATTGGTACATATTCCAGATCAAGAAGCATCTCGTTGTTTGCTTTGCTATCCCAATTGTACGTCCACGAGACCATATCAGCTTTTTTGTTTACCAAGGCGTCCACCAGACATGCTGCATTATAGGCGATGCCACGCTTCTTAGAAACCTGTTGTAGCCTGGGAACATTGTCCGAAAGGAGCATCGTTCTGACCGAGGTTACCATGCAGCTAACAAGTATCACAACCTTGGCGATCATGAACATGGTTGCTAAACATAAATGAAGAAGCTTTTTCTTTTTGACTTTGTTGTTTTCGGTTTCCTTATAAGCAACCAAAGTCCAAGGTAATCTCATAATATATTTATCACCCAAGGCCCGGTCATAACTATTTCTCAAATATTAAGATATGCCTTATCAATTGACGCTTGATGCTGCTGGAGTAAAGTTCTCTTGTCGGAACATAACTCTGATGTTATTATCAGCATTGAATAGTCATGACCCGGATGAACCATAGAGGATTTCCTGAAGATTGTGACTGAAAAATAGTGTTATCTCTTCCAAACATGGCATTTAGAAGCAAACTTAGGGCTGTTAAATGGTTAGCTAAATAACTGACGGAAAATGCTGATAATATTGATAGGCATGCTTTGATGACGGCCTGTCTTGTCTCGGCAGAGGATCATAATGCAAATTTGTTCTTATACTCAGCTGACTGAAGTGTAATTGACCAAATTAAACTACATTCAAGGAAATTGAAAAAAAGTACCTGTAGCTCACCTTTAGGATTTACAATATCTTGACCTCCAAAGATGATTATGAGCAGCAATACATCGAGACAAAGCTTCTCCTCAGTTTTAAAATACCCTGAAGGGTAATGACTTGTTCAGTCTAAAAGATACAGCTTTGGGAATTTTTTTTATTAACTTGCGTTCAATGTGGTACCCTAGCTATATATTTAAAGTCACGAGTCTATTGATTGGCATCCTCTTCCTTGTAACACAAAAAAGACTGTGGCAGATGAGCAAATTTCAAGTTTCAACTAAGTTCAAAACGGTGTATCGGTCATTTTTCCTACATTAGTAGTACTTTATTAGAGGCCCGTCATTCTATATTTCAATAAATACAATCAAACAATCAAAAAGTTGCTTAAGACAAAATATAGCCTCCGAAAATTGGCTCTATGGAGTCCCGTGGGCCACCTTTTATAAAACGCCCACGGCCATAGAAAAAGCTCACGCTTTCCCCACAGGGTCCAGAAGTGGACATGTTGCTCCATATCTCTCTTGACGTTTTGCTTTTAATATTGGATTGTGTAAGAAAATAATTCCTACGAAAGGATTTCTGAGGATTGTTAACGCTTCTCAGGTTTCAGACCACGGAGATATTTGGTCTCTTTATAATACTTGCACAGCTTTGCGTTTCTGGGTCTCAAGTCGTCTCAAGTTCACCCTTGATATTTCTTTCGAGTCTACAGTCCCTTGCACACTAAACGGACACGAGCTTCCACCAGCCGAAATAACTCGCATTTTGAAAGATTGGTCTGGTCATATACAAGATCTGGGATTTAACTGTTGGGAAGTTCTATCTCGGCCCACGGCGCTAGAATTCTTACGTCAATTGCCTCTTTTAGAGCGTATCTGGTGTGTCCATCACCTACATCCCTTTGATATCTCTAATATGTTGAATTAGCCCCAGAATCGCTTGCAGCCAAGTAGTTAAGCCAAAGCATTTTACCGAAGCTTATTACAGAGGCTTGTACGTTGGCGGTAATATATGCGAGGAAAATTCTCTCCGTTCTTGGAACCAGTTGCAGGAGTTGGTCATCGAAGACTCTTGTGTTGATATATTGGCACTTCCGGGCTTACCAGCGCTCAGGCTTCTTACAGTGGACTTCTATCACGGCCCGTGGAGAGTTTCCTCAAAACATTACAGCCTGGTGGCAGTGCATTTGGAAAAGCTACCAAGGCTCTCCCGTCTGAATGTTTGTTTCTTGGAAGCCGACAATTTGATACTACTTGGAAAATCCAAATCGTTGAAATATCTCTCTCTAACCTGTTCTGACGTTGAAGAGAGATTTCAGTCAAGTATAATACGCTTGGCACCTGAACTTGAAGCATTCGAAGCTAAGGATTGTACGATAAAATCCACCGCGAATTCAAATGCGTTCCTGTCACAATTGAAATCAATCGAATTGGAAGACTCAATTTGCTACCTCCCATTTCTCTTCTCAGAAGAAATCCCGGATTCACTGGAGACCGTGAGTCTGACCACTGGCGAGGAAGACAAGAGACAAATGGAACAAGCTGGCCTGGATCTGTCCGTCTTCCTTCCAGAAGATAGTGACGTTATAAAGATTACGAACCGCGAAGCGTCTGTGACAGCAATACGAAAGTTAGTTCAAGCTCTGAAATTACGATAAGACCTTTGAGGGGTTGATTGAAGATGTAATGAGAAGGTCACGGCTAGGGGCCTCCATCTTGGAACAAACGGAAAGTTACTTTTAAGCTTCGCATACAGTCCAGCCCTTGGTCGTCAAATAGTTTTATTGTTCCCTTTTTTGTCCTAGTGGTTGTGCTACACGTAATCCGTAAATTGAGGCGCAAGCTTCTGCGCAGTACTATACTCTGAATTTAATCGATTGTTGGTCTGGTCTGCTCCTATCCCAAGAAAATGCGACAACACCTTGATAGAAAAGCGGAAGAGCAAGAAGGATGGTGACACCGACTATGTTGCTTGGACACGTCCATGCTTCCCCAACCCGTGTCAATCGGAGACGAAGCCTAACACCAACAATGCTAAAAGTGCTCTGTCACTACCTACTGGAAGGCCAGGTCTGTAACTTGAGGAGATGGCTACCTTTCTATGGGATGACTTTCTGATGCTACAACAACCTCATGTATTTGAGTCATACAACCTAGTCTACATTGATGAGTAGTTGTGACACATTCCTTGACTTTTCCTTTATGTAAACCAATCGGGCTCAGAAGAACCCGCCGGTCACCACTCGGTGTTGCCCCCGTGCAAGTGTGACAATTCCACCGTGATGACCGGTGCCCTGAAACGAACAAAGTGAGGAAGGGTTTACTATCGCCCGCAGGGCTACCCTTGTTTGTCAAAACTTAATGCCCTGAAACGAGGAATGAATGAAAGGGGTTATTTCGGCCATGCTACACGTGAGGTACGCGGCTTTTTGCCGCGAAAGCTGACCACAACTGGTCTGTTGCTAGATCCGTTCTCTGGTGGATTATTTTGCAGTATGTCTCTTTGGCTCATTTCAAATGTAGTTGTACTTTGAGGGTCTGGAACGGCATTCTGCCCGGAGTGCTGCATTTGCAGTTTCCGCAAAAGCCAAGGAAGACCATCAAGCATCAATTCTGCTCTATCTTCAATAATGTGTCAGTCTCTACCAACTGGTTTCAACTGGGTTAAACTTTGTGTCAGCCGCAAACGAAACCTACCCTCAGTTTTCTCATTCGTCAAATGGCAATCATAGCATGGCGAGGAATATCGGACTTGCTCTACCTCTCTCAAGTCACCCGAAAATTCTTCGTCTCTCACAAATACCTTTGAGCTTGTTGGAGATACCGAGGATGCCCTGCTGCTCATATCTCTCAGGTCCCATGCATATTCCCATATATTCAATAGGTCGTCATCTTCTTCGGAGTATTTCATTTGATCCCATGTAGAGTCTTCATCTGAATTAAAACCTTCTTGGGAAATACCCACGGCTTGCTCCTGCTCGTCGGTTGGCTTTGAATCAGTTCCTAGAGAGTTGCGTCAGCCAGTCTGAGTCTTACAACGTTGATTCATCTAATTTTAGAAATATACCGCTGTGCTGGTCCATTTTCTTTTCCTTTCGAGTTTATGGGATCCCTTTCCGATGGACAAAAACAATTATAGGCAGGTAGTTTTCCAACAGCTTGAATCAGTAAGAGAAAATCTTTCTTTTGTAGACATGAATAGAAAAAGAATCGAATTATTCAAATCCGGGCCCGCAGCTATCAGAAACCGCGTTCGGGATTAAATTAGGATAAAACTGCCTGGAAGTTCAACCTCAGCAGTTGCATGGTCTGAGAAGTTGTTCGATACAAAATTCGATCTATTGTGTAATCATCTTCAAAGATCAGCCGGCTTATCAATGCCGTGAGGGCATTTACGTAGACCGTGAACCATGAATCTACTGTGTGGAACTTGAACTTGCCAAGCAACTTGGCACGTGTAGCAATGTATTCCATTTATGTAGATTCAGCCTAGGAACCAACACAGTTGCTTCCCACGTACAGCCGCCGGACGCTGTGTTGACGTGTGTTGGACACGAAGACAGATGCTCTTGGATAAGCAATTGATGAGGGTTAACCCTCAATATTATGTTGAACTGCGTGTTTGTACGTTTGTTTGTGTAGAGTTTGCAGCGGCTGGGTCAGATGGCAGTGTCTGACGTCATTCCTGCGGTTCCCGCGGTGCTTTCTGCCTACTGCAGCCCGGCCACGTCTGCCAGCCCGTGAGTTGCGCCTTGGATCACACTAACGTAGTTTCTCTAGCCTCACTCGTTCATTTCTGATCAAGTGGGATGCCGCTTGGGCCGCGATTGAACTGATACGTTCTTAATCGAACGTAGCTGCGATCCGTGGAAAGCTAATTCCAACCATTTCGTCGACCACGCCATACAGCTCCGCAAATTGCACCTAATCCCACTAACACCGTCTCTGCAGCCTCACTCATCCACTGTGGATCGAAGTGGGATTACTCTCGTGCCACGGTTGAACGATTACACCCTGTCATTCCCCACACCCTGCGCAGATGACCATAATGTGTTCAGCGTTCATTGAAGTGATCCATAGATCCGCGCGAGCAGTTCAATGATAGCCCAGGAGAAAGCTTGCCAATAGGAGTTTAAGAAGGCTGCGGGTCTGGAGTTCACACGGCCATGGTCAACAAGGGCGTGTTCAATCACGACTTACGCATCGTAACCTTATGTTGGGAGAATTTGGAACCGAGTCTATACTTTTGTGTGCACCGCAATGGCATCACCTTACTGCTTTCCTGAAAGTTGCTGCCATGAAGTGACGAGGGGAGATAGTCACGTGAGGGAGATGCCAAGGCGAATTACGGTATTATAACAATGACTCATCCATCGTCACTGGGAATTACAATAGAATCTAACGGTGATGACTGGGGAATGGCTAAAATTAGACCAATATATTTCAAGCTAGAGCTCGGGAATGAAAGTCTAAAGTGTAGTGGTAAATCTGATTTCGAATACTACTGTGAGAGAAATAACCAACTATGAGCTGACAGGTTTCAAGACAACACCCTCAGTAAGAGGGTTCGGGCCACACCACCCATAAAGGTCGCAGCGGCATTGCAACTCGTCAGCACAGCTAAGAAGCCGTTGTATCAGTTCAAGCTCTCGTCGACAGTGGGCGAAAAAAAATACATACTGATTAGCAGGCATCTGAAAAATGATATGCCATAGCTTCTCCATCATCCAGCCTATTCCATAATTCTCCGACCATTGAGTTTTAGCAACCCAATCCACAAATCGCTCATAATCATTAATGGGCCTTTTTTGAATTATATTTTTCGCAACAGCAAATTGCCCACAGCAGTTATGTCCGATATCGTCAGGAGGAGGGCCAGCCCTAGTCCCCATAATTTCGGTCCAAATTAGATCAAAATTATCGACCAGATTCTGATTCTCAATGTCGGATTGCTCAATAATATCCTGGCGGAGACTGCTCGGGCAACCGGGTCGGCGTAAACAGCGTAGATTCACATAGCCGAAGTGTTGGACCGCTTGCATGCGTAAATTAAGGAGCTGATTCAAGGTCTTGGGCCCGGCAACATCATTATGCCAATGTTCTTCTCGGCCGTGAACGAATATGGTGTAATCATGGAGACTATCATAGTATTGCGTGAGGTAGGAAAGATAAGCACCTGCTTCGTGGCCCCTATTTGTGTATGGAATGAGGAAGCCTTCTTCCGGCTCATCATCCAACGAATAGATGTATGGGGTACACCCGCTGATGGCGGAAGTATCTTGTTAGGATACATGCACTGAATAATGGTAGCTGGGAACAACCTTACTAATTTTCACAGTACGAAAAGATCCAGTCAACTGATTCCTCGGCTGTTTTTGCGACAACAAGGGCGACATCTCTGGGGTTCGGGTGGTGAATCAGTCCTGTTTCAATATGGAAAGCACTTTCTGTTATGGATTATACGTCGTTCTCAACATGTTAGGGACCACATACTGTTGTCGCCATTTCCGTTCAACTTCGTAGGTGACTTCGGGGTTCTTGCCTTCGGTTGCGTCACTGACAGATGCTGCAGGACTGTGGAGAAGCGATAAGTCACATAAAAGTCGTATAAAAGAAACAATGTTATTGCACTCAAAGCAAGAAACAAAGTCTTAGCCGTCCAAGAGTGACTTGAATAGTTCATGGTTGGGTGCTTGAATGAAGGTAGTACTGTAGAGCTACCACCAAATATGATAAATGGATGGCCTCCGCTCACTGAAGTCCAGGGAAATATCTCAGCAAATGCCAACTGGGTGCACCAACTCGAATGGTGTGAAGAAGAAAATGCTCCTAGATGCGCTGCGGTGTGATCAATGAACACCAAGGATTCATCCAAGAATGAGCCTGATGCAGGTTAAATATGCCCAGTATGAATAACGTGAATCTGTTCAAGAAAGCTCAAGTATGCCGTTAGACTTTTATTTCTGAGTCTTTGGGTCAATAGGTTCCTAGGTCTCACACAAAGTAGCTCCGTCGGATACCCTGTTTGCAAACTAAAGTGCGTTTGACCCCTCAAAGGATTCGTCTGTACTCGTATATTATTGTGGGTCCGGCATTTATTCGTCAAACGTGCGTAAAGTAATATTACCTCCGAGATCGACATTTGAAGGAGTGCGTCCAGCCCCAAGGAGCTTATCGACTCTGGTCTTAGTCTTTAATCCTGTCACTTTCTAACGGCCTTGAGAGCATGTGCTCTGTTTTCGGTACGCCTCCATAAGTGTAAAACCTCCATAATGCTTACGGACCATTCTAGCGGATCTCGCGTTTTACTGTCAGCGACAGACACTCATAAATGAGCGTCTATGTTTTCAGCATTGAGCTAACGACCTAAATATGGGTAAATTTCCCCGGCCTCTCCCTTCGTGTTTCACAGATCATGAAAACAGCGCGTAATTATATATCGCTTATTCTTTAGCGCCACTCAATCATTGAGTGTGCCGCATTCAATTGAGGTACATTGTAAATCGTCGCTTGGGAGGCTTTTCTTTTGAAAATGCACCATTCGACATTTATGAAGAGACTTTTAGATAAAATTCCGGCATATTCATTTGAATTGAGCTTATTGTTGTCACATCTCTTGCTGTATAAGCATAAAAAACCTAAGGCTACTGAACTAATTAATACGGGTGTTGCTTTCGAGCACCATGTTGTACTAGTGGATATATGGACTCATTTATCGAAGCCTAAGGATGTTTATGAGCATGCCTCTTTTTTGTTGAGGGTCTTAAAGTGCCCGTGAAGGGCCGGGTTGGAACCTGGAAGATTTCAGTTGAGATCAATTCTCTTTATCTTTACTGATTACCTGGCTCCCGATTTATTGACATCAGCCTGACAGGACTTCTGCCGGGTTGGCCATCATTGGATATCTTTAATTTGTCGGGTAAGATTTTTGTCTCGAAGAGCCGTTTCAGGGGACTTTCTACCGTATTCTTTCCTCATATTTCAGGAGGGGCTGCTTGAATTGCCAGGCTAGATATCTATAGCACATTACAATTAGAAAAGTCCATCGCAATTGAGATAGAAGACGGACCAGGCTAGTAGTGAAGGCAAGGGTAATGCAAACGATCGCTTGAGGAATCATAGCTTGCCATGGCGATTGATTGAAAGAGATTCTGCTTTCTGATTAAATAGTCCCCAAAAGCAGCAAAGAACGCAATGTGGCTTAAAATACAGTCCTCGTAGTCAAATTGTATCCGTTTCTGTGGTCAAAAGGCTATTGCTGATATTTCATGGATTATTATTATATCTTCATTTGAATATATCTATTGCTTCGCGAAGCGCCCGAGATAGTACTTAGCTGTTTAGTCAATGGCTAGATAACACCTCTTTACTAAGCTGTGGTTATTTCGAACTCTATTCCGCAATCATCTATATTTTCTATAACCTGAATATGTTAATGCCCTCTGACACCCTTTGGTAAGATTGCCACTAAAGACATTCTTCAAAAAAAGGGTGGGGTGGCATCACGTGATTATGGTGCCTAATGGCGCTGGAACCTTCTTTTCCCCCTCTCACCCTTCCCTCTCGTCGCCTTTTAACTACGAGTTGGACTGCGCCATACGATCCTTACTTCCTGTGTCAGAGGTGTGTGTACTTCTTTCCTATTTTAGGAAGTGGTCTTCTTCCGTTAACTGATTAGGCGCACGTTGTCCCAACTCTCGTCAAGATGAATGCACGACAACTCCCACCCCCCGCCGAACCTATTCGACTCAAAATAAAGGAAATGATCCCCGAACTGTCACATCAGCCAGCTGGAAGCAGTTTGAAGCTTCTGAACGTAGACAAGAATGGAAATAAAACTTATGGAGGAGACTTGCTCGCGGAGCAAATTTCTCTTCTTTCGGGACAATTGCCCATCCCGGATCCGCAAGTATGGTGTTAAGATCTTCGTTGATATGAATGTGAGACTAATTCATGATTAGAACTGGGGTTGGCGCCTGCTTTACTTTGTAGTTCCCACGACGGTCGGAAATGCAAGAAAGAGAGGATTTTTTATCCCACTTTCCGAGAACACATTACGCGAATGGACACAAGACGAACCGTCGCAGGAAGGGTTCTATGTTGAAACTACTACTGATCCAGAGGTTAATTCCCAAACGGCAGCTATATACTTTGTACCCAAGTGAGATCATATGATAATGTCAACACTCTCCCTTTCTTAGTCTTATGTCTCTTCTCCTTGATAGACCAGTTCGGCCCTCCCAGCCCCCTAGGCGAAGACGGGTTGGGAGAATGGGCTGTTTGAATGATCCTGGACATATATGGATTGAGAATCGGTCGTTGGCACATGGGAGCAATCCCTTGTCGGCACCTGGCTACCAGCTGACCCTGTTCGCATATGTGGTGTGTACTGAATTGTATAGCGCAATTTAGCCATTTCTACATGGTTCCTGATTTGTTCACTTGAAGGCGTAGAGGCACAAGACGGAATGATTGGCAGGATCATGTCGTGGACGTCGGCATTGGCCATGCTGATTGGGGGCTGTCCAGGGGCCATTCCCATATCACTTATGGTTTGCCCATTCGACGAGGCGAAGCCGTAAGACGGAATGATTGGCAGGATCATGTCGTGGACGTCGGTACTGGCCATGCTGATTGGGGGCTGTCCAGGGGCCATTCCCATATCACTTATGGTTTGCCCATTCGACGAGGCGAAGCCGTAAGACGGAATGATTGGCAGGATCATGTCGTGGACGTCGGTACTGGCCATGCTGATTGGGGGCTGTCCAGGGGCCATTCCCATATCACTTATGGTTTGCCCATTCGACGAGGCGAAGCCGTAAGACGGAATGATTGGTAGGATCATGTCGTGGACGTCGGTATTGGCCATGCTGATTGGGGGCTGTCCAGGGGCCATTCCCATATCACTTATGGTTTGCCCATTCGACGAGGCGAAGCCGTAAGACGGAATGATTGGTAGGATCATGTCGTGGACGTCGGTACTGGCCATGCTGATTGTGGGCAGTCCAGGGGCCATTCCCATATCACTTATGGTTTGCCCATTCGACGAGGCGAAGCCGTAAGACGGAATGATTGGTAGGATCATGTCGTGGACGTCGGTATTGGCCATGCTGATTGGGACTTGTCCGTGAACAGAATCCCGATCTTGCACCGGCAAGATTGGTTGGAGTATACCGTGCAGGTCAGCGAGATTCCTCATATCAGATAATATTTGTCCGTTATGAGGTTCAATTCCGTCCATAGGGGTAATACTATTGTCGAATGGACGGCTATGTGACACTTGTAGCGGGGCGATGGTCGGTGGCAGATCACGGCGAATGGTCGCTGCAGAGTGATTGGATGTGTGGAGAGGTGATTGGAAATTGATAAACATATTATTCTCACTTGCGTCGGATTCTTGTAAGGATCCCTTATTTGCTGTTGCATCTCTTAGGGGCTGTGGTTCTATTCGGAAAACGCCCATGTTATGTGGATATATTCCTTGTCCTATGGCTTTATCAGCAGGAGTTTTCGGACCGAGGGCTATTACTCACTTGAACCTGTTTCCGGTGATTGGGTGAGGTCATTTTTCAGCCATTCTTCAATCGGATTCCACAGATCACGAAAGATATCGGCTGCAAGTTTATCCAGCCTCGCCTTGTCCTGCACTTTCAATATGCCGCGGTCCCTGATCATCTTAACATCTTGTTCACAAACTGGTTCTGTTTTCTTCACTGAATGTGTTATGCTTTAAATTGTCAGCGATGCTCTCTGAGTATATTTGATCTGAGTAACGCACAAATCATTATGCCATTCCACCGGGAAACAGAATAGGTTGCCGAGGTGTGTGTTGTCCCCTTCTGAAGGATTCCCAATACTTCGACATAATACGTCTATCCTCTCTCCTTGATCTGCCCACTTAACAAAGTTACCTTCAATGCGGTTCGTGTCACTTCCAATCAATTTAGAACTCCGTACAATCCTCACCACATAGTTAACATCGTCTGAGCGCATGTAATGTAGACCAAGTCTCTGCTTCAACCGGTGAAAGACGATCATCAATAGGCGCTCGCGAATGATATCGACATCTTTCCGTGTGTCCAGCTGCTGAAGGTATTTATACGCGTTAGCAATCGGCGAACTTTCGAGATCTAGCTCGATGTTTTTATCTTCCTCTCGAAAGAACGACATTGGCCTGCTACTCCAACGGTTTATCATGGACGTCAGACTCTCTGGAACCGTTATCTTCGGCCCTTGAAATGCCTCTTGCGTCTGCTTAGAGCGTTCTTTCTGCTGGAGGCGTTTCTTCTGCTGGGAGCGTTTCTTTTGCTGGGAGCGTTTCTTCTGCTTGGAGCTTGTTGTCTCTGGTCGTATGTTGATGTGCTTTCTGGTTTCATCTGGGACATGTGCCCAAACCTTCCGAAGGGAATCGAGGAACTATTAACGTTTAGATTGTGCGTCAACACTATGTGAGCGGCATACCTTAGTGTCGGAAAGATCAATGGCGACATCGGTCATCTCAGAATTCTCAGCGTCGCGGCAAGCGCTAGACAAAGTCTCGGCTATCACTTTACTCTCGGAAAGACCCATACTGAGGAAAACACCCTTTGGAAATAGTGCTTTTAGTAGTAAAGAAGAATCGCAGGATATGGCGGAGCACTGCTCGGGGAAGGGAAGGAAAACAGGGGTGAAGGGGGAGGCGTGCTACCACCGGAACCATCACGTGGAATTGGATGCATATTGATTACAAAAGCTGCGGCCAAGGATCCGCGGCGCTCACTGGTGCCTAGCTCATTAGTGGTACTCTTAACTTGATCATGGCACGGGCCGCTCGGCAGTAACCACAGATAATTGGATGAAAAGCCCCTGCGAGTTAACCGATCCCGCAACCGACCGGCTCACCGAAGCTCGCATTGAAAGGGGCCACGTTGGGGACCCAGTAATCTATCCAAGGACACTATTCCAGAGTCCGTGCCAGAGTGATACAAGCCCCTCAAAACGTGGCCCAGATTGGTGGTTTGGGCCCACTCTCAGTCGAGGCTGAACAGCCCAAAATGATCTCTGCTCCCGAATAAAATACACATGGCATTCGACTCCACGCACTCTCGCTATCGCTACTCACTTGGGACTGGGGGGCTTAGTCTGCAAGGCCCGTCCAAAGCAGATCGTCCGGGACTAGGAGCCCCATCTCCGACCCCGAGTATATAATCAATCTAAACACCGGGGCCCCCTCCCCTTCTGACTTCACTCCACTTTCCTCTATACCTTCACACACACTTTATCCCAAATCATGCATCGTTCTACGTACGATGCCCGTTCGGGCTCGCGTTCTTCCAGTCACAGCAACAGCAGCGTTTTCAGTCCCAACGCAAACCCCAACGAGGACTGGACCAAGATCTCTGATCTGGCGGAACGCCGTCGCATCCAGAACAGAATTGCCCAGCGCAACTATCGTGAGTATTGCACGGTTTGAACCGTCTTGGAAGCGCCTCTAACTCATTCAACAGGCAAGAAACTAAAGCGCCGCCTGGAAGACCTAGAGAGGCGCGCCGCTTCCTCCCCATCCCCAGAACAGTCACATGCCGAACCGCCTGCCAAAGTCACCTCCAAGAATCGCTCCAAACAGCGAGCCAACAAGTCGGATGCTAAATCACACATGTTGCACGCCCCGCAGCCAGAGAGACCGGCGTCGTACGATTATTACACACCGGATGAGCGAACTATGTTCGGCCAGCAATGTACTCGCCAACTCTCTGCATCACCACTGCCGGTGTTTTCATACCCACCCCTGCAAACGTACGATACCTATCGGCCAACATACGGCCAGCTTCCAGTCTATCACACCGTGCCCAGCACGTACGGCGATGTGATGTCTTACCCCACAGAATACGGCGAGTCACTACCTTCCATGGTACCGGTGATCCCAGGGTCCACACTAGGCGCCAGGAAACCGACGTACGACGAGGACATCATCAGTCCATTCAGTATGAGCTACGCCTCGATCGCAGGCATCGACATCTGTCCGCAGCCGTCGCAGCCGGAGCCTTGTCTTTCGGTACATTTTCCTCGCTGAAAAGACGCACACCAAAAAAAAAAGAAAAAAGAAAAAAGCGGCTGCAGAAGCTAATTATCTCTCGTGTTCTGCTTGCAGATGCCATCGCTTTCCTACGCTTATTCGGATGATCAGCGCGCGGTTTCGACGTCCCCCGAGACGTCGATTTTTACTTTCCCCTTGACGCCAGAATATATTAACACTTTTTGAAATGCAATCACCAGTTCCTTCCCCTTGTATATGGTAACTCTCTAAGCGCCGTTGAGAAATAAAGGGAGATCAGATGAAAAGAGAATGGACATATAATTGACTGTAAATTCTGATAATATTTTCTGGTCGTTCCAAGGGGGATATTTATATCCTCTCTCTGAGAACCATTTTCTACGGGAAATGTATATAAAATTGTTCTTTCACACCGCTACTCTGTGACCCATGAAGGGGCTGGGTAGAGAGCCCCTAAGAACGTGAAGTAGATGAGCAAACTGCATACCCTGCAGCCCAGTTCCGAATAACTAGTTTCATGGGCTTCGGCTGACCGATTAGCAGCCATCGGGACAGAGAGATGCCGACCCGGATTGTTGCCTTCAGATGAGGGCTTCGTTCTCCAACAAGCGCTAGCTACCTTGACTACTATTAAAGCTCTTTCCTATCTCAATTGTAGACAGGATTAGATTTCCAAGAATGAGCATGCGTAAAAAATCTCCCAGTGGCTATATATTCAGCATCTATGAACAAGATAATTTACCGCGTCTTGATCTGTTGGCAAGTTTTGGATCTCCCAGATCAACAATAATATCTCCTCCGGCGTTCCAGAGCGCAGCTTGGCAAGCATTTGGCGAAAAGCGACACGGAAGGTCAAAAGCTCGGCGGTATGAGCCTTGCGTCTACGATCACCAGCTGGATCATAAATGCACTGGTGTCCTTCGGTCGCGCATTTCATACATGGGATCGCACCAGAGCACTACAGTGAATATATTAGCCCTATCTTTAATGCGTGAACGATGATGATGATGACCTTGGATCTTTTCTTCCGACACTTGGTGCAGGCCAAAGAAACATTATGTCGCTTTTTTGTTGGCAAATCTGTTTCCGGGGGTTGGGCACTGAAAGCCTTATCCTGAGGTAGGAGCTGGCGCAGATTGTTTTTCTTCGGCATCGCGGGATTAGATGGAGAGGTTTAGATGAGAGCGCGCCCCGAACATGAGAAAATATGAGGGAAATAGTGAGGCCCAGAGATTAGGGGGAATCCTTCAGCTTACTTTTAATTTTCTTTCACATCCTTGCTCACAGTTCTCTTTGTTTGCTAGACAGGTTCAGCCATTGCAAACAAAGAACCCGCAGACCCACCTTCGGATACCATTCCGTAATCCGATTGGCAGATCCTCCGCAAAATAGAGTCATCGGCTTTCATTGGCTATATTATTATATTCTAGAGCCCGGCATCATACGGGGCTGGTTCTACGCAACTTGACAAGACTGTTACGCTCTTCTTTTCCATTACCGGAGCTTCACTTTCTACAATTCTTGCTCTCGAGATAGGATGCCAGGCGATAGCTGATGAGGAAATGAATGCCGATATCTTTGTGGAAATACCAAGAACAAAGTCGGTCGGAAATTGACTTGATATTTTGGTTGAATCCACAGGTGCCTCTCTTATTTGCTTTGAAGCATAACAATCAACCTTCCTCTTAAATATTACATTCATACGCTATTGCGCACAAGAACCCATGATCTCATTCATGGAGTCCAGCGTATTTCCCAAGCGAGTGGCGCACCACGAAACACTAAAATAAATGCGATATTTTACAACGTGGCTATCAATCGCCCCCTGTAAAAAGTTTCACCCGGCTGTGTCGTTATTACGCGAGTCCATGTCAATATTGGGGGGCATCAAATGTATGATCTGGGGATTTGAATGGCTACCAGCTGCTCCTAATACGAAGCTACACTATTTACCTCCATACCGTCGCTAATAATGTCCAATGGTCCTGTGTTTGACGCCTCTCTGACTATTCAAGTCGCACAGCGAGGCCCAGTGGCACCAATAATAGTGACCATTTTTTATCCAGGTCTTACGCAAATATTGTTCACCCGCGAGTGCCGTGGATGAAGATAGCACGTAAACCCCGGAAGTTTATGCAGCACCGACCGTTGTCCTCCCAGGTGCCCTATGCCACATTGCGTTGCTCACTTCACGATCGAATGGTATGCGTGATAACATACAAAGAGTCTGGAAAGGGCTCTACTCCTGTAACGAGAGTTTCGTACGGACTAGAAGTAGAAGAGGGGGTATTGATCTCCGTGATGGTCCCATCTTGCTCGTTTCGTCTTCGGACTTGGACCATAAAAGACTGGCGGGTAGAGCTCAATCGGTCCAGAAGGCGATGACGATACGGGCTCAGACAATGCGCCGATATACATCCTCCGAGAATAGAAATGTCAATGCGGTATGGATATTGAAGTAAATGGATGAGCACGCGAGCCTTACGTGCGGTAGCCTCTGCTCTGGGGGGCTTATCTTTCCACGCTGAGCCTGAGCGAGGCATATCAGGCCGGACAAAACATATAAAGCTATGCAGGCCGCGTGCTCTCAATCCAACTCGTTCTCTTGACTTATCCTTTGTTACGAAGCAAGAAGCATTTATCTTCCCCATCACATTTGTCCGATTTAGCCATTGGAAACTTTCGTCTCGGCATGGCTGGAGCAAGTCAAGGTATGAGGACTCATTGAAGTTTGTATAATTTTGCTTACTGAACACCACGAAGCATCACCTTCAATCAGTAGTTGGGAGTCTACAGACTCCGCAAAGTTATTTGTACGCGAGGTTCTTGATTTGCCCGAACCGGGTACGGAGAGCAACCCCATAGTGGTTGAAGATGATCCTGCTCCATTAGGCTCGGCTTCCAACCCTATTGTGATATATGATGACGAGGAATGGTGCCATGATGAGGCAGAACAGCTTGGCTCTGGTGACGACACCGACATCATGAGTACGCCCGAATTTTGGGAGGATTTCACTCCACCAGCCTGCGAGAACCCAGAAGAGCTTGGAGTTTTGGGACAGTCATCCGTGGATAGTTTTCGCTTAGCTGATGAAGCAACGAAGGAAAAAACAGTCAAAGCCTCGGAGGATCATTATGTTGCTGTACTTGGGGACGTTCAAAGTAGTCAAGCAGGTAGGGCTTGGGCTATTACCCTTGATCACTTCTAGGCTAATGAATGGTAGAAAACGGTCAAAGCAAGATCCAAGGCATCCTACCCGAAGCCAAGGAGCCCACACCGGTTTGCAATACATCTGATACCCGCTCTATGAAGGGTCAATTTGGAACGCAGGAAAGACCATACGGCACTGACATATCTACCGTGAGGGATCCATCGCAAGATTCTTGTGATCGAGAATCAACGAAACGCAAATGTGCAGACGACGAGGGCGTCTCTTCTGACCCCAGAAGATCCAAATGCTTGATCAAGAGGGCCAGAAAATAGGTTGGAGCGGATCCGTTTTGCTTCATAATTTAGGTGTTAGTAGTATTTGAAATCAGATAAACCACTACACTCTTAGACCTTCATTCCCGAACCCTAGCTTGAACCGCACTAGTCCAATTTTAGTGCTTCCCCAGTAATCCTTGTTGGGCTGTATGGTACTGGAAGACGCGCGCTATGCGTGCATCAGTCTTAAAACGATGAGAAGAAGTGGGTGGTAAGATAGCAACGCGTAAGTAAAGAGTTGAATTGATGAGTCGTAAGATGCACATAACTAATTTAAACCAATAATGGAAGCCATCAGTATGACTAATACCCGGATTGTGGATAGATCGAGGGATTTGGCCACCAGACGGTAGAGCTATTATCGAGAAGCTCGCTAGCCAAATATAGACCTACCAGTGCTCCTAGCAGCTGATCTTCGCCCATTTGGAGAGAAAACACCATCACCAACCTCCGACCGCGCTCTCGTCCTATAGCGTCAAAAACACACCTCCGAAGAGCATCCAGGCTCCCGAAAAAAACCATCGGAAGCTATCCAAGATCGATAGCCTTACTCCGAAGCAACGGCGAGGCCAACTACGCGTCTTCAAACACAATAAAGTAGTGGCGGAGCGCCCAGCATGCGATAGCGCCAAGCGTCTAGCAAGCTAAATTTCGTCACTTGAAGATGTACCATCAATGATTGCGAAGATAGCAATTAGGCAGGGGCTCTGCTTTTGGTGGCGAGAGATCATAAGTAGATCAAAGGCCTAGACTCCGTCTGCTGCATGGCCAGCCCACTACCATTGGTGGAAAGCTTCGCGGCCCACCCGACTTTCCCAAAAGAGTAAATGTCTTGTTTGCCCAAGAGATTTACTCCTTTGGGAAATTGCAGCTTGCTCCAAGGCCTCGCCAAATCTTGATTACTGCTCCATCCTACATATTGGATTCATACATACCTATTCATTCTAAGGACATCTCTTATTGTACCGACTCATGGAACAATGAATTATCAGTATTTAGTCACGGTTCTGCATCCTCCGAGTCGGGTGCTCGCCTAGTATCTCCGATGAGAAAGGGGAGTGACTAAAAATCAATAGTTCAAGCGTCTAGATTGAGCGCACCGAACTTCAGCCCTGCTGGAAACGATTTAGGCTGCTAACAGAAATCAGTCCATTCACGCTTAGGTTCGAAGAGATCAGGGGCTTGTCTCGGGTTCTCATTGCCGATTTTTGTTCATCTATATCTGACCTGGGAAATGGTGCAGATGACTGTACAATTCAGCACCTTAAATATCAAAGCATTGACTGAAGTTCTCTCATTCTTCTTCTCCCGGTCTGCTTCTTTGTAATCGAAGAACTCCCCTGAACGCCCACCTCATACTGAAAAGTAAGCACCTTCATACCTGAGGGGGAATACGGAGTCTAGTCAAAAACACAAGATGGAATCCCAAGACTTGTCGAAGAAAGCTTTGCGGTAAATATGTATTTCCAAAGACCCCTTCAAAATGACAAATCGTCTTGACATAGGTCCCAGTGCCCATGAATTCTCCGCGGCCGGCGATGCTCTTACGAAGGGCAACCTGCAGACTATCCCGCAGGCCAAAAATTATAGCATTTGTCGGTTCATCGGGACATCAAGTTACGGACAGCCGTATTACGCTACAGCACAAATGGCGAACAGAGTGGACCATAACAACCAAATTGAGATCATGAAGCAAGTTGTTGGGAGGGTCTACGGAGACAGGAGTTTGCCAGGCCAGCAGAAGGATTTGAGGTAGCTATAAGACAAACAATTTCATCCACACGTTAGCGGAATAAGTTCTCCATTTCTTTAAATGATTATGAACAGACCTTCGAGATGAGCTCTTATTCGCACAAAGGCATCACTTGAACTACCTCACAAGTCACCCGATACAATATGCCCCAAACAGTCTGTGTTATGTTTTCATTTCCTTCACTAATCCTCATAACAAATCTCTCCTTGGAGCTATTACTAGCCGCGATGAGAGACTGGCTAGGTGGATAAATGGATGAGTCACCTCTGCGTATAAAATGTCCTCTTGCAGTAGGATGCAGAATCTTGGAATATATTCCATTGCTCTAGATAAACGTTATTGTTCCAATAATAGACCACACCTTCTCAATATCAGATCCAAGAAGGCCAAGAAAACATGTTGGGAGTATTAGCTGGCAAAGAATCTCTTTTACCTTGATAGGCTTCTTTACTAAAAATTCACGCATAGCTTGGCTCGTCCCTCACATCAACCAGTCAAAGATTGCTTATAATCTATAAGATTCTTTTAATAGAGCGTTAATCTGTCACATTAACACTTAACTTCAAACCTCTCTTTTCAAACTATTTTAGTCTAAACCCTATATGAACAATCGTAGTGAACGTGATACCTTGCCCTTAAATTGTAGTAAGCCCCTACCTCATCTATATAACTAGCAGGACTCTATCGCTGAGAAAGAAGAACCAATCTTTCTTATAAAGTCCTTCGATATAGATCAAATTTACCAACCGCTATCTGTCAAACACTCGAAGCGCACAGACTGATCTTGATACATCGTGAAGAGAATTCATTCAATATGGAGTAGGTTCCATTTTCCTGGCAGCGAACATCAAAACCAAGCTAACCTTTTATAGCCGTGACAAACGTGGCGCATATGATACGACAGGGGTCATAAAACCAGGCGCCCCTCCTCCACCGCCAAAGTAATGCTGACGCATCAGCGCCGAGCTGCGGAAACATAAGCTTCTCTACTCCTGTGTTATTTGAAGATTGCTTAGGTTGTATAAAGATCTTCGAGTCTAGACTCCAAGTCAAAACAATCAGACTTCTCTATCAATTTTTTCACCACTGCATTGCTTCATCTTTATTTAACGGCAATCTCTAGCAACAATGCCAAACAAAAAAGCCTGTCGAGCCTGCTAGACACTCATTATGACGAAAGCTATTCAATGGCTTCCCTTGATACTGCAGAACAAAGGGTGCGTTAGCAGCTAGGTATATCATATGGCCCGTTCGGCAGGCGCTTTGTAGATCCTGGGAGCATAATAACTACATGTATTCTAATGCGATTATATTTTTTCAAATATCGCTTTCAACAATTAGGTACCAATAATTAAGAAAGTTAGATTCTGTCAGAGACTAATGCCTACATATGCGTTTAAATAGAAGAGTCATGTTAGACATCGAAGAGGTAAATGTGGATTGACTACAGCCGAGCGGAGAATTTTCAGTATGAATTTGTCAGAAAGTATAAAGCTCTGAACGTCGCTGTTGAAGTCCTCCAACTTTTCATTCCCATTGACTTCTTATCCGAGACTATTCCCAATCAAGCTAGAGCTTCTGGACATCATACAGCGACGCAAACATGACAACAGCGCAGATCATATCGCCTCGTTACGCTGAGCACCACGCGTCGGAAATGGAGATCACCGGCTCTATCGTGTTTTCGGCTTAATCTAATGATGCTGATACAAACTCGGCGGTGAATCGGTGTCTGTACGCAAGTCCGAAAATAGAAAAAGGTCCCCTTGTCTACGGGAGGGGAAACACAAAAACATGTGAGCGTTTTTTGCGATGCGGGACTGAAGAAAGCAACGCGGTGGGTATGCCAGAGAACTGGATCGAACCAGACTGACAGAACATAGTTCTCTGAAAAGATCCAGGAGGCCATCGGTGACGTTGGTTTCCTCCTCCGCCAGGGACCCGTTATTGTTCTCTCCATCGAAAACCACTCAGAGTGGGGTATTAGACTTGCGCACCCATCTCGCAATGGGGTGTCGATCTTTCGAGACCTTTCAGATACCGAAGAAACAAGAGTGACTTTTAAGCTTTATCCCCAGGACTTACCGAAAGAAACAACGCTTGAGACCCGACCCGTTGTGCGGAAGCTGCTCCCAGATGAAATCCTTTTTGTGAAAGGATCGGTCAGATTCAAGATAGAAATTCCTTCAGGGGGTTTCTTTGTCTGGCAAGGAAACAGTCATCATATAATAGGATCTGACATACACGGTTCAGAGATATTCGAATTCATGGCGATTTAAGCGGCTCGCACTCTTAAGGCATCGGCATCGGAGGCATCGGACGCGGAACCTAGGGACAAGATGGACTTAGTCACGAGAAGCAACAAAAAACGGGATTAGTTACCAATAACTGATACTCCATTCTTAAATTGAGAAGCCTTCGTGCCTCGAGAATAATGGTAGAATAGTCGGTCTCCAGGAGCTGTGTGACTTTAGCTTCCTCGCAAGGGTAACCGTCGAAAGATAGGAAAAACCGGGACTATCAGAAGCGCAATTCCTGCGCCAACCTTACCCTCAAATCTCCTGAGCTTCCTGCCTTGTTGAAGGCCACTGCGAACATTATGATCATTGGACAGCCCTAGGTGTGGAAGGAAAGACGGCATCGTCCAGACCCCTCGGATATGACTACCTGGAAATGCCCGGTCCAACCCTTGCAGTTCTAGCCATTTTTCCTCCTCTAAGGCTAGGGAGGACCACCAGAGAATGGTTCGTAGTCTCAGGATCCATGGGCGTGAGCTCGCCGCATGCGAAATCAAATCCACTACATCTGGACCTTCGCTGGTTGCGCTGTTTTCCACGATAGCTGAGGTGAGATCAGTTTCCAAAAACTTTAAAAAAAAGTTCCATCTGAGGGGAAATATCATGAAGCAGACCCCCTGCAGTGACTGGTGGGTTGAGGCGAGCTGGCATTATCGATATGTGAAGGTGGAGGGAGACCAACGTACCCAGGCGGCTTGGGTCCTTCCCGTGCGGCTGACTCAGAAGCCTGGGGGATTAACCAAAAGGGTATAGGATAGAATGCATTCCCAAAGAAATGATTGATCAGAACCCAGGCCTGCTCAGACCGTGTGACAGTAGACGCATTCCCCTTAGAAGCTGATCTCTTTGGGATCATTGTTTTAGTATATAAGTCACGCGTTTTCGGTCGAACCAGGAAGCTTCAGGCCCAAAGGCTTATCGACCATGGAAAATATCGACCATGGAAAACATCTTTGCGAAGAGTTCTGGAGTCAATGTGTTCGCGTTAATAACTGCATGCTTCAGGCTGTCAAAGGTATGTTCAAATGTTCTTTGACAGACGCAGACTGACATTTCAGGCCGAGGCTACAAACAATCCAACCGAGTCGACAGATCCCTTCCTTGTGGAGGGACCAAACTCTGAGTCAGGAATGATTTATCCTAAATTGCTTCCTGGCCACTTTGCGTGCAAGGGGGCAGCAACACAAGGGGAATCTAGCAGGGAGTCAATTCGGAGCAAAGTTTCAAAGCCATCTGTCAAAGCTCCTTTCGTTTCACCGCAAGAGGAAACAAATAATCATAAGGCACAAAAGACACGAGTGATCAAAGTATTGACTATCCAGTATCCGAAATTTGATTTGAGTTCCGCAAGCCTTCTTGTTATAACTAAATCTGGAGGGAGAGAGGAACGGAAGTGGATGAAATATACACAGATTGAAAAGTTTGACGGTGGAAAAGAAGCGGTGGAAAGATTTGGGCCAATTTTTGAATAGTCAAGGGAGCTGCTGTATCAGCCTATGTTCTTAATACATACCAAACCAAGGCTTATCTACCATGCGGCCGGAAAGAGAAAAATGTGCAGTGAAACAGGCTTTTGACTGGGGAAGGAGCGGGCATCCCACATTCAGAGTACTGAATTTGGTGACAAATAAAAATTGGCTCAAGATACAGGAGGAGGGTATGCATTCTAAGCTATACCATTTCAGGATATCGGGTCATGGTCATTCGTATACCCTTGTCTGTCACAAAAGGGCACCCTCGCCCCTTTCTCGAGGGGTTTCTGACCCTATTTAATGCAACAGAGAAACCGATTTATTCATGTTTCGACTCTACTTTACTAGCAAAGTTGCGTGACTCTCGTCAGCCTAGGACATTACCTATTGCAACTTACGAGATTGGTGGCAGCTTCAGAAACTCCTTGTCTCTTTTTGTCCTCTGATTTCTCATTACGTTTGCATGTAAACCTGGCCAGTGCACCGGCCCTGGATACAAGTCACAATGTTTCGACCAAGTACCGTGAAGTATGAAGTGGCACATAAAGTCCTCGCAGTTTCCCCGAATGAACCTGAAAAGCAGATATGGAGTAAAAGTACAAATCCTCGCCAAGCTGAACAAAGTTCCGGTGGGTTTATTTTGCGGAATACAAGTTGTTTGATATTGCCTTCTCACTTTACCGCAGCCTCAAAAAGCAGATACCACGCCGCCACCTCGCAATCAGACGAGATGATAGACAGTGGGATTGTCGAGCTTCCCTCTTTACCTGCAGGTATTCTTTTTCGTATCAGAGGAAGAATATTCATAGAGGCAAACGAAGATGATTTCTGTCGGGACCAGACGCCCTCCAAACAGCGTTCGTTTCTTGAATATCCATCAGGAGAACGCAAAGTCAACGGATCTGGAGTATGTCCTTTCTTTTGCCTCACCGCATCAAGGCTATCTCTAATGGTTCGCTAGATAACTCATTTAAATATAGCTCTGTTGGCCGAAGTGAAGGAATTCCGTTATTTTGGAGGCATGATGTACAATCACAATACTGTTGACAATCCGGATATACTCCTTGCAGTTTTGTATCATAACGGAACTCATGAAATCGTGCGTTGCGGTTCATGGGTTCATGGAAGACCAAGGCGCATATCTGATTTATTTCGGCTACATTTGAAAATTATCGAAGTAAAGGACTTGGTGCCATGGAAGGACTTGAAGGGCGTCAAGAGGGACAAAATGTTACGCATTGAAAGGCCTTCACTTTTTTGACTGAAGTGCGCCTATACATCCCAAGCTTGGCAAAAGTCTTTGTATCATAACGTGCCCTTGGATCTATTGACATGACGATGATTCATTAGCTCGGTTGTAGCTCATTCGATAGAAAGCACTGCCAAATCAAGTAAACAATCTCAGGATCTTGAGCGGGATTTCCAATTCAATCATGAGAGGCTTACTACAATGGATCAAATTAATGGGTTGAAGGCGGATATTCAATTACAGAGTGCTGGAAGAGATATTGAGAAATTATGCACGAAATAGTTCGCAGTTTTGGTCAAAGCCTGCATCGGGAGATTTGAGTCTAGAAGACCTTGAAAGTGGGGCTCTAATTCTCATTTGGGCTAACGTGATTCACTACCCACTCGGCCACACCGCCCACTCGGCCACCTAACCAACTACTTCCTATTTTACCCCTATTTTTTTTTCAACTAAAACGCCTTTATATTAATCATTCTACCTAACTGGGCATGTAGGGGACTTATGCCCTTTCTCACCGCAGGTGTATTGACGTCGTCGGGCTGGTGCTACCGCCTGCTGAATAGGCTGCCCGGGTGCTGCTAGAGACGGTGCCGTAGGCTGTACAATACGCTCACGGGCTTGTAAATACTCCCGAGCTTCCTGCACTGACATACCAGCTTCGTAAGCTATAAATCTATTATCCCGTGCGCGCTTTTGCTTCTGCACTGCGTTGGAAGCGCGTAATTCCTTAACTTCTTGCTCAAGTAATATGCCGTTTTGCATAGCGATCTGACAGCCCTTAATAAGCCGGTTTAACGCGGTCTTTGAGGGTGTTGGTGGGCTATTTGAGCGTCGTTTCAAGAAAGCCTGGATTAACGCTCCTTGTTTCCGCGAGCTCCATCGTGTACAGTCAGTCGACCGATGTCGTCAAGATTCATGGTCCTCCGGTTCACAGGCGAACCGGATCGAACGTCCCCCCAGAGCCAGACTGCCCTTATATCACGGCAGCTGACCACCATATTGGGGATGCCCGCGGTTTTAGCACGGCCTTGGAGTCCACTGCCAGCCGAGTGCAGATCGCCAAAAAAGACCGGCCAAGCTCGGATCATGAGTGGCAGATATCTCTTGGATGAACTCACAGGCATTCGGTGGGAGAACGAATTCTACGGGGCATGTTCTGATCTTTATGATGAACTGGCGCTGGCCGTTACGCAGGTATCTCGAGGGCTGCTGTCACAATCCCAGTCATATTTGCGGGACTACTTGTCCGAGCAAGATTCTGGGACAGTGAACCGCGGCTTTCTTTTAAAGGGTGCCAGGAAATTGAATGCAGCACTGCAGAATAGCCAGGCCTGTCAATCGGCGGCACTACAGAACTGGATAGACAAGTGGGAACAGGCACCAGGCGCCCGAAAATCCGTGCGGTGGCTATAGGTGAGAAAAGAGGGCCCTTTGAGAAAGCAAGGGGAGCCGTTTTGGACAGTTGACCCTTCTGCTGTTTGTGCACCGGGCCTGCAGCTGGAACAGTACCTGGGGGGCTTTTGGAAGGGTTGAAAACTGCAGCGGACATCATTTACATGAAGGCGCATGCGCTCATGAAGGGGTTTCCTGCAGACCTGCCGGTGCCGAGGGCCACAACTGCTCTGGACCGGGAAAATAAGCGGACGCAGCAACAACAAATTTGCAAGCGCCGATAGAATGCTTTCAAGCAGCTGAAAGAAATTTGTAGCTGCTAAGACCTCTCAGAGGGTACTGTCTAACATTTGGCATTTTAGTCGGGGTGGCCTTTTTGAATTCAAATATTGCAATGGCCAATAGCCAAGTACTTTCATCTTTCTGGAATGGAGCGAAAATAGGGCTCGCGCAAGACAGTTCAAAGAAATGTGATCGCCTACTTCCATACATTATCCTTGAAGGGGTGTGTTAAATTTTCTGTAACTCACAATTTTGTAAAAGAGCGTGCGACGGATTAAGCAGTTAAACAGATTGCCAGTATTTGCCACCTGGCAATAAAATTTATCAGCACAAAAGCAGTCTTATCTTCTTTCTTCGCGAATAAATCATTAATAAGGCCGTTTCTAACATATGCTACAATTGTCCTCGCTCGCAGTGCCTACAACGACATATTTATATCCCAATTTGTTGTCTACGATTCCAAAGCACACTTAAGGCTCAGTCTTCCCCTTCCCGAACGATATATACCACTACGACATGGGAAGATTTCTACATATTATAATGCGTAGGATACCGTGTCTCATTTTCCTTGACCATAAGACTAATTGATTCTAGCTTGGCGAGCGGGCGCTAATAAAAAGTATCGAAGCAACTCTCTGCCAGATCAAAACTTCACTCTTAAGGTTTCTGAAAACCTTCCACAATCAAAGCTCGACAAAGAAATCTTTTACCCCGACTGGAAGCTCAGGCCTGAGTGGGAGTACCGTATTGATAAAGTGGATACGTTCGGCAGAAAGAGGGGCGATGGAGATGAATGGCCCTTTTTCAAAAACAAGGCTAATCCCTCGAGAGATTATAATGTTATCCTCTTGGCCTGGAATCGGGGCCATGAATGGGAGAAGATGGGCCCGGGACGCTATCAAAAGAGAGATAATCCTCGGCCATGGGTGACTGAACCAATAGCATAAAGGCTGCTCCCGTGAAAGGAAGACAAGCATACTAAAAAACCAAGATATCTAAAAAATAAACTGATTTTACTAACAAAAGTGCATCCGGCCCATTGCTTGGGTGGCTAATGTAAAGAAAAATCAATATATATGCCAAGCGCCCTAGTTCGCGCGCGTCTGAATTCCAGTGTACACGTAGGAACCCTCCACTATGAAACTTTGCTTTCAGATTCAGGCTTACTGCACCAATAGCGTCCATGGATAAGTAGCTAACGAAGGGCTAGTAGAAACCCCATGGCTCACTAACAGCCCATCGCAGCAGCTTTATGAGACGATCCAAATCTTTCCACAGGCGCTCCTCATTTTCAACTTCATGGAGCTTGCTGTATATTGGGTATATGTTTGTGCAGACAGCGTCCAATTGCGCGTGGGGATGGTCAAAAAAACGGAGAAGCCCGTGGGAAACTGAGGCCATTTTTGGGTCAAAGTGCCAAGCAAGAAGCGATAGTAATATGCGGGCTTTTCCTTGGAAATCCAATACCATTTCTTTTGTATGGCGGTGGAGAAGTCGGTTTCTCGTCAAGGTCTTGCGCATGGTCTTGTCAATGATTTCATGCTCTTTAAGTCTGCAGGTGTTGATTAGGGCTCGGCAGATGTTGATTAGGTCTGAAAATTCATCAAGTCGTCGATGTTGCTGTCGTGTGGCTCCCAAAGGCTCATCACCACTCAGGAACCAAGCGTGTAGAGTCTTCAATGCTGTCTGTGATATCACTAAAGAGTTGTTCTTGATCCAGAAGGCAACAACGGCCCTGTGCCATCCGTGTTGAGCCTTCAATGCTTTCCAAATCATCAGGGAAGATTGGTTTTTGATCCAAATGGCGGTGGCGGCACTGCACCGTAAGACGGGCTGGGTGTCGCAGTGGAGCGGACCGCTGAGCCGTTCTGACTTTGGGTATACCTCAATACCTCTTTTCAGGGGCTCGTCGTTTGTCTCAGACCAGAGGTAGCAGTTGGAGGGAAATGACCCAGCGTCACTGGCTTCGTTGTGCAATGACCAAGGCCATGAGAGGGACAAAGATACATCAGCCTTCATGGTCCAACCCACGTCGCTTCGTTGACGGGTAGTGGATAATGCGACACTATTTAAAAAAGTACTGCAAGATGAGGCCGAGCCGTCCAGCTCTGAGTAGACGTGGTCAGCTTAGAGCGTTGATTTTTTGGGAGAGAAAAAGCTTGGTTGTCAAACATACCTTGCCTGCGTTCTTGGTCGGCCTCGATGTCATCAATCGCCTCTCTGTACTTCATGTTCAGACCAATTTTTATTAAAGATGGCGAAACGAGCTCTTGAGAAGAGGAAGAGGGATTCAATCATTATATGTTGACGTACGGCCAGCTTAGGACGGCCGGCTTGGGTCGGCCCTAAGAAAGCATCGCCTGCCACCAGAGCTGGGCTCACGAGCCCCGAACCTACAGGGGGACTAATCCTTCGGCCAGTGAACCCCGGTCGGTCCATCTAGAGCGCCGCTAGAGAGATTGACCTTGACCCATGATACGCTGTCATGTGCCTGTAATGCTTGGCTTAGATTTACAGTTACAGGTCACATTCAGATGCCCCGTACCGGGCATAGCTACCCGATCGGCGCCCTAGCGTAGTTACAAGATCTTTCCAAACTCCATGTCACAAAAGTAGGTGGCAGTAGGATTGGCAGTGGGGATGGCAGGGAGATGATACAGGGTGGATGGCAGCAGGGATGGCAGCCAGTGAGGGCCTTTTGAGAGAGTAGGGCCTCTGCTGTTTGTGCATCGGCCTGTGGCTGGAACAGTGCCTGAGGGTTTTTGGAAAGGTTGAAATCTGCAGCGGATATCATTTACATGAAGAAGCATGCGCTCATGAAGGGGGTTTCGTTCTGAAAGCGGGCCCCGAGAATGAAAACCTGGAGAGGAATGTGTTACAGTAGGATTCGAGAACAGATTACCCCTTAGACACACACACTTTGTTTCGAGGCTACTATTTCACTGTTGATCGATGTAATACTCAGCTTGCATAGTACAGAAATTGAGAATGTGTTTCTTCCGCTCCGACACACCTTCGGCGAAAATGCTAGGACAAGAGCTATTCACTTGTTGGACAAAAGCCTGTTTTGTTCAAAGCGTAAACTCGCATTACGCAGCCCGATCATCCTCGATAGTTCAACCTTTCACCTCTCAATGATCCAGTAAAGTTTCCTTGTCGTTTCCCAATACAGATGTCACTCACAACCAGTGGTCCAATTGTATGTATTGAACATGTCTGCTCTCAGTTTTACCCGTACCAGCAGGCTGACACGTAGACCCAAATATAACCAACGCCCTCCCGTGATAATAACTACTGGTAGAAAGGACGCACAGCTCGTGGGTATCGTCGAGAGTGAGCATTCCTTGTCTGTATTTTGCGTTGGCTGTAGGTACCTCCTGGAATCCCAGCCTGAGCGGAAGTGTGGCATTTTTGGCTCGGTGCCTCGCACATTGGGCCAACATATAACAGAAGAGCAGGACCATCGAGCATTCTGCCTAGTGGCGAGCGATTAAGCCCCTGAGAGAAACATAACCACTGCATATTTTCGTGCTGTTTTGCACAACCGGCGATCTGCACCCCAATCACATCGATGAGGACAGGAGAACCTGTTTGCGGGTCTTGTTGTAAAGACATTTCGGCAATGTCAACAGTGCCGTCGACAACAAAGGCATGGGGTATGTCCACGCGAAGAGAATTGCGCTCATTTTCATCGTCGCCCATGGCAGCTCCATAGTAGCTCACCACAGACTGGCTAGATCCGTTTAGTCTGTTGATTTTCCGGTTAAACATGTAACAGACTGAGCCCAGAAATTCACAGCATGAATCATGCCCCATATCCCCAAGATGAAGTGTTCGGAGATGATAAATGTCTGATCGCCAATTGCCGTTCAAACAGTAAGAATGAAAGTATGACCGCGAGTCATCGGCGTAAATATGCACAAGCCATTTCGCATCGTTGCGGATTGTGTGCTTGTTGTAGCCGAGGCCTAGCTTTTGAGACCAGACAACTTTCAAGTCACCATCCACGTGAGTTACCGAGGTGAAGTATTGGCTTTGTGCATCTTGGTAGCAAAAGGTTGCGATGGAATGGCTATAATAGAGAAGACTCATGTTCTGCACACTTGCCGTCTCCCGGGACTCGCACCCATCGTGAGCACGGCGGCGAAACCCTATCACATAGAGAGTGCTTTCATGATGACTGTCTTTTCCACTTTCAGTTACGGAAAACAGAGAAATTGTCCCATTGTTTCCGCGGCATATATGGTCATCTCTGTAGATGCAGCGGACCCCATCGACCAAGCGTATGTATGGTCTAGCGAGGGCATAAGGTCGGCAGCCCGTGAGATCAAAAAGTCCACAGAAACTATCAAGATTTGAAAGGTCTTTAGCCTCTATCCGTTGCATTACCTCGTCCGTGAAAGGCTCTTCTTCGTCTGTGAAAGGAATCTTGATTCTATCAGGGCCAAGTGCACCAAATTTCCTGCGAGCGGATCACTGACCTGATGAATACAAAGCAGACGCCTTTCAATAGTCAGAATTTTTAGCAAGTCTTTGTTCGCCTTTGCCAGACTATATAAATGGTCCCAATCAATGAGGTACTCGGAGATTTGGATCCATATGTTGGGCGGAAACAGATCCATGTTGGAAAGGCAAAACTTGGCTGAGGGGGATCTGTTGAAGGCTTCAAGAAAGGACTGTTAGGAGTATTCTGATTCTAAGCGATTCCATTTTAATTTAATAGTGCACCGCTCGTACTTGGAGCTGGTATCAATGTTCCTGTTTTGAAAGGTTATTGAGCTATCACATAGCCTAACGCATAGGCTCGAGGATTGCTGGCGCGCTAATTTCCAGTGGATCTAGACAAATGGGTTTAACTGCATTAGTGGTAACTTACGGTGGCGCTGGAGGGCAACCTGCAATGTGTCAATAATTCCCTTTTACATAGCTCGTGCAGTAATGCAAGGCTTATAGAATTGCGGGTCAAACCTGAGCTTACGGCTGAAGGGCACTCACCGAGATCCTGACGGACACTTGGCTGCAGGTTGAATACTGGGAGCTCGGGCCTCACCACGCCTTGAGAAGTCCTCGGTAGATGAAGCATTCAGCTTGGCACAGAGGCGGTCGTTGGTATGAATGGAAATCTCATACAAATACTCTCGGCCTCTTCACACGCCGAAATTCCCTAAGACTCTATATGAGAAACAGAAGAACTGAGACTCATCCTAAACTCTGCGATTAATCGCAGCCCACTTATATTTGCATATGCAACACCCAATTTGGGTCTTTAATCTTATAATCGGGCATAGCCATCAAACTATGCATCAGTGGTGCTTGTCTCATTTTGGTTGTGCTTCATTTGGGGCGGCATTTGATCTGTGAACCGACTTCAGGGGTCGACGGCTCCCGGAGTGGCTCTCGTATTTAAAAAGGGTTTGTTTGTTTCCACAAGGCTAGGCCCTGGTCTTGTATGCACCGTGAGGGGACTGTGCCCAAGGGCGTCACAAGGCTTCCTACACGGTCATAATACCCCGGACAAGCAATTCATTACAGTGGGAAAAAGATTATACGAGAGATTCCTTCTGGGGATAGGACGCGCAAACTAGTGTGGATCCTGTGTGACATATCCTCTTGTGTCTCGGAAAATTCATACCGATATGTCCAACTTTCTTGTTTGCTCATGACAACCCTCGAAATCCGATCGTAGGGAGGCCTTGCGGAGAAGGGCTCGCCGTCCATAGCACTGTACACTCCGGAGGAAAATACCATATCCAGACGCAAATGCATCCCACAATTTATGCAACGAAATCCCATCCCGGAACAAAGGTGATGCACGTAGCTGCGAGGATATTTCTCTGATAAGATTTTGGCCAGGGCCGTGGAGCAATGACCCCAGAGAAACACTTCCACCTGGCGTCGCATTCACAGATACACTGATACACACCAGGGTTAAGCTTGCCTTCTCGGAAAACGCCGCACTTAGTATATCCGGAATAGTCTCTGGTTGAAAGCACATTAAGGCCTTGCGCTGATATCTGTTCAATAGAGCAAAGAGATTGGCAAAGATGTCCGCGTATCTCTTTGCTCGATATCATGCGATCGATCAGATTTTGCTGCAGCAGGTACTCGCTAAAATATCTTCCCAGTCTTGACGTGTCTCGCAGGTTGTTGCGTGCCAGCTTCTCTGTTTCATATCGGGGTATCTTTCGTCGCCGATCTGTGGGTGCCAATCATCTTGGTTGCGGGAGAGTATATCTTGGAGTTGTCTCAAAGTGGTTCAAAATTGAGAATATCTAAGGGGTCGTACCTGCAAACGATCACGGGAAGAAGGCTGTGTGGCAGGGCCAGGCTCCATCATAGTTGATTATCCGTATCTGAATTTTGGAAGACACACCTGTATGTTTGGAACCGAAGCCAAAAAGAATCAAGTCGTCATATGACAAAGAGTGTGTGTGAACGAGGTAAAACAGCTCTTATCATTCTCAGAGTTGAGGCAATTGAGCCATTGTATGGAGCGGGAAGCGGTTTATCTTGGAAAAACTGTCTCGAGGCGATTTGGTGGCATGGTGGGCGGTTAAAGATAGGTGGACGCGTCAGGACGCGAAAAAGTGGGTGGATGATCCACTCGGTGGCGAACGCGCAGATAACAATGGATCACGTAAGCGGTTGCCCAAGCCCGAGGCATGTTTCATCGATGCTGTGGGATACCTATTGGCCCCCTGTGATCAAGGAAAATTATTTTAGAAAGTCTACGGGTGTCAATTATATATATATATATATTGCTTCACTTTACATGCTAGAGATGCGAACAAATGCCTGGCATGCAAATAACATGCCAACTGATCGGGTTGCGACTTTGACGAGGACTCGCGGACGACGGGCAGCAAAAGTCACGTGGCAGACTAAAATGCCCGCCTACCCCACGATCATCTTCAGGTGATTGTAATTTCTTTACTGTCCCCGCCTCGGTCACTCTGAACTTCTCCAGCCTGAAAGCTTAAGAACACTCAGTTGTGTATTCTGATCGCTTTGTTCGGCTCGACGTGCAAGTGCTTACAATTTTCCGCCAGAATTTACACACGTCACTCGTCGTGTCCATCGCGCACTGACGCGGCTCAGTATGACAGACTCGTCCCTAAGCGATAAAGCAAAAAAGCTGCTAGACGAACTTGCGAAAGCTCTCTCTAGCTTAGAGTCTCAAGATGATGGGAAAGGAAATCTAAAATTCGATCACGAACAAGTCTCCCCTTTCGTCGAGCCTCTTCTCGAAGCAGTTGGCCTTAAGGTATGGTTGGAAAATTGTAGTGATAGGTACCCCGCTAATTCGGTTTTTAAGGGTTGGAAATTCACGGTGTGGATGTGGCACACATCTTTCAAATGGGAGAAGTTACCTGCCCCTGTCAATATTATTCCCATTTGCAACATATCGGACTCGGCGAGAAGCGAACCAGGAGGAGCTTTCAAGTATGGCGTGATGAGACGAACCGATGGAAAGGTTACCGTTGTGCCAAGACTCGCGGCCATTTTTGCGGTACCCCCTATCTCAAGGTATGTAGTCAAACTGGTCAATTCTTGACCTCACTAACACATCTAAGTTGATCGCATACGGACAGTTTAATCATCATATGTCGAATTTTACCTTGCAATCTCTTTTTACGGCTTCCTTCTTATTGCAGATACTTTCCACAACTATCCCGATTCTCGTCATTCCCCTATCGGCTGGTAGGCTAATTCCACCGCTTCTCTTCGAGTCATCCTCTTCGAATCGCCCTCTTCGAATCACGAGTCGCCTGCGCCGCCCGAAAAAGCACTATTTAATGGATCGAAGTCCGCCATAGGTCGGTTATGTGCATCTGTGAAAGGGTTGAAATTCACCACCGGTACGCTATATGCGTGTATGAAGGGATCGAAGTCCAGGGGGGCGTTATTGAAGTAGTTTTCGTAAATCGGAGAAACGTGTAAAATGCTATAGCCCAAAATATTGCAAATATCGACTAGTCTGTTCCATTTAGCCAGTTTCCTGCATTCATGTGGTCAACATACTGTAATTCATCGCCGGCGATCATTTTGATGAAACAAGGAATGCAATATGGAATAAACCCATTATCAGTGAAGGGAAGTGTTGGCTCGGAATTCCCCGTATCTGTCGCAAAGACTTCATAGCTGTATTTTGTGTTCGCAAATCTTCCGTATTGTTGAACGGTTCGAGGAACTTAAGAAAGTCAGCCCCTGGTAGCTACTCTAGACGGCAATACCAACAGAGGAGGAAAAGCTCCCAGCTTCGGAATCCCCAGTTCTGATCCAACAACTTGGATATGCAGCGATTAACCCAAATACTCCCATATCGAAGTCGTCGAAGACTCTCTGAGCTACTGTCACTGACAAAATGGCGCATCATCCAATCCACAATATCAATAGGGGTTCCAGTCTCAAGCATGACGACACATAATGATACAAATATGAGCTGTTGATATTTTGCAATGTGAAGGAGTAAGTTTCCTTGTATTTTTCTTTCCATTGCTAATGCACCGTAGTCGCACCCGCGCAGAACCAAGGCCGTTCTTTCTGATGGACAATTGTCCGGGTACGAATTTGGCGCTTCTCGCAGGTGTGAAGCCAACGACCGACCACATAGAGCTTCAATCGTATCTTTGTTGACCTCTGGACGGGTCAATCCGAGTTCTGTCTTCCGTTTCCCCCAACGCGCATTCTCTGTAATTTCTTCGATGAAATGCCTGAGCTCCTTCATGCCTTGGGGCTCAACAATCGATATCTGTCTGAAGGATGGCAATGTGGAGATATCTTCACTAGACATGTCGATGTCACGGCCTTTAATCGGGTCATAGTAAAAAAATTTGAGATGATCTTGAGTGGTCGGCCGAGGACGACTAGGAGCAGTTGGATGAGAAGCTTGGAGCACAGAATCACAATCACCCGGCTGAGGATCTAGAGAGTCAGTTGTAAAAGTGTTATGTTCAGAATCAGAGGTGTTTTCAGAAATGCTGGGCAGCGAATCTGATGATGTTAACGCGAAAGCACCAGGCAGCGGGATCGCTGAGCTGTTAACGGTCGGGCTAATTCCTTGATTCAATGCAGCCAAAAGACGAGTCTCAAGAAAAGATATGTAGTCTTTGTCGGGGCCGTCAAATTGGAACGCACGCTGAGTCTGAGACATGACCGTTGCATTGCCCCGGGAACGGAGGAAAATGGAAATCAAAAAGTCCCAATGCGGCACCGGCGAATATAAGGTGCCGTTGTGCCCTCATTTAGAGCGGAACGATGCACACATGTGACGGCCGATGCAGTCTGCTGCACAATCACACCAAGCGGCAAGGGTGTCTCATTTTCGTTTGGGGGGGGGGGGGTCGCGGGGTTCTACTATTGGTTAGCCTGGAACCAGGCTATGTCTAGATCGGAGGGCCGTGAGCTGAGGTCATTTGATTAGTGCGACAATTTTAATCGATCATGATACTTTGCCTAATGGGGTTTCTGCGCATATATGCGCAGAAACCCCATTAGGCAAAGTATCTACCCTCCAAACATCTGTATCACTTTGAGTCCTGCGATTCGTTCAGTTCTTCGCAATACTAAAGAAGTGCCTGCTAGTGAATCCAGCAGTATACTACGGAAAATTTTTCATGCAAATAACCTTTCATTCATATTACGATTTGAAAACGGTGCAAATTTAATGTCAGCCCAAGTGTTTGTCGCGGTTCCCCTCTTTTCGACTCACGTTATCTTTCCCTTATAATTTTCCGCTCTTTTGAATGTATGTTTTACATCGCTATGATTTAATCAGGGTTACTTATCGTGACTTAGAAGTTGCACAAACGTTCGTATAATATTGAGCTTGAATTGCATTCCCGTACCGTAAGCATCTGCCTTCCTAGTTCCTCACATTTGCCAACCGATGGTTAATCCAAAGTTGGATATTTGCAACATATACACTCTATTAGAGGCTCTGAGATTTCAAATAGGACGATCCTCCAGATATACCTGAGCCCTGCTTTGGTTGTTGCCCTTGATGACAATCACTGTTCCTTGGCCAGGAAGAATATACCGTCCATAGCAGTGTTTACCAATTACAGAAAGTGAAGCGGACGGTATACAGCGCCCCGAAGAGACACATGTACTTTGAAGTCGAGACCCCGACTGATGGACCATGAGACCAGCAAGATCAAGCAGGTTAGTGATTGAGTGATTTACCTGGGGCGGTCCAGAACCCCTAAACGCTGGCACCGCAGAGCCTTGCCGCCGAGATGCTGATCCCACGTAATCATTCGTTAGGGCCTCTTCTCGGATGTCGATCCGTGACTTCGACGCATAAGAGCGTGCACACCAGACCAATGAACTTACAGTCTGAAAAAAATTGTTGTTGGTTGTGGGTGCCTCCATAGTAATGTCCCAACCATGACGTTGCTGTGAAGGGGGCTGTCACCTTCCACGACCTTCTGCGAACACCATCACTTTGATGCGGAGCACAACCGCAAGATTCAAATATCGTGCACAGTGGGCACCAAATGCTCTGGGCATAACATATTCAAGCTCAAGAGCGTGAGAAAGTGGTCTGGGGTGGAGGAAGCGAGATGGTTGAGGACGGAGAGCAGTGAAGACTACACAAATCGGCCTAACCGAAGGCGGACGAATAGCCGATGCCAATTCTCTCCCTTTCCTCGAGCCGACAAGTTCACTTCCTCACACACCCAACTTACCCTTTAGATCTATGAAACTCGCTTTGAAGCTTTCATCTTTCGCATTGCATTCTTCATCGACCTTGCACATTCAACATCGTCCTGGCAGGTAGCCCCTGTTACGTCTCAAGCTCCATTTCACACCCAGTGCAGCGACACGACACTACACAAACATCTTTAATAGGATCTGTACGGCGTGTCATTTTAGCCGTCGCCGACTGAGAGTTCCTCAAATCATGCAGTGCTGGAATCTTAAAAGAGGCTCATCACCGTCCTCGCCGAATGGACAAGGCTTGAAATCAATCATACCCCAGCCATGAAACCCCTTAAATGGTAGTGACGAATACGAATATTTGGTTCTGGGCATAAGTGTTACGGTTAAAAAGACGAGACTCAGATGGGGGGGAATCGAGACTGGCGGTCCACGACAGACGATGTCTTCTCGTTATTCACTATCAATACTTCACAACTATGCAGCAACTACTGGAAGCCAATGTGAGAAGCCATTCAAGTTGTCTTTTATTATTTGAGGTGGGCAAGACACGAACTCAATCTGTCTAAGTCTATGGTTCGTGTTTGAGGCTAAGGACTCACACAAGTTCCGCTAGATGCTACATTCTAGAGCAATGTCGGTCGTGTTTTGAATGTATGATCGCAGGCTTGTGTAAAATTCTCATCAGGTACATGCTCGAGTAACAGAAATGAGCTTGAGTCTTCAACGATGACAGAGACTAACACATTCTGCCACTAACTTAATGGTCCAAAATCAGAATAGCAATATTGCGATGAGGCTTTTCACAGTCATACGCACAACGCCGATGAAATTCCACCGTTTCCATCATTCTCCAAATTCGGAATCCCAAGAGCTGCTAGGAGTGATGCCACGGCATGCTGGGCATTTGCCAGGGAATCCTTTGTCTTGAGCGCGATATTTTCGTTCAAGATCTCGCAGTTTTCCGTTCTCATCCGTGCAAAAGGCTTGATCTGGACGCTCTTGGGCAAGAGTGCAGCGCAGGATCCCAATATAGGAGGTGCACCCACAGCCATTCGCACCATTGAATGTCGCATACCGTAACGAACACATCTAATTTAAAAGTTAAATGAATGGCATTTGAAGAGAAGGACTGAAAATCCGAATGAATACCTCTAAGAAAACGTCTTTGTTTACAGTAGATCGATGAGTGCTGGAAAGATTTCAAGTATCTCGTCGGGAAGGTGCCTGAAGAACTTTTCATACTACATTTAAGTTGGCTATCCATAAGGCTATATATACCATTAGTACCCTCAAGTTTCAACTCGTGCACGGTTGTCGGTTTATCACTCGATAGATCATCTAAGGTGGAGGGAGAGGTGGAGGGAGAGATGGAGGGACTTGTTCGTGCAGCGGGGCAGAAATGGGGGCCTAGTGTAAGAATACAGAATTCGAAAACAGTTTACCCCCCTAGACACATACGCTTTCTTTCTCAGCACCCTACTCAGATGGCACTAATCCTAATTCGGTTAATGCATGTCCCACTAGCTTTTCGACTGCGGAAATTGCGTGGCATGTCGTCCAAGACGATCCTAGGAGCTGTGGTGGGCAAGATCATCACGCTGGGGTAGTTCCATACTTTAGATCATGTTTTGGTTTTGAGCGGTGAAATCCAAACAGACGAAACCTGTAATGCTATGTATTATTACGTATCTAAAAATAACCACTTCTTGTGTCATCTTCCTAACTCAAGCGTCCTAATTTTGACAAGAATTAACCCCTATACCGTTACAAGATGGCACGAAACCTGAATACCTAGCAGCGTAAGATGATTTTACACATGATATGCAGCAAGAACAGACTCACCACGTCACAAATGGCCAAGCTTGCAAAGTGTAGTGAGCGTTCTATCACTAACATACGCAAGAAGATGCGGTTATTTGGCAGTCCCAATCCCCCCACTATCTCTCAAGCGTCACTCCTGTGATGCTGGACGCCCTTTGTGACCGCCTCGCTGAAAGACCCGGCATGTATGTCGACGAGATGGCTAATTTCCTATGGGACGAATTCAATATATTTCCATCGTCATCCAGCATCCAGCGTGATCTTTCTCGGGCTGGCTGGACCAAGAAGACAGCTCGACAGTAAGCTCAAGAACAGAACCCTCAACTGCGAGATTTCCACCAACACAAACTATCCGAGTTCCGATCGTACCACCTAGTTTCTCTAACAAACAAATAACCTCAAAATCAAGCCACAGTGCTGTAACTACATAACACGCAAAAAGATGTACAGTATACCTGGATCCAAAGAAATATGATGATGCCACGAACCCTCTGTGGAGCCAGCCACACTTAGGGTACTGGAAAGTGAACAGACATCAAGTCCATTCGGCACCGTTGAGAGTTTATTCAGCAGTCAGGTCACAAGGTGCGTTTGATTTCATCGCCTCGGCCCATTCGCTTATGTCATGTAGGAAGCGACGAGCAGTCCCAATCCGAATTCCTTGCTGAACGAAGAAGCCAAAGTCGGGGTCCTCGAGGATCAGTTCAAGATCTAGGTGATTCTCCAAAGTCACCTGGTAAATTCTACGGAAATCCGCCTTATAGGTTTCTTCAGTGGCGCGTGACTCCAGCCATTTGCAATATTCTCTCACAGCTGTTTCACGAGACCCAGCGATTATCAGCCGCCCCTCAGATGAGGGCTTAGGTAGGGATGAGGTAATCACGGGGCGTACTACCATTTTGTGCTGGTAAAACATTGACAATTGTCGGAGGATACATAAGTCCCGCTGTTGACACATCAACTTTTTTTGGCTTTCTTCCTGTTTGGCTTTCCAAGGTAAGATCTCGACGAATATCACTGGGAACATCGCCATGACCGTCTAGGATGCCACCGTCATCGACATAGTCGATGAGCCGTTCTACTGTAGATATGGGGTCCTGAGTTTGTAATGTTTCTTGTCCTTCGGGTCCTCCCAGCACCAGTCAGACTTATGCGGACATGAGCGGACTTCACATCGCATAAGCTCGTATACGCGTTCTCATGCTCTAGGGCATTGACCTTTTCCCCAAAGACCTTGAAAAAGATATGTTAAGACCACTCAACAATACATATGATGACAAGATGTGCGCATGACTCAGCTATTAAAGAGGGGTGTTCTGACCTTGATGACAACATCGCCGTATATCGCCCGGGGCTGGTGTTTAATGTGACTAGCTAGCAAACGCGTAGCGTCCCGCAATCACTAGCGCTCCCGCCTCCACCCCCGCCTTCTTCGCAAACAACTTGAGAACCTTGAAGTATAGGGAGGTCCGAAGACAACTCGTCGGAAATTGGCGCATAAGCGTCGTGTACTGTAACTAGGTAAAATTTTCTTGTTGAATCTACCAGGATAAACCCAAAAAAGCAGTTGCACAAAGCCGGTGCAGGATCATGTTATGTAGGTTTCGATCAGGACATCCAGATTCTACTGCGAGAATGAAGAAACAGATATCAAAATTTTTTTCGCTGGGTGCTTTAAATTGTTTCCTAGCGCTTTCCGTAACCAAATTTGAGCCTTCTTATTTGCTAGGTTTGATGTCGGTCGCCATATTCTGCCTCAAAAGGTAATAGTAATCAGAATACTGGGCAGAGCTCCAGCAAAAAGTTATCCTGCCCCTTTTCAATCTTGAAAGTGATGATACCATGCGAGCCACCTCCTGGGGTGGTGTCCATTACACAATTACTCCTATAGGTAACAATCAATCCGGGCACTGCCCCCAGGGATAAAAAGCATCAGAGTAGGAGCGGATCGTGCGCAAAAGATAATCCCGCACTGCTTCGCGGCGATAACTAGCTATCTGTCTGTGACTAGTTATCAGTTTATGCTCTTCACATTTCACAAGGACGACATATTAGCTCACATCTCATTTTCGGTTTTTATGACACGATAGATATCGTGAGGTACCTCCTTGATAGGGCCTGAATGATCGACTTTATCGATGTCGATGATGATATGAAACCTCGCATCTGCTTTCCCGGTTGAGGGGTGGAAGTGCCAAAAATGCATCCCTTGATGTGTCTCCTCAGCAGAGCGTTTCATGGATGTCAGGAGCGCCTGCACACATGCCACAATCTCCGAGGGTTCAATGTCTGGAAATTCACTTTCGCGGAGTCGCAGTATGACCCTCTTAGAAGGCATTGGAAAGTCCCGTCTGGAAATCGTCGGTGTGAAAGGAAGATTGAGGTTCCACTTCCGTTTATTAATCTCGCAAAGCTCACCTGACCGCTGACCTGAGTCATCAAACCCCTTGCATTGACCGTCGTTATAAAACCAGGTGATTTCACCGCTAGGCAAATGGGTCGCATTTTTGTTACCAACTATATAATATGACATAGAGTTATATCTCCGAAGTTGACTTAATCTAGTGTGTTGTGAGTCAACATATATTCTGCATGAGAAATATATCCGTGCTAGGGGAAAAGCTGGGTCACGATACCCATGAGCGACCGGTGATATGGAAGGTCATCTTTCCACGAAGGTCCGAACATCTTGGTGTGTACTCCTGAGATGCTACATTTGAGTCTGTTTGAAGATCTACCAAATGCTGGCTTCTTATTCCTTTTTTCAGACTATTTAAAGCTGATTCGACTCAGTGATCCGATGACGATAAACACAGCTTCGTCAGGAGGACAAGGAGAAGTAGCGAGGCTTGTCAGAGGCCTTCGGTGCTAATATAAGCAAGCCAGTAAATGCCACAAGATATAAATGAGAGCCCTTTGTTGAAGAATGCAAAGAGGTTGAAGCAAGCAACATTGCACTGTTGACCACTTATAAAAATGAAGGGCCTAGGTCGTGGGGATTTTGTCAGGACAACGAGCTCGACCCTGTGGTAATGCGAAACACGGTGAAGAATGGCGAAGCAAGATAGATCGATCCTGTCATTGGAAGTCCTAGTTTCTGAATATATTGTTAGGGGGCCAGTCATAATGGCAGCGTCAAGGGAGCTCTCACCTTCGAAGGGCCTTCTGTGAACGCTGCTGCTTTACTTGGGAGTAAAGCGGGAGCTTTCGGGTTTTATGCTGGAGATAGACAAAACCTGCTGTAGAATAGCACAAAGGCCGAATGTGTGAAAAGAAAGTCTGAAACTTAGGAAGTGTGATAGTTGAGGATGGAGAGCAGCGCAGAAAGACAAATCGGCCTTGCCGGAAGGCAGAGAGCCAGCGGCCCTCCTCTCCCTTCCCAATTTTCCTCCTTCGCACTTCCACACACTCTCACACACCCACACACCCACACACCCACGACAGTCTCTACCTACCTAAACAACTACGATTTGGTTTATGTTCTAAGCAGATCATCCTCACCACAACACGCTATCTCACATATGCCTGATGATGACGCGACGTGAAAGGTAGTGATGGCTTGCTAGATTGAATGGTAAAACAGCTTCCTCCTTATTCACACATCTCAAAATATAGCTACTGATACCGAGCATGCCAGAACGCATGAGGCAGTACGGAGCAGACCTTGCTGACTTAAGAAGCGCTTAACATCTCAAGAGATGCCTTGTTCCTTTCTCCGAGTCCCGTTCCTCCTATATCCTTTTTGCACCTATCGTGGTGCTGTCAGCCCAACGAAGTTGCGGACGAAGAAACAAAATCGATCGAGATACACCCAAGACGCATAAGAAAAGACTATCAATAATAACGACAAAGAGCGGCTTAGCACGGGCTTTGGACGCTGACAAGAAGCGAGATAGGAGGATTTCAAGAAAACAAGAATATCGATGCATGTGAGGGTTGACAAAATAGACCTGAAGCAAACAGGAGTAACTGAAGAACTGGATTTATTGCCAATCTGCGTGATCCTGCTGTTCATGGAATATCTCGTACTAGGTGAGACAAGCGGAAGATGTGAAATCGTTTGAAAGGGTGAGATCGTCCATAAGGAGGAAATGAGTAGCCCTGGGGGGTTTGCAAAGCATTTGAACCCTTGACTCTTCATACTGCTGCCTTGTGCAAATCCATAACCTTTTCCAATTCTGACTTCTTTTCTTGTTGAATGTCAAGACCTCCCATCGTGTTGCGAAGCTGATCGAGCTTCTGCTTTGTAACCTTTCGGCAGTGTTTACCGCAAACCAGATGGAGGAGAACTTTGATTATAACTCCAGGGGCTTCTTCTTCCAGATACTCGGGGAGGTCAAACGGTTCTGTCTCCGGCCAACAATCAGGGGGGTCAAAGGCCACAGATACACCGTCATTCATATCTTTCATCCATCCTCCTAATAGCCCCGAGGCCTCCCTCCCGGACAAACTTTCAAACACCGCCTTGTAGCGCTCCTTCACATTCTGCAAAATCGTGACTTTATGGACCGGAAGTGATGCCTTCGCGACTTTAGTATCCGCCTCAGGTGGTTGCTGTTGCTTAGGCGATGTATTGGCAGGTGCACGATCCTTCGTGTATACAGATCCGGGAGTCGTGGGACCTATGTCTCTATATGAAAGGGTATTTTCTTAGTTGCTTAATCAAAGTGAAAGGTCAAATCTCTGGTAGGCTTCGGTACCTCTTGTGCCTCTTGTGCGCTATTAGTTCCCCCTTCGGTGGGGTTTTGCGACGTACTCCTTGGGGAGGTTTGGATGATGTCGTACAAGGCAAAATGCTGTTTTGTTTCGCAGCTTTCGGCTCACATCGAAGTTGTTGATAGACGGAAATTTGAGACGGATAGTTGACAAGATGGGGGTTTTGGTTGAACACGAATTCGGGATTTGGAGATGGCAGATAGGGGTATACTAGACCACTGGATCCTATTGGATACTCAATCGGTGTTCTGGCAGATTTACTGAAAGAGTATTGTCTGTAATTTCGTGATCGTAAGCTTTGGGGTAATCATGAGTCGCTTAGGGCTAAGCCTCATCGCAGCGTAAAGAGTGGAATACAAGACACGCCGTCTTACCTGTGAAGATGTGGATGTTGATATCCAGATTGATGTTCCCTTGATGAATTGGGATCATAGCCTGGTGGAATAGAACTCTCATTTGAACCGTATTGTGAACATGGCCATCCGCTGGGCACTGAGTACTGAGGCTGGTGACTAGGCTGAGGATACCTCGCTGGATTGGAGGGGGTATTATGGAATTGAGCAGGGTCCCAGTGGGGATATGTCTCTGGATGTTGGAGAAAGCCTAGCTTTCGGTCAATAAAAGTGACGAAGCGCACACTACTTCACTAACCAGGGAAAATATTCCGATATTTTCGATTGTGCATGATGTATTACCCGCTATGATTGAACCTTTAAAGCGATTGTGGAAGATTGATGTCTGAAGAAATAATAGAGATTGGATGTATATCGCAGCGCGAAAACAAGGAGTAGCAAGAAGTTTCGAGATCTTTCAATGAACCGGTTCAGCGGCTTGTGTATGTTTAACCAAAGAGATTTGCGGAGGATAAACAAAGTACTCCAGACGACAGGGTCACAGCTTCCTATTTATGACCCTGTAGATATTACTACCCAATGGGAAAGGTCCCATGCACGAGCGCCACCTAAGGGGTCAATGTGTAAGGCACAAGCATGCTGTCGAGAAGATAGAATGATTTCAAATTGTTCACGATATGGGGAAGGGAGCCCTGCAATAATAACTTCGCTCGAAACAAGGTCCAATAGAAAAAATGCGTGGCGTGCAGCCGCGTGAACTCATCGCCAGTCTAGGTGAATGATGAACCTAGCCAGATTTGGAAAGAAGGGGGGTGATCTATTTTTTTTTACCAGTATTACGGCTAAGGGCAAAAGATTAGACCTTGGTGTAACTAATCTAGTACTGCGACATAATTCTTGCCTATCTAGGTAAAGTTCATGGCCCCACCTATCAGATGTGGAGAAAGCAGAGCCAAGTGCTTGGGGAAACATTTTCCCGGTCCGAATTCCAAAGGCGTCCATCGCCCAACACCTCACTGACCAACCTTTTCTTTCAAACGAACGATGACGGACAGCGGGCCTGTCATTCGTCGAATCCGATTTCCTCAGCAGTGTGAAATATGTCACAGAATTTACAGATACAAACATTCTTGTTTCGGCAAGTCTCATAGACGAAAAGCGTTACCCCCATGCGCGCCCAGCAACTTGCCCGCCCCAGTCACCGGCGAGCTGCTGATCATGGCCCCCAGCCGCAATTTGGCTGATCTCACCCGACCGATGCCATCTGCAGAACGCGACTTGCTGAACAGCAAGGTTCCTGATACGAAATGCTGGAAAAAAAGCGGCCGCGAATCCATCCTTGACATGGCACAGCACCTTGCCAGAAACTGCCACTCCCTTCGATTGAAGGCCGAAGTGACTTTTCGTCAGAGCGTGGTACTGCGCCTGGCGGGCAACATCAAGGGCTCTCAGCAAATTATTGAAGCCTGTTTATCAGGCTTTCAAGACAATTCAGCTGGCCCCCATGTCGCGGCGCTCTTTATTTCACAGGCATCCAATTATGTCTATCAATTTAACTTTTCGTCAGCCCACGAACAGATCAAGAAATGGTTACCATTTCAAGATATTCCAGGTAAACAGGAGCAGTTGTTATGGGATCAAATATCTTGCATAGGTCGAATCCTGCGAGGGCAGGGCCGGTTCATGGAAGCTAAACGTTGTTTCGAGACTTGTCTTGAATCTCCTGGGCTACGTGATACGAAGACTTTTCTTATCAAATCCAATCTTGCCGATCTCTATTGTGAGTTAGACTACTCAGAGGAGCCGGGCAATTCATTTCTCCCTCGTGCGGTCGAGATGGTAGAGGTGGCTATTGAACAATTGAGGAGATCATCCCGTCAACATCTTAGAGGGTACCGGCGACTGCTTCTTTCGTTTGTTGAAGCTCAGATTAGGCAACGGCATTACCGCGAGGCGAGCGATGGTGTCACGGAGTTATTAGCTATTTATGGCAACTTGGGCGAGATTGACATTGTGGATCGCTTGGGACACGTGAGGACTCTGATTGCCTTCGCACGTTTGTCAGTGTCCGCACAGGATGCAGTGCGAAGATGGTCAGATGTTCTGGCATGGAACAAATTTTACAATCCACTAGAGGAGGAGGTTTTTACTTGTTGCGTCGCATATCATGCTATATCGAATGCCTTGAATGCCCTTGGAAATACAACTGATAGCTTTGAGAAGCTCCGCAGGGCAACGGCAATATCTCGGAGGAGATATCGGCAATTTTTGATTCCGGGAGTGGGGACCTATATTTATGATCAGGTACTCCAGGGTACGGCGCATAGTCCAGAAGGAGCAGCCAGCATCCGCGAATAATCAATAACTTTCGTCTCTCGATATGAAAACTTGAGTGAAGATGGATAGATTGTCATTTAGCTATAGCAAAAATATAGTTGTCGCGTGGTTTTTACTAGAGATATCAAGTGACCGGATCGGAAATATATTTCGCGCGGCTGCAGGCAGAATAAGCCAACTTGATTAGCGATGAACGTCAGCCGACCTCGACCGTGAACGCCGCGGTTTTGCTGGTAATATGAGAAGATATTCATGACCATCTGGCAGCTTACCCAGTGGCCACTGCCATTCACCCTCAACTATGGCCAACGCCTCTAATGGCTCGGTGTGGTCCACAAAGAAATTAGTGTTCACGCCGGAAACAATCCCATTTGAATCATCGGCACCGAATATAGTTCCACAAAGCTCAGCATCACGGATATAAGGGATTGGTGAATTCGACATGACTTCACTGGCATTCTTGCTAATGAAGTCAAGATCCACTTTTTCGATGTTTTCTACTCAAAATGAGAATTAAACAATCTAACTTCCGAGTGAGACTTACTCCCGAAAGCTTTGGCGGCAGCCAGGCATGCAGCTGGGTGTGAGCTCATAATGCCGTACATGTCATCAGAATCTTGCCTGAGTGTTCGCAGAAGACCACTTGCAAGTCCTTTTCCGCGGTGATGCTGGTCGACCACTAATTGAGTGATCCAACAAACAGTCTGACTCTTGCACATCCAGCGACAAGCAAATGCATTTCCAACAAGACCGCCATCAACGGTCACTCGGATATAAAGACTCTCGCTCTGGTCGGTGCGTGGGAGAAGGTATTGTTCTCGCAATCTTCGCACACTCAGCTTAACGGGATTACCTGCCAGGGAAAATTAGAGATGTCCACGGAAGTAGAATCGTGTTGTCTCACCCGGATTATGGGACTGCGGCCCCCAAATTCCATAATTTTCGTCGAAAAGATGCGCAGCTTCGGCCAGCATGTCGTCAGTCACCTTCTCTGCGGTGAGACTCTGGTAGAATTGTGATGCCATGGTGAAATGCTTTTTGACGCTGGTTCTTTCTATGAGAGTATAGCGAGGATCTGGATCAAATGTGACTCTGCGAGACTTTCGAGAAGAGCGGCCTGGTGGTGACAGTGTGCGCAAGTCCGCCATTGCATTTATGGGGGCTGAAGCTAATGAGAGGGGTTCCGCAGACATAAGGCCGTTTATGTAATCAGTTCGCGTGACCGCCGCTTAGGTGGGGCATAAGCGACAAATTTCCTTCCTTTTCGGGAAGCACGTCTTAACACATACGGATAAGATTACCACGGTCCGTTTGCCCCTTTAATCTAAAGCACAGTTCAAGTACATCAAGCTACTGACTCACTAAGCGATCCTGTGTGGTCCCAGTAATGTTTCGGCCAAATAAACATGAGCAAATAAATTTCCAACTATGCGCAGATTGCTGAATTCGAGCCCCGAAGAAGAAGAAGAAGAGGAGGAGGAAGACGTTCCTTCCTATTCATGGTCAGCGTTGTCAGTCGAAGATGCCTGAATAATCATGCGATGCACCAGTGTAAGCTACAGCACTCGACAATTGCAACCGCAATCACTGTCATCCACAAGTGTCAGAAGGTTGTAAGAGCTACCCTCTTCCCACCCCCCGACGAGTAATGTCAGAGTAGCTGAAGATCACCGGAAGAGTGTCATAGAGAGACGGGGGAGAGACGGGGGAGAAATCAGGACATGGTTAGCTGTAATGTTACATTTCGCTTTTTAAATTGTATTCAATTAAATACGGATTGATCTGCGAAAGTGCGTCAGAGGTCCGACGGAGTGCTAATACAGGTAATATCTCCCCATAAAGAACATGCGATAGATACGAAACTCAAGTCATGGTTTGTGATTAGTCCATACCCACCTGGTGGAACAGCTTGGCCAGGATCTATCCTGGGTAGTTATAAGAGTTTCCCGGAGTGGATTATGTCAAGCTCCAGATAGTCATTTATATATTTCTCTCACCTCACGTACATTCCTCAAATATTGCCACCAAGTACAAAAGAACCACATGAGAGCCGCCCTGCCATTTTTTGGACGTACTGTTGACGAATCTTCATGTCTCAGACGTCCTCGACACATATTTCACCGCTTTGCCTCGGGGAGCCTCCTCGAAGGGTTAAGAAGATTGCAGAGCTTCTTAACGAAGAGCCAATTGATCGGAGTAATGGGACTTGTAAGCCTTTTTTTTTCACATTTACTTTCTTGTTGAAGCTGAATTTCTACTGTTGGCAGCAAGGCTATCATCTCCAATGGTCACAAAATATTTCAAGCCATCTCGAGATCATCTCCAAGAGACGTTAGAGAAGACTGGAGAAACCCCCAAAGCGAAATGTTCTGCTTTTCTAGATGTTTGTTCCAAGGCTTCAATCTTCAAATCCTTCAGGATGGTCTAATAAATTTTTTTGTTTAGATTTCATCAGGAGAAATTCCCGAAGGACCTAATGAGCAGGTCTCAGATTACTTGAACTTGCCTCATGTATGTGATATTGGCCTGTGTAGAAAGAGATTCAAAAAAGCGGGCGGGCTGAGAGTACATCAAAACTACCACAAGCAGCCTGACACACAGTCGAAGTCTAATTACCTTTGAATTTTTATACAAGGTGGCAAAGCTATCTAGTTCGCGTTCCAAAAATGATCATTCTATTGTATATCTAAGGAATCAATGTTTCATGGCGCCTAGACTGCCAGTGACATGTCAGTTATTGCGTAGAGGATCAGTCTCTCAATGACATCCATCACTCGCAAGGTTCCACTTTCCACTCTTCGCTCAAAACGCCCGCTGTGAAAAGCGTTGCGTCACTTCCGGCCAAGCAAAATTTGATTCTTCTTCTCGGATCTTCAACAATAGTTGAACTTCCTCTACAGACCATGGCAGGCATTTTCTCTTAGAGCGGGAGCTAGATGGTATGGTCAACAACCGAGCAACTCAAAATAGCATTCTACATTATACTGGCTATAAGGATGCTAGATCTAGAGTATTTACACGGGGTGACATTAAGACGCACCGAGGCGATAAGGCTTCAACTGATCGCAAGCGAGATGTCGTCGCACTAGGAAAGTGTTCATTTCTATCAAATCATCCTCTGTACCGGAGATATGTGAGAATTCACCGGTGGATGATGTTGAGTCTGGGAAACCCATTGGCAAGAAGCTTGCCTGTCAGGCTGGCATTGGTGAACACGAAGGAACCACTAGTCAGGACGAGGCAAACAGATTTAGTTCAACGACACCCCTGTATGTTAACTGCGATCTATTTTGAAGCTAACAGCGCATGCAAACGTTCAAACCCGCTTCCCGCTTGACCAGCTACCCGTAGATTCCTGTGCAGAGGTTGCCCAACCTGAACATCTTCCGCACAGTCAGGCTTGCAAGATTCATTTTCTCTACGTGGATCGCACTAGTCGTTTCCGTAGATTTGTTGAACTCGAAAAGGTCACATTAGCCCAAAAGAACAATCGTGCAGTCATGCGCCCTGTTGTTGAACAGCTTCGGCTCGCGCAGAACCGGAGCGCGGGGTGCTGGAGCGTGCCCAACGTCCATTGATGTGATTATAGGTCTGAGCAGGTCAACGGGGGTCTAGGAGAATTTTTGGCATTACAAGATCTCAACGAGCCCGTGTATTTGGGCTTCACGCGGTTAAGGTCAACAAGAGCGTTTGCAATCAACTCAAGATATGTACGCAGAGCACAAATACTGGGACCTCAACCTTTTTCATGAGTTGTTTAGCCATATTCTCGGTTGTAATTGATCTATACTATTTCAATTATTAACTATCCTAAACCAAGCGAGCAGATTTGTATCCCAATCAGGTTCTCAGTCTCAGGACAAAAGACCGAGTCGACAAGATGTTGAACGATCCTGTTATTTCGCCGGATATGTTCAAGAGGACACACATCACGTCACTCTTGACCGCTGTTCGAAAGAACTGTGGACCGGAATTTGCCCGTGAGCTGGAAGTATACTCCTGCAGCAACCTGGAGCTAACCTGGAGCTCCTGAAGCTCATCTGGAGCACTCCTGGAGCTCTCCTGGAGCACTCCTGGAGCTCACCTGGAGCACTCCTGGAGCTCAGAGTGGCTACAAGGCTGCCAATCCTTTGCGTATGGGGTTCTTTCATAACAGGGTTGGGCGATGTGAGCCAACTTCTACTGTACCCAGCTTTGTGAACTCAAGCGGCTGTGTTGCTTTTGAAAACTAGATCTTCCTGGAAGAATGGCCATTTTTCAAGTAAGGTAGAAGACAATCACAAAGCAAATATAGAAATCTCCCATGTTGAATGTTCCAAGTTTTGGGAGTCTACGTGTGAAAAAACAAACTTCCTGAGCTACATCAGCAAATCGATGGCTTTTCCTAGGAGTTTTTCGCTAAAGATAGTCGTTTGCTCAGTGTCGTGCTCCAGTACACCTGTATGGAGCTTTGATTCCTCCCGGGGAACTTTTGAGCAAACCGCTTGGTCACTTCTGACCAGGCAAGTTTTTGTTCTTCTCTAAGCATCACCAGTAGGCGATCCTCTTCCACAGAATATGGAAGGCCTTTCCTGGAGGGACATATGTACTCTGTATCGCCCATTTTGCCGCTCGTGCTTGAGTTGCTAAGCGTAGGCGCCACGTCTTTTTCATGTTTCAAAATGCATCTTGACGTAGATGTGTCCTTTGCGCTTGTCACCGGAGCGCAATGATACAAGGCACTCTCAAACAGCCAGGACAGGAACTGTAGTCGGTCATCGACTGAGAGTTCAGAGAATTGAGCACGAACCGTGGAAAACGAAACGTTCTTGCAGCCAAGCCCTTCAGCGAATCGATCAGTCTCAACCTTGGGTTGACTTTTCACGACAACTGCTAATTTGTTGATTCTGGAGGACTGCCGACCAGATTTCACTGTCCTCTGCGAGCCGTGTGGTCTGTTTTTGTTATGGTGACAGGCATCTTTAACGAAAAATCGAGATTTACCAGCTGATGGTCTGGCTGGCCCGACTGCAACATGAGGCGTAGGCTCTACCGCTTGGATCTCCTCAACATCCGGGAAACGATAATTGTCCAAAATGGCCGGATCAATTGATACATCATCTGGAAGATCTCCAGTCTGGATGGGGCTCTCAGGAGGTCCAACTTGAAAGTGCTGACCGGCAGTGAAATCGAACCCTGGGTCGCCGGATTCAAAGCTGGGGAGTTGGTATTCAGAATCACGACCAATATCATCGAAAATCGGTGTATGATGAACGTTGCCAGAGCTTGGTAAATCTTGCACGTGTAGGATTTCCTCCAAGTTGAATGTCTCAATGTCTCCTGCAATAACGGATGACGGTCGCCCCGAAACCTCCGGTTCGCTTCGAGCGATTTGTGTCTCCGGTTGTAGACCGCCATGTAAGCAAACCTCCGCCGGCGGACGAACAGGAAGGGGATGCCGCTGAGGTCTAGGAGAATAAATCTTCTGGTTCTCTAAAAGAGGCTCCCTAGGGTTGGATGGAGATGGCGTGGTCATGATCGAGACAGGACTTGGGTAGCGACAGGTGTCGAGAGGCTTCCACGAAGGCTGCGCTTTCTCCTGAATAGGATTCCAAGACCGAAAGGTCTCCAGGCGATAAGTAGCGCTTGACATATTGTGCGCAAGAGGGGGCCGAAAGGTTTCGGGGTGTGGCGATGAGTAGAACTCATAGACAGGGCAGATAGCAGGAGGAAAGGAGGAGGGAGAGGGGAGCTGAGGGCTGGGAGGGGAGGGAGCAGAGGGGAGAACTTGGAGCGAGTGAATTTTAGTGTTGCCATTCGAGAGGCATTGCACTCTTTTTATACCTTTATGATTGCCTGCGAGGCCAATCCTGCCTTTGGCCCAGTCCAGAAAGTCCCAATCAACTCCTGCAACCCAGGTCACGGCCTCAAAGACGCGACTGAAACTAGCTCAAATCACCAAGGGCTATAGTTCTGGCCATAGATCACGCCACCTTCAAGACCACGCTAGTCCTCAAGCCTTCCTCGCTTCGCTTGGAGTCGGTGTGATCGTCGGGTCTCGTAGTGGTTAGCACTGGCCGCATGATGCAATAAAAGGGTCAGGCGCATGTGCGGCATTTCCGCTATTGGCTCATCATAACATCGAGGTGTGGTATCGAAGGCTCCTTGTCTCGACGCGGTGTTGAGCGTGGAGACTGACGATGTACCCAGCGGGGCGCAAAGGCATTCGTGAGTAGGCAACCCGAGGATCGCCACGCCAGGGCTGTGCAATGTAACCTCAGACGGGGACGACAGGGCCGACAGACCGGGGTGTCCGGGCTTGAGGATGGTAGCCGGGGGCTTTGCGATGGCGAAGGAGGTCGGCGAAAACGGGAACAGCAGACGCTCGACAAAGAGCTCCAAGCGAGGGCGATTCGGCCAGTTTCGTCGCATGTAACCTCTGCTCGTCTCTCTTGGAAAAATGAATATGGGATAGCAGGCGACCAGCTGAAGGCTGGATCATGATCCCAGGACCTCTGTCCCTGGGCGACTAGAGCGTGCCACCGCCAGCGCCGGCTGGAACAGCCTGGGCGGCGGATCGAGCGGCATCTTCGGTGAAATGAAAGGGGCAGTGCATCAGGTTGAAAGGCCCAAGCGCGGGAGTCGATGGGGGGCGAGAGAGAAGGAAAGAGAGGTAAGGGTGGGCAAGAGAGGTGAAAGTGCGTGGGAGACTTAGGGACGAGGGCGAGCGGTGTTTTATAGAGGGAAGGCGGAGGAGCCGGACGGTAAAAGCGGCCAGTGCCGCGCTAAGTCCGATAGGGGGACCGCAGGGGACGCCAGGCTAGAAGGGGCAGGGGCAGGGCGGAAATTGGTAGGCGGTCGGAGGCGGCAGAGCGACGGGCTAATGGGGGCCGTTTCTGGCGCCCCGCTTGCCGTCGTGTGGAATACTAAATATAACTAATTTCTTTAGTTAATTTAGCGATATCTTTAAGCTTCTCTACTATACTTAATAGGCTAATAATGCTTTCTTTTGAGAGTATAAGGGTGCTTCCCTTAAGTTCTTTAATATCCTTAAGAACGAATTCTCGGTATTCTTATATTAGGGATATAATATAATCCCTATCACCTATTATTTATATTATAACTATAGATATTATATCCTATTATAATCCGCGATCTCTTTAGGCTATATAAGTATTAAAATGACCCTTTTCCCTACTAAAAATAAGCTTTTAGTTAGGCTAAGTCCTAAGATCTTATCGCGAGTAAGTAACCTTTAGGATCTCTATATTAATCCTCTATTACGAATAATTCAAAAATATAACTATATACTAGAAACTTTACTATATAAAGTATATCTATATAAGAATAAGCTTTTAAGCGTATTTCTTAATAATCTAATATAAAGCCTTATACTACTAATAAACTTTGACGCTAACCTAGAGCGAGTATAGTCTTAGCTAATTCTATAGCTTAAGCCTCTTCGGGAAGCTAGCTTCCTTACCTATTTTAATAGATTAGCGATCGTATAAGGTCCGATCATAATCGTTACTACTAGAAACATACTATTCTATTATATCTTAGAAAGAAGCACCTTTAGGGATATTTCTACGATGCTCCGCTCTTAGAACTCTTAACCTTTTACGAAAACGACTTCCCCTAAAACTCAAACTATAGCGCTCAAAACAGCTACTATATATCCGCAGACTTTCGCATAGTAATAGGGAATATAGATTTTAATAGATTTATAGATAAGTAGCTCGCCGATGTTCGTCAATACGTATAGGTAGCTTATAGGCTTAGCCTTAAAGTCCGATATATAGGTACACTAGATTGGCCTCGTAAGTTGCGAAACTATATATAGCGTATACTCGTCCGTGAAGGTGTAGATATTATCACCGTTGATACATTAAGTTATCGACACTAAGGGAGTTCAGGATCAAGGAGCGATTAGCTAGATGCTCTTTTGAATATAAATACAGCAAGAGCTAGCTCAGAACAAATCCTGCTAAAAATGATTAAGAACCTTAATACCCTTGATACCCTTGATACCCTTGATACCCTTGATACTCAGTGATAGTATTTATCACAGGAAAACCCATTGCTATATATTACGCTGAAATCGGGTGTATGTGGACATAATATTTTATTGTGAGCAGGTTTCACAGATTTCAAGTTTGTAAAGGAAGCCCGAAGCTTTGAATAGAAGGTAGCTAGCCTCATAAATGCTTCACCATAAGTGGTGCACTGACCTGGAGGCAGGCGGGTAATAAGCTGAACATGATTCATCTGAGACAGAACTGGGAGTCCTCGGGACCACATGACTGTCACTGTAGATAACCGCCCGCTATATAATATAGAATCCGCGAAATGAGTCCTGATTAACCATGGATGAAACCGATGGGTTAGGTAAGTTTTGATAAGACGGACTCCAGAATGCGTGATATGCTGCTGCTAATTCCGAAATTACCCCGGTATTTTCCCGGAGGTTGGCCATGGTTGCCGATTATAGAGGTAGCAACGGACCTTGACCACGTGGGCATTTGTTGTACCCGATTTTCCAAAAAGGCTTAGGCTTACCTAACCCCACCAAACAGAGCTGACATGTGGGGCCTGGCCCCGCTCTTATGCCGACTTAAGCGGTTTCCTCCACCAAAACTCCACAAAACCAGATATCGAATCATGGATCACAAAGCCTTCCGGCTGATGACGGAGTAAAATTTGTGGGGAAACGCCGCAAACCCTCCATACAAAGAAGGGCCCCGCTAAACCAATGAGCCGTTCCAACTATCGCACGTGGATGGAGCCTCCGGTGGATCATGGGAAAGAAATATTAGAGTATCCATGGAATTTATCATAAAAATTGCGACGTAGGGCAAGCATTTTCCGAAGTGTTGCATCATATCTAGTATGGATCTGGCTTGCGATCGCGTGTAAGACAGAGTCGAAACTCAGTGCAAGCACCTATACATTATCTTCAGAAATAGAAAGAAAAAAAGAAAAGAAAAGTGAGACAAAAACGCTGCCTAGGTCTCTCTTCAGAGCACTTACTCAGGTAGGAGGGCACAAATTAAATCACTGCCACATGAATGACGTAGGTTATAATTAGATTGTAGGTTGAACATTTGCAGAGGGTGGATACATCTCTGGAATTACCTGGCAATTCTAATCCGGATATAAGTCACGGTAGCGCTCCCCTGAGCATGCCTGTCACATGGAGGATCGGTTCCTAGAGGATACACTTTAGCTTCTACAGACATAGTCTCTATAACCCATTCATTAATCCTGCTGCTGCCGATTGCCCCTACCAGACCGCTCCACACGGGCTATATAGATCGGGGTCTGTGCACGCTAAAGCGTGGGTGGAGCTGAAGGCAGTTGAACATCACAATTTCTGTTCCAGGCAGCAAGAATAATCACTTCAAACCAAAGTCGGCTAAAGTGATCCCGGGGTCGCAGTGACCATGTCCGGTGAAGTTCGATACCAACTCCAGAAAAATCAATGGCCAAGAAGGCACTAGGGACTAGGATAGTGGCAGTAACAGATCCGAAAAACCTAGGTCACACCAAGAGCCCCATCGCTAGATTTCCAGCCGTACTGAGGTCGAAATGTTAAATATAGCTAGGAAGTCCACAGCTATGATGCCATCCGCCAGATGGAAGCGATTATCATGCCGTATACTGTTTATTCATCTTGATGTCGAGTGCTGCGGGGAAAGGTGCGCCACCATGAACTTGCCCACCAGGAAAGACTGTGAATACGTTGACTTGCTGCTAGCTTTTTCATTAGACTACCAATACGATAGAGGAAGACCTCTGCCGCACTAAGTTTTTTGCCAATGCAAGGTCCCGGCGTATTCGCTAATTTCATTTATCCGACTTTTATTACAACGCATATTCCATAATGGTATTTTAGGAAACGCACATACTTACTGGAAATGGAAATACCGGGTAAAAAGCGTGAAATTAAACGCGGGTCGGTAATGGACCGCGACCCTATATTGCAATTGCGTTCATCGCCCACGTGAAGGAAGACAGATGGACATTTCAAGGATTTCGCAATGAGTGGGCCAATTCCGGTATTTAACATCACTAGCCCACTGGAAATTTCCAATAGGTTATAGGTTCATATCAGTATTGTAACTTCGGCAAAAATACTTATATTTTACGAATAGTATCTTGTAGACCCCTCGCATTGGACAAACTACGGAGACGGGGTCCAACAAACTGTAAAAACGAAGGCGCGTTTTCTTTCCACTCCACATGGTCCCCATTTTTGTACATGCAATACAGGGTTTGGTGCGTCGTAAGCTCGACCCCTTTGCACAGTAACGGGGTGGGGCTACCAGGATTCTGAAATAGGGATTCGGTGGATCGCAGCTAAGCACGGCAATTGGAGCCATTGGCACATGTTGCTACGGGGTATTTTTCTTTAATCCTTATACCCAATAGGCTACAATATTTCTCCTGAAGATTCTGGATTCTTTTGTGATGCTCCTATAGAACTCCCACATCTATCATTCGTTTTCTCAACACATCTTCAGCCCGCTAGAATAGTTTATTCCCGGGCACGTCTCGAGCCTCTGGTGAAAATGCTTCAATGGGCCTCCCGTTGTGTGCCAGGCTTTAGCATCATTGCTTTGCTGTCGCTTTCCCTTCTGGCATTTACTGACGTTGGGTATTTTCTTCGTCTCCAGAATCACCCTCAGTATCATGGCCCACCACCACCAGGTCACGTACACCCTTCAGGGAGCAGACCGGGTTCGCTTCCGCTGCCTCAAAAGATATTCATGGGTCTCTCGATCTTCGTTCATCTCAATGCCTTCGGTTTCGCAATACGTCTCTCTTTTTTTCGTTGCTATACATATCAAAGGAGTCAAAGAAGGTGCTGCAGCGGCGTTCGGTAACGGGTTCCAAGCTGCTGGAGGACGGTGAACAGGTCTTGGGAGGCGATCTTGCGCTAGATGTTCTTCGGGTGAATTCGTCCCAAGAGGAGTCGAAATCCTTTCTCGGTGGTGAAGAGGTCATTCACGCAATTATTCTTCCAAACTACAAGGAGGATATCGACACGCTCAGAACCACCCTTCATGTCTTGGCTAGCCATCCAAGGGCATCCAGCCAATATGAAGTCCGTTGCATTTGAATCTTTGAAAGATGATTGAGAGAGACCCGTACTTACCCCAACCTAGATCTACCTAGCCATGGAACAAAAGGAAATGGAAGCAGCTACGAAGGCAGCCGAGTTGATCTCGACATTTGAGACGGCTTTTGCTCATGTCCGAGTTACTTTCCATCCAGCCGGATTGCCAGGGGAAATCGCTGGCAAGAGCTCCAATGTTGCATTTGCAGCCCGGCATATCCTCAACACACACGCAAGGGATGAAGAGGACGGTATGATGTATACATTGATCACGGTTATTGACGGTATTTTATGAAAAAAGCCCCGTTATCCGACACGTTTTCAGACCCGCTGATGAAAGAATTGGTAGCCGATACACACCTACTGCAGGATTATTTTTGTGAGATCCGACGCCTTCACTTCGATAATATCGCCAGCTCCGAGCGGTCTTTCTATTGTTGTCCCATCATCTTCGATCGAAACTCGTCTAAAACACCAATTTTGGTCCGTTGTGCGGATCTGATGTGGGGATTTGCTGGCGTCTCGGCGATGTACCCCAGTTCCCCGATTATGATTCCAACCTCGGTATATACTATACCCTTGCAATTGGCAAAGATGGTTGGTGGCTGGGATAGTGATGCTACCGCCATTGGCGAGGACATGCATATGCTACTCAAGTGCTACTTCGGCACGAATGGCGATATCATCACGCGAGCAGTATACAGTGCAGCCAGCCAATGCAACATCTCGAGCGACGGGAATCTTGGCTGGCGAAGGACTACGGATATCCTCGCTGCCCGCTATCTTCAGGCTCTACGCCATATGTGGGGTGCTCTAGATACGGGATTCGCCATTCGAAAAAGTTTTGGCAACCTTTCGCGCCCTAATTGGCGACTTTTCTTCCGCGGAAAGCAGTGGGCATTAGCACACCTTCTTTGGGAGGCCCACTTCCTTCCGTGCTTTCTGACTATAATATTGATTATTTCATCGATCTATTCCGCACTTACGCCGCCAAACCAAATCCACCCAGATCTAGATTGGGCATTCCAGTTCACTGCACTTCTGCGTGTCTGCTCCTTTGTCATGATGAATATCTGCATGTTTGTATATGACTACTGGCACTATTTATGCGTGAACACCCGCTCTATGGATATGATGGATGCAGGAGTCGTTGATGCCGGATTTTCATTCCGAAATAGTTGGGACCGTGGTTGTCTTCTTGACCGCATTATATTCCCTGTGGCAGGTACTATTTATGGACCTGTTCCAGCTGTTCAGGCTGTACTGTCCCACTTTTGGACTGATAAGTTGGTGTATCAAGTGAGCCAGAAGCCTAGCTTTTTGAGCAACCCTGTTTGAAAGACGGCAGTTGAGTGGGTTCCTTGGGCTTCGAATCGATCTCAGCTCCTCAGAGATGGCGAAACCTATGCTCAGGGTTTCATTTTATATGCAGCGTTTGATTTTATTTGATTTTATGGTTCTTTTGGAGTTGAAATGCGAGACCTTTGTACGTTTTCTTCTATGTATAATTATCTTGTTGTATTATGAGGTTTAGATTGGAAGTGTAATATTGGGACCTGTTATTTACTAGACCGGCCTAGTGCCTCAATACACTGTCTTGTCACCGCTCCCTCCGTCGCCTCGACATAATAGACCCGACCTGCCCCGCTTGTCCCTCTCTCTCCCTCTTTTCCCTCCCCTCAACGCCTCTATCTTGCACTCATCGCCGCCCCCTTTCTTACACTCTGGCCCCCACCGACCCCTGCGCCTTGGCCTTCAGCCCGACCCACTGCCCCTTTCATCTTACCGGAGATGCCGCTCGATCCGACTCGTTCTCGCTCCTTGACCTAGAGTGGCACCCGCACAGGAGCAGAACCACCGGGATGATCCAGCACACAGGTGGCATCGTGTTACAGTGACACAGCAAAAGTATTAACACCCCCCTAGACCCACCCCCCCTTATTACCTAATATTCTGCCGGCCTAAAACTCCATGAATTTCTATCTAGTAGGGCGTATACCAGCCCTGGCTCTCAATAATAGCTTCCACCCGGTGCGGCATCGTCTCAGATAGATGCGTTAGGTGCTGTATTTCTAGTTCTTCCCATGCTATCTGTGCTGTCTCCACTAGAATAGCGTAGGACGCGCTATTATTACGCATATCAATAAGATCCGGCCGTAACTCATAGATTTTAGCCTTCAAGAGCGCCCATAGGTTCTCAATAGGGTTTAAATCAGGCGAATGAGGCGGCCATTCCATTACCTCAATTCCTAGCTCGCGTAGAGTATCGCGGACAACGTGTGCAGTATGTGTAGGCGCATTATCATGCTGAAAGATACCACCCTCATGATTCATTAATGTAGGCAGCATTCGGAGATATAAATCTCGAATAATAAAGCGATCAACGCCTCCGCGAGGTGCTTCAGGGTTTCCAAATAGAGGGATAAGGCCAGTGCGTCGTGTGCTGCCAGAAAAAGCCCCCCAAAACATCTGCTTAACTTGGTTTCCTTTTATAGGAAGACCTTGACATTGTCTCTCCTTAGGCTGATCTCGAGGGCGAATAAAAGTCCATTCACGACGAACACCAATACCGCGCTCAATTGTACATTCGTCAGACCAATAGACACGAGCCTAATCTTCAGCAATAAAGTGTCGATAGCGATGCGCCCATTGAAGCCGTTTTAGCGCATTTTGTTCGGTCAAATAGGGCCGCCAGCTACAGCGCCACTTTCGCATATTCTCGGCGTTTAAAAGGCGTCGGATCGAGTCATATTTAACCAAAAATTTAGGTCAGTAAGCATTTAAAACTAAAGGAATATAGCTAACCTTATTCGACACATTTGTAAGCAAATCAACGCGGGTAATCTTAGGATTTTCCTTAATAGCGTTTAACAAACGCTCACGATCAGCTTCATCAAGCTTCCGTGGGCGTCCAGAGCGTGGTTTAGAGACACCATCGAGTCGTTCGCGGTCCTTTTTAATAGTATAGCGTATACTAGAAAGAGAGACCCAAGGATAGCGCTTTTGAATACGTTTATAGCCCCATCCCGCAGCTTGGGACAGCTCACATATACGCTCACGTAGCGCAGGTGTCAATTCAGACCGCGGTGCCATAATAGATAGCAAAATAAGGAGATTCAGGAGGTATAAACAGAATAACGCGCAAAAACGCGAGATTATTGAGCTACTACTAGCGTGTTCCTAGGTAGGCGGTGAGAGGGCGGTGTAGGCGTGGGTCCAGGGGGTGTTAATACTTTTGCTGCGTCACTGTACTTTGGGTCGATACCCCTTCTCCTTCTCCAAGGGAGTGACTGTGCGCCATGCTACGAAGCTATCTAGGTCACGTCTGCTAGTGTGCCTTGTTCGTCTCTGATTCCGCCGGCCTCCTTCATATCTGAAAATTGCCGTCATACTATTAACGCCGTATGCCCCGCCCCATCCGCCCCATCTAAGGTTGCACTGCACAGCCCCGGCGTCACAGAATGGCTCTCCGTTACCTAGCCACGAATACCGTGGCGCTCAATTGTCGTTCTCGTCGGTCTCTCCGATTCATCCACATCCAGTCGATAAATATTTGAAAGCAGAGCCCAGTGATATAGGCCAATAGCGAAAATACCGCACACCACTGGCCTCGGTCAATGCTGTATCTTATGGCCAATGCCGGCATTACGCATTAATCAGTCGGCCGATCGTCGAGCTTGTGCGCGTTGAGCGGTATTCGCGCATCCCTATTTCTAGGCAATCGCCCGTGTGGAGCGGTGGCCTAAGGATTGATCTTGTCTCTAATTTGTTGCGCGAGCTGACGCGTGCCATTCAAATTTACATATCATCCCGTACAGTCAACTCCCGCGAGCCGCTCCCCCACCTAGTGCACACATTCGTCAGCTGCACCCCTTTTTTTTGCCCCGCCTAGTAAATTTCCACTTTTACATATAAGAATTCCGCAACCTGCACCATCCACTGTGTGCACACTTTTCTATCTTCGCTTATTCAGCATAACCGACCAATCACGATGCAGCAATCCACCTCGCCGTCGCCGGGCCCCCCGGTCTTCGGTCGCGCTTTCAACGCATATCCCTTATCCACGACAACCAAATAAGGGTATTACCGACATTCAGAGGAAAGCCCTACGTATCTTTGCGTCCGATACACGTCCCCGGCCTACCCAGAGAGCTTGTGCTAAATGGTTTCAAGAGAAATTCAACCGGACGATCAACCGCACGACCGTCTCGCGTATACTTTCATCTCAATATAACCATCTGGATCACGGCGAAGCTAGGGCCAAAGTGAGGAAGCCTACCGCACACTGGCCATTGCTAGATGAGGCTCTCTTTGAGTGGCAACGACGTCATACTCAGAGGGGCTTTCCAATTACCGGCCCCCTGATTCGCCTAAAAGCTACTGAATATTGGAAGAAAATACCAATGTACAAAGATCATCCTATGCCTGTCTTTAGTGATGGCTGGCTCAATCGCTTCAAACATCGACATTCAATTAAATGGCATATATTTCATGGTGAAGCCGCTTCGGTATCTGATTCTATCCACGTTGAGATGAAAGCTATCCAAATTATATGCGATACATATCCTTCTGAGGATATCTATAATATGGACGAAACCGGTCTTTTCTGGCGCCGTATGCCTAACGGTGGTCTTACATCTGAAGGTCGTCCCGGTCAAAAGAGGGATAAAACAAGGATGACTATCGTCGTTGCATCAAATGCGACAGGCTCGGATAAATTACCTCTCTGGATCATTGGAACTGCAAAACAACCCCACGCATTAAGGGGGGTGAATATGGCTTCTATTGGATGTGTGTGGCGCTATAACAAGAAGGCCTGGATGCGACATGAGATTATGGAACAATGGTTACGCACATTTTACCTACGAATAGGTAGGCAAAGACGTGTACTTCTATTGATGGATAATTTCAGTGCACATCTTCTGGCCCTTGAAAAGGCGCCACCACCATCTAATATCAGGATAGTCTTCCTACCTGCGAACGCCACGTCTCTCTATCAACCCCTTGATCAGGGTATTATCCAAAACCTCAAGCATTATTATCGCAAGAGCTGGATGTATTGGATGATAGGTATGCTTGACCGGGGGATTGATCCTCGAGATCGCATGAGTCTAAACTACACACTTCGTTGGTTAACCCAGGCGTGGCGAACAAACGTCAGCCATGAGACTATTCAGAACTGTTATATTAAGAGTACTGTTGTTCCTGGGCGTCGTACATCTGATCACGATCAGGCTAAACAGGATACCCTACCGACATTGGATCCTAGATTGAGGCCTCTTTATTATCAGGTGGTTGAAAAGCTTGCAAGTCAACCAAATGCGGAAGAAATACTACCTTTTGAGGAATTTCTTAACCCATCGGATGAAAATATTGATACCTCCGAGCTCGATTTGGACGACATCATCATGACTTTTGGTGGTGAGGATACCGAAGACAGTTTACCTGATCCGGATGAGGAATATATATATGGGCCAAGACCAGATATTCCATCCGACGCGATGATTCTACGGCATCTATCAGATCTATCATTGTGGGCTGCACATAGAGAGGGCTGCACATAGAGAGGGCTGCACATAGAGAGGGCTGCACATAGAGAGGGCTGCACAGAGGATAATATGGCCTCGATTGAGGCATTGGCCAGTGCATTCAAGAAGCTTGAGGTAGATGGGAAGAAACAGAAGACATTGATGGAGATGGGATTTAAACCTAAATAGGAAAAGCTTCATGTGTATATATTATATAGCTAATCAATATGACCATTACATCATCAACCCATGAGCTGCACACATCCGGTGTGTGCAAGCAAAAACCCAAACCTCCGAGGGTGTGCAGCTCGCGGGAGTTGACTGTATTAGCATTCCCAGGAAAGATATATTAGGCTCCTAGGGTGTATGTCAGGGATATACAAGGAGCATACACGAGGAGTAAAGGACATACGATATGCCTAGGTGGGAGTGTATCTGTACCTAAAACCATGATCGGCCGTGGAACATAAAGAGTCCAGCAAACCGTCTGATTTCTTGTCTCTATCTCATGGCGGGCTCTGGGCAGTAACCTCATTTTCAGACATTTTGGTCCTTTTCCTCGCCTTAACCCGCCTTGTTACGCGAGGCAGTCGATCATTTGACTCTCCGCGAGTTCTATGACAGAGAAGAGTGTTCCTACTAGGGTATCCCTAGTTTGTGAGCCTAGGCTGCCGTCCCTGTTATCATTCGCCAGTCCGACTTGTTTCCTCTCGGGCCTCATGTTCCATTCATTATCTCGCCGGGCCCGTTCCACAGTTCCCTGCGACCGGGAAAACCAAACCTCGTTCGGTTAACCCGAAAGTTAGGGAGATATCCCTTGTGTTCTGTAACCTGCCCTGACGAGGTTACTTTCATCTCGATCGCCAGTTTTGCATTTGATAATAATATTGGAGGATTCCCCAAACCTATGCTAGAGCTTTACTAGCTGAAACACCAGTGGCATAGGCAGGGAATGCGACAAAGTGATCCGATATTGACTAGAAAAGTAATCACTCAAAGATGGGCATATGAGTGAACAGCTAAGCAATTGCTCATCAAACAGGCATGTGGATCCAATGATTTTACTCAAATCACGACGCACATTGGCAACTAAGCTTGCTATCGACAGACCAACGCCTGAGTAGGAAACCGTTACTTTTCTGTAATAATTATGGATTCACGTCATTTCCGTGCGTCAGTCGGCTAGCAGTCCAGACGAGCGGGTTGTCATTCAGTAGTTGGCAAACCGCATTTCGGACCTCTTCGGGTGACGATCCCAAGCGTACAACATCGATTATTTGTTGTATATTAGCATCATGAGATACCCGAATCGCTTACAGCAATTGGTACAAAAAGCAACTGTAGTATATGAGTTCCTCTTGCATTTTTCCGGAGGATATTTTTCGTAGTTTGTTGAAGAATTCGTCGAAGACACAGCCTCCGTTATGCCTCCTGCACTAGTGAGATGGATTCCCCTGAAAGCACTGTTAGGGAAGAAAGAACGTTAGAGCAAACAGATGATTGATATGCATTGATAAACAACCGCAGCATCGTGGAGTGCGACCCGACCAAACCAAAAATTTGCACGGTCTCGCTAGTATGTATCCGTCACCGTTACAAGGCCGCCCGTGACTTGGCCATCTGGCTTTTCCCGCTCTTTTGGTCCTCGGCGGCTGACTCTGACCAATTTTTACTGTACCCGTTGTTGTGTCCTTATTCTTGCTCTGCTTGGTGGTGGCTCAATTCCTGCCTGGTCAATCGCCCCATCCCGAAAAGGACACCGTGCTGCCCGTACCCGGCTCCAGCTAGGGACCGCCAATCTCTCCTTGATGGGCTACACTTATCGGTCCAGTCTTTTTTCTGCGATCCTTTCATATTCAACACAACTAAACTCGTTGGGGGCTCACGGCCTGCGCCACAACTGTCGGATCGACTATTATTAAATCCATATAGGGTATATCATCATCCGCCCCGGCGCTGCTGCATACGCTCGCGTGACGTCCGGAAGAACGTTCTCACCAACGACCGGTAGATCGTCTTGCCCTCCACCGTGTCGCTGGCAACCCCAAAAATCATCAGCAGTAAAATGGACACCACCAGAATCACCGCAAAGGCCACCCAGTATTCCGTCACCGAGTATTTGCCACCTTTAATGCCCTGCAGCTGCGTCGAGAAGTATCCTGTCATCAGACTGACCGGCAGGAACATAATGGTCGCCTTGGCCAGCAGGATCGTGATTCGTGTCAACTTCTCCACGGCCTGCGAGTCCTTGAGCGCGATCAAGTTCAAGTTCTGCCTCGGTTAGATTGCGATTTTCATGACCAAGAAAACAGGCTACTTACCACGAACGTCAATGACTCCTTCTCCGTGAGACAGCTGTCAATCTCGCTCAGGCAGTACAGATTGATGCGATCCGCCAGCCGCTCAAAGCGCGCCACGGCTGCCGAGCTCAGATGCACCCCGACGGGCTTATCGTTGGCGCCGGGCTGACTGGGATTGCTGACCAGGTTCGCCTGCCGCAGGTCGGGGAACTCGATATCCCCAAATGTGGCGCCGTACGATAACGGTGGCGGATGGACCTGGCATAGTTCGTCGCGGAGCATGCGCTGTCGCTGTAACAGACGCCGCATGATTAGCCCGTAGCTTTGATAGAGCCGCTTCAGGACTGCCAGCCGGCGACCTAGCCAGTGTAACTCATCCACCAAGTCGACTTCAGGTTGCTTGAGCATGTTCCCTCTCTGCGTGTGGACATCAGCCAAATGCCAGCACGGTGCGTAGCTTCGCTTACCATTTGATCAAGGGCAACTCCGTATTTGTGTTCTCGTTTTGCAATGATTCCATAGCTGGACATCCAGTCATCAAAAATATAGTAGAACAGCAGGCTAGGCCCATCCTCCTGCTTGATATTTGACTGGTCTGAACCGAAATCGTTGAAATGGCGCACTCGAATGGTGACCAGCGAGTCGCTCTCGGTTATGGCAAGGTACTGCCGGGACACGCCCGCGAAGACGAAGCGGACGTTTCGGCGCACGATTTCGAGAACGCGCTTCATGTCCTCCATAGATTCTTGGGTCTGTGCTCTTAAGGACGGTTTCTCCTGGATTGAAATGACAGTGCCTGCCAAAGTCAGTAAACTAACAACACAACATCTAATTGACACAAACCGTCTTCGCAAAGAATTAGCCAGGACCACAGTCGTCTCCCGTCTGGTAGGTCTTTGCCATTCGGCATGTTCACGTGCGGAACCACAAATAGCGTATTGTAGCCGACGCAAGTGTCTGCTCAAGAGTTAGTCTCGTTGTGTCTTTTTTTCTGCTCACGGGCAACGATGTACATCGAGGGCCATGATCCACGGACGAGAAATGCCAAATTTGATCAGTGACTTGAGAAAAGGTCAAGTTCTTGAACGATGCGGTATCCCGTAATGTATCAGGATCTGACTGGTCCTTGGGGGAAATTGCGTTTTTAACATCGCCCGTTGGCTTCTCTGAGTGGTCGAAATCGCGCGTATGTCTTCTTTTCGGTAATGCGACGGGCTTTGGGAGAGCCACGACTGGTTCTGTGCACATCATCCCCTGTAGTCGTTCTGAAACTCCATAGTGTGTGGTGAGGGCCTGGGCGAGTTAGCGGTTGAAGGTCCAAAGATTAGAAGCTAACACACCTTGATAGTATCTTTCTGTTCCTCTGGCGCCCAGATGTTACTGCGGGTACGATGGTCAGTCGAGGAACCATCTTTTGGACTTATGGGAGCTTACATCCACCGGGTGCCAAAACATCTTGCTCTCTTTGGTCCAGTCAGTCTCTTTACCAAACCACCGAGATGGACAACAACATACCGGTCTGCTTAGTAGTAGTTTCAACTCCTCCGTGTCCAGATCGGCGCCGCTCCAGGCATCCTCGTTGCCAAAGTCCAGCACAAAGTTCCGGGTGTGCGGGTCCTCCAGACGGTTCATGGCATTGTAGAAGTGGGTCTTGTCGTCGATATCATGGAATTTTTCTTTCAGAGAGGGACTGTCACCTGACAGGCTGTAGTAGTACTCCTGCGGATTCAGCAGCAGCGTGTCGGCCATGCTTCTTGAGTCTTTGAAGAGTTGCGCTTCATGCGACAGGGGGTAGTTACGTGCGCGTTGGACTGCTGTCACGCTAAGCGATCAGGATCAGGGGCTGGGGGCGAAAGAGTCAGCTGAAGACCCAAGCCATGACAAGAACTAGGGTCAATGGAACTTTAGAGAAAGGGGTGTCCCTAGGAAAGTTGGGGGTGTCCTTAGCAATTCCCACCCACTCCAATCTAAATTACAAATTAGGAGGTGATTATCATTTCCGTATTGGTATATGGACAACCCGTTACCATATATTACCGTAAGAGTGTCAAAGTCTCACACAAGGCGATGGGATTTGTTGGATCGAAATATAATGTTTGCGGGGTAATAATTTGCCTTTCGAGTGAGGTATTGAAGGAGAGCTCTATAAACCCGTGCACATCATTGCTGCTATAGCGTAAGGCGGTGATACGTGCCTATTAACTAGAAACCAGATATCTGACTAAAAGGACCCATGCTAGTTGAATCGGACGGCTGCGCGATTTGGATAGAAAAAAAATCAAGAACCTATGGATCGATTAAACCGCCACGGGCTACCTATTTGGGTTATGCGATTATAGCCAAGTAAAACTTGGTGTCAAGATGGAGAGTGATGGCTTTACCACTATTCCTCTCCAGGACTAGTTTATTCCGCGTCCGCCCCATCTTGTAGCGTGTGTATGTTGGTTGTATTATTATGGAGTTCTGTGGGTCACGACCCAGTATTCTAGATTACAGGTCTTACAGGTCTAATTCTACATAGTGCATGAATAGTGCGTATCATGGTGACAGGACAGTACCATCAGTACAGGAGATCCAACACCGCATTTCCTATTTATTTCCGCTGAAAACCACCGATGTACCTCGTATCCCGGTGCTTCAAGGCCGGACCAGCCTACCACTATCATCCGGCTTTCCCAGGTGGGTCAAGAGGCTAAAACCTGGTCGAGTCAAGTTAGACCTGTGGGGTTCTGCGTCCTTGCTTTTTCAAGGCAATCGCAATTCCCTGGCACTTAAGTTCGGTTGCCAACCATCCTTCTATAGAGTCCAGCGCCAGCTGAAAATACCTGGCCCCTCCCGACGTGATAATCCTTCTACAGAGTCCTTGACAGGCGAGCTTGGTGTAATCTGGTGGATACAGAGTTTGTGGGTTTAGAGAAAGGGAACTCTATGCGTGTATATCCTCATTTATTTGCGCGCACGCGCTGACATTATTTCCCGACGCTTATCACCACGACGCTGTCGCCTGCATTTGACACCCCGCTCTCTTCCCTCCGCAACCGTGACCTCTTTGCTGATCACCTCGACATGGCTCGTGGGAGTGGGCGTGATATCAACTGCTCCTGGGAAAGTTGTGGTAAGGTATGTTTTGCTGTCGTTGATGGTTCCCGGCCCCCATCTAATACCTCGTCCCTATAGTCTTTCAATCGCAAGTCGGACCTCCGTCGCCATTATCGCATACACACCAATGAGCGCCCCTATCTTTGTACTGTAAAGGACTGCAAAAAAGGCTTCATCCAGCGTAGTGCCTTATCTGTGCATTCGCGGACTCACACCGGGGAAAAGCCGCATGTTTGTGACTATAAGACCTGCCAGAAAGCTTTCTCAGACGTAAGCACAGCAACGAATTTTTAGTTTCTCGTCACCATTCACTGACAACAGCGACAGTCTTCCAGTATGGCCCGTCATCGAAGAATCCATACGGGCATACGACCATATGTTTGTCAAGAACCGACTTGCGAACAGAGGTGAGACTCACCATATGGTTGTAACATTGAATCAGCAAGCTCACTCCGCTGTCGTTTCTAGTTTCTGTCGCAAAAATAGTCTCACAAAACACCAAAACCGCTCCCATCCGCCGGGGACCTTGCTTCGACCATCCTCGGAAGACCTGACTTCGAAGCACTCGTATCAGCACCAGCCTCCAGTGACCGTCTCCATCCCAAGTCCGAACGAGCAGTGCCTTGTCGCTCAGCAGCCCTACTACCCGAGTTCCGCCACGCCAAGCGATGATTTCTACTCTCCACAGATGGGCTCCGTGCCAGTACACGAGGGCAGGCCTCCGATCGTGACGCAGAACTTCCCCGTCACATCCGCGATGAACATTCCACATGCTCCGCAGCCGCCCACGCCACAGCAATACCCACGGATGCACCCGTACCCGCAATATTTGCAGATGATGCAGCAGCGCTACGGCGTCAATCCGCCCTCAAAATATCTGCAGCCCGAACAGCTGTCTTTCCAGAGCCAGCAGCTGCTAGAAGGACAGCCCCTGATGGTGGGATACCATTCTAATTTCCAGTACCAACTCCCAAACCGGACTGTGAACCAGCCGGAGGGGACTGAGTGGGCCTTTCTGGGCGTAGGCTAAGAGGAGACTTCGCATTGATCTTTTTGGAGAATCTCACGCCATTAATGCCCGTCTTCAACTGTAACAGGATTTCCTTTAATGAAAACGGACATTGGTGCTATATTCCTCAATGGAGGTAGTCGAGGATCCTCGCATATCATCTTCTATTCTCCAGTGTCGAGTGGTCTTTGATATTTGTGGATTTTCACTTTTATTGTCTTTCTTTGGAGCATGTCTAGCCTCATTTAATCAAACCCAGTTTATCACGTTTCATGAACTTATGCTTTTGCATTTTGATACCCTTTAACGTACAGGCCCAAGCTCTAAATCCTCGTACCCATTTGTGTTCCTCCTCACGTCCCTGGTTTGTCCTTCATTCCCGGCAAAATTTGAGCTCCCGAAAGCCAGCCCGAACGCCCCCTGTGCTGACCGCGGTGCCCAAGCCCATCCACCATCACCGAATGGAATGTGATACCAACGGAAACCCATATAAGCAAAAACCATGCCGATTAGACTGCCGCCCAGTATATCCCAGCCAGCGTGCATGTAATCAGCATAGCGGGTCGCGCAGATGTAAAGAGCCGCAGCTACCGGGCTGATAACGAGTAGGAGGAGGTAAAGTGGCGGGGCTGCTGCCGAAGAGCGAAAAGATCCTGTTTCATTGGCATTGTGAACGAGACCGGCCTGTGCGGCTCCCTGTCCGGTGCGTGAAGGCATTGGAAAGGGAACCGGGAAAGTGATAGCAAACTTCACACTGAGCCAGAGTGATAAGTAGAGCAATCCTGCCCAAGAGAAGGAAGAGTGACCAGAGGGGAAAGCAGCAAACCCGTTTTTAATTACACTTGAATCTGGGTTCTGGCAGATGCTAGTGTCAACCAATATGGGTGCTGATGTTTCCTTAAGGCCAAGACCCCCGACCAAATGAGCAGCGAGATTGGAAAGATCAGGGTCGCAGCGAGCAAGCAAGTCAGGACGAGGTTTTCCCACAACATCCTTGAGGCCAGAAGTGATAAAGAATGCCCCTGACAGGCTGAGGCCAAGACCTAACCATCCCGCGTGCCATTCCCACAACCGACGGTTCCAAGTGCCCTCTGTGCCTAGCTTCCCTGAAGCTTCAATACTAGAAGAAGGGATGAGAAGAGCAAGAACCAAGATGACAACAGCAGGTATACCGCAGGCGACTATGCCAACGATAGTGATGGAAACGGTGTCGGCAGCCAGCGGATAGGATATTGCCGGGTCGTCAATGGAAAAGGCATGTTTGTAACCGGTGACTTTGTACAGAACACCACCCGCAGCAGCGACCAAACTTGACAGCAAAATTAGCAAGGGAAAGGGATTTTCAATAGATACAGGTGCACAAACATAATAATTACCCAGTCAAACACGTACGAAGATATCAAACGTTTGGAGGTTTGCCTGATGTGGAGCAGACGAACCTCGACATTGTCCGACATGTATCTCATAATTGGAAGCGACCCAGTAAACCCGACAAACTCCGCGATGAAGCGGGGTGGCCGTGATTGATGAAAATGAGAACAAGAAGCGAGGTTGACCTTACTACAGAAGAAATTTGCGCACAGATATTCCGACAGCACTGTCGCCTGACCAAGTTGACTGGGGAAGACAGGGCGTGATGACCCCAAGAAATTTTTTCCAATTTTCCAGACTAGTCTGAGCCACGATACGGAGTACGTAACAAAGGGGAAGACCCCGCATGCAATTTCTTATTAATAGATACAAAACAGGACCAGTTACGTGGCATTTTTGAACCTGTACTGACTAATAAGAATTAGGCTTTTATTAATTGCTAGTTATCGCCTCCCCGCACTGGTCACATATAAAAGAAGTGGCAGCCGGAACTTTAATCAGGACGCCGCTGTAAGATAACGAGATAGAGACATCCCACGCTAATACCCTTTGCTGCATTAATATAACTGTTGATTTGATGCTGAGAGATTATCGGAGTTCAAATGGGTATCATGGATGGTCAAGACTCTCGCTTTAAGCGCTTAGGGATTGAAATTGAAGGAAGAGAAGCTTCAGGGGATGCACTGATAGGATAACAAGGATCAAGAGCGGGCCATGCACGTGGGGAGATAAGGATATTTCATTGGTCACGGTTGCTCGGGACCCTGGTTGTAATTCCAATTACATACCACTATAAAGTGGACACCGCTAAAGTCCCCAACCCCCTTTTACACCGCTCTTGTTCGCCGCGAATACCGCCTTCTATCTTTGGTGGACCAGGGATGCTTCCAGCCACAGCGCTCGGAAGAGTGCATACAGTCTGTCCCAGGAAGTCTGAAAACCCCCGTCCCCACCCACACCTTATTACATAATTTTCTGCCAGCAGAATCTAAATATTTGTATTTCAATATGTAGTATACCAGCCTTCGGCCTCAATAATAGCCTGCACGCGTCTAGGCATGCTCTCAGACAGCCTGTGTAGGATATCAGGGTCTATTTGAGACCACGCAGTCTGGGCAGCTGATATTAAAAACCACCGTGTTTCTTCAGTATTTGGCATATGATATAGCTCAGGAAACATCTTTAATAATTTATCCTTTAATAACGCCCATAGATTCTCTATAGGGTTAAGGTCCGGAGAATAAGCTGGCCAATCCATAACAAAGAATTCTTCATCTCTTAGCCAGTTGCGGACGCGATGCGCTGTATGTGTTCGGGAACCATCATGCATAAATATAGCCTTAGATCGGTCATATATTAATGTCGGTAACCACTGTTGGTAGGTTTCGAGGATATGAATACTATTCACGCCCCCTCGCGGTGAATCCGGATGGCCAAATAAAGGAATTAGGGCAGTCCAACGTGGATCACCAGAAAATGAGGCCCAAATGTTACGGCCCTTAAACAACATAAGGCAATTCAGATGCCTAATTAGGTATATCAGAAGCCACATAAGAGGGTTTCCCGCGAACCTACATAAAAGCGAACGCTACGTGACCGCATAAAGGAATAAAAGGCATTCTCTTATAATTAATAAGCTCTCTTTCTTAAGGATTAGTGTCAGGATTTTAGGTGTATGGATTCATACATGCAGATTTCCAGAGTTTCCAATTCAACATGGAAAGTTCCAGTTGATGTTCCCGTTCTGCCATATCTCACCGCCTTCATCTGATCTTCTAATTATCTCACATTTCAGCCTTCACTATGCTTTCTATCTACGTCAGCCTACATAACCAGAGGTTATTAGGCCTACCCCTTACTTTATGACGTCTATGACCTTGGGCAATCAGCACACTCATTCTAGATGAACTTAATATTTCTGTCTATAAATATGGCCTAAAAACCAGACTGAATAAAACAAGAGCTTTCATCTGAATTATTCTCTTACTACCTTTCTCTCATAAAGGCAGACCAAAGAGACCCTTTATCTTTATCTTTATTCATCTTCCAGGGGTAAGCTACTATTCCACGGATGCAAGTTTCATGCCCCCACCGGGAGTATACTACATCATCTCTCGGAAAAATGCCAGGCAAGGGGGTTGCAGTGTATTCGCAACTGCGACCACTTCCCCGCGTAATTTTCTTGATCCCTCTCTTTCGTATGCAACGCATACGGATGACTGCTTCTCTGACGTCCCTGCGTACTGTGATGTGCGGTGTGTTTTTTTCTCCTGAATCTCTGCAGCGCATTTTTCTGTCATGGAGTTTCGATATACAAGCCCACTTACGCCATCGTTTCCAGCATGGCCCCACCGAAGGAATCATTCCCAGGGAAAGGGATTCGACGAGAGGTCAAGCCCGTCATATGTTCCATGGAGCTTTCCATTTTTATTTCATTTTTCATGCTGTATACTCCCCATGTATCATTTATATCTCATTCTGTGTTGTGGTATGTCCGAAGTAGACCTCGAAATGGGGCGGATCCGGATTCAACAGTTGGATCCTGATCCTGATCCACCGGATTGCCGGATCGAAGAATTGGATCCGGATCCGCACCGCGGTTCTACGTAGGGCGGATTGGGATCAATCCGTTTAGATCCTGATTTACATAAATTTGCCCAGTCTTCCCTTTTTTGGCTGGGTAAAATGATGATTCATCTAAATATAATATTGTTATATACACCTGTTCTGGTTAGTGCATGCACATCTCTCAAGATGCAGCCACTTTTTGATCGAAATCCTACGTTTTGAACTTGTATAGCACCCTCCTTTTGGAAGCCCACGCGAACGGCCGATAGAAGGCACTTGCTGTCCAGGGACTTGGTTGTCGCCATAACCCATTTGAAGGCACGATGAACGAAGGTCCTGGGTAGGATCCTCTAGGCTGTCGATTTGATCCCAAATTGCATCATATGCCTTCTGTAGATCCTCTGGCAAATTTTCGAGTCGCTTCCAATCACTCGACTCGGTTCTGCATCGTGTGATCTGGTGGACTTGCAGTGATGCCCATTGGAACCTGGTTCAAGTTAGCAATCATGTCAATTCGATCCAAAGGTATAATGTGACTTCAAGCTTACATTCCCTGGCAGCGCTCAAGTAGTCTCTCCACGACTTTGCCTTTTATGCGACCAATGAAAGCAGGCTTCTTGGCAAGCTTATCCAGCAGTTGGTCAAGGAATCACTGGATGTCTGGTGCATTCTGGCTCACTTGAATTGTGATGCTGATTCTTTGCTCCTGTTGAATCTGGGCTTGGATGTCTGGATCCGGGCGACTCGCGATGTAAATCTTCAGTGTGTTATTTGACTCTGCCAGAAGAGAATTGAAAGTCTCAATCAATTTATCACGCGAGCCTTGATCACACTCATCGAAACCTTCGATCACAAGCGTAGACTTGGTGTAAAGATTCAACAAAGCCAGAATCTGCTCTTGGCAAGCGTCAAAGCTCAACGTGGTTCCAGACTCTTCGGCCTGCCTGCACAGTTCCTTCAATTTGATCCGCACTGAATCGGGGTTGCTGAAGTTGAGAGCTGGCGCACATAGCTGTTGATGATAGAGAGCGAGTCCCTGCGGTTCTTCTCGTTTCGGTTGCAGTAGAAGAACGCAGATCCCTCATTTCTCGGCAGGTCTTCCATCTGGTCCTTGATAAGGTCGACGACTCGGGACGTGAGGTATGTCTTGCCAACACCGGCTAGCTCAGGTCAGCACGTCCTGAAATAAAAGGAGGAACTTGTCAACAAATTACGGGATCCCTGAAGCCAGAAAATACCGGAGGGTTGGTCTCCTCCCAACGTTGAAATCCCGGGTTTTGTAACAACCACTCGCCCGTGCCAGGGGTTCTGGTTTCTTTCATGTTATCGTGATGCTTTTCAAACTGAACAGGCGAAATCTTCTGCAAGAGTTCTGTGCGATCGGATTATTCTGTATTGTCAAACAGTATCAAATTCGCTGGTCACTCATTCTCCAAACACGATGCTACCAGAAATCATTCAATATTCGTTCCTGAAGAAGCTCAGATTTGCGGGTAAGGTGTCTTCAAGCCTCGAAATGGACTTCCCACGGGTATCAAGGAAGAAGATATCACGCGCTGGGGTCTCAATTCTGATCACCTATTTCTGCAGTCTACGAGAAATTGTGTCGATGCGGCTACCGTCACTTGGGAACCGTATTCTGAGTGCATGCCTTGTGATGACCCACGTGCAAGCGGCTAAGGTTACTCTGAGAGAGGGTCGTTTTGCTGGGCGGGCAACTTCTTCTGATTGCCCGAACCGTTTTTCTGCGGCACCTATTATTTATTGGCTTGTGAAGCCAACCCATCTCTCCATTGCGAACTGGGTACAGTGTCCTAACTTCAATATACTATAAAGGTCATTTATTATTCACAAAATACTATGGCTATCTTGGTAAGAGCCCTAGCCCCCAAAATACAGAACCCTGCTCTTAAATATGATTCATGCCCAGATTCTTTGTTATTTTACTTACTTCCCTGTCATAAAATACTTACACTGTGATAGATACCCCGCTTCTCTTCCCATCATTTCCACTGTGAAGAAAGCGACTAGTCTAAATATAATCCCGATGCCATTTATATGGTCAAGGCATCATCTTGTGTTCCTCACTCGTATTCCCAAATACCCCAGAAGGTTCCTCATAGGAGGTTCTAGCAAAATTATGAGGTAACATTGCATAAATTATACAGCTAATCGTCTATTTTTGCACTGTTTTGGCCCACTGGGGGCCGATTGGGCTGATGCGGGCTGTAGATTTCAACTCATAACCCACGGTGGGCCGAAGAATTAGGCCCATAACCCAGCCCATCGTGGGTTGGGTTGGGTAGTGGGCCAGGTGGGTTCTAATTATTTAACTGGTTCCCAGGTCGGCATGTGGTGCGCGAGCACATCAAAGTCTCAAATGCATACTATTATCTGCCTCGATCATCGACCATATACCCCTGCATCCGCGAATCAATCAGTCTTTTGAATTTGATGATATCACAGTGTGTGAAGCAGCAGGAAAAGAGGCCCTTCTATACTGTTCCAGTTCTGAGTGATCGATACAATATCTATAGTGTGGATCTAAACCGGGTGAATCGCTAGTGCTCGGCATGATGGATATGTCGGAGTCGTTGCCCGACTCGGTGATGTATCGAAGGGGAAAGAATATCTCGGGCGGTGGATTGGAATAATTTTAGAACAAGGGATATACAATGAGTCCACTACACGTCAAGCTTTGAGCTCACTGCCAGATTTTGTTTCCTCTGAAAACTTTGATGCACAGGATATACTCCTCCCAACGCAATGGCGATGTTCTGGAAAGATCGTCATGCAAAGAACTCCACACTCCGAACTTTGCTACAATCCTTCTGGACGGGGCATTTGCGAATACAGCTGCGCGCACATTGTTTGAAACACCACAAGAGCAGCCCAATACATGAAACCCCTACCATAATATCCAGAGCCAGGTGATCTCCAATCCACAGGAACATGCGATTATCCCAGTTATTCCATGAGCCTCCCCTCTCCTGGGTAAAGAAGATCCACGGCTCGGCACCTGGCCGGTCGTCCATCATAATACGATAAAGCAGGTTCTCCAGGTTCTCCTCGCCGTTGGCTTGTCCTCCAATCGAATGGTGGTACTTGTCCCAGATGGCCGTCTCAAACCACTGACCGCTGGCATAGCTGATCGTAACATAAGGGAAGAGATAGTTATGATCATAAGGAATAAGGGATTCTGTCAGGAGCTTCCAGAAAGGATGATGAGGGTATGAACCTAAGATGTTGTTGCTGAGGGCGCCACGGCCTCCATCGGTTGTGAAAATTGGGTAGTATAGAAGAGGTTCTAGACTCTCGAGGCAGCCCTTCGAAAATACATCAGCAAGCAGAGAGGTAGAATATCTCGGGAAGATCGTACATTGTCCAAATCGAGATAAATGCCACCATAATTTCGTAATAAGAAATATCGCAGCGCGTCAATTCTCTGCACGCGGTGTTCATAGCCATCGTAAGCTCTCAAGAACCAGTGATAGTGTTCTTCGATGAAAACTCGAGACTCTTCCTCTGACCACAGCTGTATGATCTATTGTATCAGAATCCTTGTAGCCTGCTGCTGAGCCCGGCCTCTTCTTACCTTGTGTTCCCAATCTGGATTTAAATCAATACAGTTCTGTCTATTTTTCTTCCAGTCCGCAGGCATCGACTGATTTTTCCAGTCATGAAAGACATTGTGGATAATCTTTGGGATATACTGGGGCCTAGAATCGGGGATTGTCGCATGGGCGATTTTGATTTCCTGTTGAGTGATGCTGATACCGGTGTGCTCAAAGAAGATCTGCAGGAAGGATACTAGACGGTAAAAGAAGTAGGCGACGAGGAATAAAATCGCGATGGGGTAAAAAAGCCGTAACCGCATCGCGGAGATGATAAAGGAGTTTGCTGGAAAGTTTTATGAAATTGAAAGCAAGTCAGGATTCATGTGGTGATGCTTTGTGACTATTGAACGCTGTCACAAGGTGGCGCAGCACTAAATCACGTGGATGGACAAGAAAAATTCAAAATGAGGCATCTCGTCACTATTTAGACTGAAGAAAATGACTGGATGTGCTGAAACTGTATGGACTTGTAAATCTGGTGTGCCGATGATATAGATGCAATTGGTTGATTCTGCTTATGGAGCTCGCTGAGGATCGAGGTTAACTTTCTGAGCACACTCAGGGGTATTCTGCCTGAGACATAGGGACTGATGGCAGTGGCCAATCAAAGTTCACCATAATTTATCCGTGGCGCGTAACCCACACCGCTCCGTCCGCCAGTGCCCAGCAAACTTCCAGTGCCTAACGATCAATTTGATGCTCTTCACTCTCAATATACCATAATCTAATGTGGAAAATACGGATATTAGTAATATGGAGGTTCCTGAGGCTCTCTGCTAGGCGTTTCTAGCATGTGATTATCCTCCGCGGCCGCCTTGGGCGTTGATTCCAAGCCCAAAGTTCTCTGCTCCTTCGCCTTCCGTTCACTTGCCTGATCTTCCCTGATCTTCTTCCCGCTTCCTAGCTGCTGTCTTCCGATTGGCATCTTTGGTAGTGAGTATACCGAATTTCCCAACCTCCCTGCGTGATTTGCGGGCAGCGGGAGGCATTGCAGGTGATTGGTTATCGATTGTGGAGGTTAGAAGCTTGATCTGTTCCGCCATCTACATATGCATACGGCTAGGCCGATCAAGCTGCCTACGGAGCTCTGGCTTCATATCCTCACGATCACCAATTCTAGAGGGTTTCCCTTGCGTACAGCGTGCTTTAGCGGCGGATTCGGGCGGAGAACTAGGTATACTGGATGACAGAGGTAGCGGAGTACCCCCGGTTGGCCTATAAAGCTCCGGCGTAGGCGATCTCTCTACATTCAGGCGATCAATCACAGACGTAGGCTAGAATAGGTATATACTATGTTCTGCGAATACTTTGCGGATTGTACGAGGATCAAGGGCCTGCCGTCGAATACTAGTGATCTCGCGGAAGAAGAAGCTCTTATCCTCTGCATCTCCGTCCCACTGAGCCGCTATATTATTCTTGTTGCGGAAGCTCTACTTTAAATCACGGAATAGGCTTCCATTAAGAGGTTGGATGCTATACCTAATATACGGAGGAAATACGCAAGGTAAAATATTCTAGGATTCGCAGAGAGATAGGAATTTACACGTAAGATGCGAGCTATAGCCATTAAATAGTAGTAATCTCTGCTAGCCTCGGTTACGGTTCCGCGTGTGTTCTTGGAAGAATTAAAGCTAATCAATAGCTATAGCGTCATTCGAATATCCGGACGGAGATACTGCGATTCGTGATTCATCCGAGAGTGTGCCGCCTTTATACCACCGTTCGAGATGCACTTCACCCTAGGCAACGAAGCATAGCTCCATCATCCAACCATTAGCTGCCACATACTCAGTTCTAGTCAGAAGCTCGCCTCGCTCACTAGAGAGTATCCTCGTACGCTGGCGATTGCGAGAAATAACCTTTTGAGGCTTTCCCTGGCTAAGGGCGAAGCCAGTTTCATCGAAATTATATATATTCGAAGGCGAGGTATTACGGAGGAAGCATTCTATTCGATCAAACTAGGCCTATAGGATGCTAATATCCTCTGCCTGGATACGCCCTCGCTCCGCTGGTTTCTGTTTCACCTAGTGAATGCCATCTGGTAGGCGATTTTTGACGAATTCGTATACCCACATCTTGTTAACGAGGGTTGCTGTATCACCGGCCGTTGCGGCAGCTATCTGAATCATCGCATTCGCACTCGATTCCACCATCCTGGCTGTGGGTGGAACGTGTAGGGCATCAAGGGTCTCGGTCCATTGAATCAATGCTGCTTGCTGCGAATCATCCAGGCGTTTGGTGGTGATAGGGCGACTCGATCGAGATTGCCGACCCTTCAAACGCGCCCGTAGCCGTTTTACGGGCACGTCGAATTCACGCGCCAATGGGGTGACTTTGGTGTTTTTTCGCTGCCGGCCCGACTACTACTAGGGGGAGGGTATTTCCTATTTCGGCATCAACTGCTGATTCAGCACTCACAAATCCTGTCAAATAAACCGCTCTCCGGTCAATTGCACCCTGTTGGTTGACCAGGGTAATGAGCGTACTGTATCCTCCAGAATCGACAAATGTCACTGGCCGCTCCGTATTGGACCCGCTGGTCAAACCTTCCGCGAATATTGAGCTAAGCAGACTTCGGATTCACACGCGCTGCCGATCTCAGCACAGACCACGCACTTCCTTGCAATCAATATTAAACGCGTTTACGATCTCCGTACCACCCTGGTTTGAGCGTTCCAGGCAGACATATTCCGGAAATGGACAGCAATCGTAAGCCTATGGACCCGTCCTAGTTAGGTCCCACTTCCCCGTGAAGGTCGATGACTCATGATAGTCTAATTAAAGACCCCCAGAGCGGTACGCTGGAGTAGACTAGCGATGCTTCTTCGGTTTTAGCCTGAAGACGGTTCTTGGCCTTCCTCTTGATCAAGAAACCCATAATGTTCTCACAAGGATGAACGTCAGACGCTTGGGAGCTTCTACCGGAACAAGGCCTGAGAGGGATCCGCCTGGTTTTGTTCCTTCTACCAAAAGCTGCGCCTGCCCCTTTTTTTAAACGAGCATTATCTAATTGCAAAGCGCAGCGCTATTTCTGGGGTTTTGATTGTCTTGTAAGGATTGTTTCTTCTCTTCACCTTTTCATGCTGAACACAACTGATCCCGTCCATTGAACTAGTGGCATCTTCAAGCTTTTTGTTTGATCGAGAAAGGCGACAAACTTTACTTTCGCGAACATACCGTGTCTTCATTTGAAAGCATTGATATCCTCGAAAACGAGTATCCGGTAGTCTCACATCGGACGACACGCGATACAATTCCTGTGACTTTTTATTCGCACAGCGCCCATGAACATCATGTCTCATTATAATCCGCAATCTCGTCCGGTTGCACGAGCATTGAAATGAAGCTTTTCCTTTCCGAAGAGGATCTATTGATTGGACCAATTCCTGATATGCTGTCACGAGAGCTGAACCTCCGGAATCTCTGCAGTGATCCTCTGCTGAGGATGCTTCGGGAGGTTAACACGAACCTGGAAAATCTGTATTCCGATGCAAACAGAAATGAAGATGAGCTTCTTGGCGTTTTATCAATGACCCTACACAAGTCGTCGTGCTGCTGATAGACTTTGACGCCGACCCGGACCGTGTTTGGTCTCAACTTCTTCCATGTAGCTTCTTCGAGAGAGCGGCTTTCTGTCCTATTTTAATGGGTCGGCGGTTGTAAATGGTCCACTTACAATTGTTACTACCGGCAACGTGCCATTCTATCGCGTCTTGGAGGGAAGCACCTTAAGGGACGTGCTCTACGATGCTCCGCTTATGGAAATCTTGCCTTTATCCTCGCAGAACCCACCTCAAATCTCCGACTACGGCTCTCGAAATAGCTGCTATGAATCTGCCGATTTTCGCACAGCAGTTGGAAGTATTGAATCTAACGAATCTCGGAGAGACAGCTCTCCAACGTTCGTCAACAGGTGCAGCTGGCCCATGCACACGGCCTTATAGTCCGATATTGGGGTACGCCAACTTGGCCCCGCGAGTTGCGAAACTATGTGTGTGGTATACTCCTGCGAGAAGGTGTAGATACCATCACCGCCGATGAATGGAGGGAACAACATTGAGCGTGCTCAAGAAGACAGGTTAATGAGATAAGAGTCACCTGAGTAATTTACATACATTGCAGGATCTCAGCAAGGTTCCTGCAACAATTTACCGTACTTATGCTCCGAGGCTCCTATATAGCCCATTTTTCCGAGATCAGGTACCGTCCCCTGAAGGTTTGGGGAGTCCCACACAGCCTAATTGACATTGAGGCCAATAATCATTTTACCTCCCCCCCTTCTCAATTAACTTTTGAAGCTACTCACAAATACGTGACCCGTCTGTCAATCATATAAAATAGCTGTCCGTCCTCTGCAATAACGATTTCAACCTCTGCCTCTCTTCTCCGGTCCTCCGCGCCCTAATTCCGTCGCGGTGAAGCAATTCAGCGCTTAGCTTTTTAGTATCACGTTAGTACCTCTTTATTTGTTGTTCAGCTTCCACAATATCCTGGCTTGGAATGAGGGTATTCGAGTCCCAACGTCTATTGCACCCCCTTTGAATGAGCAGGCATACAAATTGTGATTATATCGTTTTCGGGGCATGATTTGTCAAACTGAGGTGTTAGATTGCTGATATTCGTAGGCGAGCCATTATCCGCATTCCTTTATTTCTTTCGGAACTTTACATTCATCCATTCATGCTATATCATCATTGTGAACCATCCAGAACCTGCAAAGCGAGTTAAAGCGCTTAGAAAAGCTTCACAAAAGTATTGGACATTAAGAGATTTATGGGTAGTACGCTGGTTCCTCAATATCAGTGTTTTACGATACAGACTGAGAATAAAATTGCGACTTTGTCGGGATAGCTATATCAAAAGCATAGCTGTCAAATATCATTTCACAGATGAAAAAAAATGTGCCACTCCACTGTCCGTCGATGATTTGAAACCCTATTTGGGTAAGGCATTACCGCAGGAGATTGATCAATATCGACGGAGGGTTTGTTCTACGCATCATGACATAAAGGAAGCCTGGGCAGTCGCCATAAGAAGAAGAATTCACTCCTTGCCGAGGGTCTGCTCGTTAAAGACAGGTGGCGGCAGGACCATAGGCTCCTGGGTGCCGCTAGCCTCCTTGCCGCGGAACTCAGGAGTGGTGCGCTCAAAATAAACATGCACAGCGCCGTGGAGGATGGTGTCGTCGACCTCGTCCAGGTTAAAAATGGCCTCCTTCTCCTCGCTGTGGGTGGCCATAGCAGCCGCCCACTCTGCGCGGAACTCCTTAATCTTCATCTGGTAGTCCCGCTTAGGGTCGTAGTGTTTTCCCTTGCCAGTCATGTTCTCCCACAAAGACAGGTGACGCGGGTGCACGGCAGTACCGTGATATTCGTGCTCACGGCGCTCACGGACGTACTGCCAATGGCGCTCCTGTTCACGAAGGTCCAGGCCGGTGGTGTCGGGAAGGAATAGTAGCGTCAACAGAGCCCCAACCAAACCGAACCACGGCACGATGTAGAACTGTTGTTCGGTAGTGGTGTAGGCGCCGATGATAGAAATGGCCAGAGCGCCAAGCTTACCCGATGCAGCAGAGATTCCGTGGGCAGTACCACGAATGGGGGTCGGGAAGACCTCGGCGGCCACCAGGAAAGTGATACAGTTGGGACCGAATTGGTTGAAGAAAGTGGTGATAAAGTACATAGCCTGGAATGAGTGTATATGGGCAGGCTCTGTGTAGTGGTTGTAGCCAAAGGCCGGGATCACGAAGCAGACAAAGCACACCAAAAAGCCGATTATCTGCATCCATTTGCGGCCGTAAAGCTTGTTGTCGACGAACCACATGGCACAGTAATAACCAGCCATCTCAACAGCAATGTTAACCAAGTTCCAGAGCCAGGTAGTCATGACACCCGAGGTGTTGGGGTAGATGACTTTAAGGAAATTGCTCGAGTAGAGCTTGTTTCCGTAGAAGAAGACATCGTTGGCGAACCAGCCACCTGCGGTAGCGAGCACACGAGGGCCGAAGTACTGGAAGGTGAGCTTCAGCGACTCCACGTCATAACCAGTCACGGAGGCTTTCTTCTTTTGGGCATTCAGCTGCTTGCTCGCAGCCCTCATATGGTAGGTACGGTAGTAAATAAGCCAGAGAGTGAGAACGGCCGGGATAGCAAATGACACACGGTAAGTCCACTGAGTGGTGGTGTCCGAGATTTTCGATTCGCTGCCATCCCCATGGTTGAAGATGAGCAACAAGAGGATGAGGATAACCTGGTTCAAGAGCTGACCCCAACCCTGCATCAGGAACGCGCCGACCACTGAGCGACCACGGTGCAGACGGTCCTCATTGGTGATGACCCGGCCAGTCGAGTACCCCTTCTCCATACCGATAGTGGCAGTCATCGGATACTCACCACCAACACCAAAGCTGTAGAAAAGGAGGGAGAGAGCGTAGCAAATGACCCAGCCATTCAGAGTGACACCCCAGGCAGCAGTGAGCATAAGGAGGCCAGTGAACATTATAACGGCATCTTGAATGAGACCAAAGCGACGGCCAATCCTGCATTCTGCGTTAAGTACGTCGATCGAAACAGTGAGTGCCATCAGAGTGCTTACCTGTCACCAAGGTAACCAACGATAAGCTGACCGAGTAGGATACCAACAACTTCAAGGTAGCTAGCTGCGGCGATCCAGTTGGGATCGCAGGTGTCACCACTCCAACAACTAGCAAATGACTGTGACTCCTTGAAAATGGATTTGACGTTACTGATGGAGAAGAGGACGTAACTGTAGGGAAATGGGTTAGTGCCACGATATTCCTCTATCGGAGGTCGACTCACCCCTCCAGACCCAGACCAGCACCAGGGAGAAGGAAGTTCTTGAAGTAGTAGCTAATGGGCGACAGTGGGTCGGCTTTGAACATACCCCAGAGCCAGGCTAGTTCCTTGTTGAGCTCGGCACCATCCTGGCTGATACACCAGCTGATGCGGCTCCCGAAGGGTAGGTCAGCCCAGTAGGTGCCCTCAGCCGTGTAGCTGTCCGCCGGGTAGATCAGCTGGTCAAAAGCTTCTTTTTCATGTGTCTCCATGTCTTCCGACGAGGCGTGATCGGACTTGTAATTTTGTGCGTCCATCGTAGCGGTTCACCTGATGATCAGTTCAATCCTGCCACGGGATCAGCTGAGGACCCAAGAACCGTGGAGAATTCGTGGACCAACTTAAGGGATAAAATGAGAGATTTTCCCGATGACGTCGCTGATAAGGGAAGCGAGTGGGAGACCTTTCAGCAGTGCTGGATTGACCCAGGCGAAAAAGCAGGGGATGATTACTTCCTAAATAATCAATTACCGACGCTCGACGGGCCGCGGAATCACTCCTAAGGAACATGATTCTTTTCCCTTAATCCCCACTTACGATAGGAAAGAAAAAGGAAAGAAGACGCTAAAGGGATATTGATTTATGAACGGCGCTAGCACTGCCAGACAGGCAAGCACGTTGCCAGATGCGTGGCTGCTGGATGATACGGCGAGGGGGTCCACCAGCCCGATGATTTTCTAGAACGGCGCTATGTGTGCGACCCTCGGCAGATACAGCACATATCGTTGGCTAACGAGGGGTGTTAAGGTGTGTTAGGGTACCCTACGGGTCAGAGAGCAATGACAGACCAGCGCGACGCGATTGCTCAAATTTCTCATTCACCCACAATTCATTTCCAAAGTGTGAGTGCTAATCTTACATGTGGCGCACGTGGGTTGTGAGTGCCTTGCCCAGCGTCGCTCGGACTATCGACTCCGCCAGCCCTGAAGCTTAATTCGAAGCTCGGCTCGAGCTCGAAACGTCGACACCGAGGACTCAATGGCCTAGCCGGGCACCCGAAATGGGCTTTCCCTTGCGCGTGCATACTATTAGCCCGGATGTACGCTCCACAGTTCAGGAATCGGGGTTGTAAAGTATGTCAGAACTAGTGAAAGCGCTCAGTGCCTGAGATATCGACGCGTTGTCAGTTACTGAATTTTTCTCGAAGTCGAGTTGAGATTTTTTTTGCTTACAGCAAATGGAGTTGTTTCATTTCGATTTATATGTGATCTTTTTGAATGAGAGGTGCCTGCATGAAACTGAAGCGACCATAAATGGGCGCACGTGCTCTGGGCGGACCCATAAGTGGCTCGGACCCTTGCATTCCCGAAGCTAAGCCAGAAGCTTGGCCTCACAATTCCACGAGAATAATGGGTCGGAAAGATTTCTGTTGGTATCACCAGCTAGGTACCGTGTACACAGTTAAGTGAACAGTGTTCATGCTCCTAAAGCAAAAGTTGATTGATTCATGAATGTAAAGATCTGCCTCGGTCAGGTTCAGTGTTACCCCTAAATCCCATACACCGGAGCCGCAGCTTAGCGCAAGGTTACGTACACCAAGCACAGAGATGTGATCTATCAGTCGCGAGCGGTAAGTTACCGCTAGCTTGTTCTGACTGAAGGATATATCCCAACAGTTTCTGTTTAGCATTCCCGCTTCTATCCGCCGTCCAAGGCTCACTAGTCTTCCAAAATCGATCGTAAGCCCACATTAACACAATATTGTCAAACTGCACTTGCGTGTAGGCAGAAGGATACACGATCGGCTTGGACCCTTCAGCTTCTTGCTCATTGAACCAATGGCAAATCAAGACCACCCACGTGCGTCGAGCATCTCAGTGCGATGACGGCTATAAATATGGGCTTTATAGCCGAAATCTCACACGTCCTTCTTAGAGATCATCACTCAATTTTCCTTCCATCTTCCGATATTCGCGGTCCAACGGCTGTCAAAGATGCGCGCCGTCATCAACACCGTCACGGTTGTGGCTCTCGTGTCCGCAGCTACTGCCCAGTACACTCTCCTGGACAGGGATGTGCCCTATATCGGTGGCAACGTGTTCCAGTCTAACGATACGGCTGTTGCCAACTACCCCTTCTCCTACACTCCTCCCTTCTTGCCGGAGCAGTATGGCGGCTACTACTTCTGGTCGGTGAACAACAACACTGTCAGCGGTTCCAACTTCACCGGATACGGTCCGACAGAGGGCTACCACCTTCCGTCCGGTGCGACCGGCAAGTTCCCCTTTTTCCAGGTTAGCGAGGGCAACCCCAAGGCTATCAACAGCTCCAAGCTCTTCGCTACTTGCAACTCGTCTTCGGGTAGTTCCTGCACGACCACGCAGTGTGAGGGCAAATTCAAGAAGATCTTACACATCGTCTTTGAGAACGAGGCCTACGAGTGGACTATGGGCCAGGCCTACTGGCAGTTGCTGGCTACCCGTGGCAAGCTACTAACCCGTGCCTACGCTATTACCCACCCGTCCCTGCCCAACTATGCTGCCCTAGTCGCGGGTGACTTCTTCGGTATGGCTGATGAGGACTTTTACAATGTGAATGCCACCAGCATCTATGACCTTCTGGAGGCTAAGGGTATTTCCTATGGCACCTACGCCGAGTGGTACAACCCTATCGCTACGCGCCGTGGTGCGAACGACTGCAATAATTATATCTACAATGGGCCTATAGACAACACCAACCCCACCTGGTGGGCTCAGGTATACCGCCGCCTAGACGTCCCAGCCCTGCTCTTCAGCACCTATACTGCCAATTACGAGCGCTGCAGCAAGATCTACGGTGCTAATAACACCTTCGCCGACCACGTCAAGTCACACACTCTGCCGGAGTACTCGTTCTACGTGCCCGACATGCTGCATAACGCCCACGACCCTACCTCCGACAGCAACTACTTCAACCAGCCGAACACCGGTGCCGAGTGGCTCAACGCCTTCCTGGATCTGTACTTGCCTGAGCTGGAAGCCCAAGGCACACTGGTCGTCGCTACCTTCGATGAGGCCACCTGGTGGAACGACAACGACGACACCCCCAACAACGACAACCATATTACCACTATCCTGTTCGGTGCCGGCGTCACCCCCAACACTACCGACGACAGCTACATCACCCTGTACGGTATGCTGCGCGGTTCAATCCAGAACTTTGGTCTGGGCTCTCTTGGCCGTAACGACACCAACACCACCAACGGTAACCTGTTTGACCTGATCGACTACTACTCTTGCGCAAACACGAACACAAACCAAACAACCCAGTACTCCACTGGATATCTGTCTGTGGACCTCGCACGAATCCTCCCGCATGCCGCAATTGGTACCATTCTCGCATCGTGGCTTTTCTTTTAGATGGGTAAACGTATGTGGTGGCATGAGAAAGAAGGTTCAGAGCCTTTGATTCCTTTGTCGAAGTCTAAGAAACGGAAATAAAATCAATTGGCAATTTGGAGCAAAGCAGCCAGGTCGAGGCTATACAAAAGCGAAAAAGGGCTCCGTTCAAATGCAAATTGGGCATACACGGCGGTCTTGTAAATAATGGGGAGAACAACAGTATTTCAGATACGATCACATGATATTTTGGTTACATAATCTCTAGGATCACATAACGTAATTCACTACCCACTCGGCCACACCGCCGAGTCGGCCACCTAACTAAATTTACGCGCCCCAACGCGTGCTTCTATTTTCTACCAACCACCATGCCTCCAAAACGTGCTCAATCAGGCCGAAATTCCGTCGAACAAGAAGGGCGCCTTCTAGTAGCCCTACAAGCCATTAAAAATAAAGAAATCAGTTCTATTCGAACCGTAGCGCGCCAATTTAACGTTCCACGTTTCACGCTCACTGACCGCATTAATGGCCGCCTATTTCGCACCGAACGACGCGCCAATAGCCATAAATTGTCTGAAATTGAAGAGGATATGCTTCTAAAATGGATACTCTCTATAGATGATCGCGGTGGAGCACCTAGGCCGTCTACAGTCCGAGAAATGGCTAATTTACTACTCATAAAGCGCGGTTCGAACGTCATCGCACTAATCGGTCAAAACTAGGCTACAAAATTTATTAGACGACATCCTAAGCTAAAATCTCGCTTTTCACGTCGATATGACTATCAACGCGCAAAACAAGAGGACCTAAAGATAGTCGGGCCCAACAGGGGGGGGGGTGTTCCGCAAAAAAAGGTCTTGGCAAGGGGGGGGGTGTTGGCCTAAAGTGGGTCCAACCCAACACCCCCCCCTAAGTAGGTTAAATCTTGGTATTTTTCGGTCGGATCTTTTAAATCTTTTAATATTAAAGCCTTTCCTATCTTTTGGCTTATTTATATTTTTGGATTTCGACCTAGAATAGTGGGGGATAAGGGGGTCTAGTTTTCGCGAATTATTTTTGATGGGGGATACCAAGGCTTTTTCGCGCGGGTAGCCTATCCCTATTTAAGCTAGACATCCCTTATGTAAGTACTAGGCTTAGCTATTAGGCTAACTTCTAGACCCTATAAAGTCCTTAAGGCTAGTATCAGGGCTAATAGTAATCCTTTAATATCTCGCGAACGAGGTAAGCTATTAGAATAAGGGAAGAAGTTCTAGATACTATAGCCCTCTCGCTACTAGGCTAGAGGATTTATATTACGTAAGCAAGCCTTATACTAGGATAATTAGTAGGGAAAGGGAGTTTGAAACTTTTTACTAGATGACTAATCCTAGGTAGGCTCGTTTAATAGAGGGAGTCTCGGCGGTTAGATTAATATTAGTAGTATCTTAATTAGGCTAGTATCCACGAAGTTATTAAGCGATGAAATCTATTACGCTTAGTGGTTATAAATATATATCCTAATAATATATTATACTAATATATAAGAGGAATTAATAGAGTGATATATTCTTAATACTAGTAGGATATATATATTAATTCTACTAGAGGTATAGCGTAAAGGGGTCTATAAGAGAGATATAGGTCGATAGAATAATAGAGAGGATAGTATAGAGGATAGAATATAGGGCGGAAGGGGTTAGTTAGTAGGCTAGGCATAGTGGCTGCTAGTAGTATTTAATTATATATAATGTGCTATAGTTAGTAGTAGCTACAAATATATATAAGCTTAGTAGCTAAGGAAGGTAAGGTAGGGTAGTAAGATAGTAGGGTAAACCGGTCAACCGCTATAGATAATAAAGTAGGGTAGTATAGAGTAGGATAGTAGGGTAGGATAGTAGAATAAAGTAGTAGAGTAGTGAGTAGAGTAGAGCAGTAGAGTAGTAAGTAGTAAGTAGAGGAGTAGAGTAGTGGGTAGTAAGTAGAGGAGTAGGGTAGTGAGTAGTAAGTAGGGTAGTAGGGTAGTATTAGTGGGTTAGTAGGTTAGTGGGTTAGTAGGTTAGTGGGTTAGTAGGTTAGTGGGTTAGTAGTATTAGTGGGTTAGTAGGTTAGTAGGTTAGTAGGTTAGTAGGTTAGTAGGTTAGTAGGTTAGTAGGTTAGTAGGTTAGTAGGGTTTAGGGTTAGGGTTTAGGGTTTAGCTTAGGGTTAACGCTCAGGCTTGCCTTGGCGCTGGTTGCCGTGCCTCAAATCGGAAATAAAGGATGAGTAGAAAACAGGGTTGTGAGCAGGAAATTTACAGTACGCTTTTGACCTTCTCACCTTCTCACCTTCTCGCCCTCTCACCCTCTCACCCAAGTACACAGTTCCCTCTCGCCCCATATTCACTGAGTCGTCCAAATAACCTTGGATGGGTCAAGGCCACTTTTTCTGCGGGAGGCGTTCATGGCAAAGCCGGCAAGCCACTGTCCTTCTGCGGCTCTGGGCGGGAAGCAGAATCCCACCTTTCCTGGGGCGTGAACGGGCATCAGCCCGCTCCGTCAGTGGCGCAATCCCCGAGGTCGCTGGAGGATTCAGAGTGAGGGTTGAAACGCGATCTGACTCACTCCGGGCAGTCGATACGCTCGAAACAGTTCCCCCGCATGCTCATCGACTGGACAAATACGACCGAATGCGCCGCGTCGACCCCGACGTGACGTAATCGAGCGAGTCTTCCCGTCGCAATAGGCTCATCCACCGACGATCGTTTCCTGGATGCTTGGACTGACTGCTTCGTATTGCTTCCAGTGCTTGCCGTCGACTGGCGCCACGCCCATGCAGGAGTGTATACAGCCAGGCTCGTCATTGGCGTCCATTCGCGTGGTGGCCCACCGCGGGATCCATCTCCAGGCCCACGTCGCTCTTCCCCATGGACAACTCCACATTGTCGGGGACTGGGATGGTGGAGAAGGCCCGATGACCAGGGAACAGCCATCTCGCTGGCTTTGGCCTCTCGGTTCATCCGGCTGTGGCTCATTGGCGTCGGATAACGGAGAGGAAGACGCGTTGTGACCACGGTCCATGTACATGGATCTGACAGGCTCGTTTACCATTCGCGGCTCATGCCGCTCTTACAGTGACGAAAAAAGAATCGAGCGCCAGTGCTTGGAGCTTGTCAGCAGAGTCCGAAAGCGTCTTTCAGTCGGGGCGTGAGAAGGATCGCTGCACATAAAAGGATGGTGTCCCCAATGCCCACCGTTCCACCTCTCGATGTCCATTGAAGCCTTCTCCACAATCTATGCCGTCAGCTCGATCCAAGTGCCGTTTCTGAACATCGTGAAGTTATTTCCCAGTGCATAGTGGGCTTTGCTTACCCACACCGCTACCATGAAAGAGGGTGAGATCGTCGACCCAGTGCAGTCCAATGACAAGGATGACAATCCGCCGAGCTACGCCCACGCGGAAAAGAAAGAGACGCCTGGGCTCCCCGATATTGAGGGGACTCGAAGTCATCTGAATGCCGTCTTCGAGAACCCCTAGCTGGCATTTCACGACAGCAACTATTCAAAGATGTTGGAGAATTCTGTCGCAAGTTCGACCTGATGGACGACGTGGAGACTTTCAAAAAAGGCGCACTAATCTCTCAAAACCCTGAGTCGGCCACAATGCTACCAGAGCTAAGTGAAGTTGAAAGGGAGTCTCTCGTTCGTGAGCATACCCACAAATGGCATCAACCCTGGCAGCTCTACTTCCTCGCAAGTAAGTGCGCCGCATTCTTCGGAGTTTTTTTCGTGGATATATCCTAATACCGATTCCCCGGATAGTTATGTGCTCACTGGCGGCCGCTGTGCAGGGAATGGACGAGACGGTCAATAATGGTGCACAAGCTATCTACTTGAAGGTATACTTAAGAAGCCGATCGTCTCGGTGGACGCGGAAAGCTGACACAGCATATATAGCGACTGGGAATTGAAAACAGCGACAATCTTACTGGTCTGGTCGTCGGCGCGCCTTACCTAGCCTGTGCCATTTTGGGATGTTGGCTCACTGAACCTTTGAACCGATACTTCGCACGTCGAGGAACTATCTTCATTTCCTGCTTTATCGCGGCGGTTGCCTCGGTGTGGGAAGGGGTGTGTAACTCTTGGGTCAATCTCTTCCTTGCTCGTTTCGTGCTTGGCCTAGGTATTGGCTCCAAATCTTCCACCGTTCCCGTGTATGCTGCCGAATGCTCTCCGGCCCCAATCCGAGGTGCGTTGGTAATGATGTGGCAGATGTGGACAGCATTTGGTATCATGTTGGGTAACATCATGGGAGTCGCCTTCATGAATGTCGGCAACGACCTTAATTGGCGTCTTATGTTGGGCTCGACTGTGGTGCTTCCCTTGGTTGTCTGCGCCCAGGTCTATATCTGCCCAGAGTCGCCCAGATGGCTGATCCAGCATAACAAGATCCAAAAGGCCTACACGAACTTTAAGATTCTTCGGCCGACGGAGCTGCAGGCTGCACGAGACCTGTACTATGCCTATGTCGGAGTGGAGCTAGAGCGACAGATCAATAAGGGCAAGAACTTCTTCACCATGTTCATGGAGCTCTTTACGATCCCGCGGAACCGCCGTGCTACCCTGGCCAGTTGGATCGTGATGTTCATGCAGCAGTTCTGCGGAGTCAACGTCATTGCATACTACTCCACTACGATCTTTCAGGAATCTGGCTACGGTCTATCCAACGCACTGCTGGCATCCATGGGCACGGGTATCCTCAACTGGGTCTTTGCTCTTCCAGCCGTGTTCACGATTGATACATGGGGTCGGCGCAACCTGCTCCTCTTTACCTTCCCGTTCCTCGCAATCTTCCTTTTCTGGTCAGGTTTCTCCTTCTGGATCGAACCGGAGATCACAAATAGCAAGAAGAGAGTTGCGATGGTGACCACGGGCATGTACCTGTTTGAAGTCTTTTACTCCCCGGGTGAAGGACCGGTCCCCTTTACCTACTCAGCCGAGGCATTTCCCCTACACGTTCGTGAAGTCGGCATGTCGTGGGCTACTGCTACGACGTGGTGCTTCAATTTCATCCTGTCTTTCACCTGGCCGCATCTGCTCCGCTCGTTCAAGCCCCAGGGAGCTTTCGGGTGGTACGCGGCTTGGTGCGTAATCGGCTGGTTTTTGGTTCTGCTATTTGTTCCTGAGACCAAGGGTGAGTTGGCTCCCCTTCCTCGTCAGTTTTCTAATAATAACCTCATTGGATTTCTAGCTCTCACCCTAGAAGAACTAGACCAGGTCTTTTCTGTTCCTACCAGGAAGCATGCCTCGTACCAGCTCAAGAATGCTTGGTGGCACTTCCGAGTATGGGTCCTCCGCCGGAAACTGGAGCCTCTGCCCAAATTCTACCAAGGTGCATCCCGCCTTGCTGAGGTTGGTAACACTGCGTCCGAGTAGATCGCAGTTTACTTACTTTGGAATGTGTAATTTGGTCCCTGATATCGTTGACGGGTTTCACGCACATGTTTCATGGCTTCCATTTTGCTGTTTTTTGATGAATATCGATGGATACTACATTGGCTTTGCAGGACCGAAGACAATCCTAGCTAGCTAGACCATCTCTTTACTGCTCTATGATATTTGGTTGGTTCATACAACTAAGTACTGAGTATCGACGATAGTATCCGCATGCACCTAACTTGATCAGGTAATCTTCATATGACACTCTGAGTAATGAATATGCCATAGTAAACATCATTAAGTTCCTCTGAGATGCCTCCATCCAGTCTTCTCTCCCCCATCACTCAACACAAAGCATAGTGCTCCGTGTTCACTCCAGCTTCTTACTGAGAACGACCCCGTAGCAGACAGTGGCAACCAGGCTGATCAGGTTCACTAGACTAGAGATACCATGCACACGGCCAAACCGCTTGTTCAGAGCCACCATCTCCTTAGAATGGGGAGCAGGGTCGTAGCTCTTCTTGCCATCGCGGGTTTCTACCCCAATCAGTCTGTAGCCTAGGCAAGATCCATTTCCTTTAGCTAGAAAAGAGGCTTACCTTGGTGCTTCCGCTCGCGCATAATCTTCATCGTCAGTGGACGCAACACAATCTGGTTGATCAACCCAGTCACAGCGACGGTGGCCATAGGCAAGAGGGTGGTGTAGCGGTTCTCTGGGGCAGCAAGGCCCGAGATACCGAGCGCCTGTCCGCCTCTACTGGCTGTCAGAGCTACTACCACGGGTAACGCGGACTGCATGGAGAAGTAGATGGGGAAGATGGCCGCCTGCAGACTGGAGAATTGCGGGCGCGGCAGAGCGCGGAATGCAACTACGCCGCCGACGAAGGACTATGGCAAGGTCAGATGCAACGAGACTAAGACCTTGGAGAAGAAAGACCGATGATAAGGTTCGGGCTGATCTTACCTGGAAGAACTGTGTACCCAGAAGGGTACCGTAGCTACGGCGGTGTTAGTTGAGTTTTCGACGAATCTCGAACATCGTCTGATTGTTCCAGCTGGCATGTGATTTGACAAACCTCAGAACGTGGTAGGGGCGAGGATCCGTCATTTTGGCGACGCCTGTAAAAGGGACTGGTGGATGGCAGTGGAAGATGGAGCTGGTTAGGGTGTGGGCAAGACAAGCAAGAGGGATCATACGAGCCACTTAGCACCACGGCTATGGACTGGGATGAGGTGTTATTTCCACACTATTCTGTAACTACCTAATGTTAATACCACGCACTATTGTCAATACACACGCAGATCAAGTGATGTCATGTGCGCGCGTCCGGGCCTTAACCAAAAGGGAAATATCACGCGTCTGCCTACTGTTGCCTCGTTGAAAGCGCCCAACCTCGCGTCAAACCGAACTCAGATTCTTCCAACAATGGCAGACAAGGAGGCCACTGTGTACATCGTGGACGTGGCGCGGTCTATGGGGAGTACCGCAATGGCCGCTCCGTCACGGACCTCGAATGGGCAATGCAGTATGTCTGGGATAGGATCACTACCACGGTATGCATGCTGCGAGCCAAAAAAAAAAACCAGAAAACTAACATGCGCTCCAGGTGAGCACAGGCCGGAAGACGGCCACGGTCGGAGTGGTTGCCCTTCGAAGTGATGGTGAGCACTTCTCAGCCTCTCTGCAACTTTGTCTAACCAATGAGAATGCTAGATACATCAAATGAACTCCAAGAGGATTCCAACTTTTCTAATATCTCGGTCCTTGCGAACCTTGGGCAGTATGTTGCTAGCAATTGACTTTGGATAAATCATTCGCTGAGCCCTTGCCCAGAGTTCTCATGCCTGATATTCGGCGATTCCGAGATTTGATCAAACCAAGCCAGACCAACCGAGGCGATGGTATGTCTAACAACAGTTTGAAATGCCTCCGTGCTATTAAAGAGATATTGACTGATCCTTTTTCAGCTATCTCTTCCATCGTCGTTGCCATTCAAATGATCAGCAAATACTGCAAGAAGCTCAAGTACAAACGAGAGATCGTGCTGGTGACCAATGGCAATGGGCTGATGCCAACGGATGGCATCGATGAGATAAAATCGAAACTCCAAGATGATGGGATCAAATTGACGATTCTGTAAGTCGTCTAGGTTGTCTCACCCCCTCAAGTCATGCTAATTCTATCCAGTGGAGCTGATTTCGATGATGCGGATTACGGTGTCAAGGAAGAAGACAAAGATCCTCGCAAGGTAAAGCAGCTCACATTATCTTTAGTAATGAACAGTGCTGATTCGATTCATCTACAGGCTGAAAACGAACTTGTGCTGCGAGACTTGGCCGAGGGGAGCCCGAACGGCGCTTATGGAACACTAGAGCAAGCGGTCGCCGAGTTAGAGATTCCTCGTATCAAGGTCACCAAGAGCATGCCATCCTACAAGGGATTTCTTCAATTGGGGGATGCCTCGAAGTATGAAACAGCCTTCCGCATACCCGTCGAACGCTACTTCAGAACCTATGTCGCTAAACCACCTTCTGCGAGCTCTTTTGTCTTACGGTCCGGCGCTGCACCAGGGCAAGAAGAGGGTGACTTGGCTCAAAGCCAAGTTCCCGGAGAAGGCAATACACTGACCTCTGTGAGGACCTCTCGGACCTATCAAATCACTGACGAGTCTGCGCTCGGCGGTAAGGTCGACGTCGAGCGAGACGACCTTGCAAAAGGCTACGAGTACGGACGGACAGCCGTCCATATCTCTCAAGAGGATGAGAATGTTACCACATTAGAAACCTTCGCAGGCTTGGAGCTGATTGGATTCATCATCAACGACCAAGTAAGTTCATCGATCAACTCGATATAGACGTTAGAAGCTAATTTGCCCGTGCAGTACTCTCGATACTTACACATGTCCAACACCAACTTCATAATTCCCCAAAAGGCCAACGATAAGGCTGCTCTTGCATTGTCATCTTTCATTCGTGCTCTCCACGAGTTAGACTATTACGCTGTCGCCCGACTTGTGACGAAAGAGACCAGGCCTCCGATGATCGTGCTGTTAGCACCATGCATTGAGAAAGAGGATGACGAAGTCTATGAGAGTCTGATCGAAGTTCAGCTGCCATTCGCAGAAGATGTGCGGTCCTACCGGTTCCCACCATTAGACAAAGTGGTCACCGTGTCAGGAAAGATCGTCACTGAACACCGCAACCTTCCGAGCGATAGCTTGCAGGAGGCGATGAGCAATTACGTTGATAGCATGGAGCTGGATCTCAAGGACGATGACAAGTGAGTGACCATTGCAAAATGTATCTAGGTCGAAGGACTGATCAACGTAAACAATCCAGCAATCCAATCGATGGTCTGCCGATCGAAGAGTCCTACTCTCCGTTGCTGCACCGTCTTGAATCCGCGGTGCGCTGGCGTGCCGTCCATCCCAATGACCCCGTTCTTGAGCCTGCGGAGCGGTTGACCAGATTCGCCCACCCCGACGAAGACATCGTGAAGAAATCACAGTCATACCTGGACGCACTGAAATCCGCAGCAGACGTCAAGAAAGGTAAACACATTCTGACCCCAGAAATGAGAGACGTGAAATCATAACCGAAATAACTCTGTCTACAGTACCACCGAAAACCAAGGGCCGCAAACGTCAACGCGAAACTGAAAAGCCCCTCTCAGGCCTCGACGTCGACGCCCTCCTCAACTTGGAGCCGAAGCGCGCCAGGATCTCGCCTGAAAATGCCGTGCCAGAGTTCAAGCAGATGTTGTCGCGCGCCGAAAGTGTGGAGACAATCCACGACGCCGTCAAGCAGATGGCCGTGATCATCGAGGCGCAGGTGAAGCACAGTCTTGGCGATGCCAATTACGAGCGTGTCGTTGAGAGCCTAGGGACAATGCGGGAGGAACTGGTGGACTACGAGGAACCTGCGCTCTACAATGACCTGGTGCGTCAGCTCAAGGAGAAGATCTTGAACGAGGAGCTGGGTGGTGATCGACTCGAGCTGTGGTGGCTTGTGAGGAAGAGTAAGCTCGGTCTCATTGATCAAAACGTATCCGAGAGATCTGAAGTCTCGGAGGAGGAGGCCAAAGAGGTGAGTTTGAATCCTATCTGGTCGGTGGCTAAGAACTCATAGACGCTAACTCGGGATCTCGTAGTTTTTGTCCGCCAGCTAAACGACCTTAAATTGTTATCTTTGTTAAAGGGACTTTACTATATTGCAGCATAAGCGAGATTAGCACTACTCGTCAGAATGATCTTTTTCTCAGCTTTAGGTCGTAAGTCGATGCTAAATCGCAATGATCATATTAACAAGCTTGCAAGGCGTTGGAGACCCTTCTAATCATCGCCCATGCTGGGAATCAAATATCGTGAAAATGTTCCACGCAGTGAACGCTCAAGTAGAAACTGAAAAGTGTAAAATGGCCTGGTGTATATAGCATGCTCGTCAAAGGAATGATGATTAGGGCCGATGTGCTTTGGTCCAAAAGCAAGAACATTAGGAAATCCTGCCGATGCGCTTCTTGCCAATGTCGAGCTTGGCTTTCAGTCTAGAAGAATAGTTAGTAAAGCACATCCCAGAAGCCAGGTGCGAAAAGAGAAGAGAACGAACCGATCGGTATCCTCATCAGCCAACTTCAAGAGCTCATTCTGCACCTCCAACTCATTATTGATAGCAGTGCCCAGCTCCCGCTGACGAATGATGATTTTCATCAACTCTTCAACGCTAGCATCCTGATCCTGCATCGTCTGCCGCTGCAGTTGCAGCACGCCTTCATTGTCGAGTTCGCGAGTGCGCTCTGTCTCTTTTCCAAGAACCCTCCCTGATCTTGCCGGAGTTCTGCGCCCGTTGCTTGCGGCATCACCGTTCCCAGCCCGAATTAGTGCATCCTTGTCCTGTATCGACGCTACGGCATGGTCAAGTCGGCTCTTCGTTGCCATAGCATGCAGCAAGTCCTCCAACCCATCTTTCTCCTTGCGCGCATTAATGAGCAGATCTTTCCGACGGCGGAGCTCGCCTTCACCGAGGCTCGGCGACGCAGCCGAACCGCTGGATTGATTGCCGCGGTTGCCGAGGTTCTTCAGGCCTTCTTCCAGCGTGGTTATCATGGACGATGCACGCACGAGACTGCTTTTCGCCTGTGCGGAGCTCTCATGTTGCTTCTGTGGCGTGGTCTCCTGGTCTCGTCTGGAAAGCTGAAGTCGAGCGTCGTGGAGATGGGCTTTCATGTCCCGGTAATAGTCAAGCCAGAGAGTAGGGTCTGTGATCGGGGCGTTCGCTGCGTTCCCAGGGTCTGTGATAGCGGCATGAAGCCTTGAGGAGGTACTGGCCGTAGTAGTGGATGACGAAGCCGCGGCGGTCGGTAAGTTGAGAAATGCTCGCCACGCCGGCGAGGTGCGCCAGCGGCCATCGGGGGACTCGTTTATTGCCCGAAGATATTCCTCCAGACCACAACGGCGCTCTTCACGAAACCGCTCGTTAGAGACTGTATTGGAGAACCATGACTTCGAGGGCAGTTGTACCGGGGGCTGTGCATTGGTCTGATTGACCAGGGTCGCGTGGAACGTTGAGAAGTCGGAGTAGCGCTTGGAGACGGTGAAGGAGCGGAGAGGCAGCCGAAGGGTGATGTGATATATTGTGTGTGGGGGAGTAGTGGGAGAAAGGGACGTAGTTGGAATAGAGATCTCCACGCTCGGTGCCATCGCTGTCAAGGCGGTAGAGGCATGGGACTTCCAGAGTTGAGGAGTGGAGGAGTTGAGAGTTGAGAGTTGAGAGTTGAGAGTTGAGAGTTGCGGCGTCGACGCATGACGCAAGGTGCCCGAAGCGGTCTAGTCCGGGCTGTCAGGCACCGGATCTATCCCAGGCAAGTCACTGGAAATACTACACACGGGATTATATATCTTCGTCCGTTCCTAGTAGGGAAATGAGTAGAGCCATTCAGAAAGTATTTAGCAATTTGGGTATCTCATTATGATTGCCAGGTTCAACCTTCAAACCATCCTCTAACTGACCCAGACCTCCCGTGCATCCAGCAGATCGCGCTGTCCGAAGAACTCACCCACGACGGTGATGATCATATCGAGCAAGGCGCGAGACTGTCGATACACTGCTCCTTGATCTGTAGTAGTGGCTGCTTCCGAGCTAGCGCTATCCAGCAGTCTGGCCTGTAATCGTGCCTTTGCCGCCTCCAGTTCATCCACTTGGCTGGTCGCGTCGGGCATTTCAGCTTCTGGACCATCCGCAGCCTCCCGCGGTTCTTCCAAGGTTAGATTAGCTGAGGTAGCTGAGGTTTCCGATATTTCATCTTTTCTAGAGTCCGCGTCAGACGCTTCGGCCTCCTCCATGGTCTGGCTATTCTCCGCCTCTTGCACTTTTTGTAAGATCTTCACGGCCCGTTTCCCGAGATCGCGAACCTCTCCAACATCCTCTGTCGCCAGCTCTCCAATTTCGCGACACTTGCCCAATAAACCCCAAGCCCAGGCGCCGATGCGTCGAATGAGCTCCGCGTTCCCACCCCGGACAGTGTCGGACAAGAGTCGGGCCGTAATCTGCAGCACACCTAATACGCTTTCCAGGTCCATGCAGGCTAGTTGAACCATCTGGGGATCCACGGAGAGAACAAGCTTCCGCCATTCCTTGCGCGCGGCATCGACTCTGCGGGGGAGGCTGATAGGATGGGTGTCGTCGAGGGCGGCGATGGAGGTGGCGGGGGGTGTGCACTTCAAGGTGGATCGGAGGAGAAGAAATCGATGTCGGAGTAGGGTATAGTAAGATATTTGTGCTTCTGGATATGAGTCTTCGGCGGGCGCGATCGTGTTGCTGTCCGTCTGGACAGGGGCGACATAGGCCTCATCCTCGAAGAAACCGGCCGGTAGGGATAAGGACTTTGAAGCTGTCGGCAAAACCGAGGGGGCATTCTCCTGTTTTGAAGCTGGGGCAAGGAAGAGCGATGGTAGCGAGCTCGCTTCGGATCTAAAAGCTCAATCCAGCAGGTCAGAGGCAGGTTCGCAGCGCAGGCACAGAGGAACTGGGGAGGTCATGGCGATCTTTAGCAAGTGATCAATACCGACCAGGAAGATGTAAGCCTACCGGACCATGCGTAGGTATTCCAAGCCATCCTCGGCGGGGCCGTAGAAGAGTTCGTCGTCGCCGCCGTCGTCCAGACCCGGGAACGCGTTCTTCTGGCCGTAAACGGGGTGATTGCGAGGTCGCTCGTGAGATGCCCCGGTCGACTCGCCACTTTCACCTTCGTCAAAGACTCGAGGCCGCTTGGGGGAGGGCCCTTCCATGGTTGATTTCCGCTTGTCTGGCATCGCGGGCATTTGCAGGAGGAAAAGTTGGGGGGAGCTTGGCGTTTATCGACCGCGGCTTATCGGCGTTCAGGGCAAATCATGAACGGCGGGTTCTTCTTACTTGGAGCAAGGGTAACTCCTGATTTAAACATATGGGACTACTGAAAATAATGTGGCAAATTTTTGATTCTTCATAATGACTGGAATAATCTGCCAATGTTTCGTCGTCGGAGTGTACAAAGTAAACAGTGGCTTATCAGGTCATCACGATCTACAAGAAAGACCGTTGTTAGGATTTTCAACAAGATACATAGCAGAGAACGTAGGATGACTCACCAAGCATTCACAACCTTAAACGAGCGCAGCTCATCATCGAGGCAACCAGTGATGGCGTCCTCCTCGCCATATGTGGGCGATCCGCTGCAATCCGTGGAAGAATAGAGGTACATCTGGAGAGCGTCGCTGGTCGGATCGACATAGACAGATGCCTCGTTGCTGGGAATTGTTACGCAGTCCTGAACACCCCCGCCCCCTTGAGACCAGTTGTTGGTCCCCTTGCAACCGTTGTCGGTGTAAGAAGCGACACTCCATTCGGCGGCCGCCAGGGAGATGAACGAGACGGAGGCTAGGATTGTAAAGCGCATGATGATCACTGAAAATAGAATTGAATCTTTTGCAAGTGGAGGATTTTTGACAGTGTGTGGCACGAGGAGAAGGCCACTCGGGGGCATTGAAGTTCACTTTATACCCTGAAGGGGTTTGTCCCTGTGGGACCTGAAAATAGTCGTTTGACCTATATAACTCTCTGTTATGTACCAGCTTACAGTAGCTTCTGGGACGCAAGCCTTGTCCTGCAAATCGATCTATGTATTGATGGGTCCTTGTGGAAGGACCGAGCCCCACAGGTTGTTGGGATTTTTATGGTCCACTAGCGCCAGGCGTTATGCCCAGACAAAATCTCAAATTCCGTGCAGATTGACTACGTAACATTTTCCTAGAAGAAATAATACCTGTACATCGAGGCTTGAAGGGACCGATTCTTCACAATTAAAAGTGGAGCTAAATGATGAATGACTATCTAGGTAGTAGTACTGTAGTACATAACTACTATCGTGCCAGGCTGGCCTTAATAGTGGAGCCTAAAGTTTTTTACACGTTTATTTATAGGACTAATTACCTTCCTAATTAGGATCAATGCCAATACAGGAATCACAGCCTTGTTGTGCCTTGTCGTGCCGTCCGGCCCCTTCGACGAGGCTGTGACTTTAGCCCCCATCATCTCGCTGTTTACTATATATAGTTAGTTAGCTATTGGTTAAGGGAATCCAAAAACTGATGTACATACAGTGATGTGCCATCAATTTTGGGCATTCAGCTTATTAGGCCTAGAAATGGAAGATCCCTTAGCTAGTTAGGCAAGCCATCTTTATATCCCTGTCATTAATCTCCTATTCGATCTTGTTTAACCCCTAAGACTATACATGTTACGGTCGGAACTACTATGTGCGCTACTTATATCGGGCCTGGGCTATCGATCCTCTAGAGAGGATCGATATAAAGGATCAATATAGGTTTTTTGGCTCAGTGGTAAGGCGCGTGCCCAGGCGTACCTTAGCAGTATACCCTTCTGGATCAAGAACTCGATCAAAGTTAAAATCAGTGTGTTGAATTAATATATGGGTTAAATCGATATATGGAGCGATCTGGATATAATTAATAACCAACTCAGTAGAACTGGAAAATCCCGCCTAATGAGCGGGTGCAGCTCATTAGGCCTGGAAGACCGGAATTATAATACTGCCGAATCCGAGGTCTTGGCGGGCCTACTCCAAGGCCTAATGAGCTGAATGCCCATCCATTTATCTCTCCATTGGACCGACTCGCAATGCCGGTCCTAACAACAGAGCAACTCCAGATGCGAGGACATATTTTAACATCATGACTCAAAAATAGTACATCATAAATGTGATAAAGATTTAGACCACTCTGATACAAAAGATTAATTGATCTGGCTTAGAATGGGCTGATCCCCGATATGGTTGCTGCCGGCCACAAAATAGGGGGAGAAGGGAGTTGGGAATAGCTTCATCGCAAGTACATCGGTCGCTGCCGGGGGGATAACATAAGCACAGTGTGGGTGCTAACTATGGGGGAATACCCGCACGGGCCCAGTAGTGTGTTCCAATCAAACGTGCAAAACAGAAATAAGGTGATTAGTCATGCGGGACTACCTGACTCCACTTACCTAATACAGGATAGTTTGGCGGGCTTCACTGAAAGTCGACATTGAATAGCTACCCTGGGGTGAGTGGCGTAGTGGTTCAACCCACTGCTGCATTAAAGCAAGTCCCGAGTTTGAATCCCGACGATGGACCTCATTTATGAGACTCCGGAGGGTCGAGGACGTTCGCACCTTCTTCCGGGAGGAAGTAGGAAACACCTCGTCAGCATACCACTGGCAGGCAGCGACTTCCGCAAAACCACTAGTTCATCACTACGCAGGTTTTATAGCCTGGACCCCGGACACCACGCTGGGACCATCTGGGTGAATTTTTTTGCAACTTCTCCGAGTAGCACCGGTCGAATTAGGGCATAGGAACGATGCGCCGAGGTCTAGGATGGAAGGCAACGCGATTTTGGACTTGATGGGGGCTAAATTGATCCTATTGATGGATATGAGGGTTGGTACATGGCACCCAAGTCTCAAAATCGCTGATTTCTCGCGATTTAGTCTGGCAAACTTAGAGGATGAAGCATTCAAAGCATTGGAAATTTAGCAAGTTAGCAAGTTATCATTTGCCATGGTTGTGACTAATATGTGACATGGGAGGTGGGCTTTTTCAATACTTCATCTCGACCGAGACATGCAGCGCGGGAACTCCAATTAACAATCACAAACTTAAGAAAAGGGGAGTCGCCCCATCGATGCATTTATTTTTCTCCGAGCCTATCTACACAGATCATGGCAATTAAGGACGCAGGCGCTGCGGGTCACGAGGGAACAGTGACGCCAGGCGCACATTGGGCAGACCGAGGAAGAACATCACAATGCGGTTCAGACCCAGACCACCACCGGCATGCGGGGGACAGCCCTGGCGGAAAGCATTCAGGTAATCCTCAAAGCCCTCCTGGGTCGGGTCTAGGCCCTTAGAGCGCATGGAAGCCTCCAGCTCATCGATGTTGTGGATACGCTGGGCACCAGACATGATTTCCTCGCCACGCATGAAAAAGTCATACGAGTTGGAGAAACGCGGGTCTTTCGGATCGGCCTTGGTGTAGAAAGGACGAACGGACATGGGGAACTTGTCCAGCACATAGAAGTCGGTATCATATTTGTCGCGGATGATCTGGCCCAGCTGCTTCTCCATTGCGGTGGTGAAGTCATTCTCGAACCGCTCCTGCTCCGACATATCGACACCGGCCTCCTTCAAGAGAGCGAGACCATCCATGTAGTTCAGACGCAGGGCCTTGCCGTCCTTGGGTAGCTTGAAATCACCGGCCTTGGGGTAAGACTTCTGAATATTCGCGATCTGAGCGCCGTATCGCTCCTTAAGCTGGGTGAGAATGAAAACCAGAAGATCTTCGGCAAAGTCCAAAACCTCATGGTAATGAGCATGGAAGGTCTTCTCGAAATCAAGACCGACAAACTACCGGCCGGTTAGTAAAAAAATGGCTTTTGTATTACTAGGCAACGGTCATACCTCTGTCAAATGTCGATGGGTGTTGCTGTCTTCGGCACGGAAAACGGGGGCAACCTCGAACACACTCTCCATGTCTCCAGCGATACACATCTGCTTGTACAGCTGGGGGCTCTGGGCCAGGTAACCACTGCGCTTGAAGTACTTGACCTCAAACACATTACTACCACCCTCAGTGGCCGCACCGACCAGTTTGGGGGTGAATATCCACCGTGAACCGCTTTTGATCATGTATTCGGTGAACAGCTCAGCAACTCCGCTGGAGATCTGAGTGATGGCTTGGCTGGTTTCAGTCTGCAGGTCCAGAACTCGGTTGTCGAGACGGGTCTTGAGAGTCACAATAGGTGCACCCTCAGCATCGACCTGAGCACCCTCATCGGTGGTTTCTGGGGGAGGGCGCTCGGCATCCTTGACCTGCATGGGCAGCTGCTGAGCGGCCTCGGAGATCATGTAGACCTTGCGGATGTGGAGCTCAAGGTGGCTGAGGGTTGCCGATGAGATAGGAACTTCGGGCTTCTTGACAATACCGGTGACCTGAACGATCGAGTTGACGTTCAATCCACCGGTGTATTTGATCATCTGTCGCGAGATAGGCTCAGCAGCCGCAATAACGGCCTGGACCTTCTGGCCCTGCTGTCGCAGCATCAAGAATGCCAGCTTGGCACTCTGAACTCGCGCATTGTCGACGCGTGCTACAACAGTCACTTCCTTCTCATAAGAGTCATCTGAGAACTCGCTGAATCGTGTGGTGGGGATAACATCCTCGGTCTCGGGGATCGGGCCGTACAGGTCCTTGGCTGTGTCATTGGCGTCCTGTGCCGCGGCCTGGGCCTTCTCCTGCGCGGCACGGGCAGCCGCCTTCTCAGCCTTAGCCTTGTCCTTGGCCGCCTTCTTCAGCGCATTCTTGCTTGCACTCTTGCTCTCGGCACCCTCCGCGGCGGGCGCGGCGGCCTCGTTGGTTTCAGGCTTGGGTCGAGTGGGAAGTTCGGAGTCCGCCATGATGCTATAAAAAGGGAGAATAGTTAGCGGCAATGAAGAACTGCCGAAAGGACGAGCGTCTTACCTCAATGATGATCTTGAAAAGTAGAGCTTGCGGCGGTTAGAACATTGAGTCACCCCGCCGCGGTGGCAGCCCTAAGCCCTAAGAGGGGTGTACGTCACATGACCATATCTATACATGGTCCGGACGCGACAACAAAGCTGACGAAACAGTGGTTTTTTTTTGAAGATACAGATGCCATTGGAATCGCTGCAGAATGTGGAATATCACTAATGGATATAAATGGTATATACGCATGGAATGAGCGCCATGTTGATGCCTATGACCAAAACATCTACTGCCCTGGAAGAAGGCCGAAGCAGTCCTGAAAGGCCCAGTTTGCTCAAGCAGACCATTTGGATGCCTCCAGTGCCCACTGCACTGCCTTCTGGACGTCATCGGCGATCGTCTTAGGCGTCCAAGCAGGCTCGCCACCACTGTACACGCCCGTTCTCACCAGAATTGACTGCCAGCTACTGCCGATGTTGCTCCGGTATGAGTTTGCGCCTCGAATATCGGACTCCGGGTTGTCACCAATCATGTACACGTGCTGTAGGTGCGGCAGATTTGTAGCGCCGCCAAAAGCCGTTGATCGGTTCCGAAGCATTTGTCGCTCTGCAAACTCGTAGGTCCCCTGGTAAGGCTTCCCAATAACGGATTTCTTCAATTCGATGCCTTTGCCGGGGCCTCCGGTCGTCGCAGCCCATACGCCCCCTAACGCTTCTCTAAATCCACCCTGACCAAGACGCGGGAGTGGATAGGCCGCAGCCCACCACAGATCGGGGTTAGAGAAGTATAGGTGGGGCTGGCCATCTTGTTGATAGCCGTGATTGGGAAGATCAGCCCGACCATTCTTGTCTGATAAGGTACCCAGGTGACCCTGCGATGACAGGAGAAGATCCATGATGACTTGTGTATCTAGTGCCCAGTCCCTGGGGTCATTGAAAACAAACATGGCATCAATCTTGAGACTCTTGGCTGGGTCTCTGGGGTCCACTGGCTTGGGAAGAGGCCTGGCGAAGGTCTTATAGTAGTCGTAGAAGTTCTTCGAGAATGGCCAGATAGATGGGTTTGCCATGAAAATATCACCTGGTGTCACAACATTCTTGAAACCGTATTGCTCGGCGACACGCCGACAGCCATCACCATCACCCCCAGCAACCAAGACGCATTTATGTTCCAGCGCACTCGTCTCGTCGGTGCCCTTGACCAGCTCTGCAAATGGCGAGTGACTCTGAACAATATCGGTTGCATCCAGTGGAACGTTGAGCTTTTGACTGATCTCCGCAACGCGCTCCGTCTCGTGTTTACCGCCGCCGTTGGTGAGAAGGATGAAGGGAATGTTCTGCCGTTTCAAAAGAGCCAATGTCTCAGCTGCACCAGGTATAGGCTTTGAGGCTCGAAGAAGGACTCCATCAATACTGAGCAAGAGTGTTAGATGCTGGTGGAACGGGTTCAGTCTTATGCATACATCTCACTCACTCAAAGGCGAACGCGAAGTTGGGGACCCGTGTGGAGCTGGCATTCTGGATAAATCGGCGACCGAGATTGCGACCAGAAGATAAACGCTGTATCTGACCCAGTGACTGCCAAATTGTGTGAGGCCGCATTGTGTGCTGGGTGGGAGGGAGTTGGAAGACGAGGATGAGTTGAAGGGGAAGGAGGAGGGTGATATCATCTCCGACTCACCTCCGCCCCACACTCGCATCTCCGATTACCCGTTATCCGTTATCGTCAACACTGCGTCGCTAGCTTCTGTCAACCTCCACAGCATGCTTTGATCGTGGTCGCGCCACAACTGGTGAGCACTAATGCCATGTCGTGTGGAAATGCCACTCGCTCCATTTGACTCAAGCCCTCTTCGTCTCTCCTTCTCCTACCCCTACTCCTACTCCCATTTTTTCATCCATCAATGAAAACACCACACAGGTCTAGCCGACCTTATTGATGTCCTCACCATCATGCCTTCTGGACAGGGTATCCATCTCCCTGACGAGATCGTCGAATTTATCGTGGGCTGGCTGTATGAGCTTCCTCGCCACAGAACGCCTGACAGTCAAGACCACCGGAGCCCGGATTTGAAGAGACAGATAGACCTGTGGGCTTTCTGTGCTGTTTCTCGCCAATGGTATCGAGTCGGTCTTCGGCACCTTTATCGCTGCCCAGCACTATGGGAGAACAACAGCTTTGCACTTTTCATGAGAACTGTCAAGGGGGCCAGCCCAGACCTAGGGTCGAAAGTCATGATATTGAATTTGCAGAAATTGCAACACCAAAGTAGCCCTAGCCAAACTGCCCGGCTGATCAGCTGGACAAAGAAGGGCTTACGAAGTTTCTTCGCCCCTCGTGTCTCATTTGCGTGAGTACTAGATGGAAAAGAACCTTCTGACGACCAACTAATCCCTCGACTAGGACCAACTGCCTGGCCCCGCTGTCCAAGTGCAATAACATCACTATGCTAGATCTCAGTCTTGTCGGCGGAAGATCATTCAGTTTTTCGCGCTTGAAGAAGGCTATTTGTAGCCTTCCAAAAATCTCCACACTCCGTTTACCAATCTCCGTCCCAATCACTGACCCGAATGACTCCACAGGCCAATGGCCATCCAGTCTATGGAATATGCACATAGGAGGACTTCTTATTCCAACGGTCATGTTGTCATTTCAGTGGCCGCCGAATATCAGCTGCTTAACGGTTTCAGGATGCCTCGATCTGAACCCGGAGGTCTTAGAAAGCCTACTGGGAAACACACAGCTCCGAGATTCGCTGAAGTCCTTGACCCTGAGACCTGACAACAGGTACATATTCGATGATTCTAGTGCCATTCTATATGAAATGGCTGCTTTGTATCATCTCGAGATTCCCGTGGATTTGATGTACCCCCTTTGCATCCTGCCCAGCTCCTTCGACAGTCTGCCCATCCGACATCTCGTGCTGTCGAAGCCATACGACGAAGAATTCTGGAAATCAGCCTCAAATCCCGATGATAATTCTTTCAAGAACAGAATCGCGGAGGATATTTACGAAGCGTTGGATGAAGGAGAAAGCCTTTCAAATATTTGGACTCTGGGCGTCGATCCAAAATACAAGCCCTGGGCCTGCGAGCACCAGCAGGACGGAATTGAGGCTGCAATCATACATCATCTAGATGACTTCCTGGATGAAGAGCTCGATGAAATGCTCTTTGAGGAGATGGGAATTTACTGGGCTTCAGGATAGGGCTATACAGTGATGCGTGTAACGCTCTTAAAGAAAAAGTCCCAGTGACATGACGACATGTCACAACATTGAGTTATTCCTCAATCAATGAAGAATTTTTGCGAAGAGTGGCACACACCTAAACTGACATTAATATAAGGCTCGGAAATATTTGGCCCCTTTTCATGCACACTATTTCGTCTATTTGGAACCTTTTGAGCTCAGTAAGAGGAGAAAACGCATCGAAACAGGCTTGATAGCAGAACCGGCCCTCCAAATTTTGTAACGGGCTTCGTGGGACACGTCAAAACCAAAACAAAAAATCGCCTTGGAAGCTTGAGAGCGATTGCACAAAAGAAGATAAACAGGGCATGTGAACGAATCCTCATGTCTACTACAATTTGCTATAAAAAAGAAAAATAGGTTAAAGGACATTAAGTGACAGATGCAAGCACCGCAGCAGCAACGCCCTCCTCTTCTGCCCGGACAGTAATCTTGGTCGTGACACCGCTCTTGCTCGAGTAAGCCATCTTAATGAGGGAGGCCACTCTGCCGCCAGACACGGTCTTGCCGAACAGCTTGAGTGTGTGGGTGCTGTTGTTGAGGGCGACATCGGTGCCCTCAAGGGGTTGTAGGGAAAGTGCGGAGATCAATTGCTCAGTGGCATCTAAAATATTGTAAGCAATTTGGTCAAAATGAATAAAAAAGATGAGAACATACCGGTGATTCCCTTCATATTGCTTAGTTGAAGAGTCTCGCTCTCTTCTTCGCCGTTAGCACCAGCCTGTTCCCAGACGTGGTCGAAGCTGCCCGCGAATGCGGGAGTGACATAGTCGCTGCCAGTGAGCTCGAGATCCTCGACCTGGTATTCATCCTCGTAGCCACCCTCTTCCGGTTCGCCGGTAGTAGGATCAATCTCCTTGCTAGTGAACTTCAGGTTGTTGGTGAAGGAAGTGATTGGAACGCTGTGCTCGCCACCCAGTTTCTTGAAAGCCACGTAGACGACACCCGGCTCATTAGGAGACAATGTAGGCGCTGGAATGATGAAGTCATCCTCCAGCAGCTCATCCTCCGATGGTGTCGCAATCACAGTGACATTCTCAAGGATAGTATCTGGCAGGGTGTTCTTGATATCATATTGCACGACAATATTCTCCTTGAAGATATGCTTGACAGCGGTAACGACGTATTCAGTCTCACTCTCAGACAGCTCGACAGGGAGGGAGGATTTGAGCAAGTTGCCATATTCCTTGATATCGGGGTGCTGAATGAGCTGCTCGGCATACTTCTGAGTAGCGGCGGCAGTGGCAGCCTCGGCCACGCCGCTTGGCTTGCCCTTCGGGGGCCCTGCTGACGGAGCCTTGAGGGTGGGTGTGGCTGTCGTAAGCTTCTTGGTCCTTTCCTCAGCCAAGGCCTGCTCTTGAGTGACAACAGGAACAGATGCAACATCGAAGGCGGCAGCAAAAGTTTGCTTGTCATTCGACGTCACATACATGACGAGCTGGTGCTCAAAGGTAGAAAGGGAGTACATCGAGTCTGGTTCGTCAGTAAGAGGAACCATTAGAAGAATTGTTTAATGGGATTCTTACCGTTCTTGATAAATGCGCCGGCCATCGTGTCCTCCGCGCCCATCAGACGCAGGTTGAGAGCAGCACGGTCACGCACCTCATCATCGGTATCATCGAGACAGCGAGTAAGGAGAACTTGCACACTAGACTTGACTTCGGGATCCTTCTGGCCAATACCAAACTTAGCAAGCGCAGTGACAGCGGCAGCACGGACGATGGCATTCTCCAGCACGACACGGTTGTAGATATAGCGAATGTACTTGGTGGGGTGCGAGGTCTTAGGGCCTTCAACACCAAGCAAGTGCAAAACGCGGACCGAGAGCTTAGTGAATTCGCAATCCTCAATAAACTCGCAGAGATGAGCGAGCGCTACCAGAGCGTCAGTCAGATAAAGTGAAAGGGAACTCCAATAGCGTAAACTTACCATCCTCTTTGCTCTCTGGAACAAACTTGATAAGATCGAACATGCTCTCCACTACGGTGCGCTTAAATTCGTATCCACCCTCATCGCGCAGGATGCCGCTCAAGAAGGTCAGCATGCCAGCCTGCTTGCTCGGGAACTTCAGACATAATGTGCGGATGGCCTCGACAATGGTGATCTTGAACTCGTCGGTGATATCGGCCATGAAACCCGAGATTTGTTTCATCAAGCGGTCAACGCTGGCTTCGTTACCGGTCTTGAGCAGAGTAGTGATGGCAAAGGTGGCGATAGAGCGGTTGGAGTTGGAGATAAGCGACTCGATGTCGGGATTGCAGACATTGACGACGTGGGGCTTGAAGGTAGCAAAATTGTGAAGGATGCGGATGGCAGCGAACTTGGTGATGGACCGCGGGGAGGACAGGAACAACTGGAGGACGTGAACTGCCTGCGAGGCCTCGGCATCGGTGACATCCCGCATGTCGCAGATGGCTTTGGCGGCCTCGAAGTTAACCATCTCGTGCTTGTGACGTAGCCAGCCATCCAGCATCTGCATCATGGGTTTTCGCAGACCCTGGTCTTCCTGAGCCAGCTTGGCCGCCAGACGTACCAATAGCAACAAAGCCGCCGGGCTCTTCACCACACCAGCAGCACCGTACTGTTGCACCATTTTGACCAATGCCATACGATCGTGCGAACGCATCTGATACAAAAGACCGATTGCATGGTACTGGGTCATGAAGTTGGACTGAGAAATAGCGTGGGCCTGCGAGCTAGATGAGAAGCCCAGGAATCCCTGCGACTGCTTCGATGACGAGGCTGCTTCTTGAGTTTCGCTTTGCCATCTTCGTACAACATCGCGCGCGATAGGGAGGAGGTGGTAGGAAGAGACCAGAGCAGCCGAAGAGACCGAGGGAGTCTTGTCGACAATGGCAGTCTTGATCAGTCGCTCAATACCCTGAACCGTAGATCCATCAATGATTCGGCACAGGGCTCGGATAGCGTTGGCCCGGTACAACACATCGCTTCCGACAGCAGTGTCCTTCATGATGATGCTGGTCGACATAATGACATCCTCCGCGGTATTGGCCAATTCCTTCAAGATAAGATATACCATCTGTCGCAACGAGGGGTCCTTGTTCTGGAACAGCTTGGAGATACCAAAGAAGAGGGTGGTAGCTTCGTTCGTGGGGAATTGCTCCCCGGTGAAAAGGAGGACCGCGATCTTGGTCAGTAGAGTACGGCATGTCCGCGGCGAGATCGGCGAAGAATTGAATAGTCGAGCTATCAAGAATTGTCCAGTCAGTAATGTGCAGGCGGGTGTAGGGGTGTCTGATGAGCCGCATGGACAGGGGCACTGTCGTTGTCATTGCCATTGCCATTGTCGAAATGCATACCATCTTGGAACACGGAGGTCCGGTCAAGCTTGATCATGACCTGATCCGCATCTTCATCTTTCTTCATGTAACTCATTTTGCCCAGGCGCTGGGATTGCACCAGCGGAGTGTGCTTGCGATCTCACTTTGGGGCGGGTGGGTTTCAATTGGGGGGAAGGACACAGTAGCAGTAGAGTCGGGAGGGCGGTGTAGCCAACTACTGCATGCGCATATCTCACCCCCGGTGAATGAAGCGAGCAGGTAGAAGAAGAAAAAGGGGCGGAGAAACGGGAGTGATGAGTCGCAACCTCGAGCTCCACGGCACTGTTTATGGAGTTAAGTTGAAGGTGGCCTTCCGTGTGTTTAGCAGCCACCTGTGGCGGCGGATCAAACATTGCAAACAAGTGGCATCATGGTGCCAGGGTGCCTCGCGCCCGATCTCGACCTACACGTTACTTTAAAACCCTCGTTTCCAAAACTTTGCGGGTTTGGGATAGCGACTGTCTAGTCGTATTTATTCAATATGCAAGTCGAAGTCAATCCCAACGAAGACACCGAGTGGTATGTTTCCTAACCACCTGCCGCCCGCATCCCCGCCCTCGAGGACCTATTAGCGAACAGGGCCAAACTGAGTTTTGCTTTTGATCCAGGAATGACATTCTTCGTCAACATGGCATCATCCCCGAGAAGCCAAAAGACCCCGAGCCCTTGATTCAGGAAGCTCTGATCGAGGCAGAGCGGAAGGCGCACGAGAACCGTCTGGAGGACAAGGACCTGGATGAATTGGATGCATTAGAGGATGAGGAAGATGAGGACTTTCTCCAAAAATATCGGTAGGCTCGTGGTGGACCAGATTATCATATGCGCACTTTTCAGACATGCTCGAGAAATCAACTCGCCTAGCTAACCTCCAACCCAATAGTCAGAAACGCCTCGCCGAACTGTCCACCCTCCAACAGACCAGTCTTTACAACCAAGTCTACCCGCTCCAAAAAGTCGATTACGCTCGCGAAGTGACCGAAGCCTCAAAAACCGCCTTTGTGCTGGTCAACCTCACTTCACAAGGTGCCAATGTGGAGTCCCGTGTGCTGACCGAGCTCTGGCGACAACTGGCAACCAAGTATGGCGACATCAAGTTCTGCGAGATCCGTGCCGATATGTGTATCGAAGGGTACCCGGAGCGGAACACACCCACAATCCTTATTTATAAGGACACTGAGATCCGGAAGCAGCTCATCACGCTACGAGAGTTGAACGGCCCAAGGACCAAGATTGAAGGTAAATATGTTTCCGTCCTTGATGCATATTCTGCCTGACACTGCTGCTAACCCTGTTATAGATCTTGAACGACTGCTCATTGAAATCGGTGCCCTAAAGGAAAGCGATGTCCGTCTTAAAAACCGCTCTGATTCGGTGGATGACTACCGTAAGGCTGGCGGCGACGAGCTCAACATTGAGGACTACGATGACGACTGGGATTAATCTTTCCGTGTCAACTATAGACCAACCGGAAATTTCATGAATTGATGCTTGTACATTATGAAACACCGCTCAAACAGAGGCGGTAACCAGCCTGCAGGAATGTGGCATGAAGAGAGCAGAAGGGGAGCCAAAAAAAAAAAAAAGGAAAGGAAAGAAAAAAAGCTGAAACGAATTAAAGATCGCGGATCGCTCCCGGTATCGAAGATGATGTTGTCGACTATAGGCAGAGACAGTCGCAGTTCTCATGTGCGCTGGCGGAACTGGTAGGACATGAAAATCAAGGACTGATTTCCCGTATGATTGAACGCGAGCGGTGTCTGTCATTGGCATTTAAGGCTGGCCAGAAATCCACATAAGAACCTTTTGTAGACGAGATTAGTGCTACAGAGGGGTAGCATGGGCTTGATCTCAGTGTGGCAGCGCCTGAGACTTGAGGAACGACACCAATCGCCGTGTCGAACGTTAGAAATAAAGGGTGGAAAGTAAATCAAAAGAGACGTCGGCTAAAGAACTAAAGCGCCAAGGCAACGAGAGAAACAAATATCAGGCCAGCCGCAGTCAGGAAAATCCTTCGCCATCCCGCTAGTCCAGCAGGTCTAGCGCCAGAATACTCCAAATGTCGCCATATCCAACCACTACAAAAGAAAAATCCATATACATAAAGAGCATGTAAACATCACATCGTAAGATCGGAGGCATTGAAGAGGCATCGTAGAGAAGAAAAGACAGTCTCAAATCAACTCGTCGCAATCGGCAGCACTTGCCTCGATAGCCCGACGCACCTCGCTCTCCTTATAAGCCGGACCTTGTCCATTGCACTGAGCAGACCCCTTGAGCCGATCCGAAACATCATTAAGATTCACCTGTCCTCTTTTAAACAGCTCATGGCTTTGTATGAGGTCCCACGTTGCGGCGGCATCGAGAAGTTTTTCGCCGGTAATTTGACATACTGCGATGCGATGCTGTGGACTCTGGAAGTTGGCCGTGCCTGGGGACGAGCTTGAGCCCAGACCTGAGGCCGGACCTTCTGCGACCAAGTTTGGTTGAAAGTCCGTGGGCGTATACTTCATCGGACCGGTGACGGTTGGTTCGGCGCTCTCTCTTGCGTCGCTGTTGCTCCCGTTCATTGATTGGGAAGTCGCACGTAGAATCTCATTTTCAGTGGCAAATTTGGCGAGCTCGCGCTTCAAACGCTCGTTGTCGGCTTGGAGGCTGGTCGAGGCTTCTTCAAGAGTGGTCACTTTGTCTTCTAGGTCCTTCACATGCCGCTCTTTGCGCTCGCGGAATGCTCGCTGACTATATAACCGCGGGTTAGCGTAGCTCAAGCTAGCCTATGATATTCTTCCACAAAGACACCCAAACAGAATGATCAGGCATAGTTCTGAGGAATATTTCCACATACGCGGCTCGGTTCTGTGCTTTGCGCTTACTTTGCGCCGGGTTCAACGATTCCTTTTCTTCGCTGCTGCTCCGCCCCGCAACTGTGTCGGCAAACTGGTTCTCATCGCCATCAATTGACGTGGGATCTGACTTTGCATTATGGGTTGGATCGTTACTAGAAACCGAATGTTTCGTGAAAGAGTCCGGCGGCGAATGTGGTGGCGGTGGGACAAAGGAGGAAGGGTCAAGGCCTAGAGACGGATCAAAGCCGGGAAAATATTGGTTGTAGGTATTCTAGCGCACGAAAGTGTCAGTGAAAACGGTACACGAAGCAGAGTTAGCCTCGCCAAAAGCGACAAGGACTCATACCAGGGAGAACGGGTCACGGAGAGCCTCGTCAGAGGATGGTTGTGGCTGTGGTTGTTGATCGGGGGTCGGCAGCCCGTAGAGCGAGTAGGACTGAGGTTGTTGATTACCATAGTTGGAGTAGTCCATCGTTGCGACTCGGAGGTCGAGCTTGTCAGGTAGGTTAGGATAGTGAGGAGGAGCGGAGGGCCGGAAGGGCAAATAAGGATCGAATCCCCCAAGATTTCATTCGTGGTTTGTCACAACCCCTCGCCGGTGCCGCAATAGCGACCAACTACCCAAGACCAATCGAGCGTATTGGGCAATGCTGATATTACGAGTGAACTCACTGTTTCAGTGAATCCTCTCATCTGACAACTGGACCAAGGATATTGATTGCATTAATCCGGCAGTGCGGAGCAAATGGACGGGCCAGAACGGGAGGCGAAACTACTCGATGATCTCACCGAAACTCAACGCCCCCCCAGGCCTATCCTCTGGCTTTTTACGAGGTAACATGGAATCGCAAACTACGGAGAAAATACTTGATATTAGATGGTGAAGGGCCAACGACAACATTCCCACTAGGAAACGGTGGTGGCTGCTGAGTTTGTAGGATCCAGTGCAACCAATCCTTCCAGTCTCGTGCGGAGTGCTTGTCATTCAGGGGGTGTGGAAAATGAAGCGGAGCGAGCATGTAGTTGGGTAGGACAAGATAAAGTGCTAGAACAAACAGCAGTGCAAGTTGACGCAAAACCACCCCGGAAGCGACCCTAACCATATCCGTCGCCAACCACCAAATGGAAACTGACTTCCTTCGAGCGGGGGATAATGCAGGCTAGGCTGAAGAGGACCGGCAGAAGAGCCGGATCAAGACCCAAATAGCCCACAGAAAAGCAAAACACTCGAAAGAAAGCCAACCTCCAATCACTCCCATGCGTCATCAGTATTTGACCGGGGTTTGCCGGTCTTCCCCTCGTCCCCGTTCGGCGTCGAAATGCAGTAAAGGACAACAAATTTCAAGAAACAAGGAGCAAGAAAAGCGAGGCAAGAAATGTCATGGGTAAGGAAAGGGGTAAGGTAAGACGGGGTAGCGCAACTGAATGCGGGTTCGGAATTTCCAGTACAAGCGATCCCAGCAACAGAAACATAAAGTTCTGTCACCAGGTTGACGCCGTCATTTGCATCTCCTTCAGTCTTGCGGTTGTAGTAATTTGCGAGATTCGATCGATGGAGTGGAAACCGGGTCGCAATAACCGACAAGCGCAGACATAAGAATAGCCACCATACCACGAACGTTTCGAGACTGAGTGATCGGCTGTCCCGTGAGAACGGGTACAGGAAATCCGAATAGAAAAAGCAGTCGACATGATTGCCGCAAGCTCAATTCGAAGACCCATCAGATGAGAATATCTTCGTGGGGATGAACGGTGAGAGCAGGCGAACAAACAATGATAGATCGAAACGGTTGAAGTCGAAGTTGGATCGAAAACGGGATAGAAGGGCGGTCAGAGAGTGCAGAATGAATGGAGATTCAGAGAAAAGAGAAATCCGAGAAGTCGAGTGCAGGATGTGCGTCCATGGCGAATGACAATGAGAATTCCGGGTTTCTCAGGTTGACGAGTGAGCACGCTGAAGACAAGGCAATCGGAAAGATATGTCAAAGAACCCTGCTTCCGCTGCACGTGCTACATGATTAGTACCATTGAGCCCCCGTTCCATCGTCCCGCTTCGAACGGCCACCAGAAGGTCCATAAGCACCTAAAGCAGCACCCTTTGAGGCAGAACGCAGCCTAGCGCCGAAGACTATGCGATTAGTCAGATTCAGAACCGAAGGATCCTCCACGCCAGCGTCACGTAAAAACACCAAATGCGCAGAAGGAAAAAAAAAGGGGTTCCCTACACGGAACCAGATTTCAAGTACTCACATCCTGTCACTCCCTCCCACGGCACGGTTGGTGTCCGGAGTGTTGTCGAGGGCACCGCGGTCGATAACCTTGCGGCGCTGGCCAGAGATGGCTCCAGGTTTGGCGGCCGCACCGCCAGCCATGGCACCAGCGGCAGCAGCACCTCCAGCACGACGTTGCTGCTCGTCGTCCTTATCTTTCTTGGTAGCGTCCACGATCATGGCGGCGTTCTTCTGGTACTTGTAGACAGTCCAGTCGAAAACGTAGTCATACTGGAAGGACTCACGGACGAAGAGGTCCCGGAAGATCTTACGGAGGTAAGAGTAGTCGGGCTTGTCATCGAAGCGAAGCGAGCGGGTGTAGTTCAGGTAGATGGCGAACTCGTTGGGGAAACCACGGCACAGAACTTCAGTTGGTGTGGTCATCTTCTTCTCCATGATACGGTCATACTTCTGCTTCTTTGTGGCAGCCTTCAGACCCTGCCAGGGAAGAGAGCCACGGCAGAAGTACAGCATCACGTAGCCCAGGGACTCCATGTCGTCCCGACGCGACTGCTCGACACCCAGATGGGTGTTAATACTGGCGTAGCGAGCAGTGCCTGTGAGGTTCTTGTTCTCACGATAAGGGATGTGGAAGTGAGTCTTGGGGTCGCGGTACTTCTTTGCGAGACCGAAGTCAATCACATTGACTTGGTTGCCACGCTTGCCGATGCCCATCAGGAAATTGTCGGGCTTGATATCACGGTGGATAAACGACTTGGCGTGGATGTACTCGATCCGGGAAATGAGCTGGTCGGCAAGTAGCAGCACGGTCTTGAGAGAGAACTTGCGGTTGCAGAAGTTGAAAAGGTCCTCGAGACTGGGGCCCAGAAGGTCGATCACCATGGCATTGTAGTCGCACTCGGTACCGAACCAACGCACGAAGGGGATACCGACACCGCCGGCGAGGGACTTGTAGACACGGGCTTCATATTCCAACTGGGGATGCTTGGCCTTCACGCTCTCGAGTTTAATGGCGATCTCCTCGCCCGAGATGATGTTGGTACCTGGACCCTTGTGAGTATTCGCCACGGCACAGGAGTGTTTTAAGACACATACCAAGATAGATATCACCGAAACTGCCGCTTCCGATCTTACGGCCGATGCGGTACTTGTTACCGACACGCAGATCCTGTATATGATGTCAGTGACACGCGGGCGAATTCTTTCATACTCGAGGTTATCGATAACTACGAGTGGTCCCTCCACGAGAGATCCGAGCGATCCTGTACCGGGAGCAGCCGGTACTATCTGGAGAGAAGCCTGAAGGGAATAGGTACTGACCATGGTCGTCATTTTGGATTGCTTCAAATGGCACAGCTTTCAGCCGTACGAAATGACTAGAAACTGCCGAAGTGGTGGTTAGATTGGTCGAGACGAGGTATCCTGAAAGAAACAGAAGGCAGAATTTGTTTGAAGAAACGTGGGCGATGAAATCTGGCGCGCGTCAAAGCAGAGAGGGATTGGAGAGGGGGTGTGACAACTGAGCCTCAGGCAGATGAGGCTGGCTTTGGGGGCTCAGCAGACTTGGCCACCACGTGCACAGAAGGCAGCCAGGCAAATTGCTATCTCGCCAGGAGGCAGGAAGAGGAGATCGAGATGGCAAGGAGAGGGTTGGAGGATGGCATGGATGGGGTGAAGATGAGACCGAAGGTGAGCAACCTACCTGGAAGCGAAGGATCAAACGGAGATGCCCAACGCCGACCGTGTAGGCCCGACCGGAGAATTGGGGAGGAAACGGGGGGTGAGAGATGAATTATCGGACCAGGCCGAGAGCAAAGTCGCAGAGAAAATAAAGGATTCAAGGGCAAAGCCTTGAAAGCGGCAACGATGGTGAGAGAAGAAGGAGGGAGGGAGGGGGAAGTCGGTGAGCGGTATTTTTCCCCTAGCGAAGGAAGTCGGTGGCTGTAACATGCAAAGGACAAGGCGCCGAGCGGGCATCCGTGTGACATCCGAGGTACCTCCCCCGTCACTGTCACTGCTCACTGCTCACCTCGAGGCGTGGGTGACGATTTTCGTTCAGATACATGATGGACATGAGGGAGGGCATCTCTACCGTCTTTTTCGTTGTAGCCATACACCGGCTTAATCCTAGTGTGGCTCCATGGAGACTCCGTATACATAGATCCCCGTCATGGTATTTCGGTCTGGACGCAGCCATGGTCCTCAGCTGACCCGACAGCGCTTGCAGGGCTCCAGGACAATAGCGGACATTGCTTATATCTAGGTAATACCTGGATACCGACAGGTAAGCAGTATATCTACCTACGTACAATCCAGTCCTATGCGTCCGATACATTCTCTCAAACCCGCGATTCCAGCCGTGCGGGATTTTCCTAAACGGGATGTCTGATCGGGCTATCATGCATCGCCCTGTTTGCCCAGCCCAGGTTGCCTTATGTCTGCAGTAAGATTGTACAACTGCATGGAGCAAGCTATGATGCCCATCCTACTCTAAGAGAAGACGAGCAAATCAGAAACCCGTTTACCCCGAATTGGAAGGCGAGCCCAATATATAGGCAAGAGGGTTGGTTAGGTAAGAACAGAGCGACGTGGAACTTCCGCATACAGAAAAGATGTTGATTTTGGACTATAAGTAGAACGACGAATTCATACGGGGGGTTGTGCTAGTGGTACAGCCAGGGTCCAATGAACATCGGAAAACCGGGGTATAAGAGAAAGGAAAATAGGGGGGAAAGGGATACAGAGAGCGAACGAAAACAGAATCAGGAAAAAGAAAAAGAAAGAGGCAAAAGCCAAACGAAGGGAAACCCGTCCCTTGGTGCCGATGAAGAGGACGGAAATCAACGCGCATGAAAGAAAACCTCCATCATACAAAGATCATGTTTTCGCGGAAATGCAGAGCGAGAAAACGACGGAAGTCGGGCAGAATACATGGGCTAAGCGCTCAGAGGGTGCAGATCATTAGAATCTCAGAAGACATGGTCGTAGAATGGCGGGAAACTGCACAACTGCAGTGCCTAGATTACGTTCGAGGATGGCTGACCATTGCCCGCGCTGACCGGCTGGGCCTTGCCGGCAATACCAGCTCGTTCTTCCTCATCCAGTCTTCGTCGCCACTCTGCCAAGCTGTCGCTCATCGCGGCGGGCCCGTCGCTGTTCTCCTTAGTCGGGGTGCGCTCCAGGTCCAGCTGGCTACTCAGGCGGTAGTTGCGGTTGGTGCTTTCCCAATGAGTGCGTAGAGCCTCTAGCTCATTGGCAAGGGAGTCTAGGGCCATGGATCCACGATTGTCAGGAAAAGAGGTTGAATCCTGGGAAACACTGCTGTCGGCTCGGGCACGCCCTCCGACAGTGTTGCTAGATGCGTTGCTGTGGCTGCGAGAAATGCCATTAAGTCCGTGGCCATGTTGAGACTGACGGCGGTAATGACCCACCGAGGTCTCCACCTGCTCCAGGAGCATATTGACTCTCTGTTCCGCATCTGAGGCGCGAGTCTCCAACAGTGTGTTTTCTTGCTTGAGCTGCTCCAGCTCAATACGGCTCTGTTCGGCAGCAGCAAGGAGACCCTGCCGGGTGCGGTCATGCTCCGCCTGCGACTTCTCTTTTTCAGCCTCGACAGCAACAAGCTCCTCCTTCAGTTGTGCGATCTGACTCTCTAAGCTCTCGAGCGAGATCGAAGTGTTCTGCTCAATATCGGAGATTGCTTTCTGAAGGCGGGCGCGCTCAGTCTCCCACTCTGCTGAAGCCTCTGTCCGCTTTCCGGCGTTCTCCAGGCTCTTCTGGGCTGCTTCCAACTCAGACTGCACCTTGGCATTCTGACTCTTGTATCGGCCCAGTTCATCCTTCATCCGCTTCAACATTTTTTCAGTGCCCTTGACATAGTGGACAGCCGATTGGTAATCATTCTCAAGCTGCTCCAGTTTCTCCCGGAATGCCCGGTCAGCCTCTTGCTCCCGACTCTCAAATGTCGTCTTCAGGTCATCATGGGCTTTCATGCTGGCTGATAGTTGCTGCTCAAGTTCTCGCAACCGGCTTTGCTCCGGGGTGCCGAATCGTGATCCCGGGGACTCGAGGCGCGGTGATCGTCGGCTATCTGTGTTCACGCCGCGTTCACCAAGAAGATCCTTGAGAGCAGCATGCTGGACGCTCAAAACACCGGCTTCCCGATGATGGGATTCGAGTTGGGTTTTCAGATCTCTGCTTTCGGAAATAGCCGCCTGGCTCTCCTTCATGGTGGTCTGAAGCTGTCTGCGCAGCTGCAGGCCTTCACGGCTGGCCTGTTCTTGATATGCTTCCAGACCCGCAATGCGTTCCTCGGCACGTCGTAACTTGTCCGCTGCGGCATCTGCTGCCGCCTGGTTATTCTTGGCGATTGTGGTCGATCTTTCAACCTGGGCTTCGAGAGCAGCCACGCGTTGATCGGCTCGTGATCGAATCGAGCCCTCCAGGTCTGTTGAGGAAGCACGTTCCAGACCGGACACGAAAGCCATCTTATGAGTTTCGGCTTCTTTGGCATGACTCTCAGCTAACTCCTCGGCGTCACGCAGGCGACGCGTAACATTCTCCAATTCTGTGGTGCGCTCTTCGTGTTCGGATCGGAGTTGAAGGAGCTTTCTCTCCAGTCCTTCACGGCGCTCCCTTTCCTCTCCCAATTGTTTCTCAACAATTGCAGTTTTGGCGGCAGAGGCGGCAACAGCTTCTCGCAGGCTATCAAAGCTGGAGCCAAAGTCTGAAAGACGACCAGCAGAGTCCTCGACTTGCTTAAGCAATTCTTCCTTGTCGATGATGAGTTGTTTCAAGGACGCCTCGGCTTCTGAGCGCAACAGTGCCTCCTCTCGAGAAGAAGCTTCGGCGCGGTGAAGCTCAGCACGGAGATTCTCCGCTTCCAGAGAGTTGTTCGACATCTCAAGCTCCGCCAGACGCTTCCGAGTGGCTTCATTGGTGTCTTCGGCCAAGTCCTTGGCTTGGCGTTCCTGGAGAAGCTCGGTCGTCAAAACGTCCAATTTAGCCTTGAGTTCAGACTGTGACGCCAGGGCCAAGGCCAGACGACGACCCATGTCGGTGGGCCGCTCTGATGTACCATCCTCTCCATCACGGGAGGATTCAGGCTGTGGAGTGCCGCGCTGGCTACCACCGTGAGCCGCGAGTCTCGCGCGTGAGTAGGCGGCCTCACTGACGGCTAGATCACGCTGATGCTCCACTTCCGCAATGCGCTTGGAGGCGATAGCGGCCTGGCGGTCCACAGTGGCTTGCATTTTAGTGAGTTCTGCTCTCATAGCAAGGAAAGCCTCAACGAGGGGACGATCCTCATCAGTCAGGGAGTCACTGTGGCGCTCGTCCAGAGCAGGGCTACTGGATGGATTGGGCATGTACCCAGCCTTTCGTGCCAATGACAACTCAGAAGCATACCAAGCATTGCGAGCCTTGGCAGCCTCTAGCTCCTTCATCAATGCCTCCTGATGAGGGGTCAGCCTTGGCGATCGAGGTTCATCGCCAAGAGTCTTGGAGTTTCGGAAGCTTCTAGTCTCAACGGAGCCATCAACACTGACTTGACGACCAAGCACAGACTCTTCGCCGCTGTCGACTGAGCCTTTCTGGCGATGTTGACGCAACGATCGCTGACGAGCGGGAGTACTGATGAGCGGAGCCGCTTCACCTGCCTCCATGGCTTTAGCTGAGAGTCTGTGTTGCGGCTGAGTGGGAGTACGCTGACCGGTGGACCCCTGACCATCCAGCAGCTGTTCCTTGTCTACAGGTGACTCTACACCACCACGGTCAGCGTTTGCAGCACGAACATCAACGGTGCCCGTGTAGCCACGGTCCATCTTGGTAGGTGTCTTGCTGCGGGCATTCATTCCAGGCTGGGCTCCATTGGTACGTGGGCCCGGAGAAGGAGCTTGTCCGGGAGGAGGAGGCCCGGAGGGCGCTTGTGCAATTGAAGCTCGCGGGAGTCTGGAACCAGGACCCAAATTAGGGTTGGGTCCGTAGTCTCCACCTCGACCAGCCGGAGCCTGAGCCATGCTCTCACGAGATAGCGTTGGTCCCCGACGCGCTTGTTGCTCAGGAGTCGCGTTGTGAGCCTCACGTGAGGTACGCCCGGAGTTTGGACCTTGTTTCTCAACATTTGCCTTCCTGTTGCCCTGTATAGCACGATCGCCTATTTGGGCTTCATTCGGATATCGAATCTTCGACGTATCAAGGATATAGGCCATGCTAAGCTCTGCCGGGTCTCTCGGGGCAGAGCTAGGTTCACCGGCCATAACGATGATCTGCTTTCCAAAGGCCGTCATGCTGTGTCCAGAACGGGGCGATGGCGCAGGCCCCATATTCTGAAACGAGTACCACCGTCTGGTGGAGATGCGGAAAGCGGACAGATCACCAAGGTCTAGTCCCTCGTCCGTGCGGCCACCAAATACGTACATCACATCGTTGACCAGAGCAGCCGCATGGCCTTCCCTAGGGGTTGGAATGAAGCCAACACAGTCCACTTCGGTCCATGCATTGGCACGGGGATCGTACGACCACACGTCGTTGAACCATTTCACCCCGTTTGTTCCACCGAACCTGCGATTGTCAGTCTGTCAGTCAAATAAATCATTTGTTGTTCTCGAGCAGTCCAATCTTACAGGTATAATTTATCACCAAGCCCAACAATCGTGTGGTTGGTTCTCGCTGGTGGTATTTGACCCTCGGCAGGCCCACCCTCATGACTGTTCTGAATCAGCAACTCCCACTTGTTCGAGGGATTCTGAAGTTGGTTCAAGTCGAATGCAATCAGATCATTGAAGAAGAATCCCTCAACCTGACCTCCAAAAACGTAGAGCTTGGAGCCCAGGATGTTCAATGAATGGCCGTATCGTCCAGAGGGGCGAGATCCAGGAGGGATAGCGCGAGACCATTGGCGAGAAGCTGCAGCGCAAAGTTAGAACCTGGCAATCCACAGTACTCGACCGGGTAACATACAAGTATTTAATAGGTAAAGCGTATCATCCAAAGCGTCGTTTTCGTTGATCTTGGTGTCTCCGCCAAACACAATGAACGCATTTCCGACCAGCAAGCTGGCATGGCCGACCCGAGGACCCGGGCCTTCCGAAACTGTCGCAATCTGGAAGCACGACAGGCTACCTCCGCTGCTTTCGATCATCCACAGGTCTCCCTTGACGGTAGATCCATCGATCAAACCACCCATCATGTAGATATCGCCTTCTTTTGAGGCAACAGCATTGATGGCTGCGCCGTATCGCGGGAACGGGGTTGTTGTCGGGGTAGAAAAGTTGAGTCGCCGCTGCGACCAGGGGTAGAGGGACGAGTTGGGGCTCGGTGGAGGCACGCCATTTGGAGGCTGCTGCGGCCGCTGGGCCTGCTGGACCATCGGGGTCAGGGATCACTGGCCGACATGGCTGCCACCATCGGGAAACCAACTACTCACCTGAGATTCGGATTCCGCCCTCTGTCGCATCCTGACGGGATCTGGGCTTGTCGGGCTTGTGGCCGAATTGAGAGAGTTGTTGTAGCTACTGCTCGGAGTCGGCGTTTGCGAAAAACTCCCTCTGCCTTGACCCCGTTTGTGACGGAGGACGCCACCATAGACGGGGCACCTTCGGAAGTGTGGACGTTCCTCGTCGCCGGAGGGAGCGAAGTCCCTTGTTGATTTTTCTTGGATTTGAACAAAAAGGCCATCGTTAGAAGTGTCGTAATCGGTCGTTCAGCGGCGCAGGCAACTCCGCACCCAGGTCCAGGTCAGGGTGCGCGCCGAATGCGAATTCTCCGTTCGGGTCCCAGCACCGATATCACAGAACCAGTTGAAGTCGTGCGGGCCGGTTTGGAGACGCGGGAGAGGTCGGGGTTGGGGGGTGTGCGACCGGGCGGAGACAGGGGATATGTTTTCAGATGGATGGTGGAGTTTGGAAGTAGGAACCACAGCGAACCGTAGAACTCGTGCGCCAGTGTTTCCCCCCAAAAAATTCAGGTGGCCAGGGGGGCGAGATTGGGGGTGGTCTGAACACGCAATGCCCCAGGCTTCGCAGTGCTGAGCATCAAGACAGATTCAAATACACCAGGCCGCTGGCCGGAGGAGAGAAAGGGGTTGCGAAAATCAAAGAAAGCTGAGAGTCCAGATGGAAGAGAAGGAGAAGAGGCGTGGTGGTTCAGTTTCCCGGAGACAGTCTAGTCGGACTAGTTCTAGCGCAGGCATGCTCGGCCTTCTCAGGGGCTCCAACGGTCTCTTTGTCGCCAAGTATGTGTGTCCTCATTCCTCATTCTTTCCGTTTCCCCAGCCCCCGGTCGTCATGGCAAGTGCATACATGGGCTTGCGGATGCTGGCGTAGACTGCACAGAATCTCTGTCCCGAGTCAAGGCTGTCCCTGCATCAAAGGATCTCGCATCCAAGCGGTTTATAAATAGCCGACTCGATTCCGGTCCGCAGTGAGAACCTTAGAACTATACGCATGTACGGTCCATACAAACTGTGTGGTAGACTGCGGTTGGCATCTATTCTCCATTCCGACACAAGGCATCCATCATACCTAGACTAGGAATCTGTTCCCGACCTCTTGTCAACGCTGGTGAATTGACCAGCCTCGATAGTTGCTATTATTACGCCGCGGGGCTATAAGTGCTGCGAACCGGTCAGCGGCCAATGGGTGTGCATCGCATGCTTCGATTCCACCCGGTGATCCACACCCCACAACGTGCAGGGAACCTATCGACTTGAGCTGTGACAAGGCACGGTGGGCGTGCTGCAACTTGAGGAATCATCACCAAAAGGGGGAGGGGGGAGTCAGCGGCTTATTGGCGTCCACAATGGATCCCGCACACGCGAGTGTGAAAAAAGGGGGGGCTTGCAGCGTCGGGCCCTACCTATCAGAGGAATCCTGGGCCGCGATGATCGCTGGCATTTCCATGCAATTTAGACCTTGTTAGACCCTAGGCGAAGGGAACAGTGCCCCCGAGCACCACTCAGCCAAGGCATGCTGACTGAGACGGAGGTCCCTATCTAGGTAGGAGTTGACATCAAACCGCTTTGGAGAATCATTCCCCGATGGAGTTTGTTCTTATTGATCGCTGGAAGGTCAACACACCACGTTGGTAGTGGATCATTGTTCGATCTCTTGTCCCAGTGAGACCCTGTAGGTGTGCCGTGTCTATCACCATCTCCGGCCGCAACTTGTCTGAGACAGTGTGCTCATGAATGGCAGCAGAGACGTCTCGGCAGGGGGCAAGCAACAATAGATAGTGGGTTCAATAATTCTGGAGGTCTGGAAAAGCCCACACACTGGCTGCGCCTGCTCGGACAACAAGCTGCTGCGAACTCCGCGACAGCTCCTTCCAGACGGAGATGACATGAGTATAAGCAGTCACTGTCGAATGGGATGATTTCCACTCAATGAAATCCCAGGCGCCTGCTTCTCGAAGACTGGTTGCATCTGAAAACTATAGTGACGCTGTACATGCGATTGTTGTAGGATTCCTCTGTCTGCGTAGAATGTATATGTCCACTGCAGTACTCTGGAGTGGAAAAATGCAGCCCTGGCTGGGACGAGCCGGGCGATGATGTAAGCAGGCGGGGATACCGATAATCCGGCTTGAGCAATCGGAGCCTCACCGTTGCGTCGGTTGTGCTGTCTGGACCTTCGGAGACCGTGCTGCGCCGCTTCCTCTTACTCCCACCCCCGATTGATTCTCGAGATTAAACACTGAGATCGATATTGGTACCCAGTCCCTTCGCCTCAGATACGCAACCTCCTCGTCGGTCTTTCCGCCCGACCCGCGACTTCTCCGGCTTGGGCATCCTGGGAGGTATATCCCGGAGTTGCTCAGGCTCGTCGCCTGTCTCCATCCACCGCGGCGGTCCTACCTCCCGTTCGTCGCGTAGCACGATGACCCAACCTCCAACATGAGGGATCCCACCGCAGATATGGAGCCAAACCCCCAGCAACCAGCGACAAACGGGTCGACCGAACCCCGCCGCAACACCAAATCGGTTCGAGTCGCATTTGGTCCTGACCTGGAAACGACTATTCCCACACGCGAGCGATCTCCAGCTCCACTTTCTAGTCATCATCGCTCGTTTACAACTTTCGAGCAGACGCAGCCTTCGATCACGCCCCCCGCTCGTCCCACGAGCTCAGCCGGAGAGGATGCAGCCATCGGACCAGACTCACCACCGCGACGACCATCACCTCGAAGGTCTGAGAGCAGTCGGCCAGGTATGCTCAAGCGAGCCAAGAGTGATTATGGGCCGAGCCGCGTCACCTTCGACAAAGCTGCCCTGGGAGACGACGAAGAAGATTTCGCGATGCGGCATGGATGGCAGGAAGAGTACACGTCCAGCGAATACCTGAAGATTCTACACTCTGTATGAACACCCTTTCCAACGGGACTGGCATGTGTACATTGTTCATGGGCTAACATCGTGGTACTACAGAATTTCTACATGTATTTCACCGAGAAACGCCATGAGACGAACGGCATTCCCAGAGATCCCGTTGGCAGTTGGCCAAGCCAAGACTGGCGCATGAAAGACCGTCTCAAAACAGTGTCCGCGGCACTAGCAATCTGTCTGAACATCGGCGTCGACCCTCCCGATGTCGTTAAGACCAATCCGACATCGAAGCTCGAATGCTGGGTGGATCCCACTTCAACCACAGGCGGTGGTCAAAACAAGATCATGGAGCAGATCGGTAAGAAGCTGCAGGAACAATACGAGACTCTGAGTCTTCGCACAAGATATAAGCAGTACCTCGATCCTTCCGTGGACGAAACCAAGAAGTTCTGTATCTCGCTCCGCCGGAATGCCAAGGATGAGCGGGTCCTCTTGCATTACAACGGCCATGGGGTCCCATTGCCAACCCAGTCTGGTGAGATTTGGGTCTTCAACAAGAATTACACCCAGTACATCCCCGTGCCACTCTATGATCTGCAATCATGGCTGGCTGGTCCCAGTCTTTTCGTCTTTGATGTATCACATGCCGGAAACATCGTCCAGAATTTCCATACGTTTGTGGAAAAGCATGAGAAGGAGAACATCGAGGCCAAGAAAAGAGATCCCAATGCCGTCGTTCAAAACTACGGTGACTGCATCCTCCTCGCAGCCTGTCAGAAACACGAGTCCCTCCCAACAAACCCTGATCTACCGGCCGATCTTTTCACTTGCTGCTTGACAACCCCCATTGAGATTGCTTTGCGTTTCTTCATTTTGCAGAACCCTCTCCGCACCGACATCTCAATTGATGATTTTCGAGTCCCAGGTCGTCTGCAGGATCGGCGGAGCCCTCTTGGGGAACTAAACTGGATTTTCACCGCGATCACTGACACGATTGCATGGAATACCTTACCCCGCGCATTGTTCAAGAAACTTTTCCGGCAAGATCTAATGGTGGCCGCTCTCTTCCGCAATTTCTTGCTCAGCGAGCGCATCATGCGCACGTACAAGTGCCATCCTATCTCTTCACCAGAACTTCCCGAAACTCACCATCATCCCCTCTGGAAGAGCTGGGATCTTGCCGTTGAGATGGTACTAGCACAGCTACCAGCTTTGATTGATCAAGAAGAAGGCCGCCGGCAGTACGAGTACCAGCACTCCACGTTCTTTGCTGAGCAACTCACCGCGTTTGAGGTGTATCTTTCATCTGGCCCCACGGAGAAGAATCCACCCGATCAATTGCCCATCGTGCTTCAAGTCCTCCTCAGTCAGGCACATCGACTACGTGCCCTGATCCTTCTGAGCAAATTTTTGGACTTGGGCCCATGGGCTGTCCACTTGGCGCTAAGCATTGGTATTTTCCCTTACGTGGTCAAGCTGCTTCAGTCAGCTGCCCAAGAACTGAAACCAGTAATGGTTTTCATATGGGCACGAATCATGGCAGTCGACCACACGGTCCAGAACGATCTTCTGAAAGACAACGGCATTCATTATTTCATATCCATTCTTAACCCCTCTTCCCCCATCCCAGTCGGAAATGCCAGTGAGCACAGAGCGATGTGCGCATTCATCGTCTCCATCTTCTGCAAGAATTACCCCCAGGGTCAGAACGTCTGCCTTTCCGGGGAACTATTTGACTCGTGCCTGCGACATCTTGGAGATGTTGAAAACCCGCTGCTGCGGCAATGGTCCTGTCTGTGCCTGAGCATGCTTTGGTGTGATTTCCCGGAAGCCAAATGGATGGGCATCCGGTGTGCAGCTCCCGCTAGACTTTGTGAGCTGAACTTTGATCCTGTTCCCGAGGTTCGCGCAGCAATGTTGCATGCTGTGACTACGTTCCTTGGCATCCCCGACTTAACAGATCAAGTTGCACAGATCGAGGAAACATTAGCCTTGGCTGTTCTGCCCATGGCAGCCGATGGTAGCGTGCTTGTAAGAAAGGAGCTTCTTGTCTTCCTTTCCACCTTCGTCAAGCGCCACCAGAATAAGTTCCTTGTCACAGCGTATGAGGAACTTCAAGATGAGAAACTGTCTTTACTCCAACGCCTCCAGAACGAAGCATCTCCCAACAGCCAACTTGAGGTTCCGAAAGGCTTTGCGGGTTCTGGTGCAAAATCGCACCCGCCGCTTTCCCGTAATACTACATTCGGAGCTATCTGGAAACAAGTCTTGATTTTCTCTGTTGATCCACACCCTGACATCGCCCAGGACGCCGGAGTCATTGTTGATTACATCCATCTCATCCTCTTCGAATCCCCCATGGCCAGCCTCGCTGACAGAATGAAGAACGAGATCTTGGAACTCACCAGTCGGATTTCACAGAGGTTACAGGTGCATGAGCGATCAGAAGCAAAGAAAATGGCGCCTCCTTCAACGCCACCATCATCTAACGCAATACCGTCCAAGCAAGAAGGTTATCTCTCTCTAGGTTTCAAGCGCACAGCGAGTGTGGCTGCCTCTCTCAGGAACCTGGCGTTCGGTGGCGCAAGCGCTGGCGACGGAACATTCGACAGCACTGCTCCCCCCTCGCCATCAAAGAGTCGAATGCCCATCACCCCGCGTGGCCGCGCTCCCCCTGAATGGACTCGACCTCCCGAAGTAAATGACCACGTCGCCCCCGCAACTTCGTATAACCAGGCCCCTACCCCTACATCTCGCGGATTCAGATCTCGGAGCCCAGAGGCGGTGCCTATCATTCCCTTGAAAAGCAGATTCCTGGACTGGTCAACAGAGGTATTTTTGGACTTTCTTTCAGACATCACTGTCAACACCCTCGACACACTGTACAAACATTTACTCACCCCTAAAAAGTATTTCCGGGAGCCGCAGATGAAACCCAACGAGCCTGACGAGCCCGGTAGTTCGGACTACAACGAACGACTCTGGCGACGAAGCCGCAACGAAAAGATCATCGCGGAAACCCAGCCTCTTAAAGGGAAGGCCGGAACCAGTCGATGGGATAATTCAATGGCACTGTTGTCCAATAATAGCCAGCCGTTGAAGATGTGCTTCCATCAATTCGAGGATCACATCGCTGTCGCGGACGACCGAGATACCATTGCGTAAGATTCGGAAAACCATTCCCCATGAGTAATTCCGTGCTAATTTAATCTTCTTGCAGCATCTGGGATTGGCAAAGCAACAGGCGTCTAAATCAATTCTCAAATGAAAACCCCGTGGGATCCAAGATTAACGAAGTGCGATACATCAATGAGGATGACCAAGCTCTTCTGTTAACCGGATCTTCCGATGGTGTCTTGAAGCTTTTCCGCAACTATGAATCTTGCAGGGATATTGAGGTAGTCACAGCTTTCCGGGCCTTGCCTGAACTTATTCCTAGCAACCGAAATGCAGGTCTTGTGCTCGACTGGCAGCAGGGCCAAGGCAAAGCTCTAGTTGCTGGGGACGTGAAGGTGATTCGGGTGTGGAATGCAGCTACCGAGGTTTGCACCAACGTGAGTCTTGAAATTCCACGCCCTGGATATGATCATTTGTATGCTAACGATTTTCCTTGCGGACAGGATATCCCTGCGCGTTCAGGGTCATGTATCACATCCTTGACTTCAGATCAAGTTGCTGGCAACATCTTCGTCGCTGGTTTCGGTGATGGTGCCGTTCGTGTCTTCGATCAGCGACTTAAGCCCACAACTTCCATGGTCAAGGTCTGGCGTGAGCACAAGCAGTGGATCAGCAACGTTCATATGCAGCGTGGTGGCTTGAGAGAGCTCGTTTCGGGTAGCCGCAATGGCGAAATTCGACTATGGGATCTACGGATGGATAGCCCGCTATCGACCATCTACGCCACTAAAGATACCCTCCGGACATTGAGCGTACACGAGCACGCTCCGGTCTTTAGCATGTATGGGTCTTCCTCCACAAATGACGTCTGTATTTTTGAGGATTGCAATTAACTTCAGATCAGGGGTACCAACCGCCACGAAGTCAAGACCTTCAATGTTGACGGCACCTACCTTTCGACCTTCGAGCCGTACTCCAGTTTCCTCCACCACAACCGGTCTTCCCCCATCGCCAGCACCGCCTTCCATCCTCACCGCACTATGCTAGCTTGTGCCGCACTGAACGATCACCACATCAATATTGTGTCCTGCTAGATTTCAGCGGGCTGACGATCGCACTCCCTTGGTGGTTGTCAGTCTTTCTTTGCCGGCATTCATTCCACCTTTTCTCTTCTTTGCCCTTGTAATATTGGCTCTCCAGCACAATCCCGGCAATCTAACAGGCGTTTTGGCTAGTGACCTGCAAAATCATATGCAGCTTCCTAATGTCACTTGCCCGTGTCCTAAGCTTCCCCTTGTTTCTTCTTGGATCTCGGGCGATTTTGCTTCTTTTTTCTATCTGGTTTGAGGTGTCTATCCATCTTGACTGGAACTGCTTGTTTTTTTTTTTTTCTTTTTCCACTTCTTAATTCTTTTTTTCCTGTTTTGGCTCTGAATATCCCGCTCTGGTTTGTATCGCCAAGTATGCAATTGAGACGAAGCGAGATTGGGGCACAGTCGTAATTGCATCGGATGGATTGGCAGCATCAGCCACTTTGTTCGTTGGTGGTGGCTTATTTCTTGTCAATTATTCGACAACGTTGCAGTAAGTTGTTTATATGAAACTCTTCCAAGTTTTTTTGGTAATTTTACTCGTCCGATGCTACGCAGTCGTTTGATAAGTATTCTTGCACAGCCAAACGAGAGGGCAAGATATATCACGTGGGGCCAATGTCTGTCTCATGCAGACTGACGCTGTAGCAATGCTCAACATCTGTACTGTAAGTATAGCCAAAAAGAAAACCTAGGATATTAGATCCTAAGAAGAGCGCTTTGTGCAAACCACGGCCGAACGAATGCAAAAGAAGGCAAATCTCTAGAACACGCAGGTTAGCATCAAGCCACATATCCATTGGGCAAATTTCAATCAATCCCATGCTACATCACGGCCCAAATAGGAATCCGTATCGCAAATATCCAAGGCTTCCACGGATACAATACCCAGTTCAAAAATGAGCAGAACCGCGCCCTAAAGTGCGTAAGTCTACTTAGTACCCAATAGGCGTCCTCACCAACAAGTTCAGATCAGACAAAGACTTTCGAGGACCCAAATGTCCGAGTCGAAAACGAGCAGAACCGCGCCCTGGAGTAAGTAAGCCTATTTGTATCCAAAAGGGAATATCAAAATGTCCAAAAATGAAAGCATGACAGTCAAAACGATAGTCGGCCATGGAAAGCAGAAACGGAAAAAATTCAGATGCGCACAATGCAGTGATACCTCGCGAAAATCAGATAGAATACATGTAGGTCAGAAAACAAATCCGAATGGTCAGGTCAGTTGCGGCACCCATGGTGTTGAAGTCCCTTGACGAAAAAAAGAGACTGAATGAAAAGAAAGGGAGCAAACGTTGAAAGACCACTCATCTTCGAGGACTCCGTCCCAGATCTATCTTGATATTCAGAGGTCTTCGAGGCTGTTGGTATTAGGCATTGTCTCGTAAATTAGTCGTTCCGTTGAAATGATCGTTAAATCGCAACTCATAAATCTTCTGTCGGTTTTTCGCTGCATTTTGGGTATCTGTCGAGAACATATTCATCACCACCATAGTTCGCCTCTTCGAAATGAGGCAAAGAAAAAAAGAGCAAAAGAAGGATCAACTCATCGCAAAGTGCTCAACGTCATAGGGATCTTCGCATGGCGGAAGCGGCGAAGGAGATTCATTGATGGCCCGCGAACCTTCAGTGAACAACGTTTGAGCACGAGCAAAGTGTTCAGCACTGCGTAGGGGCATGTTCGAGTCGATGGAACGGTTCGAGTGGGCAGATGCAGTTCGAGTCGGGGCATCGGAGATTTCTGCCTGAAGCAAATCGAGTGGCGTGCGGCGAGAGGACACAATTGGGGTACGCGTTCCCGATAATCCCATGCGAGCCGAGATGGGAAGCTCAGAGGAAGGACGTAAGGTCGTAGTCGCAACGCGCAGTGCCGGATGCCACGGCGGAGCAATTAGCTGAGACGATGTTTCATTCGACTGATACCTGGTCCGCGCCGCACTGGCTTCGTAGAGAACTGACCGTTCGTGGTCTCTGATTTCGGCGAATGGAGCAGGAGTCGGAGGTCTTGAGGAGACACCCACGGGCGTTATTTCATCAGACCAGGGAATTTGGCCTCGACTCCAGGGCAACGGGGTCCGTGGCAACGGAGTCCGAGGCGGAGGAGTTCGTGGCAGCGGAGTTCGTGGCAGCAGAGTATGCGGCAATGGAGACCGAGACGTTGGAGGATTATTCGTAGGAATCGATTCTGGAAACGGTACAGCGCAGGAGTTGTTGAGGAAGTCACGATGAGCAGTACCCGTTCCCCATGTTTCGGCCTGTCTCCAAGTGGGCACACCCCAGACTGGATGGTCGCGGCCAGGCCAGTCAGGCCGGTGACGGGGCAGGCGAAATTCACCGAGACCCCGGTTGTTCTTCAAGAGAGGCTTCTGGCAGTTCGAATAACCATTAGCATAGCCGGCCATGTTGCGGATCACAGTCTCCCATATTGATACCCATGCCTGATATGCTGGATTTTCAGCCCGGATACGTGCATCCGGCAAAAATGGATCTGGGGGTACCCCTTCGTTCGAAGTGTAGTTGGGGTTCGTGGTGCTGCGATGCTGACCCTCACGCTGCGAAGCGTGCTGTCGGTCCGCCTCCCGCTGTTCAGGGGTTTGTTTCTCTTTTTCACGGTGTTCAGGATTCTCTGTTCGCACTCGTCCAGCAAGAATGTCATCCTCCCGACAAAGCTCCGCTGCTGCCCTGGCTGCGCGCATCAGGCTCTCTGCCTGAGTTTCCCCGGGAATTCCAGTGCTGGCAGTAGGAATTGGGACGGGAGGATCTCTGAAAGGGGGCAAGGGACGAACAAGTCCTAGATAAGGACCAAATACCAACTCATCATTGTCAGGATCCATCAGTGAGGGCAGTAACACACGTCTCGGACGAATTTCAGGAGCTGCAGGAAGTAGGGGAAATTCACGTAAAAATTGTTCATCCATGGACCCGGGGCGTGGGAATCTGGAAATTGCTGGTCTGACGCGTTGATTAGCTGGAGCAGGAGGAGTTTTATCAGGATGAACTGGCTGGATTTCAGGCGTGAGTGGAGTCTGCTGGATAGTTTCGCTTTCCACGGTCACTTGGGCCATGCCGGTAGCCTGCTGGACATTTAGAGGACCTGAACTAGCACTTGCATTGTGAGTATCCTTCTGACGTGAATGCTCCACTGGTGCGGTAAGTGGATTGACTGTCGTATCTTGAATGGACAGTCCAGGTGCTTTCTGAGAATTCTCTTTCTTGGTTACTTGAGCGGTCGCACCTTTCTCGGGCACAGTGTTCATCATCTGAGTCTGGGCTTGGGTGGGCATAAAAGGTGCCACAGTAGGAATCAGGCGGTGCGAGGCTTCAATGCTGTTTCTCTCGGAAGGCTCAGTGGGAGCTCCCTGAGTAGCAGACGGCATCCGAGCATGTGTCGGCTGTCCAGATGTTGTCATGGATTGACTGGGGGTCTGAGTAGGTGCAGCTTCAGACTTTTGGGTGGCCTCGTTGCTAGGTGTACACAGTGAGCGAGGCTGAAACGGCTCCACAGTTGGGATAAGAGGACGTGAAGACAGAGTAGCTGGTCTTTCAGGTGCTTGGGGGATATTTTGTCCTTGGTCAGTGACAGATACCATAGGCGGCTGAGTCGGGAACGAGTTGCGAGAGTTGCGAGGGTTGCGAGAGTTTTCTCTAGCAGCAAACCCTTCAAAACGAGGTCCTGTGGGAAGCTGGCCTTGGTTATTTTCACCTATGTTCGTGTGTGGGATATCACGAGAGGGAATGTTGATAGCCTGGGGATTTTGATTGTAAGACTGAGCAGGGATATTGAAAGACTGGGTAGCTTGGCTGTAAGTCTGAGCATTCGGTCTGTAGGGCTGGAAACTTGGGTTGTAAGCCTGGGGAGCCTGGTTATGAGGCAGGGACGCTTGAGCATAAGGCCCAGCCTGGTATGGATATTGAGTGCAGCAGGGTTTCATCAGACCATGATGATATGCCGGGCCATGTGGGTAGCTTGGAGCTGTGATAAATGGCATGCCATGTTGAGGATACGGCGGGACAGAGGCTGTAGTAGTTGAATAAGGTGGGACGGCGCCATGACCATGAGTAGCAACAGGGCCCCAGGGAAACTGATCATGATGCATCATGCCCTGCGGAAATGGATATGTGCCAATCGGACCATGTGAAAACGGTGGGGCGACAGCCTGCGGACCGAAAGTAGATGGCTGGACAGGACCTTGTTGAGGAGCGGGCTGAGCAGCTCCTCGAGGGTCGTTACCTGGACGAAAAGCCCCAAGACCTGGGGGCGCCGGACGAGCAGTGCTTGCCGCCGCAGGGCCCGTTGGCACCCCAGGAAACTCGGGGTACCTGCCCTGCTGGCTGGGCTCGGAAACTTCGTTTTGATGTCCTTGAGACATCAGGAAAGCTGGTGGAAAGAAGGAAGGAGGTCCCTGATGAGCGAGAGGAAATGGTGGGTGGGTAAAGGAAGAAGGAAGAAAAGGATTCAGCGGATGTTGAGAGATATGGGCGGTCTGGCCCCCAGGTAGCTGTCTCTCACCAGTAAATCGATTTAGATATGAGGCACGCGTCCGCAAATCCTCCATCTGTCACAGTACCATATTAGTCGGACTGATCCTTGCTCAAACTCCCAAGACCCCGACAATATGATCCTCATCTACACATATTGCCTAGCCTCGACTTTATGAGCACAACAACGTACCTGTCCTGGAGGCCCAGAAGACATGGTTAGTTGAAAAGCAATACAGATACCTCAGGCTTCAGGACTGACCATGCTGTGCATATGGGGCACCTTGCCCCCTTCTTGGGACCATGGCACTTTCTTTGTAGCAATCCACCCACAACAAAGCACCACGCCACCTTTCACCAAAGCCCCAGGTTTGTGGTCTTATTGAGTGGAAATTATGAGCGGTCGACTGCTCAAATCTGCATGACTATCATGTTATTATCAGTGGAATGAGATGAAAGGCTGACAATAAAGCGTAGATTACTGTCTGAGGATCACTGGGGAAGATACGCACCTGTGGACTAGACCATTCTTTGGGGTTCACCCAAACTTTTGAAGAGCCAGCAGAAGTAAGCTTCTTCGAGCAGGGCACTCTTAGCCTATGCGTCCAAATATCGGGTGCTTGCCTATGTATCAAGGTTAGCACTAAACATAACATCGATGGTATCAGATGCATGAGAATGTTGCAAGACCTCACAACTTGGGAGGAAACATCATACTCACAATCTCAATACCTTCGTTGACTCTTTCTTAGCTCAGGTTCAAGCGTCTCGCGGTGTGAAATGGCGTGGTGATGATTCTTGGGTCGAGTCCTTCTGGAGGAGAATGTGGGTGATGACAGGGAGTCGTGAGAAATCACCATGAGGTTCATGTTGTGAAAGATTGATACGAGTAGCTGTCATCGTGACAGTACGATTGCTTGGTTTAACTATGTCGTCGTAATCCTGCGACGAGGAGAACCGGCGGGTGTATCTCGATGGCCGAGACTCGGGGGCGCCGAGCTCCTCGGCATGCCGAACCTTCTAAATTAAGCCACGGAAATAAATTACGACACCGAACGAGAAATTGCAAAGGATGCATTACGAAAGCGAGGTGTGACATTGTTACTGCCAGCCTCAAGGACATTTTCGCATATCATACCCTGCATCGAGATCAAGATCCACACTTGCAAGTCGCACGCGCTATCACAGACCCATCTCATGCTCTTGCCACCAGAATTCGGGTTCTGACCGTGTAGATGGGTTCTTCGGACACCCATCCCGACAATTTCTCCTTAGTCTCCCAGGGCTTACTCCCTTGTCGTCACCTTGGCTAGTATACAACAGGGTGATGATCCTGCAAATGGAGACATCTACGAGGTAGATTTGTGTAGAGGTAAATAAGTCCATGAGACTGCGGAAATACGGCTGGTTAGGTACCATGCTCCAAGAGCCAGGGATATTGCATATTATGATACTATTATAGCCATTGAAAGACACACTACAGAGCAACGATTGGCAGCTTCATTGAATGACGAGGGTAGATTCAAGTACAGGACAAGAAGGATGGCCCGTCGCCGGCCGAGCACAGGTTAGGGATGACAGTAAAGCATCAAGTGTTGGTATCCATTGTAGTCTTTATCCACTTAAGAAGAGAGATGGTGAAACGATTGGCCAGCGGGGTATATCCCAGTCGTTTCAAGAATGCTGGCAGATGCGTTGCAGCCGCCTAGCACTCCGAGATGTACCCGCAGAACGCCCCGCAGATTGAATGTCATAAGGGAATCAAACGATCGCTAATACGGCATGCGTCAAAGAAATAGAGCGATTCCTACGTGTAGGCAGGAATGATGTTAAAGAAAATAAACACAAGAAGTCAACGAGGACTGTTCAACGATTCCGGTCTGCACGAGTCTGGTGCCAGATAGTGTCACCACTGAGGGCAGAAAAGCTGAGGGAAGCCAGGTTTCTCCAACTTGACTGTGGCGCGGAGCTCGCATGACCATCAAGGCCAGCATTCTGCTCGGTATCTGAGTCACCATTCACGCCAGCAATGAGAAGAGGAGTGGAGGGTGCATCGGCCCCTGGATCCAACTCCTGGGGAGGGATGTTGTTGGATTGTTCATCTGGATGGCGAGAATCATCACAATGGTAATGCGCCATCGAACGAACGACATCACCCTTGCAAATGGGACAAGTTCGGCGGCGGGTTGTCAGCCAGGGGGTGCTGGAGACAGTTAGGGAGGATATCTCGAATGTTGGGATGAGTACTTAGCCACTTACATGCATTCTGCGTGGAATTCGTGACCACAAGGCAAGCTCATCACCCGGCTTTGTCCGTCAATATATTCCTCAAGGCAAACGACACATTCCACTTGTCTTCCTGTGTATTTGCGGCGCCACAAAGTTGAGCCAGACTGTAAAGGAGTGGACTTCTCTCCTTTGCTGGAACCCGAATCTCTCGTGGTTCCAGAAAATGTTTGCGACCTCGAACGAGTTGGTCGAGAGGTGCCCGAGCGACTACCACTACCAAGAAGTGGAGAGGTTTGTGAAACCGTTCCTGGGCTAGATGGTCGGGGAGAGCTAGTAGATGATGAAGAACTGCTGGAGATTGTGTGATAAGTTCGCACAGGAAGACGCTCAACCACAGATTTTGGAGCACGCCAACGGCGACGCCGAATGCGAGATCGGAGTAGCAAGAGAGCGTAGACCACCGTGAGAGTCAACAGTGGGCTAACCACGAGTACCAGAAGTGTATCAAAGAAGGGGCTCGTTGACATGCTAGTAGGTGTCAAAGTAACCCAGAGACCTTGATGCTCCGAGAGCATGGTGGCCGCAGGGCTCGAGGAGGGAGCCAGGTCTTGGATCTTTTGGGATGCCGCCACACTCTGGACAGAAGGGGAGGAAGATGGTAGAGCATCACTGACATCTTGCTTGGGGCTATCACCCCAGCCAAAGTGGCTCGCGAACCAGCCCTTGTCGGATTCCTTCTGGGCTGTTTTGGCATCTGTTGCAGACTCCTTCACGGTTGCCTCACGAACATTCCCGGTTGACTTATCAATACTTTGATATTCCCCACTGCCGGGGGTGATGCTACCGCCTCGAAGGACGTTTGGAGTAGAAGACGCCTCTGTCTCGAGAGCGGGGTTTTCAAACCGTCCTTCCCTGTTGTGGAAGTACTGGGTATCGGGAGTGTGTTGCTCCGGGGTAGCATGAGATCTGGATCTCTCCAGTCCTGAACACCGATAACAAAGTCATCGTCATGGAAACCGCCAGAAGGCTCAAGTTGAGTACTACCTAGATTCTCATCGACCTTGGCTCGGCTGCGGCTGTTGGAGCTCGTCAGGCCTGTTGGCGAGTCAGAGCGGGTCCCAGTGGAGCCCCAGGAGCCTAGAACCATCCAGTCAATGTTTCCACTACTGGGAGGACGTCGGCTGTCTTCTGGATTTCTTGAGCCCCCACTCCTGTTGCAAAGCCCCAGGAGCGAACCGATAGCACGCAGGAACCCACCACTCGAGTTCGAAGTCCCCGCAGGTCTTGCCTGTGACGTAGAAGAACTAGTCGACGTTGGCGTAGATGCGGCAGTTGCGGTCGTAGTTTGCTTTCTTTGCGCGTCCACGTCGGGGTGACCTGCAATTTTCGCTTGAAAAGCTTTTAACGCCTCACCCAGACTGGATGTTGATCCAGAGTGAGCGGGGATCAATGATGAAAGCAAGTGGGCAGTGGTATGGGATGTGAACAGGGACGGGATCGTGACATTCGAGGTGTCGCCCCTTGCATACATCGTAACCAAGTTGCCGCCTCGGGTATCGTCACCAACGATCAACGCGACAGCACCCCGGCGCTGGGCCCATTTGACTTTCTCGAGAAATCCACAGCCACCGCGGCTCAGCAGTACAACCTTGCCCTGGATTTCAGCGGTCTCCTGCAACGATTGTATATCCGCATGTGTAGATTGCTTGACCTGCACGTAGTCTCCGTTTTTCTGGTTCGCACCAGTATCTGAAACACTAGACTCCGGCAATGGATGGTGGAGATGATCGTCAGTGCCATCGTTCGATGAGGGGGGGACCGTGGCGTCACTTCGATCGCTCTGCCAGGTGGCCTCGGCCTGCGATGGCAACCGGGGCCAGTTCTGTGACACTGCACCCTCGTTCACTGTACCACTTCCAGAGTTGCCGGATTTCTGCTCCGTGACTCTGAAAGGAGAGTCTTTCTTCTTGTGACCAGCGCCTTCGCCCCAGCCGGGAATATCGGAACAACCCAGTTCACCTTCAACACCGGCAGCCAGTCCTCCTTCGCCAAAGCCACTTCCCACCCAGAGTTGACCGCTTAGGCCTTTGCCCGGTAACAGGGGGCCGAATGCCGCAGGGCGAGCAAGGAAGAAGGTGGAGTTGTCATCGGTGAGACTGATGATAGCCGACGGAGGAAAGAGCGAAGAGGGGATGTTGAAGGAAAAAAGGGCGTGCAACCCAGACGTCCGACCAGCGAACGTAGTGGGAGTCGCTACATTCGACGAAGAGAGCGCGGAAAAGATGGTGAGGATGATGGGGAAGAAGATTAGGCAGAAAAGAACAAGGAGAAGGCGTGGCGGTCGCATTTCTGGCAACTGAACAAGCCACCGTGGTTCAGAATTTGCGGAAGATGAGAATGAGAGGATGAACGTTCACAAGAACGATTTGACGGTGCCAGGGCTTCCGTTGTACGACGATGCTGACGGGGGCCGGGACCTCTTACCAATCCAATGGTTGGCGGCAAGCGAGCAGGCGGCCACTCATCGAGGACAATGAGCAGCACCGCTGGTCAAAAAGAACCGACGGCCACAACCAACACACCCGGGGAACAAGGGGGGGGGGGGGGGGGTATAAGGGATGGGAGGAGGGAAATGGCAAGTCAATCAGGTGGAGAAGGGGAGGCGAACTGATGGATTAGCTAAGCCGCTGTGACGGCATAGATTGCAGTCACATGCTGACTGCCTAAGGCATTGACACACCACCTGATGCGCCCGTCTAGCCGAGTCTTGGCCCACCGTTCATGTTTTCCACAATCTCCCTCGCGATTGATCATGAGTCCTTCCTCTCCCAGTCCACTAAGATCTCCTCCAGTCCAGTCTACAGACGCTCTTGAAAACGTCCAGTCTCGATGGTCTTCCAAAGTCTCCAGGTCCTTCGCCGATCATGTAATCATGCCGCCAGGCAACCGCATAAGCCACCGCTCCTTTGGCTTTTCCACGTTCGACTCACCGGCTCACAGTCGTGTAGGAAGACTATAAGGATCAAATGCACTTGCAACAAATTCGGGGACAAGTTCGAGCAGCGACAAGACTTCGCATACTCAGTGCACACAGAGATGTACATAGATCCACCTCCCAGTCTATGTAGTGTGTATGGTAACTAATTAACTAAGTAGTTAGATTAACTAGTTAGCTCTCACGAATTATATATTCTAGGAAAAAAGACCGAGAAATATGGAAGGATGGCTCCTGAATATGAGCCATTAGCTCAAAATGTCGTCTAGGCATCTGGTGCTCGAAACCTCCATTAACGTGAAGAGAACGCTGGCTGCATGACCGTGGATATATCCTGCAGAGCAGTCCCTGGTTACGTTTTCCATTCTCTCCACTCCGCAGGATTCCACGCGGTAAAGATATCCCTAAGGCCCCAGTTGAGTGGCGTATTTGGTCTTCAATATCTGGAAGCATGACGACGGATGACATGGTCGGCTTTATTTGTTCCCCCACAAATATTTGTCCCGCATTCCTCATCGTGCCACTGGAACGTCATGACAGGCTGGGGAAGACCGTATCAGAGCTCTACTCCTCCGTGAGTGGCCCTTCTCCTCTTATCCATCATGTGGCATGTCGTCACTGAGTTCCACGAGTAGACATTGGGCAATGGATCGGTTGTGGTGAACGTAAGAGCCAAAGCATTTAAACCCTCAATAGGACCGACCTCCCCTTTTGTGTCAAAAACTCACAGATCGACAAAACCCAACCCTCCAGTTACACATCCTGTCCCAATCTGGTTTTTTTTTCGATCCTACACACAAAACTTACCATGGAGAAAATGATGCACAAGGTCAAAGATGCCATGACTGGCCACCATAACTCGGAGAGCAAGGAATACTCTCATGACCCATCCAATAGGGCAAACAAGATGGATGGTGAGCTTGTCTTCTGAATGACGTACGGCCTGAATGCCTAACTCGTTTACTATAGATAACCGTGAAAACTACAGTTCTTCCATGTCTGGAAACAAGGACCATGGCTCCAGCAGGTACAACTCATCTGCCATGGATTCTACCAATCCCAGTAACTACACATCAACTATTCCGGGTGTAGGAGGCCTCAGCTCTAATCGCTATGACACCGAATCCAAGATGAGCCCTCAAGTGAATGGTGAGCGTATAGAATTATCTCGCAAACTCACATCCGCTGACACCCGTAAGACACCAGCAATGCCTATGACAACGCCTACCGCTCGGTCAACAAAGGCTCCGGCGGCTATGGTTCTGGCAATCAGCGCGAGCCCAATATGCCCAGCAGGATGGATGGTCAGACTGAATCCTTCTCCAAATGGCCTTCCACGCTCTAACATTTCGTCAGACATCACCCACGGCAATAGCAACACAGGCATGAGTGACTACGGAACCAGTGGTTACACCTCCGGCCAGTATGCCTCCCGAAAGGGTCCCGGTGGCTATGATTCGTCTACTATGGGCTCGAATGTCTATGATTCCAGCAAACACACCGGGAACTACAACACCGACTCCGTTCCCTATGAAGAGACTGGACGCTACGGGTCGAACAATATCAATGCTGGCCCTCGCGAATCGAAGATGACCAGTAATCTGGACTCCCGCTTCGACGGCAATTTAGGTGAGAGCATAAAAAGGTCTATGGTGCTTCTAAGGTAAAGACACTGAGTTCAGATTTAGACAACCGGCACACTTACGGGGCCACCACCACCGGCAACACCACCTCCACCGGCCAGATGGGCGACTACAGCTCCAACGTTAGTTCCACCGGTGGTAGCAATTTGCGCAGTGATCCTTCTCATGGCTACAACACTCGCTCCGGCAACACAGGCTCGAATATGACGAGCCAGACGGGGAACCGTGCCGAATCGGAAGTCAACAATCGTGCTAGCCAGCAGGGCTTCGGCGGTACCGCTGCCGGTGGCAGCAGCTACAACACACATGAGACTGGCAAGAGACGAACCTCAGGTCCTCACAGCTCCAATCTTTTAAACAAGCTTGACCCTCGGGTGCGCAGCTCTGACTATGAAGGCAACATCAGCGGGAACCAGCGGGGATTGTAGGCGTTTTGACTTTGATGTTATTACGGCTGTTCTATCGTGTATCAGTAGTTGCGGACTTTGGTCTAGTCTCCAATATTGAACCTCGTATAGCAGTTATTTGCTATGACTCTAACAGGTACTTCGATAACTTTATTACGCGAGTATATAGTGGCCTCAGAACCTGCCTTTGTGAGATAACGTTTACCTTGATCGAGTACAAAGTACAAAGTACAAGGTACAGCGGAGCTCTTCAGAAAGAGAAACATTTTATTGATCTGTCTATCCTACGGCGTAAAAATTCTAGCCCAGGGGGTGAATAGATGATGCGCGTGGGCAAGACTACGTTAGCAACCCGCAATCCTACTTACACAACTAGCCTAATCGGAGAGTTCCAGATACTCGCTCGTGGGCATATGCTCATCAATAGGATAGTGATTTCATCATATACAGGGAAGAGAAACTGCTCGGTTTGAATGGATGAAGGCTCATTCATGGGAACAAAACAAGGGTCAAGAAAAAAGGCAAGAGACTGTGTGGGCTTAAACGTATGAGACGAGGGATATGAAGACAGGTGTGACGAGAATGAGAGAAAAGGGGTTCATCCAGGGAAAAAAGATCAGGACATCCGTCACCAAGGTGTCATGATTGGCGCGAATTAGGCTAAAGCCGTGATGAGACACAAAGGACAAGAGAGAAAGTCAGGGTATGCAACGTATGCAATATGACGGCTGCAAAACCAACACCGAATCCCAGAGAAATCAAGTAGCTAGGCACCGAGGCCAGGATACAAGGATATCAAATCGTCAAGAGTAATAAAGTCGTAGGGGATGAGAAGGATCATGCTGGGTCGCCCAGTCTTAGGCGCCGACTTTTGAGGAAAGACAATCGTTACCGTGCCAAGAAGAGCAATGAAGCGTGGACCCAAGGCCCATTTATTTGTCCATCTTTTGCCACCCATTGAGATAGGCCATTAAACCAACCCCAAGCAGAACCACGCCAAACATGGACGCAAAAGGACTTGCTTCCTCCAAAAAGCCGCGACGATGCCATTGGGTAGCCAACGCCGTAGCTGCTGCATCCATCTCTTTTCCTTTTAAAGAGGCTGGGTCGGAATGCTGCACTGACGCGTCACCCTTCTTGCTGGGCTCCGCGGCGCCATTTTCAGCTGGTGAGCTATGTTCAGAAGTCGACTTGGCCGTATCTTGCCCATGGACATCTAGCTTGGTCTTGCGAATAGCAGCCGCAGCCGTAGCTTTCTCGTCGCGTTCACGGCGGTGGTCTTCGATCAGCTCCGCTAGTGACTTCCGCGAGTGGGCATTCTCGTTCTCAGCTTTTTCTGCACGGTCCTTGAACGAAGCCACCTGCTTCCTCATTTCTTCCATCTCTTCCATCATGGTCTCGAGACGTTTTTGAAGCTGTGCAGTGTTCACGTCTGGATAAGAATCTGGTTTGGTAGCTTCAGGATCCGCAGAGGCTTCGGATGGCGGAATTGACCCGTTGGGTTGTTCCGCCTTCTCCACGTCCTCATGCTCGCGTTGTGTCTCCGAATTATTATCCGGGAGGCTATCAGTCGAGCCGTCGGCGCTCTGTTTCGCATGCTCCAATGAGGAGCGCATTTCCAACTTCTTAACTTTCTCCTCTGCAGACTCGCGCGCAGCCTTCTCCTGGTGGAGAATATCTTCAAGCTCCTTCATGCGGACACTTTGGACGTCAATTTCTCGTTTGGCAGATGATAACGCCTCAAGAAGTGACAGAATCTGACTTGAATCACGCGACACCGGAGAACTTGTAGTGGAGACCGGCTTTTGCTTATCCGTGTCACTACGTTTCAAGGGTGAGAATGCATCCATGCCACTTCGAGGCGCATCTGGTTTCTCTGGCAATGGTTGCTGTGGTGGGGGAGCTGGCGGGTCCGAGAATCTGGAGAAAGAGTCCACGCGCGGCATCTTGGGGCGGCCATTTATTTGACGTGGTCCGCCATTCTCGAGAGAAGGCTTGGTGGCTTTCTCTTTCTCGGCATAACCGGGTTTCATGATAGCGTTCAGAAAATCATCGGTTTGGCGAAGATCCTGGGATTGTTGCTTGGCTTGTTTCAACTCCCCCTGCAGAGACTGTTAGCAATTCCATCGAGGATGACCTTGGCGGTTAGTTGGACATGCATACCGTCAACCTCTTGACCACTTGCTCAACAGAGATGGGCGAGTTCCAATAATTCATTTGACGTTGCTGTTGCACGGCGTTAAACTGGCTACTCGCGACGCTCTGAGAACTACGAGTACTCAGATTGCTGCTGGATCGCCCACGTAGATGAGAGAGCGGTTGGCTGAGAGGTGAAGGGAGAAGACCGCCACCCGATGCGGGATCTAGATCTCCGAAGTTAAGATCCAAGATGTTAGGGGTGGTCCCATAGAGACCAGCATGCTCAACCTTGGCAGAAACCTTGTGGTGTACAATGGTATTCTGATCCTCACTGACGATGTCGATTCCCAGTTCGAGGGTATCATTTTCTCGCAACTCATGAGGCTCTGACTCGCGGTTCTCCGGCGACAGGCGGTGGCCATTGACGAAGGTACCGTTTGATGACTTGACATCACGGATCCAAATCTTTCCAGTCTTATCGGCCCAAATCTCAGCATGCTGTCGAGAGAGAACTTTAGAATCAAAGAACCCATTAACCGGGGTGGGCACTGTTTTTGCATTGGTCTGGCGACCAATTCGAAGCACTTCGGAGAAGAAGGGCACATTAATTTGTTTTTTCTCGAATGTACCGTTCATGGGAGTGAGAGTAAGAATAGCAGGAGGGTCTGCAGACTGCCCATTGGTCTGCCGAATACCATTCTGCTGGGATGACTGTAGCATGTGCTGTGAGGGGACAATAGACGGAGGCTGGTGAATGGCGGACATTGTTGACGATGCAGTTGGCCCAGAGGAGAAAGCAGGAACCGGCTGGGATCGGAGGTTCGTTACTCCTGCTACCGCTTCGGCCTTGGTGTTAAACCAAGGACTTCTGATTGGCTTCTTTTTGGATGACCAAGTGCCTACTTCGGTACTGGAATTCTGTCCAGCATGGGTCTCTGATTGAGTGTTGGTCACTGTCGCCGTAGAGGAAGATGACGAGAGGGAGGACGAGGAGTTTGATCGCTGAACGTGCTTCCGCGGCATAAACATCCGGGATACTTCTTCCGCATTCACTGACGATAGAGCTCCTTCTCCTCCGTCACCAGTGCTGTACCATCCCAAGCGAGACCCCGATTGCACACTAGGCGGTGATGCCACAGCAGTCATGGAGAAGGATGGCTGAGAGCGTTCGATACTATTTGTCCTGGCGGTGATTGGCAGTCGCAGATTGGTAGAACGACGGTGGCAATGAGGATATTCCAAGAAACAGGAAGAAGACAAAATTAATAATGATTGTTGTAGCGCGGTTTTTGTTCGTGGTTGTGGTCGTGAATGAGTAGTGTTCCTCGATTTCGCGAAGGGCCGTTGTTTTTCTTGATCTCGGGCGGCTACTTCAGGACGGTCGCGTTAGCGCTGTCGGTGCTTGCCAGACAATCCAGTCACCCAGGCCCAAACGGGCTCAAGAAGGAGAGGTGCGAGAAGAAAGCTGGGAGTAGTATGCAACTAACCGGCTCCAGTTCGTCTCAAGAAGATTTAATCACAGTAGAGGACATGAGAGTCGGTGGTCCAGACCAGGGAGATGTGAGGTCGTGCCGAAAAGTGAGCAGCGACCGGTGTCTCACACCGTCCAAGGACAATGGAGAAAGTGCAGGACCGGGATGCCGCCTAGCCAGAGGCGTGAGGCCACCCTAGCAACGATGTAGCAAGAAAGATATCAAAGCCCGAGGATAGTCAGCCATGAGGAAACTGGCCCAAGGGAGAGGAGATCGGCTGGTCTCCTGCTCCCTTGGCAGCCCCGGGCTGGTCACGTGTGCTATCTGCACGTGCAGTGTGTCCGTTGGATCACGTGTCCAGAGCGGAGGCAGTTCCGTTCCGGGGGTGCGCTGAGAGAAAAAGCTCCCCATTCCTTCCCAGTCGCCAGGTGAATTGCCTAGCTTTGCTCGGCTTCAAGCTGCTGCTGATCAAATCCCCTTCATTTTTGCTACCACGTGGAACTCAGGCTTGCTCTCTATAAGATGCCTGTCGTTGCTGGCCCTGCCCCAGGGGGTCCTGCGGGTCCCTCGACCTTTGACAAGAGTACGTTGTCAGCCCTATCACATCACTTCGAGCATTGTAATGCAATGCGATGCGATATGTTCAATCATGGAGAGTGAGGCTAATCTGAGTTTAGTGAAAATGGGTGCTATGATGGGATCTAGTACGTGAATCCAAAAGGATTACATCGTCATCGACTGAGCTTTTGCTGATATGGTTTTGGTTTAGCTGTCGGTGGCATCATGGGATTCATCATTGGTGAGTGAGCTCCCTTGTCCCAGTTTATATAGATTTCATGGTCTGGAAGCTTATGGAGCGAAGGAACTGTGACCATCTTCCAGTATGGCGCTGGCCCTAACGGTGTCATGCGCACCCTAGGCAAGTATATGGCCGGCTCTGGTGCGACTTTCGGGTATGTTCCTCTGCTATATTTCTCCCACCCTACCCTTGTTTCCAAGATCTTGAGCGTGTTCTCTTATGTCCTATTCCATGAACTAACTAGATTCTCCCTTCGTGCCCAGGCTTTTCATGTCCATCGGTAGCGTTATCCGTTCCGAGGGACCCTACAACGATGCCTGGCTCCGCGCCCGTGGCCCCCCGATGATGCTTCCGCGCCAGAACCCCCTACGGCCGATGCGTCAATAAACTCGATGATCCTCACTATTCTTGGGAGTGCTGCCAAGGGAGACGTGACATGACCTACCAACTTGACGGGGACGACGTGTACGATATAAGCAGAGTTCGATTTTGAGCGTTCTCAACAGACCTGTAAGGATAAGGAATGCCGTTGGTGCAAAGCTATACGCAGGCCGTGGTGGACAAGTTGGAGTCACTAGCCACCCAGCTTGCGATGTACATACACCAAACACATCTGAGGTCACTCAGGTATAATGCCAGACTCGGGCGTTGCAGCTGGGGCTCCTAGCTTATGTTCATTGCCTGATCTCTTTGTTATCTTCTTCGGTAGATGTCTCATGAAACAGGACTTGTTCCATACGATCAGTCACTTCGCAAAAGGATTTGCTGGGCCTGGTATGGCAGCTAAACAGATCACGCCGACAAGTACATATTTGTTTTTCTTTAGCCGGCGCGCTAGGATCTCTGATACGTGTGAAAATAGCCGCCTAGACATCTATAGTCCACGCATAAGCCGAGACAGACAGAAAGACCTGTGGTGCTGTAAATGCCGAATCAAGACAGGTGCCGTCACGTCAATTCGATTGCCGGGTTTGTACGCTGGGTTCGTGACCAAGGTATCTTATTTTGCGGTGGTATCTATTTACATGGATGACCGCCCAGTCAAGATCGATGCTAGCCTCAACCTCCAGAGGTCCACGGGCATAGAGAGTATGGTGTATAGTGGCTCAACTCATCCTGATGGGAAACAAACCAAAACAATCATCTCGACGTGATGATTGAGCGCCGCGTTTTGGCAGTCATTCGTCTGGCTGCCTTTTCCTTCTCCCAGGCCATTCCGATCACTCATTTGCAGAGGCAAGAAGCGGCATCCGCTGCTGTACCTACCGACCTACAGTATGTATGTACATACTGTACATTCTGATATTCAGGATATAGTACGTACCACCAGCTTTACCAAACCGAAGACATGCTCGCAGGAACTCGAAGCTCAGTATATTTCAGAACGGGCATCAGAACACAATAATCAGGACCGAAAGTGTTCACACCAACTCCGAAATTGAAAATTTGGCTGCAAGAGATCGGAGAGCGAAAGACTCGGAAGGATCAAGTGCCTTCTCTAATCCCCGGACTCGTCGCCACAAGCGGAAGGTGTGCAGGTCGATCGCCATCGCCCATGGTGGGCCCGTCTTTCCCATGGAACCCGCTAGGAACAGGCAAGCTGCGCTCGAACGAGCCCCGATTCTCATTACTCTGGTGGGGTTCACATCCCACTACCGCGAAGGACTGTGCTGTCTCTCCCGCACTACTTTCAGCCTTCCGGGCACCAACCGAGTCATAATGAGAGAATTCCGCCAGTCTTGGATCATGCTGGCCAATCCGGTCGTTACCATCGGTCCTGATGAGAAAGCCCCCAGACTAGGCCCGGGGCAAATTACAACCAACCAGGCTCGAGCAGATCCGATTCATCCGTTCCTGCATCCATGACGCCAGGGGTAAGACAACACAGGGCAGAGGGGACCGGGCATCCGCGGTGAACGCTCCAAGGGCAACTGAGAAACCTGCAGGCCTGCATCATGTCCCAGGAAAATCTTCATCTCAGGCACCCGCACACCTGATGGAACACACCCCGAACTCAGAGGGTTTGGAGGTCAGGTTATTGTTGGCTCGTTGGCACAATACAGACATGTACACATGGTAAGGATTGGCCCCGACAACATCGGGCATCATGTCCACGTATTCGGAATCGTCGTTTATCTCCACTGGCCAGGCTGGACAGCCCTCATACCGCCTCGATAGTCCATCCATGACGCGACGCAGTGATTGTTGACATACCAAAGTCCCTCGCATGCGAGCCCGAGGGTGAAGTCTGTGCGGGTATCGGACCCATTTCGTGTTCCACCTTGACGCCCTTGGGCGAGTTGGCTCATAACAAATCCTCAAGTAGCGTAGGTCTGACTGCATATTGGGCCCCATCGTTCGATTTCGGGCCGCCCTAATTCGCGTAGTCCCAGAACGGCGTGCGCATCCCTCCAATCGTAGGCGCCGCTAGTGCAGAAAAATCCATAAAATTCACCAAGGCCTCTAGAAGTGGCCGAATTGGCCTTTTCCCCAGGTTGGCCGCTCCCTCGTGCCTGAGCCTGGTATTTAGACTGCATGCCACGCCCTGTCATACTGCTTCCTTTCCTCTCCCTTTAGCCGCCTTGAACTTCCCTCATTCACCCCCCTCAGTCACTCATTATAGTCACTCGTTTATACTCTCTTGAGCCGCGCTCCCACGTTCTTTCCCTCCAAGTCTCACTCGTTCACGCTCAAGGCCAGATACTTGGTGACGTGGTTCACTGCCGGCCTCATCCTCGAGTAACCTCGTCGAGCACGATCTCAATTGAAAACTATCCCTCCGAGAAGAAAAAGACCACAAACTCGGTGACAATGCAGATCAGCTCTCTCATCACATCCTTCCTCTGCTTGGCTGCAGCCCAGCTCGCTGCTGCGGAGACCACCACCTCGGTTTCGACGACAACCATCACCAAGACTCTAATCAGAGTGAACTCGGTCACCCCGACGCCCAGCTCCAGCCTGGCCACCGTGGCCGCGACGTCGACTCCACTTCGAGTTCCCATCTCAACCCACGCCGTGCCCTCTGTCGCTATGACCGGAGGCGCCGTCAGCGTCAACGCTGCCATGCCCGCGGCGCTGGTCGCTGGATCCTTCGCGCTGCTTATGGGCTCAGCCCTCTGACTGCGGTCGCGATTCATTAACGAGCATCGATTTCAAGCTCCAAATGCTGTCAGATCAGAGAGGCGCATCATTGGCCTTGACCATTCACATTCCGACGTTGGGGCTACTCGTATGCTTCTTGGCATCACGCCGTTCATCTCCAGCAGAGCCGAGGTCATTTTTATTCGGGATTCATAATCTTCGCTTCTTCTTTACTTTTTTTACCTTCTTGTCTTAAATTCTCTTGGTTAGCTGGAGAACCCGATTCGGAGAGGAAACGGCTTTATGGACTTCAAATACCCCTTTTAACGACCTTTTGAGACACGATTCGATGCTGTCTTTTCTTCTTTCAACTCCAACTTTTGTTCGATTCTCATGTCCATATTTGTTTCGTGTATTGTTCTCATGGAGGCGCTTCTAGCACTGGCATGTCCTACTCTTAGGGCTTGATGTGGCGCTAGATGCGAGTGCAAACCAACAGCCTGTTGCTGGTTGAAATCCCAGCTCCAGACACTCGACAACAATTGGCACCTATTTTATTCTTGATGTGAAGACATGAACGTCTACAATGTTGACTTTGACGTAGCGTAGATCACGACGATCGAGCATTCCAGTGGACCTGGATGCCGCCTCCTCCGCGGTCGACTGATGCCCGTGCGCCCACGCGTGCGGCCGCTTTGGGAAACCAGTCGTTTGATCCGATCTTATCTCGGGAACTATTCGTCTTCAAACCCCTCGCCCGTCTTCCTTCCTGCACATTTCCGAGGGCGATATCGCGTTGGCCGTGGAAGCTGTCCGTTCGTTCAGGTGCTCGATTCGCGCGCGTTTGTTGACATTCGAGGTGAGCTCCACCACGCGTCGCTCCCTAAACTCCCGGCGCATCGCCCGCCACCCATCGAGTCCTCCGGACACGCCTGGGAGGACAATTGCAGCGACTCGTCTGCGCTGCGACTCGGTTGCTCGCAATGGACAGCGAAGTTCCGCTGCCTCCGCCGCGGCGAATCCGGCACCGTTCGCCGGCGCGCGCGGGCACCTCCCCCTCGAGCTCAATCGCATCGTCGTTCCGGAAGGCGCGTCGGTTGTCGCGTTTCGATGACCGCTCGAGCCAGCCATCGAGCGATCCTGCGCTCTTCTCGAGTGATGATATTCCCGCGTCCGGGCTGGAGAATTACAATGCGCCTGTGACTGGCGGGGCTGGGCGCAAGCGGCGATATCGTGGGACCTGGTGGGGTGAACAGGTTATTGATCCCAAGAGGAAGAGGGCCGATTTCAAAGAGAAGCGCCAGGTAGACAGCGGTGTGTGGATGGGGAGCGATGAATCTACGGCTGAGTCGCTTTTGCCTTCGGAGGATGCGTCGGCCTGGGGTGAGGATCTCCTGAAGACAGTACTTGATCCGAAAGCGACAGGCAAATATCCCCAGGGCCTCGCTCTGCCGAAGGCGACCGCGGCGCCGGTGTTACCTCTACCGATTTGGAAAGGGCTGCACGAGTCGGAGCAACACAAGTTTGCGAGAGCGGTTGTGAATGACTGCCTCGAGAAGGGGGAAGACAGCATTGACCTAGGGTAAGCTCCCCTCGTTGCGCAGTGAAAATAGAACCCTTTTCGTCCTAACTATTCACTCCCCCAGAAACTTTGATTTGAGGGAGATTCCTCCAGGTCTGCTTCAGCCACTGCAACATTTGACGAAGTTGCCCTCGGTGAAGGAGGCTCCGCTCTCTGAGAACGCCTATAGCTCTCTGCAGCCTTTTCTCCGCGTATACCTTTCCGGGAACTCATTGACGACGCTCAACAACGAGCTCTTTGAGCTCGGTGATCTCAAGGTCCTCAGCGTGCGGAACAACAAGCTGTCAGAGATACCGTATACAATTCAGAAGTTGGCTGCGTTGGAAGTCCTCAATGTCTCAGTCAATCTACTCACGCACCTCCCATGGGAGCTGCTACGGCTCCTCCAACATGGTGAACTGAAACATTTGACCGCATTCCCGAACCCATTCCCATCAATTGAGGAAGGCGAAATCACCAAATGGCACCGTCAACCAAGGAAGAGCCAGGAGAATGGAAAGCCTGAGACGTCTCTGGAAGACCAGCTGAGATTCGACGAATATGAGGGCTCTCCTCCCAAAAATGCTTGGGCTACGATCCACGTAGCTACGAGTCCGATAACCCGACGAGACATGGAGGGAAACCCGATCGACGATGGCTCAGCTTCTGTTGTGACACCCGTGGCATTGCCACCATCAAGCTCCACGCCAAGCGCTCCATCACTGCGCGAGCTCGCCCTCCGGGCCGTGTGCAAGCTACCGGGTCTCGAACAAGTCACCGATGACGAGCTAGACGACTTCCCCTCGCTGGTGGCTCCATTGATGTATCAAGCCAGGAAGATTCGCGCTGCTGGTGGCCAGCGCTGCTCGGTGTGTCAGCATGAATACGTGGTCCCTCGCACGTCATGGCTGGAATGGTGGGACTGCACGCCTCATGAGAGCGGTATGAAGAGGCCCCGGACCTCTGGAGAGAAGCTTCGTCCTCTGCCATTCCAGCGACATGGCTGCAGCTGGGCTTGTGTTCCCCGCTTGCAGAATATATGAGTGGTTTTTTGTGCATTATTCATGGCTGGGCACTGTATATCTTTTTAACTGTATGTACTAGGTTTCGGTGTGAATACATTGTTACCCGCCCTTCATAAGGGCGATCACTTTTCAGTCAAGCTGTCTAGTCTTGGTTTGTATTGGCCAGTGCCACCCTGGGGAGAATTGGTACTGTGCATGCTCTTCGTTTGGGGGTATGTTAATCAATCTAGTGAACATGAGTCATGTCTTTGGCTCTGTTATCCCAGGGCCCTGACACTGGTATCTTGCATGTGTGAACGAACACGGTCCATGTCTATGCGCATATAGAGCTCATCTCTGTATGGCATGAGACGACCAGGTGTCCTTTGATGATGCGACTCGAGGGTCCACATATGGCTTGTGTATTAGAGTCTGGACGCGTAGATAGGCGCAGGTCGACCTCATCCACTGCTTCTCGGATGGTCTCTAGGCAAGATACTAGCCAACATCCGTGCAGGCTATGTCTGGTTGCCACTTTCGGGGTGTATGGTCCGTGTTGAACTGGCCTGTAGTGATCTTGGCTTATCGTTCAAGGCCATGTCCTGTATATAGCATATGTCCCTGTGGCCGTGGGTGTGTCGAGATCACTTGAGGCTCACGGCTATCTCGACCATTTTTATCCATCGAGTTCGAGTTTCGGGAAGCTCGCTATCTTCAGAGGCCACAGTGACCTGGCGTTTTCTTTTCTTGGCAGCAGCTTTGCTGGTTGATGGCTGCTGCTTTCCAGGCACACTCTCGTCTTTCGAGTCTTGAGCATGTGGGCCATCCTCACCATCTGTGTTCCGTCCCCCAACGCGTCCCTGCTTCTGCATTTCTCGTTCCTTCTTTTCTTCGTCCTCGACCACGTCATCGACGACGAGCACGCTCCCGGTATTCACACGAACTGTGTACTCCGATTCCTTTTCCTCGAACCATTTGCCCACACTGAGCGCCTTCTCAATTGCACGTCCGGTGGCTTTGACAAAAACCTCCTCCCGTTTCTCTGCTGTTTGTGCCAGCTCAGCAAGCTTCTGCTTCTCTGATTTGCGCGTATCCTCGAGGCTAATATTAGCCGTGGCGCGCTTCTCGGCATGGCGGAGCAATTTCTGTACGCGTTTGACGGCGCTCATAAAAGGCGAGCCGCTGGAGACGTAGACAATCTTGGGAACGGAGGGGCCCGCGTATGGAGACGCGACCGGGGCATGGGGGATTGGGCGCTTCTCAACGTTGGCATCTGCCGTTGAAATTGTCAGTATTCATAGGGTGGGCCGATGGGGGGGGGGGGGGGTTCGGTGCGTACATTTGGGCAGCTTCACGAGGTCTTGGTTCTTCTTCTCAAACTGGAGCTTTCGCTCCAGCGGCCCGTTTCCCATGTTCAGATCTTGAGGTAGTTGCAGCTTGAATGCGCCAGGAAAGTGAGATCTTATCGGTTCCCTTTTTCTGCCGGGCGGCGTGTTGGTTGTATGGGCCATGATGGGTTGAACCCCCACATCAGCTATTTGCTGAGTGCTTGTCTCTACTCTGTGTTTGATTGGATTGGTATTGCTTTGGTTTCCATGCCATGATTATATGTAACTTTATCTACCTAGGTTCGCCATTTGTGTTAAAGAATTCAGCGTGACACCTGTTTGTTACCCCATTGCGCTGTTCGAGCTCACGATATATATCACTGTAGATCCCAAATCAGCAGCCTCACCAACCTGAAAACCTTCGAAGCCATCCACCAGAATCGGCACCGCAAGGAATTGTAGTAGCCGAGCCACGTAACAGAAATCCCTTGCCCGAAATGCACTAGACCTACCTAAATACGAAAGAGATAAGCTAAGGAATATGGGGGAGGCCTACGTCAGCCTTTTGTTACAGACAACTTCTCGGGAATCACAGAAATATCTCCTGCCCAACGTTCACAGCGAACCGAGTAAGGAAAGAGGAGGCTCGGGATCGACTGGTAGACCTCTACCACTTCATCCATGACAAGCCACACACATTCTTCCATCCTTATTGAAGAAGCGGATACATGATGAAACCCCTCAAATCGCAGGATGACATGGAGCCATGGCGATTGTAGCACGGTGAGCTACCAAGGCAAAAGTGACCCCTGCAGCATGCATTGGTGCTTGGTATGAGGGGCATGATGGCGGCTGCCTGAGTTGTTAGCTTGCGCGCGCTCTCCCTTCCTCCCTTTCCTCCTATGACTTTTCCCACCCACTCCGTGCGTCTTCCTCACCATTGCAATGGGTAAGGCCTACATCGTGGATGGACTAACAAGTTTCTTCTTCAGCATGCTTTGCCAATTGAAGGTGGGATGGATGAACCGGCTGCTTTTGGTAAGAACGTGGAAAATATGCGACAGATGGATTATTGACACTTCATTTAGAAGTGAGTCAACAGGAGACAAAGCAAGATCGAAAATATCCCTTAAACGTCGAGGTGCTTGCCCTCTCATTGGTACTCCAGTGCGTTGTTACTGCCAATACTGGCATTCTCCCCATCGACAAGCCCGGCAATTTTCCTCCAGAGTTGGGCACTTTGTCTCCACGAAGAGGAGCCAGATGCAAAGGCTTTCGAAACCAAGAATGGCAATATACACAAAATACAAAGGCCACTACAAAGCCTCCAGGCCGATCGGGTTGACCTATTGTTTGAATGCTGACGATGCAGCAGCTGTGGCGATGGCGACAGAAAGGCTCTGGCTCAAATATTGAAAGGGAGAATCTCAGCAGAGTGCGCGACTGCCAGTCCAGCGAGCGCGACACAATCTTGGACAACCTCACGGAGTATCGACCAATCGCTACCCATCAAGGCCACAAGTCGTTCATCTGACCCCTCCACGGATCATAGTGCAATTTGAAATTCAAATGGTGCCACACTGTTGCGACGTTGGCGGGTGCAAGGAGGGGGAATGAGGGAGCGCTCGGGGATAAGAGATGCGTTAATCGACGCATTCGTTGGTCCATCATCTTCATTTTTTGTCGCATTCCTTGAAGATTCCTATATTGAATCATATTGGGCATGCCCCCCCTCCCAAAAAAAAGAAGCCTCATCTTCGCCAAGCCGAAACTGCGCAGCAGCTCGTTGTCAATGGCCGACCCTTTCTTTCTCTCACTGCGAAGCTGCAGAATTTCTCTATGGCATCTGGAGAATTCATAGAGCCAATTTGCAGAAGCCCGTTGATACCAACATCAACAATGCTTTGGGATGTGTTAAATGGGAAGGCATTGAGCCCGTCGAGGGCCAATTCAACATATGGAGTTGGGCAAGGTCATACTGGGTAAGAGAGCATGGACTGCACCTTGTTCTGCTATGGTTTGGCATATTCCAATTTGCCCTCTCGGGATTCGATTGGTAACATGTTATGGAACATGAAATGCGAACTTCAGACATCTCCGTCCACGTTCCACCATGGCTAAAGACAAACACTCGATGATTTCTACGAGCAAAGCCTCGGAAAGCTGGCGGTGTTCTGAAGACCGGCCGACGTCTTGTCGATCTTCCAAGAAGAAGGTCTTAAAGCCGACGCTAAAGCGTTCTTTCGCCTACCAAGCCACGTCAAAGAGGTTCAAGGAACACGCTCGACAGTGGCTATGGCCCAAGTGGAGAACGAGAGAGGTCTTCTAGGAGACTTCGAGATGGCTCCGCTGCGGCCGAGAAACGTTCAGCAAGCCAGCGCCAAAATATCAGCTGCATTTCCTGGCTCAAAAATTGGGACGATATCCACAGCGACCTAAGATCAAACTCGAGCCACTTCAAATCTCAGGCAAGCCCGAGTGGATCATGGGCTTGAGTCTTTGGCAAGAGACCGCACACAGACGAGCTGTTCATGACATATCACTATGCGCAATATCTCAACCAGGTTTCTGCAGCGGGCAAGAAGAAATACCCAGTATCGCTGTATATTAGCGTCTGGCAGAAGTATGTGAGCAAAGACAGCGATGACGACATCCTCATCGTCGCCGGTGGTGGTGGCTATCCAAGCGCTTACCCGTCGGGAGGTGCCACCGTCACAGTACTCGACGTTTGGCAGCGCTTTGCTCCATCTTTGGACTTCATTGCACCCGATATTTGGCATACCCGGCCCAGTACCGGCATGGTCATCCATCTTGGCAGACCAAAATTCCTGTTGATCGGATGGGACTTTCAGGCCCGTGCTCGCTCGCTTTCACCTACGAGCAGCTTCACCGGCTTTTCGCAATTTGAGAAACTAGGCGTGAACAAAGAGATAGGGGAGCTGTGCACGCTGCGGACTTTGGACGGCGACGAAACCCGGAGCAGGATCTTGCTATGATGCCGAATGATGATCCGGATTACGGTGGTTTCCCGACCTGCGTGACTGCCCCTGCTCACACTATGATGGCGGAGCTGGAAGAGTACTCGATTGATGAGGCGGATGATGTGTCAAAGGGAAAAGACATGGTCTGGTGACCAGCTTACACATCACTGGCAGAACAGAATCCTTCTTTTATCGCCTCTACTGACCCTGTACAGAAGGAACCGCGGACTCGGTTACAGTCAATCAAGTGCCTCAACCAACCGCCAAGATCACCTGGTTGATAAACCCATAATAATCCTCGTCGGTAGGCAGCAGGTATTGGGATAGATTACAAGGTCGTCCATCACGTATGACCGACAGAAATTTTATGTGAAGAGACAAGTGTGGTTTCATCTGTGCTGGGCCATTACCGCGGATGGCGGCCCGATATGCAAGAAGACGCAAGAAACGCCGGCAGAACTGCCGAGACACTGTCACCATGCATGTGTCCCCTGTCATTTCTCACCGCGATCACGATATGACCCGCCGAGAGTGGGACTGGAAATCGAGTCATCGAGATTGGCATCAAAGAGAGACCGACGGCGGTGCGTGAAAAGAAAAAAAAAAGATTTGGAATCCGCCACTTCGGCACTAGACTATCGAACACGTCGATTTGAAGAAGAAAGCGATATCGTTGGGCTCCAGCTCAGCTTCACACACACATCAACTCGATTCCTTTGACACCGAGGCTAGATCAGGAATGAAAAGGAATCCCGGGTTCCAACACCCAGGAACACGATCGTGGTTCTTCCAAGGGAGAGGATAGGGGCCCCCGGTTCTCAGGGGCATGATGCCATGATCGCCGGCTAACGTTAAACTAGCTCTCGTATGTAGCGAGAACCCACCGGATCTTGGCCAGGGTCTGACGTATTCACCCGAGGACAGTCCTCGGACTCTTATGTAGGAGAGACAAATACGGAGCGGTTCACGGTTAATGAAAATTGCGAGTTATCATATGTATGTACATATGTACATATACTCACAACGGAGGAGCGAAGATCGCAGTGTCTGGACACACGATGGGAGCTGAGCAGTTCCACCACTGCCCATCCCAGCTTCTTTGGGAAGGTCTTGTCCCCGACCCACGAGAGACCAGTTTTTCGGCGACGCAGGTGTCATGCATCCTCAGGGCCGCCTTCCAATCTTGACGTCCCCCATCCTCCGACTTTTGCTCCGATGCATAAGTACGGGACTTTCGAATCAGCATCCTCAATCTAGTGTGTATGTACTGTATAGAGAGGAAAATCAAAATTGAAAAAATGACCGATCATGAGAATCTGCAATCTGAAACAACGCAGGTACATACTCCGCCCAATGGCCATCCTCATCCTCACTGGAGGAGAGAAAAATCGGGTCACGGGCGGGGCTGACACGGCGGTGTTCCACGGGCGAGCGCCCCGATTGCGGTTGTTTATTGTGATTATCATGAGTAACGAGAATCACAAACCAAATCTGCTCTCTAGAATGTTTTGCGAGCTCATTTGTATAGATTGCCCTGAAACGACCTGTCCAAGACCGAGCGTGATGGAGAGAAGAGACTGGCAGCAGGTGACTGCTCCAACGCCTTCTTGCAGGGGGCGGCGATAGTGCGTTGCAGGGTTTTGGCTTGTCGGGCTGTGCGGGATTGCGCGGTCCACCCCACAGATCAGAGAGGTACCGTTTTGCCTGAGGTTGCCTGAGCGCAATTGGGTGACGAATGATTCTCAACAAGATGCTGAGTTCATACTGTACCCATACATACATACAAATATAGACTGTGATCTATATTTGGTCGGGTCTGGAGGAGGGAACCGGTGGCGAGTACTTCTGGCTCTGCCCACGACAGTCTTGCGTCCGCATCGCGTGTCCGGGAGCCTCTCTGGCTTAGCGCAGACGCATAGAAGATGAGATTGAGGGGGCGACCGGTTTGATTCGGCCCTGAACATGATCGGGGTGCCCCAAAGTACCGTCCGAAAAGAAAAATCCAAAGTTGGGGGGCTCTGTATCCATCCCTAGTTCCCGGTCAGGCCGGGGCGACGCTACAGCGAGGATATCCAGTCCCCCGGGGACAAGAGAGCCTGAGAATGTATTAGCGGGCGAATTAGTACGGAGGCCAAGTGGGCCATCCGGAAGGACGGAAAGCCAACGGTTGTCATTTCCTCCATCGCCTCTCCTGTGCGCGTCGGTTGACTGCAGGTGGAGCCCCGAAAAACGGGCGAAAGCCACCCAGCCAGATGGATCGGTAATGGGGAGCAATGAGAGACGCGGGCGAACGAGTCGAGGGAATCGAGTGTCCACTCGACTGGTCCAGACACTCCTTGTCCCACCGACGTGGGAAGGCAGAGTGGGAGCGTGGAGCGAGTCAAAGAGTGCGAGCCGGCAAAGAGGGCGCGGAGGGCCAGAATCTCCGGACTGTCAAGCCATAATATCGCCCCCCTCGCCCTCCATCTCTCCATCTTTCTCTCCCTTCCCCGTCCTTTCCCTCTCTTTGCAACACTCGTCGTAACAAACCTTCGTTCAATCCTTTCTTTCCTCTAGCCTCTCTCTTTAGCCTTTCAATTGCCCAACCATTGGGACGTGTCTCACCCTTCATTTGCTATTCCTTGAGAGCAAGCCTCCAACTCGGTGTTTGCCTCGCTGCATAGATCGGATCTCAGGTCAGATCAAGCAACAAGAGCAGCTGTGTTTCATCCCTCGCATCGTGGGGATCTCTTCAGCCTGCTCCAAACTCGCAACCGGCTCCTCAGCCACCCTCCGCCACGCCGAGTGATGGCCGCGGCTCTGTGCATCTGATCCCGCCTTCGTACTTTCGTTGTCTTTCCTTGCTCCATCGTCACACACTACATCCCACCCCCGGTGTTTCGAATTCCTCCAGCCCACGGAAGCTCGATCTCGCATTGTTCTTAATGCGAACTCGTTCTTCCGTTTGCTCCTGATTTTCGAAGTCCATACCTACACTCGACTTCTTTTCTATCTCTTTTCGTCCCACCTCGCCGACATGCCTGTCATGTCTCAGCCCCAGGCGCTGGAGAGCCCTAGCGGTGTCGCTCTCACCTGGATCTTTGACCATTGCTTGCGCTACACGGGCTCTTATGAAATCCCTCTGCGTACCATGTACACCCTCAACTGCAACCCGGCCAAGAACCCGAACCGCGGCCCCGAGACCGCTTTCACCCCGCGCTCCTCCACCTCCACCAAGGCATCCGACGACTCGATCGACGCGGCTGCTGATTTTCGCTCGCAGCTGATCCACCAGATATCGCGTCTGCCTTCTCAGCCCTGCTCCCTTCCACCCTCCTTCCTGACCTCCTTCCTGCGTCGCTGCTTTACGGCTGAACTGGAGTCGGTCGATTTCCCGCAGGCTCTGACCGCGTTGGATTATCTCAAGGATTTGGAAGGTCGTTGGAAGAAAGAAATGAATGGTGCCCTCCAGCGACTGGGCATCTCCCGCGACGATGCGGAGAACCCGTACACCTCGGAGCTGGCTCTCAAGTACCCGGCAGTCCTGCCCTGGCTGCAGTCGATTAATGCCCAAGCACGCAAACTCGAGGCCCAGTACACCCAGATCTACATTGGCTTGCGTCGCTGGGTAGGTTATCACTGAACCAAAACTTGGATTGTTTTTGCTAATCCGATGGACTAGACCCTGATCAATGACATGATGCTCGAGCCCAACAACAAAGTCAACCACATTGCTATGCTCAACACGCTGTTCCCTCCGGTCACCAATGCCACGGTTGCTCCCACGCGCCAGTTGCCCCCGCGAATTTTGCAGGCGCAGCGTGATGGATTCTTCCGCTACATCAATGCCGTCGAAGCTAAAGGAATTGCAATCCTGCAGCCGGTCATGTCGCAAGGCGCTCCCGGGGGCCAGGAAACCTCGTGGCCTTTGGTCTACGACTCCCTGGACAAGTACCTGGTCATGGCTAATGAGGTCATTGACGAGTGTGCCTTGGTCAACGAGCCTGCTCACCTGGAGGAGTCGAGCTCTCCCCACCGTTCCAAGCGTGGTAAGGTGGACTCCGGGTATTAGCTTTGGCTCGAACAACTCTGAAACTAGCCTCGCCGAAAGTGATCCAGAGAAGCCTCTCCCGCAGTTCCCTGTTCCCAAGAAGGCAAATGGCTCCGCCCTTGAGCGTCTGGTTACCGAGATTCGTCGTTTGGGCCCCATTGCCAAATCGAAGAATTTGCGTAAGATGAAGTCAACCACGACTTTGGGTGCTCGCCCTGGCAGCCAGCACAGCTACGCGGAAAGCTCCTTTTTTGAGATTGATGAGAAAAAGCGCCGCCGCCTCATTGGCGAAGCCACCAGCCGCAAGAGCCCCCAGATGCCGGCTCCCAACTTCCACGCTCAGTGAGATCGTTGGTTTTGCGTGTCTGCATGGCCATCTTACATTCTTTCGTTGAGCCTGGTCTCAACAGTACATTGCATTTCCATCCTGCATTAGCTCGGAGTCTGTGCACGAGTGCAACAAAAAAAGAGAAGACTGCCGAGTTGCACATACCTTGATATGGGTTTTATTCTCGGAGTCAAATATGGCGTATTGACACTGCATACTATGGGAGGCTATGGTCTGGCGCACGGAACATTCTAACTTTACGAAATTATGTCTTATGACCCCAAAAAAGTAGCTGGACTTCTCAATTGAACAGGATTCATTTCAGATTATGTATCTTTTCTTGTAGACAGTAGAACTCAATGTTTGTGTATTCTCGATGCGTTGAGCATGTTCGCGGCATGCGCGTGTTGCCGTGTCGTCCGCCGTACAAGCTGCGATAAGAGATAATGAAGCATCCAAGTGTTCAGATCGGCTGGGGATCTCCGCGATTGTTCAAGAACGCTGGCTCGTTTGGCCCGCAATGCTTTTCATCTTTCGCGACTGATCTGCGCTCTTACTAATTCAGGACCCGAGACTTTTGGATCGCGACACGAGGATTTTTGGGGGCCTTCCCCGTATACACTCCCTACACACCTTGCTTCCACCCCATCCAACACAACAGGATGAGGATCTCGTCAAGATCCCACACGTCGTGGCATTGGTATGCCGTCACCGGCGCACTACTACCCGGTTTGCTGGCCACTGCCAGCCCGGCGGTGAATGTGGCTCTCCAGGCCTCGTTCGACTCGTCGCCGTATCTCGTGGAACTATTGTATGTTGACACTGGGCATGATCGCAAATGTTAAATACTCACATGGGTGTCTCCAGAGAATCGGCCGCAGAGGAGAACGCAACATCTTACTTTCCATTGCTCGACCGTATCGCTGACGGGGTCTTCGAGGACGCCGGAACCGAGAAGGAGCTCTACGACCGCTTCTTGCAGGTCGTGCATGAAGATGGACACCTTCGCACCCCCGAAAGCCTCTCCTCATTCAAGCTATCGCTTTCCGTTCGATCAGCCGCACCCCGCATTCAGGCGCACTACCAGTTTTACAATACTTCGGTCCAACATTCGCTGATGGCTGCCCAGGATGCGGCCTGTCCGGTCTGGGTCCACCACGATGGACAGCAGTTTTGCTCATCAGCAATGGAGCGTGCACAACAACCTGTTGAGGGAGAACTGTAGGTAGATCTCTAGTTAGCATATCACCTGGAATTGGGGTTGGAAGCTGACCTTGAACGTTTGTGGCCATAGGGACCCTAGGGAATTACCGTTCGACCGCGTCTTCGGTGATATATCGCTGCCTCCTGCCGTCCTTTACGCAGATGTCTCATCGCCTATATTCAAGGAATTTCACGAACTATTGACCGAAATGGCAAAAGACGGACATATTTCGTATCGCGTGCGGTATCGTCCCCCTCAACACTGGATCTCTCGCCCTCTATTTGTTCCTGGATATGGTGTGGAGCTTGCTTTGAAGCGGACGGATTATATCGTCATTGATGACCGGGATGCTGAGCAGCGTGGCGAGGATGCGAAGGAAAGGCCATCAAGCGGCTCACAAGACCTGAAGGAGGATTCTCCAGATGACTTGCGGCCTCTTTCCTCGTCCGAACTGTCTAGACTGGGCTGGAATTCTGCAGGTTTCGTGATGGACAGTGAACATCCTCTGAGCACTTTGATGAAGCTCTCTCAGAACTTTCCAAAGTATTCGTCCATCGTTGCTGCTCATAACGCTACCGTGAACCTGAAGCAAGAAGTTCGTGCGAACCGGGCAAGAATGATCCCGCCTGGCTACAATGTTATGTGGATAAACGGCGTTCAGCTTGATTCGCGGCAGATCGATGCCTTTTCCATCCTAGACCATCTCCGTCGGGAGAGGACATTGATCGAAAAATTCCGAGACTTGGGTCTGTCTGCTCAGGATACCGTGAAACTTCTGTCTCACCCCCTCCTCGCCGAATCGCATGCAGATGATGAAACGCAGCGATATGATTATCGTGATGAGCTGGAGGGCAGTGAGGTCATCATTTGGATGAATGACCTCGAGAAAGACTCTAGGTACCAGGCCTGGCCGAGTGATCTTGAATCGGTAAGAATCCTCGATAGAGTCTTGCCTTGGGTTTGTGCTGAAGTTTCCTAGTTTATCTCGAGCGGGTACCCAGGACAACTGCCCCCCGTGAGCCGGGACTTGCATAACGTCATCGTGCCTGTCGATCTATCCAAGCCCGACGATATGATTTTGATTGCCAAGCAATTCCAGATCTTTATCAAGCGCCTGATTCCTGTAAGGTTCGGTTTGGTGCCTACGGCCTCTTCGCCTGAGTCTACCGCTCAGCTGAAGGTGGCACACTATCTCCAAGAGACTTATGGACTTGCATCTCTCATTCAATACCTGGAACAGGTAAGCACATGCTGATATAGTACGTTTACTGAGTGTGGATACTGAGTCATTTCAGTCGGCTTCAAAGCTGAAGGGTGGTAACCCGGAAAAATCAGCTTTCATGGCTGCAACTAAAGATCGAGATGCTCGTGTCGACAAGGAAGTCTTGTCTCTTGAGGAGGTGCTGGAGAGTAAGCGCTACGCTGAAATAGCTTCCTCTACAACGGACTACCAGCGCCGACTGAGCTTGACTGGCGAAGAAGCCCAGTTCCTGGTCAATGGTATTCCGATCTCACGCGAGGGGAATTGGATGCAGGAGCTGAGTATGAACATTGGGAGAGACCTGAAATTGATCCAACAAGCTATAATGCAGGGCGTCTTTGAAGCAGATGCCTGGCTGCCGGAATTTTTCCTGGCAGCATCTCTTGAAAGACGTAACTCTTTCCTAATGCCCGAAGATCCGAAGAATGTCAAGATTGTTGACCTTGCCGGTGTATTTGGTTCGGAACCGGAAGATTTGGAGGCAATTCCTCGGATCATTTCAGAGAAGACTGTCCTTGAGAGTATCCATATCATTGTCGTGGGCGACTTTGAGACGGAGGAAGGCCTGAAACTACTGGCTGATACCCTTATTCTCCGAAAGGAGCATAATGAGTTGGAGATAGTACTGCTGCACAATGGCGCTTCTGATCAAAACGTCTCCAATCTTGGCAAAGTCCAACGTGCGCTTGCACAGGAAAAGGACATTGATCAAATTCTCGATATCCTTGACTCTCCGGACCCGGAGACCTTAGAGTCGGGAAATACAGAGATCTTTGCCTTTCATCGACGCCTCGTTGAGAAGCTTGGATTTGAGCCCGGTGTCCAAGGGCTTGTTGTCAATGGCCGAACAGTTGGCCCCATTCAGGAGGATTCTATCTCAAGCATCAACGAACTTAGCCAGCTGGTGACCTACGAATGGACCAAGCGTATTTTTCCTGTTGCGAAAGTGGCTGAGAATCTAGGGTTGGATGCTAAGCTATCCGCGCCTCTTGATCTTGCCAAACTCACATCGCTTGTTGCACTTTCCACCATTTCTGATGTGCCTGAAGGAATCTTTGAGTCTTCACCAGACTTCAGACTCAGTGTCTCTGATAATTGGAAGACGGACCACTCCGTGATAACCATTTCTAACTCCGAAGACCCTGCTATTAATATTGCTACGGTCCTTGATCCAGCTTCTGAGGCGGCCCAGAGATGGGTGCCCGTTCTGAAGGTTATCTCTGAACTGGCTGGCGTGCAGATCAAAATACTGTTGAATCCGAAGGAGGATCTCCAGGAGCTTCCAGTTAAGCGATTCTACCGCTATGTGCTTGAATCGGAGCCCTCGTTCAACAGCGACGGTTCTCTGTCTCGACCTCAAGCATCATTTACCGGCGTGCCCGTTGAAGCACTGCTCACCCTGGGCATGGACGTGCCCTCATCCTGGCTTGTGGCACCAAAAGAAACTGTTTATGACCCAGACAACATCAAATTGAGCTCGCTTAAGTCTGGCTCCGACCTTGATGCGGTCTACGCTTTGGAGCACATCTTGATCGAGGGCCACTCTCGCGATCTGACCACCAAGTCTCCACCACGAGGAGTGCAGCTCGTTTTGGGCACAGAGAAAAATCCTCATTTTGCTGACACCATCATTATGGCCAATCTGGGATACTTCCAATTCAAGGCACAACCTGGCATGTGGCAGATAAACCTAAAGCCCGGTCGGAGCGAGAAGCTTTACAAGATCAATAGTGTTGGCGGTCTGGGCTATCACCCCCAGCCCGGCGACGAGAACAATGAGGTCACTCTGCTGTCCTTCCAAGGCCGAACGCTCTTCCCGCGCCTGTCCCGCAAACCTGGCTATGAGACCGAGGATGTCTTGGAAACCGGACCTCAATCCGGCTCAACAATGGATTTCGTGTCCAAGGGCCTCAACTTTGCATCAGGTGTACTCTCAAGTGTAGGGGTGGGCTCAAAGGGCGAGCAACACGCAGACATCAACATCTTCTCCGTCGCCAGTGGCCACCTCTACGAGCGCATGCTTAACATCATGATGGTTTCCGTCATGCGCAATACCAAGCACACCGTCAAATTCTGGTTCATCGAGCAATTTCTCTCTCCCTCTTTCCGCTCCTTCCTCCCCCATCTTGCCCGCGAATATGGTTTCTCTTACGAGATGGTCACCTACAAATGGCCACACTGGCTTCGTGGTCAGCGTGAGAAGCAGCGTGAAATCTGGGGCTACAAAATGCTATTCCTGGACGTCCTTTTCCCGCTTTCCCTGGACAAAGTCATTTTCGTCGATGCAGACCAGATTGTTCGCACAGATATGTACGATCTGGTCACGCATGATCTCGAAGGCGCGCCATATGGCTTCACGCCCATGGGCGACTCCCGCACCGAGATGGAGGGCTTCCGCTTCTGGAAGCAGGGATACTGGAGCACGTTCCTCCGTGGCAAACCCTACCACATCTCGGCGCTGTACGTTGTCGACTTGAACCGCTTCCGTGCACTTGCTGCCGGTGACCGGCTTCGTGGTCAGTACCAGATGCTCTCGGCCGACCCCAATAGTCTCAGCAATCTGGACCAGGATCTGCCCAATCATATGCAGCATCATCTCCCTATCCACAGTTTGCCGCAGGAGTGGTTGTGGTGTGAGACGTGGTGTTCTGATGAAGATCTGGCATCTGCACGCACCATCGACCTCTGCAACAATCCCCAGACGAAGGAGCCGAAGTTGGCTCGTGCCCGGAGACAGGTTCCTGAGTGGACTGTGTACGACGATGAGATTGCTGCGTTGGCGAAGCGTGTTGCTAGTGAGCAAATTGGGTTTGTGCGAACTGGTGAAGATGCCGAACCCAAGGAGAATGACGATGTCGCCGCCGAAGACAACAGTGGTGAAGACGGTACGGACAGTGGCCGCAAGGACGAACTATAGACCCTGGACCTGTTTGATTACTGGGTATGTGTTTTGTATAAGAGCATTGTTCACAAGCATTTGAAAAATTTGGACATGGTATTTGCATTGCATTTTCTTGACAGGACTTGAGCTAGAGCGTGGATTGTTCAGCGCTGGAGTAAGAACCATCGAGTTTCTCTAGAAGTCTCGTCTGTAGTATTTGCATCTCGCTTCTAGTCTGAATCGTCTCCCTCGATTTTGATATCGTAGTCACTGGATTCATTACCACCACCGTCATCAGATTCGGCGTTGGACCGCTGAGCTCTGGCCGCAGGACTGTCATACTTGCTGCTTGCTTCCCGAGATTTCCGCTTGCTCTTCTTGCTCTTCTTAGGAGACTTGACAGACTTGTTTCCTTCAATGTCGGTCCCATTGAGCCCAGGAATCGACTCGCGGTGCTTTGTCTTCATTTTCTTGAGGGGAGCAGCAGCGGCAGAAGTGTCAATCCCATTGGTCTCAACGGTATCCATTGACTTCTTGGACTTCTTTTTCTTCTCCTTCTCCTGCTCTCTCTCCTTCCTCTCTTTCTTCTCCTTCTTCTCCTTCTTCCTGTCCTCCTTTGCCTGCCTGGCAGCGGCGGCGGCTTCCGCCTCCTGGCGTTCCCGTTCCTCCCGCTCTCGTTTCTCTCTCTTCAATCTTTTCTTCTCCTTCTTGGCCGCCTTCCGAGCCTTCTTATCGGCGTCTGTAATGGTCGTAGTTGGAGTCTCAGCTCCCACTTTGGGTTCGGGCTCGTCGACAGGCCTTTCAGTTTCAGAACGCTTGCGCTTCTTACTGGACTTGCTGGCCTTGTTGATCTCATCCTTGGACTGACTCGGGCTGTTTGAATTATGCTGGCGAGTTGGGTGAGAGGCTGCCGAGGGAGGCGCTGGCTCATCAGCGGCAGTGACGAAACTAGCCTCATTGATCTCATCCTCGGACTCGGGTTGGGGGTCGATGTGGGGTTTGGCGGATATCTCCTTCGATGATGATGAACCAAGCGAGAGTAGTTGTTGATGGTCTGTGAGCCCAAGCTTAGGAGTCATCCCTGGTGTGCTGTCGGGTGCTATGCTTTCTTCTGCTTCTTCCTCGCTGTCATCACCCTCCACATGATCATTGCTCTTTTTGACATCATTGCGTGGCTTCTTTCTCTTTGTAGCTGCAGCCGGATCAAACACAGCATCTGGATCAACAGTCTTTCGCAATATTTCAACATGTCGTAAGATCTTGCGCCACCTGTCTGCACATTGCTGACGAGATCGAACGTGGTTCATCGCAGTGCTGACATTGCCCCATAAGATTATTTGCTCGCTCATTCCGTAGATGTCTTTCCCTGCCAGTTCAGGATGAATGGTGTGCTCAATGTTCCAGATATCCTGTATGGTACTCATCAGAGATCGCATCTCGGCTTCGGTCCAAGCCCCGCGATTCTGCGTGCCTCGGTATTCCAAACGGTTCTTCCATCTTTGCGTTACATCATCGTCGCTGCGACCGAGAAGTTTCGCAATGAGTGCGTACTTCGGCCCATGCTCAGCACGTAAACGGACAAGTTCTTCATCTTGTTCTGCTGTCCACTCATGCGGCTTCTGAGTTGAGTCTTGAAAATGCCGTCGCATGAACCGGTACACAGATCGACGGTCCCGATCAGGCAGGATTGCGTAGATTTCGGCCCAGAACTCGGACTTTCTGCAAATGTCGGTTGGGCACGGCCACTCACCGCTGTCACGCTCTGAATGCTGTACCATAGCGTCGAACATCTTGGGATTGTGATTGAAGCCATTGCGGTTGCAAAAATCGACTTTGTACTTCTCGAGCTTCTGGGTTTCTTCCTTGACGAAGAATCCCACCTTCAAGTTGTTCTTTCCACCAATTCGTGAACCCCTAATCTTCCTCGGTCTACCCGAGCGAGTAAGGTTGTTGTTAGGCTCAGAAGAGGGCGCCGCTTCAGGAGCAGGTTCGGAGGATGGAATGGTGGGAGTGGTTTTCTCAACGCCATTTGAGGCAGGCTCGCTATCTTCCTTGTCCGGATGATCTGGAAGCGGATCGACTGGCCGATCTTTCTTTTTGGGTGTCGTGACAGTAGGAGCATCGGCCTCGTTTACGATGTCCTCCGCAGCCTGACGCTTCTTCTTTTTCTTGCCATCCGGCTCCAAATCGCGCTTTCGTTTTGAGGGCCGCGGTTGTTCTTCAACTCGAGGAGGGGAAGACACAGCGCCGTTGGTGTGTATCACAGAAGGTAAACCCTCCTTGTTCTTGGACTTGCGTGACTTCTTTTTCTTCTTTGCGCCGTCTAGGGTAGCCTGCGGATTTGAGGACTCGGGAACTGCAACTAGTTAGGATGGAAATGCATTTTTATGAGTAGACTGTGAGTCATACCCTTTATATCAGGTCTCTTTGGTCCATGGGACCCAGAAGAGTTTTGATGTGCCATGATTTCGAGGAGCAGAGATGGGCACGGAGCTCTCCAAATTTACCCAGGCTGACCGGCAGAAATTATACACCGCCTGCACCACCCGCTTATCGGGATAGGTAATGTGAACCTTGGAAGTATGCAGCACTTGGCTCATATCTGATGCAGCTTTTGCAGCCTTACTGGAACCCATAACATGCTGATATGCAGAAAATACTGTACAGATTGCTCTCATGGTATACAAAATGGAATCGTAAACCCCCTCGGAATCCAATACTCCTCAATAAATGGACCATCGAATAGAAAACGCAAATCAATCAAGAAGTCAGTTTCATCTCGCGTAGAACTCTTGTCACCAGTTTCTTCTGGTCTGTGGGGTGAAGATTATTCTCGTCTGTGGACTGCAAGCACCGGCCAATGGCGACAGTAGCCTTGATGGCACTTTCGCCGGCATTTGAGCAATCCACCCAAACTTTCCCATTGCGCCCAACGGCGATCTCAAACCCCCCAGGCCCTCCAGCTTCCTCCCAAGCTCAGAAAGAACCACAAGTCCCTCAATAGCGTTTCCATGATCAGCCGAAGAGGAGCTTGCCCGAATCAACCGCGCTGCCATGCCTGTCGAGATGTCGAAGACCATTCCACCTAGAAGAGGACCGAGACCGCCTGGCTCTGCTTTGCCAGTAGCTGGATTGACGCACGTAAGCTCAACCTCAGCCCCTGCGCCAATGCCCACAGACGACACTCGCGCATAGACCAGCTCGCCCTGCTTCAACATTGGCCTTGTCTTTTTTGTAGCACCCTCAAAGGACAGTTGGCCTAGCAAAGCATGGGCAGTGTGCGGGGTCACCATACAATGGAAGTAGTCGGCGCTAGAGTGGTGGATTTGCGCGATGACTAGGTCGTTATGTGTAGGGATGTATCGACGGTTGGAGAAAGACAGAAGCGAAACCGTGTTTCGTTTGGCATCGGTCGATACGAGACCGGCTTGAGTTGCTGTCAAAACATGATTCAATGCCGCAGGTTTTGCTGAGGGCTGCGAAAGAAGACGAAGGCCCTGGCCTAGCTTTAAAGGATTGGCATTGGTAGGAGGAAGGCGGTCGTTGGGGACCTCATCACCTGGTAGGAGGATGAGTGGCGTCGACATGATCCCAGCCGGTAATTTGAAGCAAATTGAAAGTTTTCGAATGCCAGGAGAGCAGGGGCCCGAAGTGAGAAATGTTGAGTTGACGAGCACTGTACAGTAAACGACCGCAGCACTGCATCAAATTAACATCTGAAAACCTCGGCCGATCCTTACTCATCATCCAATCACATGACCGACATTAGCACAACTCTTCTACAGATCTCGGAAGGCAGAAGAGACATGTGAAGTTGGAAGTTTGGTCAATAGTATAGCTGCATTCGAATTCCCCCCACAGTTTCATATTTGACGAAGTCTAGGGTGATCAAGTGAGAGCAACTATGATTGAAATTCCACCGCCAAGACGGAGGCCCAGATCACCCCTTATCACCACGTGATCTAGAAAATAACGGGCAGTTCAATTGGTGGCGGACACGGGCGTCGATAGAGACGTGTTGAATATATTGTAAAAAGAACCAGTATTATATGGGATAGATTGTGTCAGGTTATCCGCATAAATTTCAAGTACACCCCGTTCGTTGACTTGGAAGGTATGCCGAATAAGCTGTAGATGAGCTCTGAATGTTGCCTGTACCGCCACAACCATATCGATAAGCACCAGCCACTCTCCCGCCGGAAATCTTCAAATTTTTCGGCTTCCCCCCCCTCCATCGAGACTCGTCCCCTTCATCGGTCACCCCCCGACTCTCTCTTTCACACATTGTGTTGTGAAATTAATCGCTATATTTGTGGTTTAGGATTTCCCCTTTTTCACACTCGATAAAAATGGGTGACGCGGCCAACGGTGCCCCCGCTGAGGCGGAGCGCTTTGCTATCGGTATCTCTTTTGGCAACTCGTCCAGCTCAATTGCCCGCATCTCGCCTGTATGTTGTGACAGTTCATTTTCAGACCATTATGAGAGGCTGATGCACCATCTAGGAGGGCAAGGCTGAGGTCATCGCCAACGAGGAGGGCGGTATGGTTGATTCAATACCCATTGCTTGATGAACTCTCACTGAACACTATTAGACCGTCAAATCCCAACCGTCCTTTCTTACATCGAAGGAGAGGAATACCACGGTACACAGGCCAAGGCGCAGCTTCTCCGTAACTCCAACAACACCGTCGCATACTTCCGGGATTATTTGGGCAAGGAGTTCAAGTCTATCGACCCGACCCCATGCCACCAATCCGCCCACCCCCAGCAGAGCGACTCAACCGTCGCTTTCACCATTCGTGATACCGCCAGCGAGACCCCTAACTCTGTCACTGTCTCAGAGATTGCTACTCGCCACCTTCGTCGTCTGAAGCAGTCCGCTTCCGATTTCCTCGGCAAGGACGTCAACGCCGCCGTCATCACCGTTCCCACCGACTTCACCGATGCCCAGCGTGAGGCTCTCGTGGCCGCCGCCAAGGCTGCCGACATTGAGGTTCTCCAGCTTATCCACGAGCCCGTCGCGGCCGTGATGGCTTATGATGCCCGCCCCGAAGCGACCGTCACCGACAAGCTCGTCGTGGTTGCTGACCTAGGTGGTACCCGCTCTGATGTGGCTGTGGTTGCTTCTCGCGGTGGAATGTACACTATCTTGGCTACTGCCCACGACTACGAGCTTGGCGGTGCTACCCTGGACCAGATCATCATTGACCACTTCGCCAAGGAGTTCATCAAGAAGCACAAGACTGATCCCCGGGAGAACGCCCGCGGGTTGGCCAAGCTCAAGCTTGAGGGTGAGGCTACTCGTAAGGCACTGAGCCTGGGTACCAATGCTCAGCTGAGCATCGAGTCTCTGGCCGACGGCATTGATTTCGGCTCCACTGTTAACCGTACTCGCTTCGAGCTGCTGTCCGGCAAGGTCTTCGGTCAGTTCACAGGCCTGATCGAGCAGGTCATCAAGAAGGCTGGTCTCGATGTCCTCGACATTGACGAGGTTATCTTCTCTGGCGGCACCTCTCACACTCCCAAGATCGCTCAACTTGCCCGGAACATCTTCCCCGAGAAGACCCTTATTCTGGCCCCCTCCACCTCAACCACTGCCATCAACCCGTCTGAGTTGTCCTCGCGTGGTGCCGCTTTCCAGGCCTCTCTGGTGCAGGAGTTCGACCGCGAGGACATTGAGCAGTCCATCCACCCCATGGTAACCGTTACCCCCCACCTAACCAAGGCCATCGGTGTTGAGTTCACCTCCGGCACCGACGTTACCTTCCAGCCCCTTCTCAACACCGAGACTGCCCTCCCTGCCCGGCGCATTGCTCAATACTCTGCTCCTAAAGATGGCGGCGATGTTTTGGTCCGCGTGTGCGAAGGCGCTCGCGAGATCAAGGTCACCAAGCCTGAGCCCAAGCCTAAGGAGGAGAAGCCAACCGATGAGGATGATTCCGACTTCGACTCAGATGAGGATGAAGAAGAGGAGATTCGCGAGGTCATTTGGAAGACCGAGAAGCCCGTCGCCGAGCTCGCTGTCAAGGGCGTCAAGGCTGGCGGCAAGGTCGAGGTCATGATTCACGTCAATCCTGACCTGGGTCTCCAGATTGCCGTGCGCGAGGTTGGTGGCACCACCGCCGTCCGCGGCGCCATCAACGGCTCTGCTTAAATCCCTTTCATCTCAAAAATTGATCTCCTTATGGTGTGATGATGCATACATGATTGATAGAGGCCGTGCTTTGTTTTTGTGTTACCGTCATTGTCTTGTTGGAGTCACGCCTTCTTCCCCTTCCCCGTGTTATCTATTCTATATAGACTCCCAATTGGAAAGTGACCAATAAGAATCATTTACCAATTTCTGAATCGATCGATCCGCGGATTGTTCTGTTTTCCAGCTTAGGCCATTCCAGGGTGACAGGATTAAACACCACTGGTTCCTAGACTCCAACTCTGGGTTGTGTTCGGTGGTTCTGTCTTTGATTGGTGGATAGCTAGCTACCTTTGACGCATTAGTTCGCAAATGATCTCAAGACAACATAGATATTATATTACAACTATTAGGTGAAAGCTGCAGACAAGGCATCGGATAATCAAAGTCGGCGAACCATTGCACCATGAACTCGTCAATAATTCATCGACGTAGACAACAACATGAACCAAGAGGTAACTAGTCACCAGCAATGCTAGTGGCAGTTCGGACGGAGGGCAAATTTGGGGGTTCAGTAACGATCGTGGACAGTTCGTCACAACATGAAATGAGTGGGTAGGTAGTACATCAGCGTGCGAAAATAAACCAAGCATCGCATCAGTAAGGCTAAAGCAAGACAAGAGAGATCAGCGCCAAAGCGAGAACTCTCCCCGGGGTGTATCAACGCAGCAGAGAAAATCCGTATACGGTACGATACGACACCTCGAAAGGGACTGGGGTCACCATTTGCGCGGCGACTCTAGCTTTTCTTTTATTTTTGGCGAGACGTAGAGTGTGACCCAGAAGAGTCAGGATCTAGGAGTTCTGCGCTTACGCGTAGGATTCCTTCTTGCTCCTCACGCTGTTCGAGCGCGCTGAGGAGAAGAAACCACGGCGGCGCTCCTTGCGGCCACTGTAGCCGCCGTCCTTTCGGCCGACTGCACCACCCAGACAGTACATCAGGCAAGAGAGGAACAGACAGGCACTGGCGGTCCACATAAATGCGAATGCCTTGACACCGAGGTGGGAGGACTGGCCATTGCGGCTGAATGCGCTGCGGCCTTGGACGAAAACAGCGCTGATTTCTATGTTAGCTTCTTCTCAATTGACAGGATGAGCATAGCTGAGGGAGTTCCTACGTCATGAGACAGGTGGTGATGACCTGGAAGGTCAGGGCGAGCCAGGCGAAGAAACCGGACAGGTAGCTGCCAATGCGTGTACACAGCGCCAGCAGGCCAGTGAAGAGCGAGATGACGGCAAA